ACATTAACTACAGAGCTTTTGTGCAGGAATGTGTGCATATGTACGTTTCACAAATCGGGAGAATTCACACCTACAGATAACTCGTATTCTTTCGTAAAAAATCATTCATATTTATTAATGGATACATATCTTGACAACGTTAGCTGGCCGACCTACTCTTTGGTTTCTTTTACCGATGTCTCTTTGTTCGACAAATGTAAAGTTGTATTTTCTATTCACAGCATTTTGCATTAAATGACATTCTACAAAAAATATTCCAAATAAAAGTTTCCCCAGACAGTAACAGCTCATGTAAACGCCAGGTTGTCTACATCCTATTTTGCGCAACTCGGTTGCTAATCCGTCGCTTGGTCTACGGTTAATAGCGTTACGGAATTTGGAATTTGACAGATTATCTGCAATATGTGCGTTGATACAATATGCATCGTCGTCCAGTTTTTGTTGCTATCGTGGAAGGCGATCTATCCATGTCCAAAGAGAGTCAGACGTAAATCCATCTTCACATGCTCTTTGTTCACAGCACATCCTGACATCCTGAATGACATGTCAAAGAGATAAAGCACATCGCTTCGTCAAATCAAAGGACACACGGGACAGCGTTCGCATAAAGGAAAACTCGGCTGGATGTGGGAGCAAGCCAAGGACTTTTTGTGCAGTATGAAATTGTATCGACAACACAGAAATTGCTTCATTATAGGCTGCGGCTCTTTCGTTGAAGTGATTTTGATGTTTTGTTGATGGTGGGGTGGACGGACGACGAGGATGAAGAAACTATGTTGCATTGTTGTTGTTGGTAGGTTGGGAGTGAAGGAAGGTGGCTGGATAGCTAAATCCAATCAGAGTCTGCAGGGGAGAATTCAATTATATTCGAGCGAGTGGGCTCCAAGAGACGAAAAAAGCCGGATTTTTTCCCGTCAGGTTCCCCAGGGAAAGTTACCACTTGCACTGCTGTATCTTTTTCATCTTTGCTTGAATGGTGATGGTGGTAGGGCTCGAGGAAGGGTGGTCTGCCTGCCTGCATAGAGACGACTGAGTGGATCTGATCATGATTACTTTCTCTACTTTCGTGCGCATTCCTTCGCTAAGTCGTCGTTAGATTGCTCTTTCAAATTATAACCTATCCTCAGTTAATTGCTTTTTTCGTGTATTTCAAGAAGAGAAAGAAGCCAAAGCTCAAGGAGTTTTTCCAGAAAATACGAGAACGTCTATTAAGAAAATTGATACAAAGATTGATTTGAAATTTTCACATGCCAAAAATTTCAATATCGGTCTGCATATACAAATAGGGGCAACAACTAAGACCATGGTATAGACATTAGTTGGAATACTGCAAGAACGGATAATCACAATTTTCATTCGGAAGCTTGTTTACACAACCAACGTTGTTTTGGATTGGGATCTCGTACAAATTTGCATAAACGAAATGGGAACATGGCTCATTAGCATTAAATTGAGTTGATGCTTTGCGTCTCCAAACTCCTTGATGGCTCAGGATGTAAAGACATTGGCTGCGAGTGCATAAGATTTCCTCGGGAGAAAATTGAATAGTTTTCTCCACAAACTTTGGGTGTACAGTATGTGCTAGAATACATCGTTGAGAACACGAGCTAGGTTCAAGTTTACAAATAATGAAATATAAAAGTGTTCTGCTCGATGTAGAGGTTTATCAGTTTACATATAAAAAGTCATTAGTCAACCTCAGCTCGAGTCATGTCAAGCTGTTTTGTTAGACTCAAGTCACGAGGATATGAGGGAATATTGCATGAAATTAAAATTTTAGTTTGATTTATGACAGAATTTTTATTTCATCTAAAATTTTCCTTAGGATTATCCATCTTACAAATTGTATGTTGCATTTCCCGAGTTCTTTTTACAAGATTATGCTGAAATGCTCAAAGTAATTAATTTAACCATCTCCTGGTTGATTGGCATGTCAGAATTGGTTATTGGGTTTATCAAACAAAACTTTCTCCAAGGCGTTAATTTAATGTGAACAATCAATCGGCAGAGTTTTTCTGCAATGATGAATGGCCGAAGAAATGATTAATTTTATTAATATATATCCCAGTCATCGTTATTTCAGTCGTATTAAATGTCGTCGGCCTTCTTACGATGTCCGTCCACTAAAGCATTTGAGATTTCAATGGTGGTGAAAGACATTTAATAAATGCTGATGCTGATGACATTCTGCACTCCTAAAGAATACATTCTAAAGATTGGTTCAGGGTTGTAAAGAAGGAGGGAGTTTAGTGCTAAAAATAAAATGTGATCTGCTCCCTGCAGCAAAAAAAACTGTTGCCTTAATAAATTCTTGGAGCGTGAACCCCGTAGAAAATAGAATGACGATTTTTTTCCTTCTCTCAAAGAAACGCAGGGACTACAAGATGAGGATAAAGAGCTATCACTTTTTACAGCTCAAGTGACACTGACACTAGGATTTTCGAGCCATAACATATCAAATCAAGCGAAATGCCGATGATTATGTCATCCCATCTGCAACCCCCGCGTAATATTGGTTCTCCTAAAATGACACATCAGTCCTCCCAAAACATATTCTTAAATTCCTACTTTAAAATGTATATGCATAAAATTTATACATATTTTCACCCAGAATCTTGCTAAAGAAGGGGAAGAAATGAAATTGAAAACCCAAACTGGAAAAGTTTTGATGGGCGTTGAGCTTATTCCTCTACATCGAAGAATAAGAATTAGATTTACTTATTCATAGCAACACAGCTAACCATGCGCCCATTTTGCATCCGTAGTAATGACTTGATTCCGTGTCTACTTTCACCATCATTACACATCATTGAATGATGATGGCTTATTTCATGTCTTGGCCAATTTTGAGGAACAATTTCCCGTTCCCCCTCTAAAAGAAAAACGCAATGATGAACAAATGGTCCAATATATCTCACCCGGTCTAATATGAGTCTAATATGTTTTGGGTTTGCTACTGGTTTTGTAAAATGGGATTTATTTACTCGGCCTCTGGTTCTGAGGGTAAGCTAGCCTCGCAAACTTGGCGTGTCGTTTCTTGACTAGTCAAGTTTTCCAATCTTGAGACAGCATTATAATTTTGTGAGCAAACTAAGCGTCGACTGCGGTACAACAATGTCCCCACGAAAGCAAGGTCGTTTTTCAGAGAGAACTGGGAAAAGAACAAAACGACACAATTCTCTGAAAATTTCGTCCATTGGAAACATAACCATTGCCATAAGAGAGTTTTTGAAGGTCTGAGGATATTGTACTTGAGACTTGAACAATGCTAAAATATGCAAATTGAGTTTGTGGCCTTTCCATTTTATTCAGTTCCAGTCCAGCCCCCACACCCTCCATCTAATTTTGCTACTCGTCCTGGAACACTTCTGCATCTTCTTCTCATTTCATTTGTTTGATATCAAGATCTCTCGTTTGTTCCACGATGATGTTGGCTGCTGGATTTGGTCGCATTCTGGTGGACTTTTGGGATCTCGTGAATAATTCTCTTTCCGTGCCAAGCAACTTTGTCGAGAGTAGATTCGATGAGATGGGATTGAAGTAAGTGTTACTCTCTTATTCTAATCTAACTGCTGTACGTACTACCCTTTCAGAAGCAGTTGGCAGGAAATTCTGAACAATTTTGAGCGAATTTGTGGCCTACTATGAGGAATCGTAGGAATCCACGTTTTCCGAGTCTGTGCTGCCATTATTGGTCCTCATTCTTATATTTCTTTAGTTAAGGGATTAGGCATCGTGGTTTTAATCCTTCGTGGAGAAAGAAACATTACAGCGGTTGTTTCGCACTTATGTATTTCTGTGGACCAAACCTACAATGCGGTCGGAGACGAGGCGAGTGCGGGATGATAAGTGCAAGCGGATTGGATAAGTGGTTGGTGTTGGCTGCTGTTCATCATGAAGGGGAATTTAGTGTGTATGCTGTTGAGTAAATCTTGAAGAAGTTGTCGAGCATTACAGGCTTGATTCTTGATTACTTTCCATTATCCGGCCAGATCTTAACTCAACAACGGCCCAAGTGCCTCATTACCTCCTCAACCACTCAGCTCAACCTGACGTGTCTTTCCCTCAGATGGAAATTGCTTTCTCTCCAACAACCATTTTTCACTCTTGTATGAATGTTCTCCCTCTTCCGGTGAGTTTGGGGTGGAGCCTTCCCCAGGATTTCTAATTAGCTCATTCTCCAAATGTAATCTCAGACGCATCTTGAAACCAGACTGACACAAAAGCAATTATCCGAAAAAAAATCTGTTTCTACAACTCAAATCCACGTAGCGAAGACAAGTTAATGGACTAAAATCTTAAAATATTTTGAACAAATGAGGATTTTTCTGAAACATGGAGCAGTATTTTCTGTACAATATTAAATGAAAAAAATAACCAAAGTTAAAATAAAGCTGTTGAGATTTTCACGACCTACCGATGATGAAAGACAAGACAGATAAGAGCGAGGGTCCCATGTTTTTGTTAAATCAGTGAGCCGAAGGATTTTTCCTTGAGTATAAAACTCTCGGGAGAACATTTTACAACTGAGGAAAGACAGTCCTGGCCCCTAATGGGCTCATTAGCATTCAAATAGGGTTCAATCGTAGACGGTGGAGTTGTTTGTTTTCGATGAAAGATAACACTAATAAAAGTTTTTACTTGGTTATTAGGCTCGGTTGTGCGCTTGCCATGTATGTAGCTCGGCAAAATAAACATAGTCAAAGACATGGCGGAATAGCTAATCCTGCACAATAATAATGACACAAAAAGGAGCATTCAAACTGGGTGAAAGTTGGCTTCATTTATTTCTGTGTAGACAAAATGTTAACTTAATTGCTCCTTTGAGGACAATCATGGGTATGCATAGGCGGCCTACGTGCATGATTTAATTTTTTATGTGGCTGCACAAATATCCTAAATTGGGATGAGTTTGTCTGTATGAAAAACCACACAAAACATGCCTAAATTTTTTCATGGGATAAAGTTATTAATATTTCATATGAAAAGGGAATTGCAAATATTTATCAATTCGGTTTTATTCATCATTTCTTAGTTTTATTTCTAATACATTTAAATCTTTCTTATAACGATATCAAGGAATTATAAAAACTAAATTGACAATTGTAACATCATTGTTCCTGCTTCAATTAGCTAACTATATAGTTCTATAGCTACCTTGACTGTTGACTATCCAACATGATAAGTAAAATGATATCATTGTTAATTTAAATCACAGAGCTTGTATTTAAATAGTAATATATAGCATTACGTTTGAAGCATTTTATCGTTTCAAAAAACCTTTAATAAAATCGAGATCCATTTAAGAAACAGTTATCATTCAGCCTTGATTTGTTTGATTATATAAAAAGTATTATTGTTCATGTTAATACTTTCATGTGCTGACGTATGAATGTACTTATTACTAATAGCATCGTCTCGTTGAATGAGGATATCTATTTTTTAACTCGTGCTTAAATTGTCTGAACTTGGCTCGATTCGTATCCAAGTTTGAATTGGTATTTTTGTTGAAGCTGTTGAGGTGAAAAGGTGTTGGCGTAATGTATCCTGGATGGATGAGGAAAGGTTCGTTCAACACGGCAAACTTGTAACCTGTAAATATAATAAAAGATTGTAAAACACTTGTCTCAGCATTAAAAAAATCTACTAACCAGCCACATGAAGTTCACAGAGTTGACTGAGCCGGTCTAAACTAGGGTGACGAAACCCCTCGTCGAAGAGAGGCACAGTATTGTCCGAGATGAAGAATGGCTCCCAGGGGTCCTAGCGCAAATAATTTTCACAATAATTTGCAAATTCATCTCTTTTGATAAATAATTGTGAAAGTCATTCTCTCTGACCAGTAAATAATTTTAAGATGTAATATGTATTACTTGTAAACTATTATCCAAACTTCGTCATAAAAATAATTTAACGGAGGCTCAATTATGAGGATTTTATCGTATCCAATACTTTTTAAATTAGTGGCAATGTTGTACAAATGTAAAAATATTTTTGATAGTCAATTTCCAATTTTGGTTACTTTTATGGCGGGTTCGATATTAATTCATTTGACATAAATTTTTGATGGCAATTTCTTACATACCTTCCACAATACTTCATACATCACAGAGAGTTCGTCATCCTTTCCTGCCTCGTGACCCCAAGATTCATAATCACTATGCACCTGTCAACATCAACAAGAATAAGAAGAAGCAATGTCAACTAGAGGTTGTAAACGTGTCAAATCTCGACTTTCAAATGTCGTCTGGAATTAATAATCCAAACCCGAGTGGAGCAAATGTAATGATTTCACTCACATCAACTACCAATTAATTCTCCTGTGAGTGAAAGTAGCAACTGTATCATTTCGTTTAACATGTAACTTTTGTACGTAACTTGAGCCAAGTCAATTTATAATATTAAATAAACATTTACTACTATAAATAATGCATACAGAGTACGATTTTGGGCGTCTAAAATGGAACAACATAATCCTCGAAATTGTGAAATTGAAGAAATACTGAGAATCGGCAATCCAATCAATTATTGTGAGATAGGAAAAAAGGCAGAACGGGTTCGTCCGGGGAAAACAATGAAAGAATTTAATTAAAAGATAAAAGCAAAGACTGGGAGCTTTACTGTAAATAATGGAGTTCCTTTTTACTTTCAGCTTCACGGAGAAATAATTGAGATGATGATTCTAAACTGCGCAAAACCACCATCACAACTACTGCTCCTTTCAATTGAATACACAAAAACTACACAAAAAGCTACTTTCCCATCCATAACGGAAGGAGTTTTGGTAGTGAAAAGCTTATTGCCATTGTTCTGGCACGGAAAAAGTAGACTGTCAAGTCAATTACCCTTCGAGACAAAAGCAATGAACGCTATTTCTTTTTCTTTGTTGCAAAACCATTCTCTTCTTTCTGAATATTATTATTATTCCTCACTTCATTGCCTGTATTTCGATGTGTGTAAGTTCTAGCCATGTATATAGGTACGTATGTAGCACCCAATGAAGACTTTAATACGACATTAGCCTTATAAATAGAAAGAATAGCACGAACCTGGCATTTCCAGCACAGCTCAAAATGGTAGGGTCGAGCTTGGTAGGAGTGCAACAACTTCAAGAGGTCAGCCTTATTCCTGGGCGTTTCATTATTTTTTGACTCGAAGGATGGGATCACAAACACTGTTTTTTCATCAAGATCTTTCCTCCTCTTGACCATTTTGTGGAACTTGGACCTGAGTCCTTCGGATGGCTGAAGGTACAACGGAATCACGAGAGAGTAATCTGTCAGAACTCTCTTTCTTGCCACATTTCTCAGTAAGTTGATTGGATACTGAGGACCATTCATCACGAAACTGGTGGTCGAAACCATCACACTGCTCCCACCAGTAGCAGCACCACCTCCGCTACCCAAGTCTAATAAAGGGTCACTACTTTCTCTGAAATTCTTATATAATTTTGACCCCTCTCTCTGATCCTGGAAATATTGGCACTCAGTTTCAAAATCTATGGCTGAAACCGCACTATTATTGTTGTTTTTGCTTGGTGTTGAACTTCGCCTATTTTTGCTCGCCCCATTACCACCACTTCCGATGCGTTTGTTCTTGTCCAACCCAGTCTTATTTATAGGACGTTTGCCGGAACTGGATGCAGCTGAGTAGCGGACGTGAGTTTCGACTAAAGGAAAGACAACGTGAAAGTTGACATATTGTCGCACAACGTCACTGCAAAAACAATAAATTATGCCATGAAATTTATATATAAAATTTATATATTTCTATAAAGACAACAGCATGATAACCTTACCTGCAAAACCTTAAATGGGCAATGAGTTCTAAAACAGCTTCGACATTGGAGGAATTCGTGGCAAAGAGGACGAGGGAGACAGGTCCATTCCACCGATCAACGAGGGGGATCAAGTATTTTTTTGTGGTCATGAGGTCCCCGTGCGTCACAAGGGTAAGATCCTCCGATGGTGGGGGTTCCTGATCAGTTACGTCCTCATCGATGGAAAAGTCATCATTGTTTGCGTTCCCTGGGAGGAGAGCCGGCTTTTCCACAGCAGCAGCTGCTGCTGCGACTGGGTTTGGTTGTTGGGGTTGCGTTTGAGGTGAAAGTTGAGATTGTGAAAGGATCGATTCTCGTTGGGGTCCCGCAATATCAAAGACGACACGATACTCTCCGGTTGAGTCAACAATGGTGGATCCTTCGTCATCATGAAAAAGACGTTCCAATAAAACCTCCTGCATCAAAAAATAAAGCAAACTTTGAAGTAAAGACTTCAATCATGTGCAATTATATATTAAGTGTTGAATGTCAGTATGTTTTACTCAAAGAATGGATCAATAAATCGTGAACAATGTATGGCCACCAAACGCATTATTTTTTCCTTCTGCTTATATATAGTTGCATGTCAGCACTTCGACGCCAAATCCGTATTCATTTTGAGAAGAAACCACTTCTTCATAATAAGTAAAAAGATCTTTATATTTAATAACCATGCGATATTAAAATCTTAGCTGGCATATCAGCCAGCAAAGTGCAAATCCAATTATGTGTTTCAATATAATTGAATGTGAAACATGGATGCAATATTATTTGACTATGGAAAAGCCTAATAAGATAAAGAAATCAATCCGCTGCTGACTGTTGTTCCATCTCATTCTGCCAAGAAATTCCACGTTTCGCTCAATTTTCATTTCTTTCATCTCTTGGTCGTATCAAGAATTAGCTTCGTTGGGCAAGTTGGACCAAACCTGTCGTGGACATGAATTCACCTGGATCTGGTTAAAAAGTTTCCGAGATATTACAAGAATAAGCATTTCTCTGGGACCATGCAATGTGTGGATTGCGATTTACTGCAGGTGTAAGCACTTCCACCTCAATAAACTTGTGCTTTCACTCGCTGCGCCTGGCTGCATGGCCGTTCGGTCCGATTGGGGAATGGAGAAATCTGTCGGGAAAGTAATTTGCACCAGATCCAGATCCTGTTAGTTTTTACGCTACGATTACGTCCAATTTGACTCGGCTTTGCAGAATGGAGAATCCAGCCAGCTTTCTCGTCGTGGGAGTCAAAGTCTGGAAAATATTCGGTTGGAAACTGTCGACGACGACGACCCTTCCTTTTCTTGTCTGATTATCTGCATGAGAGGGACTAGGACGCAAATCCGGCTCTATATCTGAGGAGGTATTCAACCAAAAAAATGATCCGAGTCGAACTTATGTATGCCGAGATGAAGATGGAGTAGGAGCTGTCAAGCATATTTTTTTATTAGATATTCCTACATAACTCGGTGAATTGCAAATTTCATAAAGGATTTACTAGCCCAGTTATTTTTTGTAATCGAAGTTGTTACTTTTATCATTTGTTTAGCAAAAGAAGTGAACTTTTCTTCTCCAGACAGAGAGTAAATTTTGGAAAACCAGAAATAAATGGAAAAGTTGAGCACATAGATAAATGGGAAAAGAGAAAGCATTGCTGTCTGTTGAATGAATGGGAGGAAAGGACAATTTTGATGGAGAGACGGAGTGGTCACCGATGGAACCTTTTGACTCTTCTTCTCCGTGGGAATCCTAGCATCCGTTTCTTATTATTAGTTTCTGCTGGAAAAATCCCGAGTAGTCTGTGTCTAATATTATGCTATAGCCTCCTACTCAACAAATACCGAAATAATATGAAAGAACTGCGCGGATTCGTAGGATTTATTTAGCATCGTTATTTTCTGTTTGAAACCACGACGAGGAGAAAGCAGACCAGACAAGTCGCAGATTTATGATGTGATGTGGTGCGTGGAAAAAGTTGCAACAACACTTGTTCCCTTCCTACACTTTCCCTCTTCGCTTGTCGTCAACGTTGTCAGCATACAGTTCCATTATTTCGGCATGAAAGGAGTAGTTTTCTGTAATTACTTTGAGGCCATGTCGTCACGCACCTCATAATTCTGCAACACCCAGCTCGTCAAAATTGAGAAATTCTTTCTATCAAACTCGTCATAATCTAAAATACTGTATACCAATTTTGTGTACTGCTCCGCATATTTGTAATACATGAAATAGTACACACTCATCCATTGTAAAAATAAGTTTAGCAAAACTCAAAATAAAGTTTTACACAGAAAGTATTGATCATTCAACTGAATAAAAAAATAAACTGGGGAAAAAGTTTGATTAATTTTTTATTCTGATAATGCTTGTGAATCAGACAGTTATATAAATTGGAGAATTTCAACAGTAATCGGCTAAACGGCTGGGCGAAAATGCTTATATAACGCCCACATAACTTATCTGCTATCGTTATCTTGTAAACTGGGAAAAATATAGCAGTAGCGAGTACTTTCCAGCAAACCACATATTCAATCAATCGGTACCTCGATCTGTATATCGGTATTCAATTTTATATATGTGCATAGCTATCTAGTTAGACGGTTGTGGACGTTATAGGAGTTCAAACGTTTAACATAAATGCGTTTCATGGATCAGTGGGCCTATGTAGATACACGTGTAGTAAATGTCTTAATTAAATACTGGACCACGGCGTGGCATACATCAAACAAGGGTTTGGTGAAACGTGAACCAGCGAACTTTTCCATGTAGTTTATACAAGTTTATAGTGGAGCTACATGAACAGAGGAATTCCAACTCGACTGGGAATGATTAGAATTTGTCAACCGAATGAAAATCCCTTTGAGCCTACATCATCCTACCCAGCGGAGAGCTATTTATTTACCCACCCCACTTTCTGCAGTAATGGCGAGCGTTATGTGGAGGAAGGTTTCAATGCCGAACAATCGTAGATGGATGGGCGATGAACTTTTATTTAACCTTTACACCACAACTGAAATGTGTGGATGTCGAACAAAGTTTGCTTCAGACAATGACTGACTCGTGTCACTTTTGTCTTTGTCTCTGTGCTGTTGATAAGTTCTAAATTTCTATCTCATGTCACAGAAATTGATGTGTCCAGCAAAAGGAGGGTCGTTGGTGGAACAAGTTGTGCGAATGTATGGAACGACAAAAGAACAAGGCTGCAAATGCAATGTGGCAGTCAGGCCTCGCAAACTTCACTTTCTGTTGCCCGGAATTCGAGCTGATTAAACTAAAGCCGGCTTTTGTTCAGAAATAAAGCCCGAAGATTAGTGGGAAAATGGGAATTCCTCCACAATGCTTTCTCCCCATGATGAGAGGGCGAAGGGGAACTTTCCATGGCTGACTCTGCTGAATTCAGAAATACATACAAATCTTGAATTCAAAGTAAACCTTAAAAGCTTCCAGTCTGCTGCTGCCGGTTCTACTAGTACTAATTTATGTACATGTGCATATAGAGAGAGGGAATGAGTGCAAGAACTCGGTTTCCCAACAAAGTAGAAATTTATGGTCTTTTAAACCTCCCTAAACTGAAGGAACCCTTAACAGCCGTAAATTGGTGAATAATGAGACCACTGAGTAATTGTTAATCCTACAAAATTGGAAAAGTTGCAACATAAACAAACCAAACCCTTTTCTGGGAAACAATTTTAAAGAGTACAAATTAGTGTTTGCAAACTTTGTCTACATTTTCCTCCTACACAATAAAATGAGACAGTCGCATTCACAAATTTAAATATATTTATTTAGTTTGCCAAGCACACAAGTTCCTCTCCTAAGTCTTTTACTTTTTTCTTTGCCTTCTTTGACCAATTTTAGTTGCGTTCTCTTTATTTTAAGCTCTATCTCCATTTTCTTTCATTTCCACTTTCTTTTCTTTTCTCAACCTCGTTTGACACATTTTGCCTTCCTCCCTTTGATCCTCCTCCTCCTCCTGCGAGGTAAACGTGTCAGAAAAAGAAGGAAACGACGGCGAGTGTGTATTTATAGGGACGCCGTAAATGCGACGTGCATTTGTCATTGGAATTCTCACACGATCACTCGAACGGCATCATTCCGTCTCGGTTGGAAAATTCCTGGATGCAATTTCTTGAGAGGTTGGCGATGGGGTGACGGAAATTTTTCAGCAGGGGTATCACACTTGTCAAGCCCCTGATTGAAGGGGGATCTTCTTGAGAATCATCATGAGAAGCGGAAGTGGGGGTTGTGAAGAATAACAATGAGGGTTTGGTGACTGGAGATGAATTTCAGGGTGATATTGAATTTTGTGCCCGTTCTTCTTCTTCTTCCCATGAAATGCGGGATGAGAGTAGATGAGAAAGGTGGGATTTATGTGTCCTCTGTAGCATCACACTGTGAAACTAATAGGACTGACAATTATTTGCGTCTACTAGCAATTTCCCCAAAACTGCATACCTGAACAAAATATGGGATCAGTGTGTAATTCCGAATTTTCTATTCAATTAGTCAATTGTCAAATAATGTATTCAGCTCTTCGCTTATTCAAAGCAGTAAATCAATCGTCCCTCTTTTGCCCTTGTCAGGTGAACTGCTCGTTAGAGGAGGACAAGTCTATACGTAATCCGCCTTTCCAGCTTTTATATTTGCAAAATTCTATTATTTGAGGCAGGTAATAAATGAGTTTCAAACCATTTGAAACGTGACCAATTCCTCCACTGGTGTCATGTCAGTAAATCACGTAATTAAGGATTAGACGATCAGTCACAAGACAAATTGGGTCAGTAGGAGCTGAAGCGTGAACACAATAATATGAGATCAGCATTTCACGGCTTCATAAATAGACAACCATTTCTATTTCCTCTTCTGTGGTGGAGGAAATTTGCAAGCCCAATTATACCCTCCGCACAAAATTCCAGCGGCATGTAGAGGTTCGATCCTGTGCCAAACAGCTTCTACATTAACCAGAACTAAAGTTTTTTGGGTAGTTAATGATCTAGCCAAATATTTATTTCCATTGCATCCAACCACACAAAGTAGCAATTACACAGAAGCAAAACAAGAAAAAATCCGACAAAGATTTCGTTCCCTCACTGCTAATAAATACGTACGAGACTCTTGACGCTTCCACTAAAACTATTTCACTTACCATTGTCCAATACATCAGATCAGCGTCAAATCTCTCGAGTCAAATATTTGGCACACAATGCGTATTCCACCTCAACAACAGACGATTGGAGTTAACCCTATTTCTACAAGACAGGGACAAACATGTTCGCTTACATACCACAAAATCATTATTCACGTCACTGGTTAAATCCATGCAGCCGTTCATAAAAGTATCGGTACATAAACACATAAGTTAGTGGTCGTATACTGCAAAGACTGCAAATAACAAGATGGTGCTAATCCAAGTTGTGTAATAGCAGTTGTGTGAATTTGAGATAAATGTGGGGTTGCATAAGGAGAAAGAAGTGAGTGTACCCAGTCCACTCCTCAGTCAGTTTAATCAGTCGTAGTGGTGCATAATTCATGGGTGTGTGTGTGGATCTATCATCGACTTGAGAGTAAAAGATAAAGGATGTGATGGATATCGGGGGGCTTGATGACACAATAACGCAAACAAACCACCGAGTAAAATGCTACTTGGAATGTGAAACTCACGTCGTTGTTCTGCTTGAGCTGAAATGCGAGGAAGAAAGAGTGGATGGATGTATGTGGTCGCTTATGCAAAGTATTAATTTGGCCCTTTGTTTTAAATATTTGATGCGCTTTTAGAGCTGAGGTGAGACACCTCTTCAGACCGAGTTTTGAACCGGAACATTCCATTAGTATGGAGTAGTCGTAGTAGGGGAAGCAGGACGAGTAGTGTGGAATATGCAGCAGAGGTAGGTGGGTTAGACGGGGCATTAAATTTTAAAGTACTTAAACTGCCGAACTCGCATGCGACCGATCCATGAAATGAGAGGACGAAGGAGCATTAATGTAAGCTTGTGATGTATGTCGAGTCTTAAATATATTTATCTGATAAATCGCCATTTGTCCTGCTCCTTGGCATGTTGTTCCTCCTCATAGTTTCAAACTTGATGCTATATGTGTAGCCACATATGTAGTTGTCGTACCAAAATATGCAGAACGTACATACTCTTTTATACTCTTTGATCACCGATTCCAACTCATTTTTAAGTTGTAAAGTGTTTCCAACTCTACTTACTGCATGGGAGGAAATAATATTTACTTTACTTAAGCCTACTTTATTTTACGACCTCGTAACTCAAAAGTTTAGTGAAACACATGGTTTTGAACGGTTCGATAGGACAGCGTTAAATTAACTGAAGCGTGTAAGGCAAATCGTCGAGAAAGCTGGCTGGATGGTTCCCCTCATATTCGTGCCATCCCTCCCACTGTTTTCCCTGTTAACTTGCCAATGGAAATTTCTTAAAACCATTTTCGTAAACTTCCCATTTATCTAGTTGGCTTCAGCATGGCGAGCTCCTTAGATAAGTAAAATTAAACCTCAAGGCGAATTTTTTTTCAACACATTTTGTGGGTCACACACGTTCAATAAATCAACATTTGTTCAGCTGTAGCAAAATTTCTCATCAGTGCTTCTAATCCTAACCAAACCTATCGTTGAATACGAGGAGCATATATGTTACAGAGTATTTAATTAATTCAATATTATGTTTGCATCAATTTAAGAGGGAATCTAATCTTGAGATCGAGAATGTTGTAAACTGAGATGAAAACAAACATACAGCGGACGGGACAGAGTGTGGAAGTTCCAAACTTTGAAACTTCATCGTGGCCATATTGAGCAAAACTTGCGAAACAACAATGCTCTCTATCTCTCTCTCTCTCCTCCTTCTCCATGAATTTCCATTCAATCCACAAACAAAACAACAAAGCCGACAGGATCAGAGTACTTCAACTAAAATCGAGTCTGGCCAAACTCTAAAACTAAAGTGAAAGCAAGCGATCTTATAACACGCAGACTTGGAGAGCATATGTACAGGAACGAATAAACTGCCAAGCTTTCGGGATTCTGCATGCTTGCTCTCATATACATGCATACATACAGCTACTATATATGCTAGATATATGTACCACAGCTACATATACGTATTGTGAGAGGAGGAAGAACAAACGAATCCAATTTGAACGGATGGATTCCAAAATGAGCTCAATCCATTATGTTAGATCCGCTGTGCAAATCTAGCCTGAAAGTAGGGCCAGCTTCTGCATAGCTTTTATTATTATATGTACATATATAACGCTAAATATACGGTGCAGATATCATCTTCCCATTATTAGATCAATCCAATATTAAAGAAAAATTCTGGCGTCCTGAGAGGAGGGGAGAATTGCATAAGTTCTCACCGTGTTCATGAAAAAGTTCCATGTTCCAATCACTCAGATTTCAAGTCTCTCATTTTTTTAAATAAGGATAAAAGAGCCAAATTTAAATCAGACCATGGAGTGGAAATTTCAATCAAATTCATGCTGAAATTCAAGACTCGGGCTTCTCGCGTCGCTGTTCTTTTCACTAAAAATGAAGGATACGATTCAGATGAGAATAACGCATTTGCTTGCATTATTCTCCTCCTGCCGTTGATGATTCCCGATTTCACCATTGCCTTTCTCTCCTCCTTTCTCGTCTCGTCTCTCGTGTTCACTTGGCTGTATTTCCATTGTACTTGAACGTTCTCATTTTACTTTCCTCCGTTCCTTCGTGTCTCACTCCTATCACATCACTCGTTTGCCTCACTCACTCACTCCACTCATCCAATCCAGAGAAAGAACCGGAATATGTTCCATGTGAAAGCCAACAACATTCAATTCGCTCTACGGCGACGGGATTTTGAAATTCAGAATATTTCTCCGGCTACAATAGAATTTTGATTTCGTTTGTATTATGATGCCTGCGCCATAGTGCTGAAAATGCGTCTTGTAGTGTATTGCTTTATTATGCCGGTATTGTAACATGTTTCGGTCTGTGAGATTTATATACGAAAAAACTAATGTGAGCATTAGGATATTTTCTTAAAGGTATCATTCTGTTGGGGAACTAGTTGGGCATTTTATTCCAATATGGTACACGCCCAGACGTGTTATTCAGTAAAATAAATACATACATATCAAAAATAGAATTGAGTGGAATTGTACATTTCTTGAAACAACGAATCCATCGTGCTTTGCCAGGTGACATAACCAAGAGCAGATAGATGAAGAAGATCTGCCGTGTAGAGGTCAGTGTAGAAGACGCCATCGCCAGCGTAGAAAGAATCTCTCATGTTCAGAAAACGGACAGAACTGCCATTGTCTAAAATGGAAATCATTCGACTAACGTTTTCAGTTCGGTTAGTGTTAGCAGCATTGTTTCGTGGGAGAACTCCCAAAAGAAGTAATTTCATGTCGGGAAGTTGAGACCGAAGAGTGTCAACGATGGCAGAAATCCCTCTAGCAATGTCACTATCAGTGTTAGCTCCAAGATTGTTGGTTCCTAGTATATTATTAAATTTAGTGCGTAAGACAGAATTGTGTTTATGATTATTTTAGTAAAGGACAGCCTACCAATTTTGAGGACACAAATTTTTGGATTCAAGTTGGTAATTTCGCCATTGAGGATTCGCCATAGGACGTGCTCAGTACGGTCACCTCCGATGCCATAGTTTGCCGCTCCCAATGGAGCATAATGCTGATTAAACGTAGGAAGGCCGGTATTTCTCCACGCGTCGGTGATGGAGTCTCCGTAGAAAAGGACAGTAATGTTATGCCCGTTATTTATGCTATTGTCGACAAACCCCTGGTGTCGATCGAGCCAAGCTTGGTCACGAGGCTCTGGGATCCATGGAACTCCTGCGAAAGCGACTGCCACCAGACTTAGGATAATAATTGCTTGCATTTTGCTTATCAGCTTGCTCATGTGGAATGTAAACGGGTGTGACGAAGGAGGAATGTGACCAGGAATTGGACACCGTTTTCTTTTTATAGGAAACCTCTGCAACTTTTCCAACGTCATTCGAAATGAATAGATTATGTATCTTGAATCACAAGACAATCGTCCAAAATTATCTCAGGCTAAATAATTAAATAGGTTATGTTCTAATGATACTCGTGTTATCATCAAGAGGAGGGGATCGTGACAGGTGGATCTCCAATTCATCATCCACTTCACAGTCGATTTACGCAGAGGGATAATATCTGACATATGGGATCAAGTTGTAACTAAATTTAGCACCAGTGGAATTCAACCAACATGGGCATGCACAGTTGTAATGTTGTTGATAACCCAAATTTTTGATAATAATTTTGTTTACGTATGAAGAGGTGTGCCATTTATTTGGGATTACATGATTAATCAAAATTGGTTATACCAACTACTTTAATTTTGCATACAAACAATTGACAATTAGTGACTTATGTTTTTATTATATACAAAACGAAGTATACGTATCTAACGGTCTTATAAAGAATGATGGGATGCCCAAGAGGTTAAAGTAATGAAATGATCGCCCTTCAAACCCTGCGAGTTCATCCATGCAGTCATGTGGGGGTAATCCTCAAGTTGAAGAAAGCGATACCGAATAGTGCGCAGAGCACATATAAATCCAAATCGTTATATATTTATCATTGTTGTTGCGTCTTGCTAAATCGGGTTGACTTTTGTTTCAAGTCACAACCACAGTCAAGAGCTCCCCGAAGCAACATTTGCCAGTCATTCCAAAAATGCAGTGACGCTAGAAACTTGTTCTCAAAATATTGATAGAATATTTTCATTTATACATAAGTACGTTCGCAAATAAATATTCTGTTATTCATATTTTTGTGGTTTGCATTTAATGCACACTCTAAAATCTGGTCTTTGTAAAATTAACTTAAAAGTAATGCATTTAAGTTTTCATAACTTTTACTTTACATTATTTCACTGGATGCAGCAACAAGGTTGTAAAGCAAAGGGGACGACATTTTCCTAGCTCATGATGATGTGGGGAGTGTATAACGTGCAAATGTTGTTTATCGTGTGGTACTTGGACATGATTTGTTTTGACCATCAAATGTTTTGTTTGCACATTCACTTTTCTCCACGCCAAGTCCCCAACGAAAAGGAAGAGTGGTCGTCGTTCCCAATGCACCATCCAGAGACCCATAAGTAAACTCTTTCCCCTTTCAACTCTCGCTAAAAATTTCCCGTGGGAATTTCACCCAGTCGCTCGCTCTCAGCTTTCTCCAACTCCACCACCGCCATCACTTTCCCCTCCACATATGCCACCATTCTCTCTTGTAACCAAAAATGGTATTGTTATTATTAGTGTACTATTGGGTCGTACAAAAGAAACGAGAAATACTCTCTGCAACAAATTATTCAGTGATCACGTTCTAAATTGTCCTCTTGTAAATCTAAATCTAAGACGGGATGGAGTCAAACAAATTTTACTCCAACTAAATAGCATATTTACGATAAAAATTGATGGCTAAAAACTCACTGCTTACTATTTTCTCAACTCTGAATTGATGATTCAACAAATAACATAATTTGCCTTGCTTGGCAGCAAGAATCTCTCTAAAACTTTGTGGTTTTGTGGTATTTACATAACTGCAGGTAAAGTTTTCGCTTTATACATAAATATGTACCTGTCTGCACTCTTGTGTTATAATTTTGATGATGAGAAATGCTTTGAATGTGCACCCACATTTCCTCTCTGCCAGGTTTGTTTACGTAACAATGGAAGTTTGCACACTTTTCAATGTCAACATTAAATTGACTACCCCATTTATTTTATTATATTTTTCTATTCAGTTTTGACCAAAATGCCACACCTAAACAAGTCAACAATGAAAATCTTCCTGCTTAAATTGTCCAAATGGATGGAACCTACATTCAGCATGCTCGGTAAAAATGGTATTATTTTCAAATTTGAGATTGCTTGTGTTGTATTGCGTACATGTCCATTTTGTGCGCATTGTTAATATTTATCTCGCCTCGCTTTCTACTGCCAGTTGTGGATAAATGTCAAGGAATCAAAGTCCGGAAATGAGAAAAGTATTGCTTTGCGATGCATTGTATTGCTTTTTCTCGTTCAACGGGACAAAGATTTGCATTGGGTTGACGATGAGATGGGTTTTATCATTTGATCCCACTCCCCTTCCTGTTGGGAGGCGGGTTTGACTTGATTTATGGAAAAATTCTGGGGGCGGAATGTTACCAACCAAAAACCAACAATAAAACATGATGCCATCCAATGCTGCCCTTACAAAGGAAATTCATTTTCAGCCTACGCCACGACGACAACGACGATAAATGCACTTGAGTTTATCGCACTAGAAAAATTCAAAAAGCAACAACGTCGGTTGACTTTGGCTGTGTTGAAGAATTTTACCATCGCCAGCAAATAACTCTCTATGCTGATACATATATCTACATTATATGTAAGCACTTGAGTTTAAAGAAACCGAAGCAGTTAGTTTTCTACTAGAACAGAACCAGCACCACAACTAGCGTTCACCACGTTTGTTTGTGACTAGAGAACTTTTCTTGAGATAAGTCACGTTTCGGTTGGTGACAAGTTTTCCGGGGAAAACAATAAAAAATTATAGAAATGCGAGACTCAAGATACAATGGCACATCCACTTTAATTTCGTACTTCGTATATGCCGTGGATGTTTGTAGTATAAAGATTCACATGAGTTGGAGTTTGGAAAAAAATTCAAGTAAATTTGTTTCCCATTTCAGATTTAATGCCGAGAAGGGGAGAATTTCACACATGTTGCAACAATGTGATATGCCTGTTTTGATCTCTATTTGCTTACCATCATCATCATCATCATCATTGTGCCGTGTTTTGTAAATATCTAAGTTAGCACGTGTACACAAAGGATCCAATAAATAATCTGGTGAAAGTAAGAGGACTCACGTTTTCATTAAAAACATTAAAATCCCCATGAGCTCGTCCATGACTCGGCCCCACCAACTTCCTGACTCTCCTGATGCTGCCGCTGCTTTGACGGAGTGGAGAAAGTCTGGGCAAATTGGGCCCCAAGTCTTCCGGAGGGAGTGGGTGGAACTGGTGCTGGATTTGTGTGAGTTGGTCCAATCTTCTGTTTTCTAGTTGGTTGAGAAGCACCAAATGGACGAGTTGCAGCACGGCCACAACTGCGACCAGGCAGGCAACAAGACGACTGAGAAAACTCGACATCACTTTCAACCACTTTTGCTCCTTCCTTCCTTCCTGGACAGCTCTCGAACCTACTAAACCAACGGCAAGGAGGCAGTCGAGGACGAGGGCGAAGAAGAATGATCTTTCCAAGGCATCATCTGCAGTTGACTGTCAGCCTCTTCTACTGCTTCACGCTGGAATAACCGAGTGTTGTTGGACAACAAAGCACTTACTCGCGGATGATGTCGATTATTACAGGAACATCAATTCCATTTCACATCCAGTTCATTCAACACTTCAAACACTCACTTGGCACTTGCGTCTGTTTACATAATTTGTCACCTGCCACTTGTTCCCCTGAATGGGGTGGATCACTTAAGGAGACCGTACATATATAAAGGGATACACATATATTCTTACTTAATTCCGGGTGGGGGTTATATGCATGGAGTTGCCTCTCTCTATGTATTTAGCAGCGTATGTAGTGGTGACGATAATGAATTGGACAACTCAAGCTCACAGAAAATCAATAAACGATTTTGGCATCTCTGTCATTACGGAGAATTCGGTTCATCTGCAAAATGAATGAGTAACACATTATTGTTTGGAAACTTTATTATTAGTAAAATTCAGTATGGTCGATAATATGCACGTTATACATACATAGGATTTTTAATTAGCAGTAAAACCTTGCAATTTATCATACATATTCCAAGTAAACTCGTAAATATTACATTAAATTTCGTTTTCCGCATCATGGAATTGGTGAACGTTGAGAGAGAATGAACAAGGAAGTGGGTGAAATGATGCCGATCGTATTACAGCCCCAGAACCCATCACATCAGATGAATTCAAGTAACGATGATGATGATAATAATGAAATGGATCGAGATGAAACCTGGCTTTATTTTATTGTTCTCTGGTCCACGTAGTCGTCGACTACCCAACAAAACGACCTAGATTCAAGACAGATAGACGAAAATAATGCATTCACCCAATCCACAAAATCCGTCTATTCATCGGCAGTCCTTACACGAGAGATGAGGACGCATCATCATCTATCTTGTATCCTCATCCACCCCATTGTTTTCCTCACGTAATGGTGAAAGGAGTAACAGTTTTGGCATAAATAGTTGTTATTTTGACAGCTTCAATTTCACATCAGGGAGCCAATTTGAGAACTCAGTATCACAAAAGACCAGAACAAAATCACTTTCACTTTATTTGATGACATGGCTAACTGCGACCAGCTGGACATGAACATTCCGAGAGATAGAAGTACAACATGGGATTAAATTGCGCTCAAGTGATGTCAGTCCAATAATGTTCTTTCCATTAGGTACCAGATTGCAGTGTATTAAAGCCAATTGCACATTTATATTTATTTATTGGTCGTGGTCACCCTTCTCCGATCCTGATTGGAGAAAGCCACGACGCTAAACCAGCCACGTTTATATAAGTATATGCACAAACTACATTTAAAACATGACGTACAAATCTATTTTGATAGATATTTTGATCATACTGAATAGTGTATATTGGGCAGCAATTCTTGTTCCTTCACCTAAATCAGCAAGATCAGGAAATGGTTGTGCAAAACAAATTTTCCGAAAAAGTGAAAGCTCCAAGTTTCAATAAAAAATTGTGCCTAATGCTTTCACTTTTCTCTTCCGTATTCTAATCGATTCTTCATATCGAAACCATCCGTACATGCAGCACTGTCATAAGCCTCCTCCTACTACAAATTGGCTGGGGCATAAAAGCCCCTTGTCTCAAATATGTAGGGAGCTGAACCAACAGTAAACGCGACTGTCAAGAATTTCTGCCTCGCCAAATAAAGCACTTTGAGGAGAGAGAGACGACGACAACGACGGATGGACAAAGCATCTTCTTTGCTCATCTTTCCCCTTATGCCATTCCGATTACTTATGGATGAGAAGCCAAAGACAAGGACAACTGAGCTGGCAAATTCTTCTTCTTGTGAATCTCGTCCTTCGTCTTCTTCTGGCTTTCTCTATACATACGTAGGTATCACTTTCCCCTAAACTCTGTCCCAGACGAACGATGGCCAAGTGTACATAAATGTGATAAAGAATGCAAAAACCTAAAATTTATTCCATATCTTTATCCATCCTCCTACAGGCAGACTTACGCCGAGAAGAAGGAGGGAGTAGTAGCGAGCGAATCCATGTATGTAACTTGTTCGAGATTCAGTCAGAGGCGAATTGCCACAGCTTCAGTAGCGATGAACAAGCTAAAAGCAGGCTGGCTCAACGTGTAACCTGCAACGGAGCCCGATACCCGAGGGGGTTCTAGTTGCTTCCCTGCTCTTATTTTTGTTCCTGCTTTTAGAATATAAATCTAAATCTATTTTGTCTCTGCTTAGCTTTGCCATTTGCCGGTTTCCTCATCTTCCAAAGGGAAGTGCTTGCTTGTGGGGCTGCTTCGTTGTGTGAAATAGATTCTAGAGATATGTTTCACATAACTGAAATATCGGATCTCATTTTATGGGAAGCAGAGGAAACTTTGTTATTCAGTAGAAGGTTGTTGGTTGGCACATGGTGTACATATTGCACACGGTGGGTTGCAAGATGTGAGACGAAGCAAGGTTTCAATTTGAGATAGATAAACCAAGAAATTTAATATTCTATGAATTATTGTAAATATGGGGTTGGAGAAATAAGAGGAAGAAGGGTTCGTGTTAGAAAAGTAAAGTACATGTTCGCCAGCAATTTGGATGATGTGTTGTAGTCGGAAGGAAAAGAAGGGAAAAGAAAAGAAAATGGGCAAATGTCAGCCTCAGCCGCTGTCGTCAACAGGGGCGAAGAAAAAAGTGGAAGAAAGTTGCAGTTTGAACATGCTCTTGCATGCGATATGCTGCATTATACGTTCGTTTTTTTTTCAGAGAATTTTATTTTAGCAGCTCGAATAATACGTCCATGTTGCACAGACGACAGTTTAGTCGGTGAGTGGGTGCTGGATGGAAGTGTTTGCAAATTGTTTACAACATAATTCTATCCGGAGCAAAAGTGTAATTCGTATTCCAATTTGTTACATGGGAAGTTACACAATTGCCCAATTAGAAACTGAGATAGAGGGTGAAATATAGATATCGGAATGAGTGTGAAAACGGGCAGATTTCGTGATTTGCATACGAAACTGCTGCTCTAACACTGCCCGTTTATTCAACAGCTTTTGCTAACAATAATACGCGTTACATACGGTGGTTGTTCCGCGGCGTATAATAATAATAAGCAAGTACAGCAATTTTCCCCCTTTCCTCTCTCTCTCTCAACAAAATGTTACTTTCGCAATTACACCATGAGCGAATGCATAGTGAACTGTTGTTTGCTTCCTGGAATGGGACACGTTTTCTCTTGTATCACAAGGAATGAAATACGTGTCGGTATGTAAATGTCGCCTTTGTATTTTCTACCAAATTCCGCACTGCCATCCGGAAAGATTTCCCAACAACCCCATGCTCGGGACACAACACATCCTTGAATGCATGCAACTTTCATTTGCAACTAACTACAAATTTTCGTCTTGCATATCAAATAAAACAAAAAGAAACTTGCTCGCATCGTCTGCATTCTAATGTCGCAACGTATTGATTCGTATTCGCTCCTATGCCTGACGATAATACACTTCAGTCTTCCATGAAATTCAACACACATTCGTTGAATTCATGAATCATGACTCAAGGGGAGACAAATGAAAAGTAAAAATTGCTTTACTTACGAGGTTGATATTTTTCCGAGGAGATCGAAAGTCAAGTACATACAACGTGGAAATGTGAGAACTTGCATTCGTGAGAACCACATGTACAGTGCAGTCATTTATGTCCAGTGCAATTTGGCCAATGTTTAATGTTCACTTTAACACTTGCCTCTTTCCCATTTAGATGTGGATTCAAACTCTGCTCATGGGTGTATTTGTCTTCCCTTTTATTTTATTTTATGACAATGGCGACAATCCAAATCCACTGCTGCTGGAGTAGTCCTTGCCACGTACCATAATGCAATAATGGGCACTGTTAGGAAATAAACTGTGATGATTATTGCTTTCCAGTTCACATTATTCTGGCGTAGGGATAATTTTTCCCTTCTTCAATGCAATTAGACGACTTCCGCCTCCACTACGGAAAAAGGATCTTACTGACGGCGTGAGTGTGTGTGTGTGAAGTTGTTTATCGGAAACAATTTATCTTTTCGTTGACAGATCTACACGTTTTTCCTTAAACTTTCCACACTGATTTCAAAAACAGATACGAACTCTGGAGAAATGAACTGTTTCGTTTTTTTGACGTACAAAAAGAAGTAATTTCTCGATAAATGATTTCTCACTCGCAAGTTCTCCACACAAGCGAAAAAACAGACAGAGTGGGAAGGATGGCTTATTATACTTTTTCTCAAGTAATGCGACGCTATATGGGACGCAGCGTGAGAATGACAGTGACGAAGAGGAGAAACACCCGGTTGCTTCGAGAGCGTCGGATAAAATGAAGACTTCTCCGACCAGGAGTCTTCTTTTGAAGCGAGAATTCTGGGGGAAAAGGGAAACTAAGGTTCCAGAGGAGCCAGAAGAACGTAAACGTGTATGAAAACTCTCGACAAGCAGACCTGCACTATTTACTAGCGAGTTGGGTGAGTTGTGCAGTAGGAAACGGTAGTTGAATTGAATCGAAACCCCGAAAAAGTCCGACTCTCTTCTCTCCCACCTCATGGTCGTGTCGGATGAAATGAAAACCGGCGAGAGTAGTATTTTGGAAGACTTTTGCTTTTTGCCGTCGAGGACAAGCACTAAAGCTACAATACCGTAGTTCCTCTACATGTGCGTGTATCCTTGTTAAAGTCTTCCTCCTCCCAAGTCTGTACGTCTTTTCTGTTGTGGGACTAATTTAATCTGATGTATGCATTTTGTATAGCGCTTTACACCCCTTTCTTACTTGCCCAAGTGTGTGTGTGGTATGGCAAAGTTTGGCCAGAGGGTGGTGTCGCAGCAGATACAGCTCGGCTCACTTTCATACTTCTAATACGTGTACAAGTTTATCTAAGAACGTGAGAACGCAACGAACGACGACACCGCCCGTCATCCGTCTATTTTTTCACGGACGCTTAACCTAAGGTTCCTTTCATTCATTGGAACCACTTACCATAATTTTCCTGCTGCCAGGATGAAATCAATACTGTCATCCTTTGTTTCATCAAGTTTCGGAAGGCTTAAATATATGGCACATACTACTGCTGCCAAATGTTGATAATGTTGGTTTCGGCAAGAACAAACATGTTCATAAATATGCAACATTGAGTTGGTGTAATACGAATATCTACTGTTCTGAAAGTACCACAGTTTTATTATAAGCTTTAATGGGAGCAACACAATAGTATGCATACTTTTATATTGTAGTTTTTGATAGTAGACTTTCTGCAAAATTCGCTTATTTAAAGCCAAAAAAAATCATGAAAATGATGTCAAAAAATTTACATTTTTGTGGCACACAAGGCCAAAATCCGTCTGGGAAAAAGGGAAAAGTTAATTCTCTTGAAAAGTGAAGAAACGGCGACAATATTTTTTATTTGTCGTCTCCAGACCCCGCATTTTTTTCACCGCATGGGAGACAAGGTTCTGAAGATTGTGCTTTTTCTGCAGAATCTCCAGTGGGCTGAGGAGCAGCATACTCTTCGGTATTGATGTCATTCAGTCCGAGCTCTTCATTTTGCTCAAAAGTTCTTTCGTAGTCCACAACCTCCATGTTTGGATCTGCAGGCATCGTAATAGGCAAAGTAAAATATGAATATGCATATGTAGGTGAATAAAAAAAGCTATCTCTTACCATCATCCGGGGCATAGATGTTCTGGAAAGAAACGCATTTCATTACTTTTCTCCGTTTTTATAACCGTCTAACCTTTTAGCACTTTCACTTTCCGGCAAGCAAGCCAAAGGAGCCAAGACAAGCCAGCATCATATTGTACATGGCTTGCAGCAGAATAGCGGGGGTAGCAGTGAAATGGAAACGGCAAGTTCAAAATCCAAGCCAAAAGAAGGATCGTAAAACTTGACAGCCAACAAGCAACCCAACAACAATTTCATTTTCACCAACCCCAAAGAACGAACCACACAGAAATAAGCCGAGTAAGCAAGTCGATACCGCAACCATTTCATTTCATTGCAGAACATTTCAACTATTTGCAACGAACCGACACCACAACATAACAACTGGAAGTAAATTGCAAAGTGCAAATTCAACAACTTTCTCTGAATTTCACACCAACACATCCGTCCGAACCACCCTTGTCGTCGTTGTTGTACAATAATCAACTACTATATTACTACGAACACTCCAAACATGCATACTCTGGGTTTATATTGCTCATAGTCGAGGCAGGAAATCATGTCGAATTATGTCAAGGAATTTACCATTTGCATAACATGAAAGCAGTCTACGAGCCAAAAGCAATAAGATACTTCACAGCTAATGCGAGATAGTTTAGACTCCAGAGATCAATATCAAAGTGGTGAGCAGAGTAAGAATTCACTTAAGTAAAACTAAGGAGACGAGGAGGAGAAGAAGGGGGATGACTGGCTAACCTGGAGGTAAGAATTCCCCGCAGGGTCATCAAGAATAACAGTGAAAGGCACTTGAGCTGAAATCAACTGATCCAATTTTTGGCAAAACTCGTCCATTTTCTTTTGCATCTCGGGCCCAGCACTGTCACCGCTGATTAACGGGTTCTCCTCTTGTAGTCGCTCTTTCATACTGCAAAGTAGACCTGGAAGCAAAGAACACAAAACAGTTTCAATTACAATACCCTCCTCCAGCTAAAATAAAACCAAGTACACAAAACTGCAATATTGGGAACCACTCTTTTGCCACCACCTTTTGAGGTTGCTTCATAATGATGGCACTTTCACTACGTTCTCACGCCAAAAGCCCAATATAGCATCCATCATTCCACTATCTTCATTCCGCCATCCGATGAGTTTGATTCATACTTGCAAAGCATAACTATAGTGTCCCATCGACATTGCCTTGGCAAGCTACTGTCCTATCACAAGCTGTGTAAGGATAGACTATCGAGGGAAGCCTTTGAAATTCGCTTTCACCAACCACTTTGTGTGCTATGTACAACAGGATGGTGTTATATTAAGAAATGTACGTGCAAATGAGGGAAATCGGTTTTCCTTTTCAAACTGAATGCAGAGTCTCAGCAGCCCAGAAGAGAAGAGACCTTCCGAGGGTGGGGAAGGAGTGTAATAATTTGAGAAACTCGACACCAGCAGCAGAGGAGTGAGGAAGAGATAAGTTCATCTTCGCATCATATCCGAGTAATACGAGAATAATACAAGAAGTAAACTTTCCCTGCCTCATTCATCCTCCAAATTTCTGGTCTTCTTCATCATCATCACTATACGTAGTGGTAACATGGATATGATGATGATGATGATCATCATCACCCATCCAACCAACCAACTACCATCCCATCATCAACAACAAACACAATGAAAATTACTTACACTTGGGATCCAAGAAGATAAATCTCTCTCTCGTCGGGTAAATAGCAGTATGATCAATGAATGTTAGCATATATATGTGTGTGAATGAAGTGCAGAGGGAGTGAGAATAACTATGTATGTACAACAACTACCAAACCAAAGACTCTAATGCAGCAACTATACAAAATAATAATAATAATAATGGGGAAGTAGAATGGAAAAGCAATCGAGACGGAGAACAGACTCTGGAAATAGAGGAGGAAGTAGAGAGGGAGAGGCTGTAGCATAACGGAGGAGAGAGTGTCACTGACTTGAGGAACTAAACAACACTCATAAAATGAATGGGAGTGAAAGTAAGTGAAAGCTGGTAGATTTAGGCAATAAGAGAAAATTTATATGCAATGTATTCTGCACCATCCACGACATACACAAACATACACCGCAGTAGTACAAATGGTAGTACGGAAATATACGTGGTGCTCTGGTAATGGTTAAACTTGCCTTCCAAGGTGGTGAACTTTCCTCCAAGGATTCCTCCACCAACTTCGAAATCCAGTTCTGGAATTTCCAGACTCGCTGTTTCAGACTGTGGAGAAAATACATCATAATTAATTATCATTTTGAGTTCTGGTTTCGGTTTCAGAGGTTGAGTAAGTGTGGCCTGCCATTATAAATACAACATATTTTTGGTAACACGAAAACCAGGTTGGTTGTTTGTATGCGAACATGAAATCTGCAAGAATATTTTAACAATTTGCATGCGTTTCACAATGCTCAGTGATTTCAAATCACTAAACCGGATAATACAACTGTGTTGGCTTTCTAAGCATAACTGATTAACACAATTATTGTACAGTACTGCAACAAAAGGATAAGAGGCATGCAAAACCAAGTTGTGAAAAGGAAAGTAAAAGTAAAAATTCTATTTGCACAGATATCTCATTAAATGTTACTCAACAGATCCAGCCAGACTCGCCTTTGACTTAAGCTAGGAAGAAAGAAAGTGACTTTTTATTATTGCAGAAGAAGAGAAATAGTTGGAGTGGAATAAACTCTGCATGCTTGCCGCTTGACTCCAATATAGAGTTCTGCAAGTTCTGGTTGATGCTGCGCTGCTGTTGCATTGCACTTTACATTTTCTGAAGGAAATCCTCCCTTCTAGGCACGTCAGTCAGTGGAGAGAGAGAGAGAGAGAGAGAGAGAAATAAATAAATTCTCTGGGGGGAAGATTTCTTTCCCCCTCTCTTAGTCCTACACCAACTACTACAACGCCTACTCCTGCTACTACTACTATTTTTGGCCTAGTAGCTTTGTTGAGAAATTGGATGGAAGGAAATGGAATGTATAATTGAATGAAATAAGTTTCCACTTCCACTTGCCTTGAGAACATCTCGACATAAATCATCCACACCGGTAACTTTAAGTCCTATCCTGCGACCTTTCGCCTCTATCGCACTACCACTCTTCACTTCATTTGTTCTATAACCACAATTTTCACAGTCTGTTGCCATGATCACAACTTCTTTGAAATGAGGGATTTTTGTCAACTTCATCCTTGTCGTACTGCTTCTGCCACAAGAGTTGCAAGGGGTGTGGAACTGATGGACCTCGTCGGTCAGGTCCCCAACGCTTTCACCAGCAACTGCACCTGCACCATCATCATCACCGCCGCCTTCACAACTGGTTTCATTTTGCGTCATCTCTGGGAAATATCCAACGGAATGATTCTCTTCTGATGTTCTCTCAAACTGTGTCATTTGCAATCTGGGATCCTTGTGCCCAGGAAGAATGGATGGAGGTGGTGAAATGAAACTCTGACCACTAATGTCTCTAAGTTTCTGTAACCAAAATCAAAATGAATGATATTACTTTCAAAGTGTAAAGTAATGGCAAGGAAAAGTAGATAGTTTAAGTTGAAATTAAATCTAAATCCCAGTTTTACCAGGCTGAAAGGAATTGTAAGTGCTTGTGCGTCTCGAATGCGTTCCAAGAATTTCTGAATTTTTTCATAATCTTCCGGATGTTCCTCCTTTCTTCTGGCTTGATCTTGATCCAATCCATTATACACTCTGTCCAATATTCCTTCAAGTGTCGTGATTTCTCCTTTCTGTGTCTTTCCAGGAATTTCTAAATCTAACTCGGGTATCGAAATGGAAGCATAATCCGACTTGATTACTTGGCGATTTATGTCAACAGATTCTTCAACTCGGAGGTTCCATTCAATTCCGTGGTCTAAAATATCCCCAGCTGACTGAATTTCGTTGTTCGAATAGTGACAATGCGGACAGGAGAATGAAGAGAGGATAACTTCTTTGTAGAATGGTATTTTAGCCAAGAGCAGTTTGGTCGTACCCTAAAATCATTCATATGCAAATTTTCCTTATTACAAATTGTTCAAAAAGTGTGTATTTAGTTTACAATCAATATAGAGTAATTTAATATAGTACATTTTCTCCGCAGTTCACGCAATAACTTTCCACCTCCGTCGTTTCGTTCGCTTCGTCATCAGCACTTATGGGTTTAAAAAACTGGTCCGTTTTCTTTGATGAGGACATCCTACTTAATTTGTAATTAATCCTGAAAATTACTTCCTAATTTACGATGTTTAAAAGTAAGTATATTAGTATGCTGCACCTTACCTGCTATCAACGGAAGTACAAGAAACCACAAGGACTTGAAAAATTACAAATAAACTTTGCACTTGTCGATATTCCACCACAATCTTTTTATTTTGTGAAATGTGGAACATCTGCAGCTAAAAAAAACAGCGAGCACATTCGAGAACTTTCCCGGGTCGGAGTTGCACGTGTATCAGTACACCCTGAACCCACGCTTCACTTTTGCATGAAAAATATGCATGCAAATTAATTATGAAGTATTTAGGTATTTAAAAATGACATTCGCTTGAAATTAATTTATTGAATCCGAATTTGGCAAAATGACAATAATTTCAATAATTTGTAATAAATGATTTAGTTATTTTTGTCCCGTGATTATGAATCGGGAGACAGCTTGAATAGCTGCGAACGTTTCTTGAGCACATGGGATAATTTGATCAGGAGGGAGGACAAACCCGTATCGACCGGTATCTCTGACCTCGACGGTCTGACTGTAGCGAAAAATCCCAGAGCCGTACGCCCAGTCGTCACTTCCCCCACTTCCAGGAGCTATCAAATAAACCGTTAAAGTTGTAAGTGACGTATTCCTCCGATTTATTGTAAAATTAAAAACTCACTCAACAATTCGGTGACGCTGCCAACATCATACCGTGTCCCGTGAATGGAAGTAAGCGCACTTGCGCCTACGTTACCAAATTGGATTAATTCTTCGTACGTTGGGGGCAAGTCGTACGTCCATCCCCACGGGACTAACCACATTTGGGCCTCAAATGAATTAATTAATTAAAAAATAACCAATCTCCCCAACAATATTTTCATTCCTTTTATCTTAACTTTTTTATACATAGCTGTGAACTGCAAAATAAGCCACCCAGTTTACTCCTTGTTCCAATTTCCGTTCGACAAATTCCTTAATGCCACGTGTTTCTGGTTCCGACCAAGGTTCCGGTCCTCTGTAGATATCGGAACATTTGTCTCCAGAACTTCCAGGACCACCCCATTCAACCTCAAAATTTCTGAAACGATAAATTGTACGAGATTTTTATTTCTCGTTTCAATCTTTCAATGTTAAGCTTAATTATGAAACCTGTTTGGATCAACTCCCATGCAACCCACTGGAGAATTCTGATTAGACCTTGTTTTCCTCCAGAGTCGTTGGTTCGTGCGAGTAAATTCATACCCATCAGGATTGGCGATTGGAGTAATGTAAATGTCCAAGCCATCTAAGATATCTTGGTTTTCTGCTTGATTTTCCAGGAGCTATTACATCAAATTGAATGTTAAATGAAAAATTTATCAAAAGAACATGAAAAATACCTCTCGCATAAACCAGGTCACTATGGCTGGACTAATCCACTCCCTGGCATGCATTCCTATTCACAAAATAAAAGTTTATGCATGGATTAAATTTGTCACACCTAATTTGTAATCCCACTTAAGGTACCTCCATCCATGAAAAATGCAGGTTTCACTTTTCCAGATGTGTCGTTTCTTCCTATTTTGATTATATTCAAAGGTCGACCTTCAGTACTAACTCCATAGTTCTCCACTGTGGCCAGGTCAGGATAGTCGGCAGCCAAACGATCCACAAAGGTCATAATCTTTTAATCATAAAATAATTGGTTACAGGAGCCATAGGTCATTGTGATCATTTTCAATGACCTCGTTACCGTGTCGTATCTGTGATAAACATCCCAGGTCATTTCGTCATCTTGTTGGATCCCAATAACGCTTCTTGCTTGTTCTGAAATGAGCTCTCCAACGTCCGGAATTGAGACTTCGTGCTCAATGCCATGCTCCTTGAGGTACAACTTCACAGAAGAAAGGTGCTGTTGTGGAACATAAATGTCCACCGGATGCTTTGTGGATGGTTCAAGCCAAAAATCAACTTTGAAGTTCAACGTCTCGAGAATGCTGATGGCTTTAAGCTGGGCCGGTGTTGAAAGTTTTACTCGAAGGAGTTGGGCTCTGTAATAAAATTATGGTTAGTTTCATAGACGCAAATTACGACTAACAATTAGTCGTTCTTACCCTTCATAGCTCTCTAGGTTTTCAGCTGCGGCTGTGTAAACTGCTGCTAACGCGAGTAGCAGCATTAAATACTTGGAAGACATGATTAAATGTGTACTGATTCAAATGTTTCTAATTACTGACCAGATCACCAGACCTTAATTTTGGTTTATTTGTTGAGTCTAAATAGGTGTCAGTGGGCATGATCGATTATCCACTAATTGGAGGTGAACCTAATCTCGTGGTAAATTTCGACCAACTTGGAAAAATCCACGCGTTAATCCCAGAACTTACATAAAAGCTCGTGCTGATATGCATTCACGCCACTGAGAGATCAACACATTAAACAAACGACTTTTGATATCAGCGTTACAAAGTTAAATGCAATTATTATTTATTTCCAGAATATTTGCAACAAACATAAGTACACTTGATTGATATGACAGTAAAACTGTCCAGATACACTGTTTTATATTATTTACGTAAGTACGTATGAGCTAGTTGAAAATGAAATGATTAAAATTAGGAGAACGTGTTTTCCGCCAGTATCCAAATCCAGTATCTGGAACCAAACCTGTAACAACGCCTCGATGATCTTTCCAATAAGAACCACAATCTTCCGACCACACCGTGTTTTGAACTTGTGACAAAACCCTTTCCATGTGCTGCTTCTCTGCATTTTCGTCGACGGTGACGACGGAACTATTCCGATTGATCACTTCTTGCAAAACTTTAGCTATCCAATTGACTTGACATTCAATGGAGAAAATGGCTGATGTATGCCCAAGTGCCTGCAAATGAAAAAAAAATGCTTATCAGGGTTGAATGCCAGAAGGGGGGATGTGAAACATTACAAAATAAGATAAGGATTGAAGGTTTACATATCTATGTGGATAATAACATTTGACTCACAGAATTGGGTCCGATGACGAAAAAACAGTTTGGGAGAGTGGAACTTGTCATTCCCAGATACGACGAGGGTCCCTCGGACTTCCACAACTTCATTATGTTCACAGAATCCTTTCCAATAATTTCCAAAGGGCTGAAAAATTCCTGAAATTATATATGTAAATTGGTGGCTTTAATTATATTAATCGCAAGAGTTAAATATATTTGTTTAAACAAACGGACTATTCTAATGAAAATTTACCTGGACTTTAAACCCGGTTGCTAATATTAAGACGTCAATATTTTCTTCATGACCGTCATCAGTAACGATGGATCGAGGATTCACTTTAGTAATTTTGCTCGTAATGATGTTGACATTGGGTTGGCTCAACGAATTGTAATACTCATCCGATGGAGTTATCCTTTTGCAACCAATGCTGTATTTTGGAATCAATTCATGTTGCAATTTCTCGTCGTCTCTTTTGAATTCCTTCTTCAAGTAGTTTTTGCCAAGCCGTTCTCCTAAAATAAGTATTGTTTGTGTTAAGTGTTTCACGAAAATAACACAATTTCTTACCAAGTTTACTCAGGGTCGACTCCTTCATATAAATAGCATGTGACATCTCGTAAAACCTATTTTTTATATAATTTTTTATCTCCAATTAAATTCGTGTCAAAAAATCATACAAAAACCAACCAAAACAATGTCGATCGAAACGTCTTTTGAAGTCCAGGTATGTGTGCAAATGCCCACTGCGCCCAGTTTGGGAAGCTAAATTGCATACGGGGAACTACCCAAGGTGGACGTCTAATAAAATGTTTTTTATTATTTTTTAATTCTCCGTATACTAAATTATAAATTACAGATGGAAGTATGTACCGTTGATAAACAGTCAAAGTGTTGACATTGTCCACAATTTTTGGTATTATTTGTATCGCACTAGCTAAGAACAAAATGAATCATATGAAATACTTATTTAAATGAACCACGCGTCATTACTATTTATGTAAATGACCTCCAGTTCCTACAATGGCAACCTTTTTATTCTTCAACTTGATTTTGTTATCCCAAAGTGCTGAATGCATTTTTGGTCCTTTGAAAGCATCAAATTCAGCAGGAATGTGTGGTGCTCTTAATCCACCTAGGCATGATATCCTACAAGCGCTCAGATTTAATGGGAAATTCATAACTAATCAATTTCAATGTCAAAGGATATTCTTACATAATGTCAAAAATGTACTCCTTCTCAAGGCCCTTATTCTGGGTAAGGACTCTCCATTTTGAAATCTTTTCATCCCAAACACAATTCTTGACTTGATGTTTAAACTTGATTTTCTTGTACAAATCGTGTTTTCTTGCAACAGATTTCAAGTACTCGAGGATCTCAGATTGTGAGGAGAACGATTCGGACCAATCTAAAAATGACAATGAATAGAAGTAAAATCAATGTCGTCGTTGTAAATTTATTTGCATTACTCGGATTGGGTTCGAAAGAAAATGAGTAGAAATGACTTGGAACGTCGCAGGCACATCCCGGATAAGTATTTACCAACCACACTCCACCCACGTCATGTCTTTCATCAAATATGACGTAGTCGTGAATTCCTAATTGATTTTGAAGCTGAATTCCAGTGCACATGCCTGCGATACTGAAATGAATAAAGGACTGCTAATATATCTGCATATTATTAATTAGTACGTTTCACATTGTTTATTTACCCAGCCCCAACGATTCCAATCTTGAGACGACCCTCATTGCTTTCATTTTGTGACATTTTAGAAAGTTTTTATGAAAACAGATTGAAAACTGACTTTGCAGTGGGTTAACTGATCACCAATTAAAAATAATGACAAAATGGGATCGGATTTATATACAGGAGTTATTGATGTTGCATTTCACTTAAAGTATGTATTCTCAAGTGGATGAAGCCAAATAGATTGCACCAATAAATGCTGTATTTTTCAATTGCATGTCATCACGAGAGCAGGGTCAATGTCAACTATACTTATTTATTTATATCCTTCACATGAATATCTCCGCACTGGGCAAAAGGACATTTATGTATTACCCAACATTATTTTGTTGGTTGACGAGTGCAACAAAATGGATATTAACTCAAACAAGCTGAATCATTGTCGATTTTTAGCCGAAGCAATATGGCTTATGAAAATATTTCCGTCTGTCCCTACCGCAGAATTAGAGGAGTAATACTATAGGTCCCTACATACATACATATAAATTGCAATACCTCACGTGAAATTTGTCTTGCCTGAGACTTTATACGTTGCTAAAAATTGTAGATTAGGAGTCAATCTGTTAAGGATACTCATTCTCATCAGTCCACTACGTAGTTGACCAGTGAAAACTAAAAAGTTAGTTCCACATCAGATCTAAATATGTACATACACTAATAATAAAATCATATTATGATTATTTTATGTGTACAAAATTGGTAGTTGTTGGGTTGGGGAGTAGGAGGAAATCTGATAACCAATGTCGGTGGGTTGGGAAAATAGTAAGGAGGAATACGTATGACCTTTGCAATGCCAGATCTTGACGCTCTGTTGCAGGTCTATACGAGTGAGTGTAGAAAAAGTGAAGGAGGATGGTCCATGGTTATGATAAAGCAACTATCTGGGATGAAGAATATGCAAAAATTATGAAGATCCGAGCAAAATTGGATTTTTGGTGAATTTTTTCGTATGGCTAGTTTAGCATCGGGCACGCCTTCAAAGGGGTGTGGCGGGCGCACTGGGGCTCATGGACCCTAATCCGTCTTCACTTTTTCTACACTCGTATAGACCAGCAACATATCCAAGGGCATCAAGATCTGGCATTGCAAAGGTCGTACGTATTCCTCCTAAGCAGATGATTATCTCATGGGAATAAAATTGTTGCACAACTGGAGTAAGTAATTAATTAGGACTGTTTCTAGAAATCTAATCTGGGAAGACTTACTTTAGTCATAAAACTATAGATCTTTTTCTAACATTTTTTTCTACTTTCAACGAAAATTTCGTTACGAAATACTGAAGGTTTAACTGCCGATGATCCGATTCACTCCATACGCGTTGTCTGGTCTAATTCCTTCAACACTCGCAGCACTCGTTCTTCATCGTAAGGCTTTCCCACAATCTGAACTCCAATATTGCACCCAATTGATTCTTGCTTGTACTGAAAATTGCAACATTATTTTTGCACAATCGCACTAATACTAGCTTCATCTTAAAAAGAAATAACATTTGATACCTGAGTCAAGATTGAATCAGTTGTTGGCCAATGCTGACCAGATTCTTTTCCAAATTTTGTAACTCCTGCACAAAAATTTACTAAATTCCATATGTACGAGTATAGCATTGCATCTGCGTAAATTCAAATATTTCCATCTTCAAAAAATGTATTAAATAAATAGCAATTAATATTGAATGCTCGATTTGCATACATTGCAACTTCATTGACACTGGTGCCATTGCATGCGCAGATATAGCACAAAATGGGAAAACTGGGCAGAGCAACAAATCTAAATTTTCCATCTTTTCCAACAGTTCTTTTGTGAATGCTTCTTTTTCCAATTCTGGAAATTCTGCGATTTCTTGACCAAATTCAGATTTGATGTCCAATTTTCGGCAGACATACACAATCGTACGAAATACTCGACGATAGAGTGGTAAGAAAAGCAACGTTTTCCTGAGCTCGCTTACACATTCACTAATTGCATCGTTTTTAGTATTTTTAAGGAAAGATTTTGCCATCGTGTCATCTGTCATCATGCTAAACCAGAGTCTACTGTGATCAGGCATTTCAAATGGGGTTAGCGTATGACCAAGTTTTTCTAAATGAGACTTTGCTTCCATAATGACCAACGGGATGTCACCAACGGGAGACAGTTTTGTGAATTGGGTAAAGTATCCAATTCGTAGTGGCTTCCTTGTTGAGAATTTCTATAATTAATATACAAGCAAAAATGTAAAATTTTGTGGATTAGTATATGATACAGAGGATGAGTGAAATAATAATATGTGTATACTTCTAAATCCCACGGAATTTTTGGAACTCGGGGGTCCAAAGGGAATTCGTTATGATAGTTGAAAACTAGTTGATAAATGTATCCGAGATCTTCTGATCGCTTTGTCAAAATACCGGGAACGGTCGTCACTGCATGGGTAAAGATTTGCATGTAAGTAAGCCGACATTTTTGTTTACATGAGCATCTTACAATTAGGTGAACAATGCAAACATCCCGAGTCACTAATCCGGTTAAAAGTTGCCCTCATCGTTGAAAGACCACAACAATGCGCTGGGATCCTTAAAGATCCCCCACTGTCTGTTCCAATCCCAAAGTGACATCCTCCAGCGCCCACGAGTGCAGCAGTGCCACTGCTTGACCCTCCAGGACCTAACCTCTTGTTCAATGGGTTCAAGGTCTGTCCGAATATCGGGTTATCTGAACCAATCGACAGGCATGATTGTGGCAGATTAGTTCGACAGAAAGCGATGGCGCCCAGATTTTCTATAATCTGAACCAATACTGCAGATTCTTTGGCAGGTTTAAAAAGTAGTCTGGAAAGTCCACAGGACGAGTCCATTCCAATCACTGCAGTATCATCTTTCACACAAAATGGAATTCCGTGCAGGGGGCCCTTAATGTTTTCTAATTTGTCCAATTCTTTAGCCTTCTCCTGGATTGGGGTAGGAAGAATGCATATGTGTATTCAGAGGAATATACATATTTACATACATACATAGATGTAAAGAATTTTATGACTATTGTTACTAAATTACCATTGCAGCTGGCACAAATTCAGTGATACAATTCAACTCATCTTGAACTTGTAAAGATTTTGCAATAAACGATTTCAAGACGTATTCGGAGGTGACCTGTCGAGTTTCCAGTTTGTGTCGAAGCTCAGAAAAGGAGAGCTGTAGAATTTTATCATCTTCTTTCCCACTATATTGGTTTCTGAAATCATGAAACTGAATTTTACGCTCTGTTTGTTTCCTCTTCCTCAGCTCGGTAAACTTGTTCTTCTCCTGAATACATACAAACGTGTATATTTATTTAGATCAATGGTATAAATAATGATTTGTATCAATTTATGGGTGATAAGTATTTGACAATTTTATTATGTGATTTTATTACCTGCTCATTTTTGTAGAACTCGTGCAGTATATAAATTGACAAAAATGCCACGCCGAGACCAATACAACCACCCAAAATTTCCCAAGTAAATGTTCCCCACATTTAATTGTAGTACTTTTATTTAAAACTGAACGTTGAATAATGCACTTGGTGTCCAATCCTGACAAGACTCTCCGACTAAATGCGGCACAACAAAATGCATTGCAAAACTATTTATGGAGTAAGCATCATTTATCGTTTATCAATTCAATGTGTTTTTATTTAGCTACATATTAAACTTGTAGCTACATACTACTGCATGCATATGAGTTTGCTTGTGTACGTCTGCATAGTAATCAACGTGAATTTGAAGATGTGAGAATTCAAGGTTAACAAATGTGTCATACAACAAATGTATACATACATTTGTTAACAAATGTATGTAGGTTAACAAATGTATACATACATTTTTTATACGATGGTAAGAATGGCGTTTTTTATCAGTGTTTTTATGACTTTTCAAGACAGAGTTACATATTTACAATTGATGTTGTGCATGCATGTGCATGCTATTAATAATATTAGTAGAGGACATATGTTGTGGTTTGTCTTGTTTTCTTATTTATCTACAACTTTTCACACTAAAAAGTTGGCTATTTCTTTAACATCTGTTGTTTCCTAAAAATAGCTTCAATGACCAATCCCAGCCCACCCAACACCCATCCTACCACAAGTATGATAAAAACCACCCAAACATTTCCTAATTGTAACGATTTTTCTACATTTTCTCCCATTTTCGAAAGCTGTACCAATCTCTCGTAAATCTTTGAGCCTTTATCTCGTAAAACCTTTTGTCTTCCAATCTCCTTGTAATAATTATTCACCTTTTTCTCCCACGTAGAATATACTCCCGTCTCATAGAGAGCTGCCGTAATTGGAGTGAAAGCATCCACAAAAATCGAATCCTTTTGAAACGCCATGGAGAGCGAGTTGAAATGTGCAGCTTGTTTGGTGTAGATTAAGGATTCCATGCTTGAAAAAAGGGTCTGTGTGGCCGAGACCGTCTGTTTGAAATATGGAAACCATCCAATGCAAGCTGTCCGTCGTTTGAGGAATGTTTCCCTCACACAATTTTCCGTCGAAGGTTCATGTCTCATTCGGTCTCGAATCTTGACCATTTCGGAAACTGTTGTAGTTGCAAAAAACATCTTTTCCACGACGCCTTGAGCATTTAATATGATTTGAAAGTCGTTCGTATCTGCTAATTCTTTGTAATTTGATGGCAGGATTTCAGGGCTTGGGAAAGTTAAGCGAGATTTTAACGTGCTTTTATACCCAGTTCCAATAATGATAGTGAAAATAAACCAAATTGTTAGTATGGATTTGATGCCTTCAACGTCATCCACACCTTGTTCTAAGATTACGGAATACGAAGTCATAAAAGATTTCACACAGGATTCCACTATGCTGAGAGATTGGGTTTTCTTGCTCGTTTCAGATTTCATAATAGTATGGATTCTTTTGAAAACGAGGATGAAAATGGAGATGATAAAGTACGAAAAAGCTGTCCAAATCCAAACTGGTAGCTGTAACGGTTCAAGAACTGCTGTCCATTTGAGTTCACGGATGGGCCATGCGGTTGCAAAAACCAAGTCAATCGTTCCAAATGTAGAGGCGTAATCAACGTATGCAGACCAAGATGCGTCATGACCCAGCATGAAACACCAGTCGTAGCCTTGTTCTCTGCAATGTCACATATTATTAATTCGAATATATTGAACGATTTAAAAATGGATTTGCTAAAACCCAACCTGTAATAAATCATTGCATACATCCCAGTCCATGTACCGTTCGGATGAAGTTCTCCATAATTCGGCCCATCCAGCACATTAGTCTCGAAGGTAAAATTGAACACTTTAGCTGCAAAGTTAATAATTTCATAATGTGTCCCCCAAACTTTTGCATTTTCGTGCTTATCATCCCATATTTTCAAAGTCCAGGGTGGGAACTCGCAACCTTATCAGCACATAAAATCATTGAATTGAAGGCAGAAAAAATTGAAATAAAAGTTACAAAAAGTATGACATCGGACAACACCTGCAATTCGGAAGTGTCTGCCACGTATATTTATGCCCATTTTTGGTTCAGACCTAAACTCCGTAATGGGGACGAGAATTTGTCTCGAATCGTTTCGGTTCAACCCAGATGGAATTGGATTCAAGTGACATGACCATTTTAAATCGGTACCCATTTAATAGTTTCAAAATTACGGGATCTCGAATAAATTTGTCATTTCCTGAAAATAAAATTAATCGGTCCCACCGCCTGTTTGCTGTCTCAGAATGTAAGTGATTTACGGCACAGTTTTTACTCTCTTCATCAAAGAGAAAGTATGCGACGGTGGAAGTGAAAAAATGGACGCGATGATGCCGTGGAGAAAGTCGTTCTGGAAGTAAAAGGACTGGGGCGATCTGATATGTAAATTCCCAGTCATGAAAATTTGTCTCAAATTGAGTAAAGTTTTGACAAATTATTCTTAGAGTGGATGGTTTATAGTGAGACGCGAGGTTGTAAGTAATTACTTTTTTAACTTTCTCAAAATGGGAAAATTTTATGCTCTGGGTTAGTAAACTGAAATTCAGGAGAATCAAAAGACATGAAAGAACCTGAGACTTCATTGTAACGTTTGACTTGCTAAAGTGAGACTGCGTAACATCAAAAAAGAACTTCTGACTGATGAAACCATCCAAATTATTTACTTTGACCGATCTGTTTTTCTTAATTAAATATTCAGTTTGATGATCTGACAAATAACAATAAAAGTTTTATATGTACCTAATAGCCCTCAATTGAATTTTATAAATGGTAGTTGAAACTCTGCGAGCTTAAACTGTATGCAATTCATGCCAGACATTGTGCAACGGCTTGGTCATTGCACAATTGCAAGTTAACTATGACATTCTTGTGAAAGTATAGTGTATATATATCTATATCATCGTCAAATCGTGTTAATACATGGTGAAGACGAACATGTTATGGACCATCAAGAATTTAAGGAGGACTTCTTATCACGGAAAACTTCAGATTCAAATATTCATGAAAATTTCCAAGAAAAACTACTGAATTATATGGGGACATGAAACCCACGTATTTCAAAGCTCGTTATTGTGTTGGCATGCATGTGAATAGTGTATACCGTTTTCATAGCCTAATTGATGGACATGTAACTAATTTAGAGTTTGTCCATGTTCGGTAACAATAAATTTTACCTGAGACAATTAGATCTGAAGCTGAAATGACACGCAAATGAAGGAAACATTTTAGGTTTCACATGAAAGATATAGACTTGGCACGTGGGGTACCATTTTTGATTTGGAAAAATTGCTCTGAGTACTCATTTAATTAGCGAATACCATGAATTACTTGTTAAAGTATCAAAAAGTTTTAAAACTGTTTAACAAAATGGATTTTTTTAAACTATCAGATTACAATTTCGAAAGAAACGTCGTCTCAAGACTCACTGACAGCGGCAACTCATCTTTCATTCCATTTCCCTCATCTCAGCTTTACTTCACCACCACGTGTGGAAGAAAATACAAAATATTATGAATTAATTTAATTAAACTACTCTTTAAATTAGTAATTATTTGAAAATTACGATTAATCCAAATCAGGATGCCTCGTGGCAAATCTAATAACAAGAGTAATAAGAAGACGAAGAAGGAGGAGGTCAACAAGATGACCAAGTTGATACCACCGGCGAGAGAACCGGAAGTTATGGACGTTGACGATACAGGTGGGGACGAAACAGGGGGTGCAGCAGAGGAGGAGGAGGAAGAAGAAACGCAAGATTTTGGACCAGAATTCAACCCCACCCACTTCCAATTTTTAGTCGAGGAAAAGTCTGAGCAGTTTTTCGAAGGACAATTTCAAATTGGTAGACCCATAAGAGCAGCACACAACTTTTTGGAAAATCCACATGGGGCTGTCAAACTATTCCAAGGTAAGTGGGCAGCGTCAAACTTTAGTGATTTTATTATTTTCTGTGGTTAATTATAAAGTATTTATCATATAGGAGATACGTGTGCCCTGTGTGCTGTGTATGGGCCAACGGAGATAAGAATGTCGAAAGAACTTCCACATCGGGCAGCGGTTGACGTCCTGTTTCGCCCAAAAATTACTGGAACTTCGAAACAAAGTCAGATGACGGGATGGGGTATGGGGCGCTATCACGAATTAGGTCTTTTTATAAAATAATATTGACTGACCTTCACCATTTCATTATGTAGACTCGACATTGGAAGAGAGAGCAATTGAAGCAAAGTTGGTGGGGATTTTAGAATCTGTTCTTTATCTGGAGGATGACATGGGGGCTGGATTTAATATTATTCTGCACGAGTTTGAAAATGATGGATGTGTGAGTACTAAATATTTTTATGATAACATAAAATGAAAATTTTAATTTAGATATTTACCTTATTTCTACATTTACTTATATTCCAGTTGTTCTCTACATGCATTAACGCTTCTGCACTGGCATTGCTAAATGCTGGTTGTTCCATGAGATGCTGCTTTGCTGGAGTAACCATTCTTGTAAATGAGACCAACAATACATTGATAGTTGATCCTTCCCAGTCTCAAATTGATTCTGTACGTGAAAATATTTTGCTAACAACAATCTCTTAGTTTATTAATTGTTTCTGTTTCACTAATTCAGGGATTTGACGCCATGATCACATTTGTACTATCCAACGATGGTCATGTACTGTTTTCAAGTATTCAGGGCAGAACTAAGACCAACATGATTCGACTATGTTTACGCCAAGCTAGTGAAGCATGCAAGGAAATTTTCGTCTTTCAGAAGCAACTGCAACTACAAGAATGCTCCGATTTTATCAATGGTCACAGTGCTGTGAAACCAGTGAATGCCAGAGGTTTAAAGGATGAAGATATTAAAGTTAAATTGGAAGATATGAAAATTGATGAGGACGAGGAAAATTATGAGGACTTGGATGATGGAGAAGTTTCCAGCAGCGATTCTTAGCGTACAAATAAAGATTTGAATATTTAATGTAATATTTTTTAATTAAATATTTACTAGTTATCATGTTCGGAATACTGAATGAACACTGAATACACAGTAATACAAACGTCTTGTTTTTATTTCAAGAAATGTCAATTTTCTAATGCTATAAAAAGAACAATTTAGGCATGCAGCTCGTAATATTATGCAAGCTATCCATTTGCATATAGATACATACATACCTACATATGCGTAGTAACTGATTAACATACATGTTGTGATTAAATAGTAAGCAACTTTTATTTTAGTTAATTAGAAATTGCACACACATTTCACTCAATTTCAAATGGGGATAAGTTAAGTTAACTAATAAATGTACATCATATCCAACATTTTCACAAATCGTATCAATCTTGAAAAATGAGTAGCAAAAAACATTCGTAGATCATCATCATTGTAACATTCTTACATCTATAATGTAAAAATCTAAAGACGAACTAATCGTGGTTGAATTTACAAGGTTAAAAATTGCTGTTGCACACCATCCTCGATCTGCATCTCGCTCTACTTTTTTTTTACTGTCCCCCTTTAAATAAACCACGAGTTGCACTTGATCCGGGATTAAAGAGGACTTTGTGAATTGCTCCAATATCTGGCTGAATCTTTATGAAATCCTTTTTGCCAGCGGGCAACTTTATTGACGCTCCAGATGCAGATTTTAATGCAGTGTATGACCCAGAATTTGACATGGATGGACGCGATGGAGGGGAAGCATCTAAAAATACCCTCATTGCCGACCCATCTAGTAATCTTAAGAATAAATAATGGAAGATTATTAGCTGACACATTACACATACCAATAATAAGAGAATAAGAGAAGATTTAAAAAACCTTATCTGCGACTCACCTGTTATGGTATGCTTCAATTGCTTTCAAAGCATCAGACTTCCTGCTATAACTCACTTCTGCTTGTCCTGAAGCGGTCATTCTGCAGTCCGTCAGTGGTCCGATATCACTGAAGAGTTCCTAGTTTTCATTTACAATATTATGAATATTACTAAAAATTTTATAGCACAAAAAATTACTATAATTCGTTTTTGTCTTATGTCTTAGAGTATCTAATAATAATATCATTAATATTATTACATACTCTTAAGAAGGTTTTTGTATATTACAACTTACGACAATATCGTCCGCTGTGACGGAGGGTTGTAAATTAGAAACGAGTATTCTACACTGAGAATCTACTGAATATTCTTGTCGCCTTGGAGGAGGGGGTGGCGCATCATACATGTCGTCATCCATGTCCATCGGCTGCTCACGAAGTGAACTGTATATTTACAATTAAACCAAATATATATTATGAAATTCAAACCAACTTGGCCACGAAATGCTACTAACCTCCTATTGTAAGAGCTATGAGATGCGTACTGGATGCTGGGAGCCACTCTTGCCACACCTTGTGGGGGAGACCTGCCGATATAATCACTTCTCATCCCTCCTCCTCCACCCCCATAGGCAGAGGAAGCTGTAGGATTTCTTATCGTTCTCGTAAGTACAAAATCATCTTGGGATGGTGCAATTCGTATTCCTGGAGGATAACCACCACCAGCACCCGACCTAGTTATCCGACTTGGAGGAGCCATCATGGGTGCTTCACGCATAACATTATAGGCATACGGGTCCGGAGCAGCAGATCTAAAAACACCTGAGAAAGCGAGGAAGGACAAATAGAATATACCACTTTTTAGTCAAATCAACTAATGACTATAGTAGTAATTATATATTTAACTCACCTTCATAACCCATTGATTCCCGTTCTGAGCGACTAATTAGACCTTGTTGAGGATGAGATTGAGGTCGCATGCTCATACCACCAGACATAGTATCTCCTCTGCCGTTATTATAATGATCAGCAGTGGGAGTGATGATTCGCAAATTTCTAATTCGTCCGTCGCCTATGGAATTCTTCCTCCTTTTTTCTTCAATCTTCTGCCGAGCATCCCCTATCCTCCCGGTCTGGACTCTGCTCAAGTTTATCTTTTGTCGAGCATCGAGAAGAACTTCACCAATGGCGAGAGCAGCAACGCTTCTTCTTCCTCGAATACCAGCCCCAGTACCACCACGACCACCAAGTCGAGCCTTTATCCCAACTGCTCGAGCTGAGAGAGGAGAGATAGCTACTGATCCACCACCCATGCCCCCCAGTCGTCGCTGGATTCCTGCTGTTCTTTGAACAATTCTTACATTTCTACGACCTATTCCGCCCCCAGGTGACACACCTAGTCGAGATTTAATAGATCCTCGCCCTCCTCCTCTCGGAAATCCTCTCATCCCAACCGTTGCGCGTTGCATGCTTGCGAGTACAAAGTTAATTATTCTTTGTTATTAGGATAATTAGGTTGTACGGTGTCGGTGTCCAGATTTAATCCTGACATGAATAGTAGATAATAATTAGTTTAATAATACACGCGAAATTAAAATTTGTGATTAAAGAGTACAAGTAAAGTAATACAATTTAAACAATTCCACACCACATTGCATAATATTTCATACTTTGATATTTTACATTATAAATTTATAGTTTGTGCAACGCTTTTGAAAATTTTGTAACAATGATAAAGTAACTTACCCAAACACAGCACAGATTATGCTTTGATTCTGATAATTAATTGTTTAATTGTGGATTGTGTAATTAATTTTTTGTAATTGCAAATTGTTCGTTAAACGCGTCTCATAAAAAACAACAGCTACAATACCAACAGCCAGCCACCGCTCAAATCTTCCGCATCCAAAATTTATAATAATCTCAATTCACCCCTTTCACCCTTCAGGGTAGAAATAATTTTCATGCAAAAAGCATTTTCATGATATATTCAAATATATTTAATTATTTATGATTTTCGTAACTTTTTTTAGAACAAAAATAAGCGAACAATGATTATGTTGATTTAATAAATTTGAAAGCATATTTCGTTTCTGGAGTTGGAAGTGGAGGTATCTGGGTCGTCATCCATTGTAAAATTGGAGACCCAAAGTTATCGACCCACTGCTTATTTGAGTCGATAAGAGCTAAGGAGGTTTCAACTCTACCCATTACGGGAGTCAATACAGGTCCCTGTGGGGGTAGCGATACCCAGGTTTGTATCTACAGGATTATAAAGCAACTAAATTATTAAACGCGGATACACTATTAATTTTCGGTAATAATGCATAACGATTAATACATATAAATATAATTAAAATTAGTTATGTATAATCCTTGTCGAGATTACCCTTTCTTGTACGGTGAGGTTATAGGTATGTGTGCAAATTGCTGCAAAGACGTCAGCATATCCTGTTGGTCCCAACTTATCTCTAGATATAAATATCTAAGTGTTAAAGATAATGGATAGGCTTGACAAGAAATATATGGTTAACTTTTTATTACGGTTGGATCAGAGTATCGAATTCCACCAACAACTCGTCCAAGAGAGTCGGTTGTATGATGCGGTTGGCTGCGGCACGTACTAAAATTCCAATAACGTCAACGGTCCCAAGGTCTTCCGTTTTTACTTTTGTCAACAATCTGAAAGATGTGCATCACATTAATAAACAATTTACACAAGGTGATGTTGTTCGTAACGTATTTTCGATTATTTACTCAGTAAGCTTATTCAAGTGTGGTGTGCATGCCAGGGAATTTCGGATCAAGGGGTCCCTATTGGTGTTCATGTACTGTTGCCATAAAAAATCCCAGTTCCCGTTGTCATTTGTTGCTGCACAGTAAATTGATGGCCGAATGTCCACAGGAATTCTTTAAAATAATATTAATCCGAAGAATACGTATTTAAACAAATAGAAAGGCTTAGGTTAGTTTTTTGAAGTTAAATAATTAATGGCTCACGGATTATTTGTTGGATTAGACTGCCAAAGACTTAGAAGCCTATTTGCTTCATCAACACATCCATTGTGGAACAGTGGACAAGCCCAATCAAACAATTGTACTCTGGAAATTGTTGTCATTGGGAGCTCCGAAGGAATTTGGGTAAATCCAACATTGTCCAATGCGGTTTGCATAGTTTGTAGAATATAAGTCTAGAAATTCAAATTTAAAAAAATGATTAATCTTACATTTTACACTTTACACAATAACTCACCTGAAAGGTGTCGAATGCTTGTGATTCATTTGAAAATAATTCGTACCCTCGACGAAAATGTTTCTGGAATGGTACCCAAACATTGAAATTTGTCTCCCTTGATAGAAATGACGTCATGGCCAATGCTCTTGTGATTGGAATGTATCCTGTATGCATATATATTACTCATTCATACATTTATTGCCAGTGTAAATCCGAGGCCATAAATAATGATAACTGAGAGCTAACCTTGATATGCGGCAGTAAAATAATCGTCTACGATCATGCTACGGCTTCCGACTGGAATATTTATGATGGTAGTGTCCAGTTCAGTTTGTAATAATGTTTCCAAGTGGGTGTCGTAAATTACTCTGTAATACCCTAAATATAGATTTTGTGCAACATATGTAAATAGCTAGTTATCGAAAGAATTCAAATTTTTTAGACTATATGAGTCAATCGTATGTACCATTGCCTCCTGGATTTACCAGGATCCATTTACTGGTGTCAACGGCATGCATCATAACAAGGACTTCTTTGTCTATCCAGAATTTCGGGAGATTGTTGTCCGAATCAAAAGTAGGGTTATCTGCAGTGGTGTAAAAAATTGGTACGTGCCAAAGACCGGTTTGGGGTTGTTGTCCTTTCACTTCCACATTTTCAAAACGTTCCTGCAGACATGTATATAAATAGTAATGATTTAATAAACCAATTGCCAAACTGTGTAAAAAACCTGCGAAACGAAAATGTGGTTGGGTCCAGCTCGTGATACTTTCACCAATGGGAAACTAGTTTGCGTGGTCCACGTCTCCATTATTTCATTAATCGTTTTATTGTTCGATGGTAATAAGTTGTTGGTGGCCAAATAAGTATTAAAATCGGTAAATAATGCATCTTGATGGACAGCCAAATATGCTCTAAAATTTTGTCAGTATATGTGAGATAAGCTTTTAGAATTATTTGTTTCTAAAAAAAATTACCTATTTCTCAAATAGTAGTTGCAAGCCATTTTGAAAACTTGTTCGGTCATGAAGCTTCTCATTAAGTTCACTAACGCAGCACCTGGAATGAGCAGCACACAAATAGACGCAGAAAATGTCAGCATTAACTTTATGTCACTCACATTAAATTAACATTATCTCACCTTTTGAATAATTAATTGTTGAAGGATTTTCGACAAAATGGGTTGAATTGACACCATGAATTGGGACCGAATCAGGACCAGAATCAAATGCCATGGCAGGTTGGATGTCCGAGGTCACGAGACGATCTATTGCTTCGTACCCATTTACAAACACAGCATCCACCGACCGGTATTCGAAATAGCTAGCAAATCCTTCCGTCAACCACCAATCATTCCACCTATTTTAATTGAAGCGTCACGAGTTTTATGATCAAATGACCTTAATAATGTTTCTGATATCCAAAACGGACTGATATCTTACCACGCATGTGTTACGAGATTTCCCCAATATTGATGTGCTAATTCGTGACCTAAGATGTTAGCTATACGGAATTTTTCGGCAACGGTATTAATTCCCTCTTTCCAAATAAGGTACATTACGCGATATGTATTAAGACCCTGAAATCACGTTATGCAGAATTGATAAACATGTTAGTGAATACTGCTTTTCGCAAAAAACGTGTCGTTTGTTTCATGAATTGTTTTGTCACCCAGTTCTCCATTGCGCCAGCCGCAAAGTCGGGAATCGCCGCGGAATCAATTTTTGGTAATTCGTACTGGATTCCAAAATATTCTTGAAAATAGTTTAAGGTCTCGGCTGCCGCGTTTGCCGCAAACACTGCACCATTACCTTGAATCTCGGCTGGAGGACCCCAAATCTTGTGATAAGGTGATGAAATGTAAAAAATTGAAATGTTAAATCTGTCATAAATTGTATCAATTTATTCGTAGCCTATCATTCTTACTTTGACAGGTTTTTCGAACAAACCTTCGGTCGCATCCTCAAAATCAAAATCAGATACGATAAACGCGATAATTGTAGGTGGCATAACTGGTGTAGTGTTGTAAAAATCCCACGTCCATCCTTGTAATTCAGCACTAAACAATATAATTATTTTTGAAATTCGTCACTATATTAAATTAATCCCAGATTCGACTCACATGGGTTCAGACCGAAGTAGATTCATGTTGGAAAGTGAGTGATAGCTGTCCTCCCGACCCACAATTATCTCAAACGTCGCTTTCTGAAATTCAAGTTTCCAAAAATTAGATTGTCGAGGTGTAATGCAAATTCGTAAAAAAAATTGTTCTACCTGGCTGGGCTCGTCAAATGAGGGAAGCGTTTTTCTAAAAGCTCTAGTTCTACTGAATTGGGTAGTAGCCAAGTATCTGTGAAGCATATACATATGTACATTTATAATTTATTAGACATTTTAATTTTAAACAGATTATTTATCCAAATTAGTAAATATATGCCACCTCTTGTCACCAGTCTCTGTTTGATAAGAGCTCCAATAGACTCCGTTCATTCGACCCCCGGGCGTTTCAATATCTGGGTTTGCAACGGTGGCTACGTATTCGATATAAATGTCGTATCTCTCTCCGACAACAAGATTGTCCTGAACCACAATCGTGAAGGTTTCAAGCGTAGCATTCGAAATCTGATCCGTAATGATTAGTTGCTCTGTTGGGCTACTAGTTCGCCAAACCTATAAATACGTCCGAGCAATAAATATGTAAAACATTATGTCCGATGAACGAAAGGTTAAGAAATCTGCACGTACCCGAATGGACAAGCTATTTATGACGAGTTCGGCAGCATGCAAAACCAACTCTCTTGTGGCTTGCCTGCATTGAACCGTAATTTGTACAGTTCCTGGAGCAGTGAAGTTTTGAACCATCGGGTCTCCCTGAAGGATGGGTCGGATTTGGAGTTTATAATGTTGTGGGATAATTTGGTTTGGAAGTCGGAATCGTGCAGATGGAAGTTCTTCTTCATTAACCTCCATTTCTAACAACGAAGGGTCAAACTGCTCGGTAAATCTTGGAAATATTGGGGAACCAGTGTAGCTAATTGGGCCAGACGATCCGAACGTCCAATTTATTGTCATAGAGAGAAACAAGACCCATTGGACAAGTAGGGTCCTTAGGGTGATGAATTTCATTTTCAGGAGGGTTGACTAGCACACCGTTTACTTTAGTGGATGACCCAGAAGAACTGAACCAGTCGGTCAGGATTGAATCATTGAATACCAAGTATGCCACTAAACTAATCCTACGTATAAGCCAGTAAAACCTTGTCATGAATCACTGCCGGACTCGCTATCATTCATTTGCATACATTATCCATTGAGGGAAATTTCGTCAGGATTTTGGTCACAGTCAAGTTCAATTTCATTGATAAGATAGCAGTCCGAACTATTGTTGCACAGAGTAGTCTTAAATATTGAGATTAATCATGGCTTTGTTCGAGATAATAAGCGTGTATTACATGCATATTTTTTAGATTGAGTCAGAGTGGCCTGATGGGATTTAGATAAATAGTGGATTTTTATGCTTGACTTTTTATACAAATAACTCTTTATTACAAAATTATTTTTGTCCGAAAATATTTCGTAAATCTAAAAATTAACCAATGAATAAATATATCTCATGTCAAATATATTAGGTAATAATCAACAAACACATGGACATTGTCAATGTGTTGTCAAATATCTGGCATATCTCAACTCATCCTCCGTAGCATTATTATGAAGAGGTTTAAGCCAGCTTTGTAAGCCTATCGATGCAGGCGTCCAAATTTCCATTTTTCTCGTGTACAATCCTCACGAGTTGGTCGAAATTATCTCCATCTTTAGATCCAAAACCCATGTGAACTAAGCTGTTTAAGGTACGTCGATGTGATTCACTAAACTGTGCGAGGATATCATCATTTGGCATCACCGACGATGATGATGCTCCTGTCATGGTCCTACTTTGCTGCTGATCTCTAATAACTGTGTTGATGACTTCGTCCACGTGATCTGTACTTCCCACTGTCGATAAATTCATTCGACTACTTCCGGATGAGGATCGTTTGCCTCTTGAGCTTTTGGAAATTTGTGCCGCAGGGGAACATATTACTGAAGCATTCTTCTTGGCGACATTTTTTCCACCAACTAGTATTGAGGTCGTGCTGTTTAATGATGACTGTGGTGAACTTTCTCCATAGGTGTCAAGTACGGACATAGTTGAATCACCACCAGTACTCGTCTTTTCCACATTTACGTCGCTGGAAAGTGTTGGGGGAGATACTTGAATGCTGATGGTGTCAATATCATCCTCACCATCATCGTCAAAACTGCTGGTTTGTTTCACTGGGTCACATCGTACAACGTCACCTGAATCATCAAGGACTATAACTGGTGGGTTAGAAGATTTGTAACTTCTTTCATTTGAGATTCTTTTAACCCTATTATAGCACTTGATTAACATTTGCTCCACAGCATTCAATTGCACAAATCCATTAAAATGAGAGCAAACTCCAGAGTCGGTAACAAGGCGACGAATTGACTGAAAATTTCGAAATGCCTTTTTGATTTTCTTGGTGCTAAAATCATCACTTTGAGGATCTTTAGAAATGCTCGGCGGGGGGTCATCATTGGTAAAGAAAGGATTTTGTAAAGAGCTTGAATTTCTATTTAGTTTTGGTGGACTACTTTCTGGAAATGGGAGAGGTGTAAAATGTTTCTTCTTTCTTGGTCTGGTCGTAGGGTCTGGACAACAATCGGGTTCAATGTTGCTTGGCGTTTTCATTGCAATATTGTCTACAGAGAAAGAGAATTATATTCATCAATCGTTTTTTATATGTACATACGCAGGAGAATAACTCTTGGAAAACCAACCTTGTGCCAGCAACCAGCGACTGTGACCTGGGACAGCGGGCGGAGGCACAAAAGCTGTAGTGGTTGCACTTGTACTGCCTGAAATTAAATTCAGGTTCATTGTAGTTAACTGTTATTGGATAGTAAATAACGACTTTAAAGTATTTATACAAAGTAGTTTATTTACTTGGTTCACATAGTTCTAGAATTTCAGGAATCACATTTGTAGAGTCGGCAGATGTAACGTCTTCATCAACAGCATCTCCACCTATTTGAATAGAATTTTCGGGTTCATCCACAAGGCTTTGACCACTTCTACCAGGGGATGTACAACCTGCAGATGTTTTCAATGCAAATGCAGCGGCACTAACAGCACTTGCGACGGCTGCTTCATTTTGACCTGAGTTTTGTTAACGATTTGTTTATGTCATTGTCAAAACAATTTGTGAATTATAAATAGTGTTATCAACTAATTATATACCTGGTAGTGTACCTCTTGGAGACTCAGACCTACGAAAGCCTGGTTGAAAGGGTGACATCCGAGGTTGAGGAATTCGTACAACAACACGATCCTGCTGTTGTTGTGCTATATTTAACTCCAGAGACGAAGAACTTTGAGGATTTGTACTTGAACTTGCTTTTGATAAGTCACCGTATGATGGATCTTAAATTAAAAAAATTATTGTGTATGAAGTATTACCATCTATCTATACAATTTTCGTTTAATATATGAACAAAAATACATACATGCTGACCGCCCAGCAATGCTCGACACGTAAACTTCGTTAATGTCTTCGCTATTATTTCCACCGCCCTCGTCCTCGTCCATAGTGTCGTTGCTACTACTGTCTTCTTGAGCTTGTGGATATCTGGACATGTGAAATCGTGGCGAATAACCTCCCGTGCTCTTTCGAGCCGTCACTCTCTGTCGTTGTGATCTGTTTTAATCACATATTTTATTATGAATGAAATTATTAATAATTTGTACATTTAAAATTACCCAACTTGTCGACTAGTTCCTCCAGTGCTTTTCCGAGCATTATTTTTACGCCGTAATGAAGGTGGTCGTCCCATCTCCAGATTCTAAATTGCACTTTTTTTCTAATTATGCGCTAATAATTTCTACGCTAATTGACTAACTACGATAGAAAAAATTAGCAATCATTTCACATTTTATTCTGCCGAAGAATCAAAAATCAAATACAAGATAGTATTTTACTCTTGGTCCCGCGGTGAAAGTGAGACTTGACTTTTAGGAAGGGAAGAATATAATAAAGTTTGCTGATAAGCTGTCGGATATCAGCATTTCATATTATAATTTGGAAATATTATCACCATGTTGTCTTGAAATTAGCCATAAGCAATTCCTCCTAGACTTACTAAAAAAGTTACCAGTCTCAAGCAGTTAAGTATATGTAAGGCATATTGATATGTACCTGCATAGTTTCAAGTGCATAAGGTTTTGCTTTATAAGACAGGCACAACATGTTTCATGACACCGTTTGTGTCACCAAAACTAATATGTAATTGCTTTTATGCTAATTAAAATATAACGAGTGGAAAATCCAGGATCAATAATCATAATTATGTATATGAAATATTTGAAAGACCAACTGTGAGTATGAACTGTATGCATTTTATATTTTGCTAAGTACTTTACACTGGTGGAGATTAGTTATACATGTTGGTGTTACTGCATGGTATCTCACAAGCATAGCACATCAGAACATTGTCCGATTAAGTTAATTAAACCTTTATTATCGCAACGCCTACTTTGTCAACAAACATTGTGATTATGTACATGTGCATGTAAATAAATTTATGCTTCATTTGAACCAATGGTTTTAAAAATGGGTGGAAAACTAAACATTGCATGTCCGCTTAATAAGGTTACAAGTCGCATATAAAGTTTGTATACACTTTAATCTAATTTCTAATTGCCAATCTAATTTCGAGCGTCTGTCAAGTCAGTCGCACTCAATTTTTTCTCCGAATCATTTACAAACAATTTACACGATGGAGCCCACCTTAAAAGCCCCAATTCATAAGAATAGGAGGACTACAATGGAACAAATTTCGAATTTCATAAGTCCAGAAAGTCTATTCAAGGATATCAATTTGTTCAGCAAACTGTATGATGCATCCGTCCCACTAACAAGTACACGATAAATAAAATTCATGATAAGATAATTTAATAAAAATAATTGTACCAATTAAAATATTGAGTTGCTCAGACCTGACGAAATTTAGCATTCCTCAACCAACGCCACCAGATCCTCCCCATGGGTCATGGATAGATTGGCCATTTTCAAGAGTTGTTCAACAAGAGTTTACTCCTGCGGAAATTGGACAAGAATTTGGTCCAACTTGGGCAACTCATTGGTTTAAAGTATTTATATTTCTGTTTTCTTGAAATTTAATTTAAAACAATCGTGATAATCGTTTCTATGTCCGTAAAAGGTGGAATTAAGGGTCCCAGAGGAATGGTCTGGAAGAGATGTTCATCTTCGATGGGTGACCTTACCACGAACCTATGTCCACGTATTGTCCGATTCCTGGCAAGAATTTGACTTTTAATATGTTTTCAGGTGACAGGCAGTGAGTCCACAGTGTATTCTTCAGAGGGGGCATTGCTCCAGGTACACTGGGAATAATTAACATATTTTGAATCAGTAAGCTCCTTCCCACACGTAATACATTTTTAGGGAATAAATCCAAAATTCCGAGAAGAATTTCCTCTTCCACCGGGAACGACGACGGCAACGTTTTACATTGAGATGGCCTGCAACCATATTATGGGAGCAGGTCCGGATTACAAGAACGGCTGGGGAGATGAAATAAGTAATTAATAATTACAAAGCTTAGTCATATTTGAAATTTCTGTGGTTCCGATGAGTACCGTGTTCGATTCGATATATGTACATAATCCCCCATCATACATATAAATAATTATTTCCCTCAGCACCACCCTCTCCCAATTTATTCTTCAAGCTGACTGTGGCGGACATTGCATTATTTCGAGAAGACATATTCCAGTTGTACACCGATTTGGAAATGCTAAATGGAATTGCTAGTAATTTGGGTGACACTCATATTGGATACCAAGCAATGTTTGTGGCTAACCAGATGGTCAACGACATTCGCGTGGACAAATTAGAGTAGGCTTTTATTTTCAATATGTAATTACTGACACACGCCTACATAAATTCTAAACTTATAAATTATTCATTAATCATTTTTACAGAGAAGCAAAAACGCTTGCAGCAAATTTTTTTTCGAGTGGGACAGGTCAAAAGTCACACCAATTGTTTGCCATGGGACATTGCCATATTGATACAGCATGGCTTTGGCCTTATTCCGAGACTATTCGAAAATGTGCCCGATCGTTTTCAGCACAGCTGCAACTAATGAAACAGTATCCAGAGTACAAGTTTGTTTGCTCACAGGTTAAAAATTAGTGGAATGTCATTAGAAGAACCACGAATATTTTCACGTTACTGAATTTTTCCAGGCGCAACAACTAGCATGGGTCAAAGAAACATACCCTGATCTTTACCAAGAGATACACGATCAAGTTATTAACGAAAAACAATTCATTGTCGTTGGATCCACATGGGTCGAGATGGACGGTAATGTGCCGAGGTACTGTAAAGCCAGGCCTAGCTGGATTGACATTTGGATAAAAATCTTGTATTTTTTTGACTAGTGGCGAAGCATTTATGCGTCAGTATTTTTACGGGCAACAATTCTTCCGTAAAGAATTTGGTGTTGCTTGCAAAGAATTTTGGCTTCCAGACACGTTTGGCTACTCGGCCCAAATTCCTCAGATGATAAAAGTTGGTTGACTTTAAATGGTGTCATGAAATTTCAAAGATCTATGCTTTTATCTTGCTTTCCTCTCTAGCACGTTGGAATAGATCGATTTCTTACGCAGAAAATGTCGTGGAGTTTGGTGAATCGCTTTCCAAATAATAGTTTTATTTGGGAAGGAATTGACGGATCACAAGTTATGTGCCATTTTCCTCCTGTGAGAAATTAAATAATTCTGAGTTTTGTAAATATGTAGTACTCATATTAAAATTGCTTTCTACTGATGACAGGGCGATAGCTATGGAATGTCTGGATCTGTGGATGAATTCCTAAAATCACAAAACAATTCACAAGACAAAGGAAGATGTAACAATGGCATCTATCTATTTGGACATGGAGATGGGGGTGGTGGTCCTACGAGAACAATTATTGAGAGAATTAAGCGTGTACAAAATGTCGATGGGTTACCAAAGTACTGCGCATTTATTAGTTGTGCATACAAGTTACCTACAAGTTCATAAATACGAGTATATTTATGTTTCTTACAGCGTAAGATTTAGTGTGCCGGACGAATTCTTTGAGAATCTTGCGACTGAAAAAGATAAGTTTTACAAATGGGTCGGCGAATTGTATTTAGAACTTCATAATGGAACATATACAACTCAAGTACGCAAACTTTTTCCCAAATTCATCAACTGCATATCAAACTTTTAAATATAATGTAGGCAAAAATCAAGTGGTACAACAGAAAAGGGGAAATATTTCTGCGTGAAGTATGTCCATATTCATACAGAAAATAATGCCCATTCTTGAGTCAAGAATCTTGACCATTTACCTTAAGATAAACTCTTGATTCTACTCAGGTAGAGGAGCTCATGTCAATTGCATACACGATGGGAAGGGTTGATGAGCAACAACTTGCCGTGTACAATAACTTACTTTTCTTAGAAATATATTCATTTTCAGGACGTAATATTTTTTAAATTTTACAACTATGTAGCGACATTGAAGAAGTCGACTCCAACTGGAAAAATCTACTTTTAAATGTTAGTCCTACATGACAAGATTAATTTCCAAAATAAGAACCATGCTCTCAAAATAAATCAATGACTTTTCTATCAACAGCAATTTCACGACGTCCTCCCAGGTTCATGTATCCAACTCGTGGCAGAGGAAGCTTGGCGAATTTACGAGGAGGTTTTCTCATCTCTAAAAATTCTTCGGGACGCATACCACGTTCGAATTTTAGGGGGCGGAACTACTACGAAAGCGATTTATAATCCATTAACTTGGCCCGTTCACACCGTGATTTTTATGAAACCTGATAATGATCAGGACCTCCCAGTTGGAGAGTTTATTCAGACTGTGAATTTGCACTCGGATCCATTTGAGAATCAAGGAGAGGGACGATTCAGGGTTCCAAATACATTTGCTGCGGCTTTAGTTAACCTTTCCCCCAGTGGATATTCAACCTTTCAACCGATTGAACCTTTGAATAAAGTTACATATGCTGGTACGAACCAGAATTAATACTTTTAAGATTTTGCAAGTATGGAATATTATGCGTATTTATTTTTGTATAAAAGCGAATACGCCATCCCCTGGATTCGGAACTTTCTCCAATGGAATCATCCATCTTGAAGCTTCGACAGCTTCCCCAGGATTGCCAACTGAAAAATTATTCTTCAATGGATCCGACGTTGCATTTAATGATTTTCTAAACAGAGGAGTGGAACCGGGGAGATTTTATATCTATGATGACCTACCGTTGATTTGGGATGCGTGGGATGTAATGGATTGTAAGATAATATGACATATCAATTTTTTATTCTTTTTTATAGACAAACTACAAAGAGTTATTGCAAAAAATTTAAAAGATCATTTGGAAACACGACGAGAGCCAGATTTTACAAATATGGAGTTGCAGCTTTTATCTTATGGGGATATTGTTGGATGTTATCGATGGTCTGCTAATTTTGGAAATGGAAGCTCGATAATTCGTTACACAATTATGAGATGTGATTCGCCAATGATTGAGTACGCGAATAGTAATTTCGATTTTAATCTGCATGAATAACGCAATTCCTTATTTATTCGTTGTTTTAAAGGTACTATACAATTGTTGATTGGAAAGAGGAGCATAAAATGTTGAAAGTAGAATTCCCTGCGGATGTCCTAGCTCGAAACTGCACATTCGAGATCCAATACGGACACACAACTCGTCCAACGCATATCAACACATCTTGGGTTATCCTGCACATAATATGCACGATTAATACTAAAAAGTACATAATACATATAATATGATAATATTTATTAATAATTATAGGACATGGCCAAATTTGAAGTCTGTGGTCACAAGTAATATTTCAATTGTTTGCAAAATACTCTAGTTAATTTCCCCAAAGTTGAATTTAACCCATTTGTATCATAAGATGGATGGATATGTCGCAAAATGACAAGGGCATCACTGTTATAACTGATTCAAAATATGGCTGGCATGTCCGAGAAAATATTATTCAATTGTCATTGCTCCGAGCCCCGAAAAATCCAGATGCAAATTGTGATATGCACAAGCACTTCATTTATTACGCTGTTCTTCCACATGTGGGAACTTTCCAAGAGGCAGACGTTATCAAGAAAGCATACGAATTGAATGTTTTAGGGTCAAATAACATTCCTTTAATGGCAACGGATTTGGTTGGGGCCAAGTGAGTTGGAATTGATAAGTTGAACATAATTGATTTAAACGTTACAACTAAAAGAATTATCTGATTTACAGCCTTCCGAATAGCTGGGTCACTTTGAGTGATAATACCGTTATTGCAGACACGGTGAAAGTTGCAGCAGAAATTCCAAGAGCAATTTGTGTCAGGTTGTACGAGTCGTTCGGTGGTTATGCTAATCCAACGTAAGTTGATTGGATTGGATATAGAATATTTTGTTGTATAAATGATATGATAACGGCCTAGTTGATTAATTTCAGAATTACAATGGGATTTGGAATCGTACGGGTGGAAGAATGCAATGGGTATGAGCAGAGTATTTTTATTTATTTTATTTTTTCTTAGTGATTCATAATATTTGATCCAATGGTCAGTGTAAAATTTTCTATGCAAAACAGTTTGGAAAACAAAATTGGTGACATTCCTCACACTGGAAATGGATTTTCTGTTCAGTTTAAACCATTTCAAATTCGAAGCTTTTTGGTTTACTTTTAAATTATTTTTATCGCATAATAACTTTGGTTAGTACATGGATATTTACCATTTTTTGATTGCATGCATTACACGTTCATATTTATTCTATTTTGAGTGGGTTGACATGAAATAAATAATATTTACCGATATGATTTTTTGCTTATTTCTCCTGTATTTTTGCCTCTGTAAATAATCGCCTACAACTTGTCGTTACACTTCCATTGACATAATGATCAAATCAAAAGTTTATTTGACAAAATAAGCAAATACTTTGGGCGTATGTACACAGAAAAAAATCATGCGGCACTTTAGTCACAACGGAGAAAGCAATCACATTCACAATGTTGTTTGATTGGCAACACTCCAAAAAAGAACTTTCACCATTATTCACCTTTCACCACTTTCACGTCGGCTTAGGATTGGAGAAGGAAAGAAACACTAAGCAAATGCGATGACATTCGATGCGAACGTGTTGAATGACTGGCTGAGCAAATTCCAATTTCAACGCTTGGTAAGTTGTTTATCTTTCAGATTATCAGACAGCTTCATTGATTCCATTTGGAAGAAGAACAGAAAATGAGAGAAAGTTAGTAGTTTGATGGTTCATAATATAAAAGTTTTGTGGTACGTGTAAATTTTCATATGATTTTAATTTTTCTATTAAAAGCATAAAAATCATGAATATCGACAATTAGTGATAAAATATTCTCAGCAATGAACCTTCTTGAGGGTCAAAGTATTACGGTGACTGGCGTGGTAAGCACTTGAATTTGTCATAAGTGTTTGGAAATCTTAACGGGAATTTAATCGCAGGACGATGTAGACAACTATAATTTAGTAGAATATTCCAAAGATGCAGAAGGAAACTTGCAAATTGTGGGGGGATACTGCATGAAAATCATGTCGGAGTTACAACTACTTCTCAACTTTTCGTACATAATCTCAATTTATAAACTATGGTACAAGCCACCTTAGATTGTCATGTTACTATTTATCACTTTTCAGCATCAAAGTGGTCACATCGTATGATTATATTAAAGAGGAAAATGGAACTCTAGGTGGAATTGGAGGTCAGTTGATAAATGGCAGCGCTGATATTACAATTCCTCTATCGTACTTACTCCCATTTAGAGTGAAATATGTTGTCGCACTTCATCCATTAATTCGAGAACCGTATGAATTATTTAAAATTTCCAAAAATAATAATAACTCAATAGAGATTTGAAAATTTGATCAATATCCAACCCAGAATGTTGGCAATATTTCATCCCCCAACCCGTTCGACATCAGTACGTGATATCTACATTGGAACCTTGTCTCCGTCCTTATGGGTTGCCCTAATTCTTACCTGGCTTCTTGTATATGGTGGATATTGGATACTCTTACTCTGTAACCATTCCGATGTTCAGAGCAATGAATGTTTTCTTATCATAGTCGCTGCAATTAGTGAACAAGGTAGAAGAACGCATGGAACTTTATTGTTTATTTATTTTTTTACCCCCACTTACATATTTTCAGGATGGTATAAACGTGATGGACGTCTACCCTTTTGGATTTTGACATTTATCTCATTTGTGTTCGGTTATATTATTCTGGAATCTTTTAGAGCAACGATCATATCAGAATTGGCTTTTGAACGACAACTCGTAAAAGTTTTTGATGATTTGTTTACTAATGGATTCAAAATACTCACAAATCCACTGCAACAATGGGGAAGATACATTGCACCAGTTAGTCAATTTATGGACACAAATTTAATTTAAGTTTTTCCAACATGCAAATAATCCCTGATGTAATATTTCAGACGGGCAGAGATCGAGAGGAATTTATGAGGGAAATAGCAACATTTTACAAAAATGACAGTGACAGTGCTATCAAAGTTATTCGAGGGGGTTATGCGTTCCTGTCAACTTGGGATTACTTTCCAGAACTTTGGGTTTCAACGATGTAGAATTATGCTCATCCGTGAGTGGTGTCACTGTTCGTAATATGGCTGCTTATTCGGGATTCTACGTTGCCAAAAATTCCAAAATCAAGGAACCAATGAATTATGGGTCAGTGATACTCTAAATAATTCGTGACTTTTTTATTGAGATATTTGCTTATCACCACGCAGATTAATCAGAGTTCTCGAGCATGGATTGCATACAAAGCATTACACGGATTTCTTAAGTGATTCAACTCTTAAATGTTTGGCTAAAGGGTTTAAAAAAAATATTCAATCTGCTACTGAGCTTCAATTTAGAGATGTTTCTACTGCATTTGCTGTAATTATTTTTGGAATATCTCTTAGCTTAATTTTTGCGCTTTTTGAACGATTATACTTTATTGTTAAAATTAAATTTCACTATTACTTTTGAACTATTTTCCATTTAAATGGAATACAAATACATGTGTATAAAATACATGTCTTTTTAATTTGTTGTTACAAACAATCTAGTATAAATAAAAGTGATTTGTTATTAAAAAAAGGCTTATACTTGATTTTGGTTGAGAGCCACAATTACAGTTCAATATTCTAGTTGCATGTTGCGTAATAATTTGGGTTAGATGTAAAAGTGCATTGAACAAGAAATATGAGTCAATGCAAGCGACATGTATGAATCGTTACTTTGTCCTTCAACTCGATTCAAGTATTGTTGCCCCTGCACTTGCCCTTTCAAGTTTTCCATTAACTGCTTTTAATTGCGAACAGATGTCTTCGACACAGAATAATCAAGTGGATTTAGATAAGTACAAATGTCGTCAAGTTTATGCAATAGTAGTTTTAAAAGAGCTTCCTTCAAAATGACGAGGTGAAGGTTGTATAGTATTTAAAAATTAAAATAGGATGAGTGGTAACCTTCTCATTAGGTTATTTAATCAATGAACGACCTCGGATTTGATCTGATCTTTCAAATATCTTTGGTTCTGGTTGTTGTTGTTTTTCTGGAATTGTAACTAGAATTAGAATCCTAAGCAAGGTACTTTTCAAGGACTGAGGAGCTAATAAGGCCCTTAACTTGAGGCAGGTGTGATAGGATCTGTTATATAGTTGCATGACTTCAACAAAGACATGAACAATAGCACTGTCGCAAATTCAGGTATGTACATACCTGAATTCATATGGATGGCTTCATGGTATATGCATGAATCCCTTATGTACATACTTACACCCTATTTCGATTACCACAATTGTAGGTCATGAATTTTAGATTGATACAGTCATCCTTTTGGAGTTGAATGATTCTGATCAAAAATGCGAAAAACTACAAGTGTGTAATAATATTACGATTATTATAATTCTAAAATTCAGATACCAAAATGGGTAAAATATCCACACCAAGTAAAACCAATCACAAGTCAATCTCAGAAATGAGAAAAATTGATAAAGCATTATTAAAGCTTTCAAAAATATTGTCAAAATTGGGAAAACTCGTATTAATTGTGTTATCATTTTTTGGATATGTTTTTATTCTAATTCCATTCTTCATTGTGTTAATGTCACCCCTTTACATGTATCGATTCGTTGTAATTTTTCTTGCAAAAGTGTTTCGATCCGATTTGGTCCGTATTGTGTGCACAAGGGACGGAGTGGTGGGTTTGGACGATGTGACAAAAAAGTGTCAATGTGTTCTCAATATTATGCTCACCTACAGAGGTGAACCTGACATGGAGAAAATTCGAAATATAATCCAAACTAATGTTATAGATGTGATTGATAAAGATGGAAAAAGTGTTTATGAAAAGTTCACCCAATACTACGAACCATGGTTAGGATACTCTTTTTGGAAAAATGAAGACAAGTTTAATATAAAAAATCACATCAGATTGTGCGAAGAAGCTGAAATTATATTGGCCGGAAATAATAATAATAATAACAATAATAATAATAATGAGAGTGAGAAGAAATTCATAACGGAAGAAGAGCTCTTGAAAATAATGGGTCCAATAAGTACGAGGCATTTTCCACAGGGAATTTCACCTTGGGAAATTTTAATAGTACGAAATTTTATTCCATCTCAAGGGAAAATACACTCCGATTTTGAACCAAATATTAAAATAGATGGCGGAGACGAGAAGGACAAATTTGCAATGATATTTCGGGTGCATCATGCTCTGAGTGATGGGTATTCAATAATGAAATTATTTTTAACACGGGTGTGCAATGTGGACCCAAACGATGTGATACAGCCATTTGTTCCGAAAATGAGCATGATTGACACTGTTAAAATGTATTTAGGCATAATTTTGCTATCTCCGTATTATCATTTGAAACAGTTTGTTATCGATGTGGACAGAAACTTTTGGCATGTAAGAGAAAAGCAATTAACGAAAGATTGGTACACAATCAGATCAGAAAAGGTGGCCATGAGTGACCTGAGGAAATTAGCAAAATTTCAAAATGTAACTACGACTGCTGTCCTTTTGGCTGGGTTTGGAAGTGGAATAAAGACTTTTCTCACTGAAACTGGTCAAGGGGGTAGAATACCTTCCGTTATGAGAGCGTTGGCTCCCATGCCATGGAAAAATCATCCAATGCATGGATTGGTTAATCATTGGTGGGTTAATTAGTGGAATATTTATTTTCATATTTTAGTGTACTCGATACTTGGAATATTACTTGTAATTTACTTCAGGACTCTGGGTTTAGTGGTACTTCCGGTCGGAGCGGTTAATAAATTCAGAGTTGCAGAAAAATCAATCCAACTACTGAAAAGATCGCCAATCCTGTTTACTAATTTTGGGACTGTTCCATTGCTTATGGGACCACCAAGTTGGTTAACTGATATTTGGGCCACCAACTGGATGACCACGATGATCCTGTCAAATTTCCCTGGACCCAAATTTCCTATGAAAAGCTTTGGAAATAACTACGTGGAGGACGTGACTTTTTGGCTGCCACAAATGAGGGGGAGTTCTAGTAAGGCTACAGACTAAATAGTAGTTTAATAGCTTATTATTCTTATGTATAGTACTTTTGCTTGGAGATTATTCGTATTCTAAAATTGTATTTTTTAGGCGCTGGAGTTAGTTTCGTCAGCTATAATGGTGGCATGAGGATAGCTGCGACTTTGGACAAGAAAATTGTTCCAACTCAAAAACAGACAGAACTGCTCTCCCACTGTATCAATCAAGAACTTCGGAATTTAATGGATGTTGCTCTTTCAGGGGAAAATGTGGTTTAGTTAAGAAATACATATTGTTCTTGTGTGTGCATTATTGTTTTATTAGATATGTATGTATGCATTTACTTAATTTAGAGTACTATTTACGTACCTGTATTAATTACTATACATTATTTGTCGTCCTTTCCATCAGATCATAGTCAATAGTATCAGCAATATAGTTATCAATCAAAATGTGCATTACAGTGATTATAGTTTCAATAACTGGTTTTAATATTTTTTTATAAATATTTTATTACGCTCTTTTGGTGGCATAAAAGCTTGATTTTTGCAGAAATTTATGAGGTTGACATACACACACATGCCACGACATAATATAGCACCACTTTGACATTGACATTGATTAGATTGGTTTATTCAGTTCACAGGCATCTATGGACATAAAAAAGCACGCACGCACGCTGTCACTTGTCACGAATATTTCGGGATGACAAAAGTGAAAGGAAAATGCACAATACAACACTATGTATATAAACCGTGCATGTCTTACTTAAACTCCGTTTCACCTTACATGGTATTACCGCCACAGGCAAGGAACATGAGAATCCCATGTTATTTTCGTGTGGCGGTAATACCATGTAAGGTGAAACGGAGTTTACAAATGTGAACAAATGTCAGTGAGGTGGTCTAATTGAATTTCTCCTAACGTGCAGGTGACATTTTTATTAGAAAATACATGACAAATTTTCGACGACAATAATTGTCGTCAATTATTGACATTGCATGAACATTTACGTGAGATGAAGAATACGGTTATAAATAAAATCCGTTATCATTTAAATCCATCTAACATGAATGAGATCACCTTTAAAATGATTCCATTATTACACAGGTGCTCGTTTCTTAATCAAAAACCAATTGGTCGGTGTTGCTGTATAGTTTGAGACAATAATTTTGATCTGTTTACATACAAAAGAAAAAATCAGCATGAGAAGGAAACGCTGTGTTGACGGGGAGATTGAGACGAGTCGAGCAGCCGGTGAGGAGGATAACGGTCAAACGAAATAAATGCGCCCTTTGTTGCCTGCAGTATTAATTAACAACAAACTTTGACTTACTGCCTGTTAATTAATTACTTCTGACTGGACTGGGCTTAACTCACTGAAAATAATGAGTGCTAAAGTTGGACAGACAATAATTAAACTCAAAAGAGTCCATTTGGTTTGGTGAACACAAAGACAGGTAATAAAGGTTTCTACATGCTATGTACATGCTATGTATTAACAGTCACAATAACAATCAAACAATGAGTAAATATTGAATTCAGGTGTCTTAATTGTTGTTCGTGTGGTGAGTGGATTCAGGAAGATATTATCATCATAAAAACAACACATGATGGAGAGGTCGGATATGTCGAACAAAGAAAATAAACTGTTTATGGACAAGAGATCAGTGTCAGCTTCAAATGTGGCCAGTACGACAAACGCCCAGGACAAGGAGGCTGTACTAGCGCCAAACAGTTCCAGAAAAAGTGAACAATCATCTCTACATCCACAACAAGGCACGGGGTCATCATCAACATTTAGGCAAGTCAATGTTTAAAGGGGTTTAACTCTTTAATAGAATTAGTGCATTAATAAACATTAATAAAATATGCTATTTGATGATTAGACTTGGAAATTTCACGAAAACTCTTCTCGCCAAGGCAAAAACGGACGAATGCGGCCTAAGTCCAGCAACATTGCAAAGTTTGGTGAATCCTATGCGATCTCAACTTGGTTTACCGTGTTTATCATTATTTTCAAAAGTGGACTCCACACCACGCGAGTCTTGTGATGAACCACCACCACAAGCTTCGCCAACTGACTTAGAAAAACATACATCAGATAAGCAGAGTCCGCCTTATTCTGATCTACTTGTTCAAAATAATGATTCAGACCAAAGTACCGAATTACCAAGATTTGCACCGGCCCGTCAACTTCCTTTGTCCAATTTTACTACTACTACTGCTAGCAATAAGACATTTGTACATGGATTGGAAAGTAATAATAATACGTTTCCTGAAGTTGCGGCTGTTATTCCCACACCCAAATCAAAGTATCCAAGTGGAGATTGTCAGCCTAAAAGTGTGAAAAAAAATTTAAATACTCCTAAGACAAACACCGTTTTATCTAACCATGCGATCAAACAAAAGGGTTCCATAAAGAAACCACCCGCAGGGAGTGGTGGATGGAAGTTCTCTAGTGAACATGTTCAAGGGAAAGAATATCTTATCATCAATCAGCTCGGGAAAGGGGGATGTGGAGAGGTTTTGTTGGTGAGTTACGTCCTAAAGCATTTCCCAACTATTACTGGCAACATGTATTTTTAGGCGTACACATTTCCTTTAAATTCAAGGTTATTGAAAAAGACAAACGAGAATTATTTGCTTTGAAAAGAATCAATTTGTCTGGGATTGCGGACTCCAGCGTTGACGAATGTGTAAATGAAGTTCAGATGTTGGTGGATTTAAGGGATTCAGACCTTGTCGTTCATATTTATGCTTGGTATGTTGTTTTAAATTCATATTTTCGCAGCCAGACTGATTCTGTTTTTTTTATAATTAGGGAGTTTGATAAAGGTGAAAAAACAATGAAAATTGTTATGGAACATGGGCACTGTGGTAAGTCATTCGGGATTACTTGGGAGAGTTTGGAAATTTTTGATGTACAATATGCTTTTTATGAACCTTTAGACCTTCAACATACCATAAAATCCAAATATATGACTTGTCTCAAGTTGCGTGGCATATGGGAAAGATTACTCACAATTGTTGATGTAATTCATAAAAGAGGTAAATGTTACTCATTATTTTATAATTCCTGCTAAATAAATTACTGAAATAAAAATGCAATTGTAGGAATCGTCCATGCGGATTTGAAACCGGCAAATTTTATCTGGTCTGGAGACAATCTTAAAATTATTGATTTTGGTATTGCATCTAGACTTCAAAATGATCATACCAGTATTGCCATGCTTTGTCCAAAAGGAACACTTAATTTCATTAGCCCAGAAACGATGCAACCAGATGCTTTGGGATTAGCCAAGGTGAGAAATAGTGATAGCAGTGACTTGAATGACGTATGATGATTTAAAATCGTGTATTTGTTTTGTTTTATTAATTTCAGATAAGTCCTAAATCAGACATTTGGTCTCTGGGGTGCATTTTGTATTGGATGGCGTATGGGAGAACACCATTTGAACACATCACTCATCCTGTACAAAAAATGGCTGCCATTGTAAAAGGAGCCATCGACTATCCGCCTCTCCCACATCAATTTAGCTCATCCGCACCGGAAATAATTTCCGTACTGAAATTATGCTTCCAAATGGATTACCGACGAAGGCCAAGCACTTCTGATTTGTTACAACATCCTTTAATAAGAAATGTATAAATTTTAACTGTTTTTTTCATTATCATGATTTTACGGCGAGTTACTTTGTCACAGTAATTCCAATTTGTACGCTTTGTTCTCAGTGTGGTTTTTTATGTAATAACGAAATATTTCAATTCGAAAGTGTAATATTTGTACCTTTTTATATGCTCGCAGAAATAAATTATATCGTACGACGGCAACAAAATGATTGCTGTTGTAAAGACATTTTTAATGGAATAGTCAAATCAATGTGTATGTAAGGGTTGATGAGATTTTAAAATATAAACTACAATTTCCATTCAGTGAAGGTTTCAGTAGAAATTGTAGTTGCAGCGATACATTCGCTTGCTGTTGGAATGTCCGTGCTAGCCACTTGTCTTCCAGGAAGCAAATTAGCCTCAGCATCCGTCCAACCCTGAGCCACCAATTCTGGTTTCGTCAATCGTGCCAATATTTCAGATTGGGATCTTGGAGTAAATGTGGTAGCATTTCGATCTTTCTGGGCTACAAGGTCGCTAAAATTGACGATTGTGTTTTCTCCAATATATCCTACAACTTTGGACACTTTTGTCAATTTATCCTTGTAGCAGGCCTATAAAATATTGTCGTTTCTTACTATACTACGTGCCACAATGTATAAAAGGAAGTAAAAACCAACCAATTTCCAGAAACATTGAGGGATGATGTATCCTTTGTAAGTTGTGGGTCCATCCACTGTATTATTTGCTGAGCACAATCCAGTCATGACATAACTGTAATGATTAAAATTGGTATGATTAAAATAACATTCCGATAAAAACAGTATGCATCCCTATACCCATTCGTCGCCTTAAGCTTATTTTCTGTAAACACTTCAATATTCATCCAAGCGTTTTGATTCGTCCAAGAATCTAAACATACAGTGGTTTTAATTGTCATTAATCTAGTGGTTTACTAAAAGGATTGACGATAAGCTCACCTTGAGCTGCCAGATTAACACAAACGAACGTCTTGTTCAAGGCATCTTCAGAGAATCGCATAGGATTCGCAGGTGTAAGGTGTCCCCTGTCCCATGATTAATAACATTTGATTAATTATATGAATTCTACCCAGAATCCCATATTTTCATGAACGGCAATAAAACCTGTCCCAAGTGTAGCGTGGCGTTGCCTTCACTTTCTGAGCATCAGTCATACTGATCCCACCCGTGCAGTTGAATTGAAACGTAGGTACGGCCAAACTCGAGCAAGTTTGATTTAAGGGGCCAAAGGGTTCACTCACACTTGCTCGTGTAATGTCTTTAAGTGTATTGAGTTGGTCATGAAGGACCGTGCTGGAAAATGGGAGTTTTCGAGCTTGGTCATATTTAATGAGAAGGAGATTTATTTTTCCGATCGACGAATTTGCAGGAATCACAAAGGTGTTTATGCCATTCGTGTCGGGCAATGGACAGGTCGTGTCTGCAAATTTACAGGATGAAGTATTTCGGAAATTTTAAAGCCAGAAAAAAACATTCGAAATTAATTTTACCAATTGTTGTTAAACCAAATGCCGTCACGATCAATCCTGCCGTTAGTATAATTTCCGAAAACATTATAATGCGACTCGGGGGAAATTATTTTGGTAAAAAAGCTAGTTTTGCTAATAACCAACTAATTTATCATTTTTAATTGACGTGCATCTGTTTATATATACTCATCAAGGTTGAATGACGTGCTAAAAGTTATATGACTTCCTAATTTAACAATTGGATAAAATATTATTGAATTTCAATTTGAAAAGATGCAGATATTTACATAAAATTTTTTTATTATACTCTGCAGATGGATACATAGATCACGCTTTATATTATTTATTTAGTTGCATAAAAGAAATGATTATTGAATAACAAACAAGACTGAAAATGCGAGACCAATGTACGACACGATGTACTTGACATTTCATTAGATCAACAAGGTTATTTGCAAATAAACATGATAATAGATGAATTACAGAAGCAAACATAATTGACAATTAAATTTAATGTATTATAAAGTTCAAGTGTTTTCACGTTAAAAATTTACAAAAATGTTCCAGATAGATCTACTTAATAGAACTGTTAATGAATTTTCTCCACACAAACTAATGAAGGAACTGTATCATTTTTGTCGCAGGCATCATCATTTATCTCACTTGAACTTGAGTCTTCTTTATCAATCTCATCCTCACCAATCTCTGGCCTAACCACAATCTTGAAACCTGTTGTTTGAAGTTTTAACTTCTTCTTGGTCCTTGTATTATCAGACACCATTACACCAGTATGTTGCAGTAGATGTTCCTTCAAGAAACCTTTACTTGCCAGGTACTTCTCGCAATATTGACATTTCAACTCATCAATATTGATATCCATTTCTACAACGGGTTCTATATCTGCTTCTCCACCACTCCGAGTCCTGGTGGTTGGTTTATGTGCCTTGAATACAACATGAGTATGTTTATTGCTGTAGTATTTCTTATGCAGTATTCCAATGTGCTTATAAACATCGTCCTTGCGTTTAAAAGATTTGTTACAGAGATCACAAAGATATGGACGACCAATATCTTCATGGATTACTTGCACATGTCGTTTCAAATTTTGTTTGCTTTTGAATGCTATGTCACAAATGTTGCAAATGTGGTCAACTGGAGATTTTTCGACATGAATTTTGAGATGACGTATTAAATCTTCTCTTCGTTTTGAAACTCTCCCACAATGCTCGCATTCATAATTTGTTTCTGGATTTATGTGATACATTGATGCGTGTTGACGGCAGCCTTTTAGTGTGGGAAAGATTTTTCCACAAATTGAGCATCTGCAAATATTGAATAATTATAATAAAAAAAAACAATATATAAACAACCTATCAGTACAGCTTTGCTTAGCCCGAACCAGGGTTGATTAGTAAACTCAATGTTTGTCAGAATTTTCAATTCTAAAATTTCAAAATTCAACCCTCCAAAACTCTAATCCTAAGTTATTTTTTCGACTCCACGCTAAATTTTTAGCTAAATATATAAACTCTTAGAAATCGGTATGGGTACCCCTTAGTGCCCCTCTGGTTACTCTTTGTTTATCTTTGACTTCATATAATTTCATGGGAAGCCATTAAGTATCACCGTTCCGAATTTCAGGTTTTTGGGACAAGTTATGAAAATCGGTATGGGTCACCCCAACGGGTCCCGGATATGAAAATTTTACCAATTTGGCTTCATATTCTTCCATTAGGGGCCTTTAGCAGCCTCTATACCAAATTTCAGCGTGATTAGATTATTTTGAAAAATCGGTATGGGTCACCCCTTCGGGTACCTCCGGTTGAAAAATTATCCAATTTAACTTCATATTCTTTCATTAGGAGCCATTAGCAACCTCTATGCCAAATTTCAGCTTTCTAACACAATTTTGAAATTTTGGTGCATAATACCCCACCCACTCCGATGACCCCCACCGGTCCAAAACTTTTCTGATCGAACCCATCTTCGAACTCGGTCGTTGCATTACCCAGATACATGTCTGTACCAAATTTGGTCCAAATCAGTCAACTCGTTCGAGAGTTATCGAAAGACAGGTGGACGGACAGACGGACAGACGGACGGACATGACGATTACATAAGCCCTGGTTCGGGCTAAAAATTACAATTCAAAATTTCATTATTTTTTTTAGTACTGAACTTACGGCGTTGGACATATTTCTGCTGGTTGACGCTGTTTATTGATTTTTACTGCTCCATCGGCAGGATGCATTATTCGTTCATGTTTTTTCAAATCATCTTTCCTCCGACTACTGTAAGTACAATGTTTACAAGGAAATGGTTTTCCAGTTACCCGATGTGTTAAGAAATGATGACGTTTTAGGCTGGTAGAATTTCTAAATTCTTTATCACAAAGTTCGCAAATTAGACTATTTTCTGGTGGATGATTTTCAATGTGATCTTGTAACGCTTCATCATCATCGAATGTAAGCACACATTTTGTACATTTAAAATTTTTGGTTACATCGTCCCCATGTGATTCCAACTTGTGTTTCTTTAATTTTGGCATACTTGTGAATTCTTGGTGACAATCGAAACAGGTGAAGACTCTACATTTGGGCCCATTTCGTTTTACAATGTCAATTGCTTTCTGTGATGCTGCAGAGATTGGTTTGTGTAACTTGGTGTGAATGGCATGAGATCTTTCAGAGAGCAAAACTAAGTTGCATTTATCACATGCAAATTTTGGACATGTGATTCCATGCTTTTCTTCATTGTGGATGCTAAATTCATCGCGTGTAGAGAAACTCAAGTCACATCCTTGACATTTTATTTCTCTGAATGGAAAAAGAAGTTTACTTTTGTGAGTAATAGTTTTGGAAATTGCATTAACTTATAAAAATGTTATATTGGGCATACCTGTCGGACGCGTGAGTATAAACATGTGTTATCAACGCGATAGCAGAATCAAACTCTTTGGAACAAATATTGCATGGTTTAGCACCTTGATCGGCTCTAAATTATTGTAATGAATGATTAGCAAAAATGCATAACAAATTCATAATAAATATTTCCAACCTGTGAATCCTTGTCATGTGTCCAATCATGTCTTCTCTCCTGGTAAAACTAAGTGGACAGAAGCAACAGCAATGAATTTGTGATTCTGTATCATGACTCTTCATATGCCTCCTCCAGATATGTCTTGATTTGAATTGTTTTCCATCACTGCATATTGAACAGGTCAATTCCTCCACGTGAGAGCCCATATGCAATCTTAATCCAGAAGCAAGAATATATCTCTTGTCACATTTATCACACTTATACGGATTTGTTGATCCATGAGTTTCCTCATTATGAGATTTCAATGAGCTTGATGTTTTGAAAGATACATTGCATTGTTCACATTTGAATTTGCTTATCCCAGTGTGTGTAGACATATGTAATTTCAATTTATGAGGCATATTAAATGACCAAGTACAAATTTCACATTTGTAAGGCAAATTTAATTCAATTTTAGGTGGCCTTTGGATTGAAAGTTTTCCATCTTTTTGTCTTGGTGGTTCACATGCCGTTTGTGATAATCGTCTTTGTTTTCTTATTGGTGAATTTGAAGTTCTCTTTAACTTTCGTTTTGCTGCAGATGGATTCTGTTTCTTCGATCGTGGTTCTTGCTCAACAAGTTCACTAATTTTACAATATCAATTACTATCTGGAATTATGAACGCATTTAAACGTACAAACAACTTACATTACTGTATCTTCTTCTTCAGATGCTGAAAGACTATTATTTTCACAGCCTTCTACATCATCTGTTGAAACGGTGACTGTAATTTCTTCGCATCCACCTTCGTCATTATAAAATTCTGTACTGGTTCCGGTCACAACGTATGTTGGCGGTTGGTGAGCTTGGTCCACAGCCGTTAAATAGTAGACTCGACCGAAATCAATTGTTGATGATACTGGAACTGGAAATAAAACGAAATCAATTATTCTTACGTTTCATTCTAATAATTTAATTTAATTGTAAAATACCTGTTGTAGGAATTGCAACCTTGTCCCTGAACGCCTGGTGTACAGCAAACCAAAAACACAAATTAGAAATGGTGAATAAGTTGCAAAAGTAGAAGAAGTTCTCAAAATTAAATGCAAACCTTTACAAACTCGAGTGTTCTTTCAAGTCCAGGCGTTGTATGACCCGAGGCAACCACACCTCCAGTTTGTACTGATTCTTCCACTTTTGTCTTTATCTGATCGGAAACGAGTTGAATTGCTTCTTGCACTCGACCTAACTCTTGTTGAAGAAGGGTCAATTTGTCAAACAGCTTCGTACAGTCTTGACACACTGGAAAATTGAGGAACGTGGACGAATGGATTTTGAGCGAATCACATAAAAATCTAAATGTTTTCTCTTGTTCTTGTCGAAATTTTATTGGCGAATTTAACTTCTCGGGTGGGGGGAAAGATGTCGGTTCTGTGCAAAATATGCAGGGGAGCGTTGTCGTCGAAGTCATCATGTTTCGATTAAATTTTAATGACCACCTATCAAAACTTTGAGATCATGTTACAAGTATTTCAATTTTCAATGGCGAATGATGAGTAAGCGAAACTAAATTAAGTTTAAAAACCACGAAATGACACTTGTATTAAAAACAGTGTGTATAACTTTGAAACTTACAACACTCGGAAATTCGACAAAAACAAACGAGGAAAACAATGTGCAATACAGAAAGTACTTTTGTGCATACTTGGAAATAGCGGTGAGGCAAATTGAGCCTTTGTTTTTTGGATTCCACAAATTCTATTCCAATCCAAGAATGCAAATTAAAAGTTATATAAATGAATGACATAATTTAATATGCAATTGTTTATTTTGAAAATTTAATGTCCATCTATTGTTATTTTCATCATGTTCATGAGTTATTAATTATTTAAATAGGGAATTATTGCTTTATATGAAAACCCTGCAGTCAGAAAATCCGTCACTCACTGAATCCATCTCTACCTATAAATTCTCACAATAAAAATGCCTAAATAAAATGACATCGTACAAAAAAGGCATCCAAATATTCTTCTTCGCCATCATAACAATCGACGCAGTAACATCGAATCTCCCCAACGACCCCGACCTAACCTCGACGGTCGTAGAAGGAATATCAATTTTAAATATATCTCCCCCCATCTTTTACACGTCGTTTGTGCCATTAATTTACGAGTTTAAACTCCCACGATGGTCAGAGGCAGATATTGCAGTGAAATGGCCGTACGGTGACTCCAATTCTTGTACGAGGTCTGAAAAAGTTACTAATATGAACAACATTGGTTGTGGCGTGGTCCATTTGTACAACTCAATTTTGGAAGAATTTTTAGCAAAGACAAAAATTCTACAAGAACCGATTGACAGTTTCACACAATATTCAAACGCACGATGCATACACAACCCTACATCGTCCACTACCGCTTCCGGAATTATGAAACAAGGAACATATTGGGAAATACTTGCTGGAAATATTGATTGCCCTCCGAACAAAATTGATCATCGAAATACAATAGCGGTCGAGTTTTCATCTTTTCAAACAACGAAATGGAACAGTTTATTGAAAAAATTTAGAGATTCGTATGTTTCAAAATTGTCACATTTTTCAATATCAAGTGCAACTTATGCAAATTCATATTCAGCAATGCAAGCAGGTGTATTGGTGGATCTGCTACAATCTGTTGGAAAATGGGAACGTTCCCTTGATCTTTGTCAAGCTGGAGTGCTTCCACGTCATTTGGTTTCGAAAAAGAGATTTACTTCATCATTGGAAAAAATAAAATCCCAATTAGCTCATCAAAATATGCAGCCGAGTATTAATATTGGAGAAAATCAACTCTATTACAAGTTACCATTAACGGATTGCGTGTTTGAAGATGAGAGGACGATGATTTTAAGAATATTAATTCCCATTAAACCAATTGGACGCATTTTTAAGGTTGTTGAAGTTATGTCAATTCCATTCTTGTCCAGTGGACTCGATCGCGCACCGGCCATTTGCAGTCTGAAGGATGTTGATGGTACATTTATCTATGAAGAGAAAACTGGAATGGTTCGGAAATCAGGGTGCAATCCAAACTCACTTTTATGCCCAATTCTACACCCAGACACGTTCTTGGAAAAACAAGATTGTGTGACTTCATTGTTGAGGAATGACACTGAAAATTTACAAATTTGTAAATCTGAATGTTTCCCATTCGATGTTTCGTCTGGATATATTATCAAAAGGGTAAAATCTGATCAATTCTTAATACTTGGGGATGCGATGGGAGGAGGAGGACAACCAAACTTCATCATTGTAAGCTGTGCGGGTAATTTGTCACATGAATTACAACCTAAAAGTATCGGGGCACTGGAAGTGATTCTATCTTGTGATTGCAAAATGGTGTACAACAATGTTCAATATCTTCCGGAAATTCCACATTGTGGAAAGAAATTTAGCACGAGACATATTGTTCCGTTAATTGCGTCGCCCAATTTACCCCAACCTGACCAACAAACATCTACAACTACAACCACAACCACTACGACTACGACTGAAATGGCACCAATAACACTACAGTCTCAAGACAACTTTTCAAGTTACGGACTAGAGATTATGGAACTGCAAATAAAATTGGCACAAATTGAAGATGAAAATGAAAAATTGAAGCAATTGACAACAATTAATGACAATCGGAATAACATGGGCTTAATATTTACGATTATTAGTTGTGTAATGAGTTTCTGTGCGCTCACATTATCGATTAACAACTGCATCTGCGGTGTCAAGAAGAAGGGCAATGAGGCAATGAAAGAAATGCAAATGAGACCTTTACATAATCAAGAAGTTTTGCAGACTGATGAATTTCGGAATTGCCAGCCATCCGCTCCTCCGGCTTCCGATTTGTATATTATGGAAAATCTTAAAGAAATTACACTTCCGGTAGAAAATACAATGGAATAATGCAGATTAAATTTCAATTCTTCATCACAAATTTGTATGATTTCTTTTTCAATTATGCTAATTACAGAACACGAATTTTCCACGAAATAATTTATTATTTTTAAATATTCCACATACAATTTTATTGTTATTTTTTAAATTAACAAGCCAGTGGGGATGGTAGCTGATTAACACATAATAATATTTATTTGTGCCTTTATTATTTTTTTCTATAATTAAAATTGCAAATTGACTTTCATTGAATTGTGGAGATGATTAAGTGGCATTATTATGCTTCAAATAACAATGGAATATTATTAACTGTAACTCAAATTGGTTAGCACAATTAACAATCAAATAACAACCCTACAATGTGTTGCACTGCGCACTACATATACTCCAAAACAGTCTTTTAAACAATCGATTGTATTGTTTGGTATGTCCCTTAAAAAATCATAATATGTAAAGCTATGCATGTAACGAGAGTAGAATGGTGAATACCATTTTGATTTTTTGTGTATAAAATAAAACTGAGATCTCTTACTTTGATTTAATGACAACCCGATATGTATTTTAAATATACGTTCCATTCCGTAAAAATTCTGTGTAATTATTGCACAACTATTTCTGAGTAGAAATTAAATATTTATTAATTTTATGTAGATAATAAAAAATGTCTTTGGGATTCGTTACACCTCCAAAATAAATATATGAGTCTACCAACCAACACACAAAATATCTGAAAATGGTCGTCGTGAGATTTCGATTTCGTCATAACCATTTTCTAAAATGATTTCAACCATCGTAAAACGTAGTGTAGTGCAGATATATTAAAATTAATTGATCAAGTGGCATTTACTTGTTGAGTTGACTAACTCAATCGCACTGATTTCTCTTTAAAAGACTGTCAATACTGAATGTAATTTTATTATTATTATTATTATTGTTATTATTAGAATTAGAGTTGTTGTGACCGACGGACTTTTTCTCCGTCGTCATATTACTATTCGTACCACCTTTAACTATTTCGCTGCTTTCTCTGTGATCATGATGAGAATGTGAATCATCATCCGAGTCGTCATCATCATCTTCATCCTCCGACATTGACATTGACAAAAATTTTGTATGAGACGAGGACGTATTATTATTATCATTCGAATGATTATTGCCAGAGCTTCCACTGTTGCTATTATTATTATTTGCAAGGTCATGACCCTGGTTGTTTTTTCGATCCCTTTTCCCACCGTTTAATCGTTTCGCTTCAAGTTCACGTTTTAACACGTCCAGCTCAACGTGCACACCACGGGCGGCCAATTTTGCTTGATGTTTCTCCAGTGATTTTAGCATCTGCAATTAAATTAGGAAATACAAATTAATTTATTATAAATGCTATTTTAGCTTGGTGAAATTGTGCTGCGTGTACAAATTAACTAAAAATGCACCCCTTTTGCATCATACAATGACATCATCGGGAGGTTTGAATCGTCGTGTGCATTGATTTATTTATTTGTTTGGCGTGGTGGCGTTGTTTTTGGTAAATAGGATAAGCATAGTAAAACCAAAGAGATCTAAAATCGCCCCAACCGCAACAAATGGAGAAAGCACCATGAAATTTATGTCGTTTCACTAGAACGGCACGTGACCAGCAAATTATCGAGATAAACAGAGGCTTAAATACAGATAGAATTTCTTTACCACTCTCCTCTGAGAATAAACAAAGAGATGAAAAGTCAGGGATCTGGGATCACCCCAATTTTGCCTTTGTTATTTTGTTGAGGGAAAGAGATCTTGTTCCCTTTAGTTTCTGGTTTCCACAATGCATATACTTTGTCACCAATGTATTTAGCGCACGTGCCGTGCCCCTAAAGCTGCGCTAATGCGCAAGGAAACATACATCGTGGTGACCGAGGGGATCAAACAAATGAAATCACCAGTAGCATTTAATCAGGGGGATTCATAGACTTTTCACAAAGAGAGCTTATCCCACACTCCACTCATTTTGTATGTATTCCTGCTACAAGGAAATTTACCGTCAATGAAAAATGGGAACAATCTTACGAATAAAAATGCATCCTCAAAAGAAGAATGAGAAACACGGACCAACGGAATTGTCCAACAAAAGGAATGAATCCCCTATCGTTGTTTGAGCAGATAAGGGAAATCAGAATCAGAAAACGGGCAGTGGTGGTTCTCGGACTCTGAAAAGTCTCTCGAGAATGTTTTGTCTCACTTTCTCCACCGCAGAATAAATCCCTGAATGAAGCTCGCAACCACCTCGGGCTAAAGGAAATGGTCCCGGAAGGGAAGTAAATGTCTATCTTCATCTCTCCAACATGGAGAAAATGACGGGAGTAATATTTCATCCTAAAAGAGCGAAACATAATCCGACCCCACCGACCACCACAAAAGTGGTTGGAATTGCAGACGACCAAGCAATAAAACAGAGAGAGAGGTCAACTCTTGGATCATAATAACACGCATCATCTACGTTTGACTGACTGAGCAGCCACATGTGCATATTTTTATATTCTCTTTTGGTTAGTTTACTGGAATATGTAACCACAACAATTTCTACAATTTCTATTCTTTCAAAATGTTACGTCAGGAAAGTTCTAAAGTTGTATCACTAAATAAAATTAGTTTCCTAAAATACCAATTTGTTTCCGGCCATATATGTACAAAGTCGATAGTTGTTGTTTTTTTTTGTAACGGGCAACCACATCATCATCTCTTTCTCCTTCTCATAACATAACCTCAATTTAATGAAGCAATAATGTAATAACGATCCCATCCCAACCTCACTCTACTCACCCTTCTCACTTCTTCCAACAACTTACACATATAAAACATCACATCAGAGGCATCATCAAAGTGCAATAAGTTAATGGTCGAAACGGGCGATAAAAACATGATTGATGTTGCTTGATTACACGTTAGAATCAACATGAAACTTGACTGTAATGAGAAAATTACAGGTAACACCGAAAGTAAGAAAGATCAGGGTTCCATTACACGATCCACATACCAAACCAACACACACATAATCACCACACAACTACTTGTGTACATACACTCTTTGTTTTATATGGAGAATCAAAATTGAAACTTTTTTCTTCTTTAACAACAAAAAAGTTTAATAATAATATCTCAATATCTCAGCCGAATAGAAAAGAGGGGAAAAGGTGCCCTGGACAAAAAATAAAAATTGTTAAAATGTGCCCAGGACAGACCGACGAGAAATATGGAGCAAACAGAAAACATTTTATAATCGATCCTCACAAACTTTTATAATAATAAATGGTTTGGACAAAAATCGATCATCAAGAAATGTTGCTCGCTCGTATGTAATAAGTTGGTATGCAGGAAAAATGTGGAGGAAAAGGTTATTATATAACAATTGAGTGTGCCCTTTCCTAAGGCAAACTATTTAACTAACAACTTTATCAGTTTCATCATCATGATCGTGAAGATGAGACTGCAATTCAATTGGTAATTTTTAACTGGAAAAGTTGATTTCACTCAACGTGGGCATGTTGAAATGGAAACCATGGGTAAAAGAGATCTAAACTGGGAAAGCTTGTTTGCATCATTAAATAAGCATATCCATGAACTTTAACAAAGTCATTTTTAACGGGTACTCGACGTGAAATAAGTAAGTCTTTCATACAGCAAAACATAATACATACATTTTTTCAGCGACTTGTTCAAGTTGATTAAATTCACATTACTAAATCCTGTTTAGTAGAATGCTTTAATAGAAAAAAGAACTACGGTTTGCAAAATAACTTGAACAACTCCTTTAGAAACAAATTGTCTGATTAGTCCAACACAAGAGATCACGTAATCGGAGCATAAATTGTGCAGTGAGTAACGTCAAGGCGAAAGAAAGGAATTGGGGATGATTGGTGCCAAGCCAAGCGTGAAGAGCGAGGTGCAGATTGAAACAACAACGGTGAGCCAGAAGACAGAAGTAATCAGAGGTCTAATGAGCTCTGCTGGTTAAGTGTATATATGCGCGCGGAGATATTAATTAAGTTGTCATAAAGCTGAAGAGACAGAAAAAAAGACAAGTTAATTACACATGATGGAGAAGGTGTGATAATAACTGAATATTGGATTATTTACTCTCCCTCGACAACAATGCAGCAAACTTCAGCCTGTTATATTGGGGGACCTCAGACACACTAAAAAATCGTCGCTTAGAATTTCGCTTCGTTTTTCGCTTATCGATAGTATGACCAAAAAGATGAAAATTGCAAAATTTTGTTCCGACTGGAGCTAACCGACCTTAACCCCACTTCTGAGATAAGTTTCTGTTCGTTTACCCGGGAGCTCGCTTATCAGGAAGTAAGCGAAAAACGAAGCGAAATTCTAAGCGACGATTTTTTCGTGTGTCTGAGGTCCCCCATTATAAGCCCATTTTTCTTGGGTGAAGCAACTCCTTAGTTGCGAAATACAAAACCCAGTCACTACGATGTATCGATGTATGTATGTACATGTGTATATTCAACATTGTTATAGGGGATTCCGTGTAGTGATCTTAATACTAATTGAAAAATTAAGAACCTCTGCACAAAGCAGAGAGGTATCATGCAACGAGAGGTGCGAGCTGGTTCGTTAAGAAAAGAGGGCAGATGCTCCAAGAAAACAATTTCTCTCCGTCATTTTTGAGTAATAAATAAAAATATCTTGCACCATGAACACCAATCCGACATGCCAGCCAGAGTGTTATTTCGTGTCATGAGAAAAATATTACAATTTACGATAGCAGAGAGAGAGAGCACCCTTTACTTGAGCTGGCAGAGAGTTTTTAGTAGCCTGTGGCAAAATCCAACGAGATTCTTAACGTGGAAATTACTTTGCTTAAATCTTTAAGAAATCTTTAGGAAAACCGACGGAAAGAAGACGAGCTTGCTCTTTGTTTATTATTATTATGTTCTTAAAGGTAATCATGGGTTGTTTTTGTTGTGGCTCTGGCGAAAAAAACTGACGTGTTAATTAAGTACACTCCAGTTGCCCCTCATACTTAGTTAGATACCGCTTTACCTATCCTAATTTATTTCCTTTACTTGCCACGTTCATACATTGTACAGCTCAATTTAGGGTACAAACTGATGGACACAAAATTTGTGTTACAAAAATGCTGGCCACTTCCCTTGTTCATCCGTGTGCTTAATTAAGTAGGAAATACGTTTGTACATATAATTGAATTTCTAATTACTTTCTAATTAATATCTTTTTTGGGTTTAGATTTTCTCTCAAATTCTTTACTTCTGTACATCGAATTGGTGAATTGAAAACTATTCTTATTTTTTTCTACTAATCTGTAACAAATGTTGTATGCAACTGAAATTATCGCTGCAAATGGTGACCATCTGTAAAAGTAAATGAGAATGAGACTCCTCTTTCTGTTTAACAATTCAAATCTGTTGCTCTGATCTGCTGATTAATGTTGGTAATCATAAATTGTTATCCAAGTGTGAGTAATTACAAAACCAACAAGGACCCGAAAGTGTCCCCAGAGGGAGGACGGAAGCGGCGGAGGGAAGGGCGACGTGAACGGATTGTGATTGTTGATAGATTTTATAGGATCGAGAATGAAGTCAAGGGTGCTTGAATCTCATGATTCACCAGTCAACCAAGTAGTGTGTATTATTATTAATATATTTATCCACTAGTAGGGAACAGACTGACGGGGGAATTGTCAAGGGTCTAATATATTTGGCTCGTGGTGGTGCGAGGGATTTACACCAAAAAGAGCAGCCCCAGAGAGAGAGAAAAGACGAAGGGGTGTGTGCCGTGCTGCTGGTTGGCATCCATTCAATTCAGAAATCATCATCATCAGAGATTAATAGAGAAATCTGTTTTTATCTATCTTCCAATTCCCAAAGTCCCAAATCTAATATTCCTAAAATAATAACTTGGTTTTTGCACTTTCTCCGCAATACGACGACTTTATAGGTTTTCTTTCATGATGATTACGGTTACGGAGACTTTTTTTTTCTGTGGAATATTTTCATGTCAATTTTCATGTCATGAAATGAAATGAAATAAATATTATGTTTTCTGAGGCATTTCAAAAAACATGCAGTGCTGCCTTCATAAGCCCGAGCCATTTCGGAAACTAAGGATGGGTCACTAGAATCCCCTGACCAATATTTTTCCAAAGTTTATCTTTTATTGTGCATTAATTTTCTCATAAGACCGGAAAATTCTTTCCAATTACAGGTTAAACCAGCCTGGTTAAATTAAAATTTCTTGAAATATGTATGGGTAAATAGGAGTTATGTACCCCTGCACCTATGTGCCTAATTTCAGCCTTTATTTCCACAGACAGACGTACATACATGAGGCTTCTATAAAACCTGACTCTGCCTAAAATGATCATGTCAGTTTAATATTAAAATTCACGGAGTCTACACAAAATTAATTCCACTTCCAGCAAAGTAGAACTTGATTCGATGGAACGGATGGAAATTTGGTAAAAAGGTAATTTGTTCACTTCCCTTCAGAGAGAAGGAAAAGTTCTGCCAAGACTACATGAGCACAGACACGGCACTCCCTCCGTCAGCAAAAGAGATGGTTGTTGGTCTAATAATAATCTGATTTGATCCCCACCAACCACCACCCGTCTCTCTCCACTAATGATCATCATGGGCAATAAATATTCATTATTTACTTTTTATTTGAACAAATGTATTTAGTATTTCCTCCAGAGTTCTGTATATCAAACCATCATCATCATCATGGTTGGTCTTCATGCTCTTCAGTGTAAAGCAAAGAAATGTTTAGCCACGCAAGGCAAGCACAACAAAATTATCATGCTCCATTCGTCATTTCAGTCCAACTTGTGGTGTAACCGATGGTTCGTTATTACTTTTTCATTTTTTCCACAAACTACAATTAACTAATACAATGTAAATAACTAGTATATAAACCTAGTCGAATTTCAATCAATCACATAAAAAAACTTTTTTTCTCAAATTTCAATACAATTTCATCGTTGAGAGACCACGAAATGTAAATTTGAACTGAAATGATCCCTTTAGGTTCAACCACCAATGGAATTCTATTCTATAGAATATTCCTCCTCTAATCAGTATTCCAACAAAAGCCTTTGTATTTTCTTTGTGTATTTAAATTCATGGAGAAGGTAATGCTGCTGCTAATAATGAGGGGAAAAGGAGAGAGGGGGATGGAGTGCTTGATCTTGGATTAAAAAACGTTGCAGTTGTAATGTAATCAAACGACTCTCTCGAGAGACATTAAAGATCAACCAACAGATTGCCTTTCACTCACTCATTTCCCTTCAGTGAATGAAAATCTATATGGCGGAAATGTGCAATGAATTCAATTTTGCCAAGTTATCCTGCGGAAATTATTGGATAAATTCCTTGGGAAATATTTTATTTGGAATAATTCTCTCCAAACGAGAATACGACAAAGGATGCGAATCATGAGAAGAAGAAATTGCATTTTGCGTCGAGAGTAAGCAAACTGGAGAATAAGTAAGAACGAGGACGACGACGATGGAGTCAGAGAGAGAGCAGGAGTCGGAGAAAGTCCCTCCTTCTTTCACCCCCAACTCTCCCGAATCACATTAAACTTAATCGATTCCCTGTTAAAGCGACTTTCCTTCCTGCTTCTTCCTCCTCGTTCGTTGTGTGACTTTGCTGGCTGGCATAAGTTTCTCTGCTTCCCCTCCTTCTGCTTCTCTGCCCTCGCTGCATATGTGGATATTCATCGGGTGAAAGCATGACTCCCCCTTCACGGCCTCCCCACCACCACCACCACCAAACACCACACACCACTGAATCTCAATTCTTTGTTGGATCGTTTATTGCCTCAATCGAAATCGATGCTATTGAATTTACTACAAAACCGCATGTGAGACAGGAGGGCTTAGCGTCGTCCTGTGGGAGGGTCTCTTTTTTACTTTACTTTACTTTACGACCTCATACATACATTCCTCAACTGACTTTCTTTTTAGTTTTGCTACCATAAAAGTAATTCCGTTTCAAATGCGAAAAAAACTAGGTCGAGCTCCTCAAATGAATTTCGTATTCATTAAAACAAATGGATGCAGTATTGAATTGTGGAATTAATTAAGTTTTTAATTAAGGAAATTATTATTACAAACCTTCTTTTCGCGTCGGAGTTGTTCCTTTCTTTGTAGCTCGTCCGGGGGGATGGGTTCTCCGCTGCAGGTTTGTGGGTGGGCGTTATGAGCTGGACGTCCTGGGCCTTTCTTCGTATGTTCACGCTTCCTCCACTTTGCACGACGATTTTGAAACCAAACCTGCTGAGTAATAGGGTTGTGTAGAAAGAAAACAATTATGGGAAATATACAATAGGGACGACACTTTCGAGGCTTGTAAATTGAATGCAGATGTAAAAATAGGATAGACAGATTGGACTCACCGCCACGCGTGACTCCTTCAGATTAAGTCGTAAGGCAAGAGCTTCCCTCTGAAAATTTCAGTCCAAGGTTCATAAATTTGAGCTATTTATGATTTACTTTCACATTTTCATGTCACTAAACTGAATAAAATAATCTACCATGAAGACGTCTGGATAGTGTGAACTCAGGAATGCTCTTTCTAACTCTTCTAATTGCCACGAGCTGAAGTTGGTGCGACTTCGTCTCCTGCTGTTGGAGCTGTTAGCATTTTTGTCTTCCATCAAATCGTCATCGTCATCCGAAAATTCCGAGTTGTCCAGAAGGTCTTGAATTTTGTAGGATTTGGGAAGGTGATTGGCAAATGACTTTTGTTGGTTTTGAATGAGGAACTGCTGACCGTGGGTCATGGCGGCGGCTGCGGCGGAATGGTTTGTCCCACTCGTCCCATGATGGTTGTGATGGTTCATTAGCAGAGTCATATTATTGAGAAGGGAGGACGCCGTGTTTTGGTAGTATTCCGCTTGGTAATTTTTACTCAGACTTGTACTGTTGTTACTATTGCTTTGGTTTGGTTCATTTTGATCGAGGGATGACGACGAGGGTGGAGGTTGAAGGGATCCCCCTCCTCCCCCCGACGACGGCTGAGGTGGGGCCGAGAGTCCAAGACCATTCGGAGATGTGGTGGGAAGGCAACCTGGCATTTTAACATATGTCACGTCATACATGTATCTAAATATACGTGGTATTTATTAATCCATAATGGCCAGTCTCTAAAAGTATACCAATAAAATCTGAATAATTAACGACTTGTCCACCCTGCATGTTTCGTGGTTTAGAGGAGGAGGGTTAGACAGGAATAATTAAATATGTGTGTGTGATCATGCATGGTAAATATATCCCAACGTGTATTTGCTCCTCACTTTCTCTAGGCAGTTGTGCAGGACTTTCGTGCATGATGAAATATTAAACATAAATCAACATTACTCAATCAACACCTTCTATACTTTCTCTGACATGTGTGTATGTCAAGTCTGGAATCAAACTTACATGAACTTGTTGACATAATCGCATTCATTGGATAGATTTGTGTGAAACTATTGATTTTATAAAATTAAATATATTACTCGAAATATTTCTGCTATTTCATAACTCTGTCATTTCATTTCTATGAGATTGCATATGTGAGTTTCTGCCTTGAATAATCACAGTTTCAGCATAAGAAACTCCAAGAAAGGAATGTCGTGCCCACCACCAATTAAACTTTTAAAGGCTTAATTGAGATATATGTACGTGGTGGTGGTTCTCGAGTTAATTAGAGTTTACGCTATCTTTCATTGTTTTACATGAGCCTCATGAGCCTGCCAACTTTATAATTTCACCCATAACATGAAGTTTTTATAAATTATGTAAGCGTATAGTTAGTTTAGAAAGCAATATGCTCTGATAAAATGGATGATTGCTCTCCTTAATACGATCTGTCAACTAAATAAAATTTAATTGCAATGACATTTTGATAAAAAAGTCGATAATTTAAGCTATAACGTTGAACATATTACAATTTACACATGATTAAATATTCGTTTAGCATATATTGTAAAATTTCATTTTGCTTCATTGATTTTATGGAAGGTCAATGTCGTCTGTTTGGACGATCTGTTTCGCAGATATCGATATGCACAACCTTGTAAAATGCGGTCAAATATAAATATTGTATGAAACTCACCTCTATTTATAATACTTTGAAGGTAACTATCACCATGGCAATTATTAATGAGATGTTGACTAGACGGAAACTTGCTGCCCCCAAACCCCTTGTGATTATTATTGTTATTACTCCCCCCGTCGCCGCCCCCACCGCCGTCCCCATCGCCAACGACCCCGCGAACGCTCGCACTCGCCACGGCCGCCGCCGCCGCAGCAGCCGCCGCGTAAAGAAACGCCTTGCTCGTCTCCACCGCCGCCGCGCTGCTCGCCCCAAAAAGGTTGTTGTTGATGAATGACTGGTTGAGGAGGCCGTGGTGGTGGCCGTGCGGGGGGTGGTGCGGGTAGTGCGGGTTTTGATTCGGTGGTCGCATCGGGCGAGGGACACGAATTATCGTGGAGGCAGTCGGTGACGTGGTAAGAATCAGGGGGGAATTATTATACTTGTCCGAGGTTGGGCTCAATGGTGGAGGGGTTGAGGAGTGGGAGGAGGGTCGTTTGAAAAGATGGGGGTGGTTCGTGCCCGAGTTGTTGTTATCGTTCTCCGTGGAGGAGTCTTCTTCTTCTGTGTCAATAGATTCATTGCTTGAGGATGGCACGTTTAGTAGTAACATTTAGAATATTTTGTGTGTATCTACTTTATCACATATACACGTTCAATTATAGATTATTATATTCTCAATTTATACACACCCGGTTTCCACTTTGTCAAAAGTCATATTGGTTTTCATATACTATTGGTAAAACCAATTTGTACTCATTAAACAATGCGTTGGACATGTTGGGTAAAAGTGGGAAAGTGGGCAAACAAACCGATTTTACTCGAAATGAACACTTAAAATTTTAACGTGTGCAAATAACCGTTTACTTTCACTTTTGTCACGACTCAAAATGACTCCACGAAATAGAGAAACGAACACCTCACACACACATTTTCTTTCTCAACTCGCACTTTCTGTACCCACTCGCTCGCCTCTCTCGCTCTCAACTCGATGTAATTACTGCTCCAACTTTCTCTCTCGTCTCGAGCTTCCACTTTTTTGTCCACTTTCACCCCACGCTAAATTTTCCATTCATTAATTGTCCACTATTTGGGGCACGTTTTCAGCGAACCTCCCACCTCGTCACCTTGTCCGCAAGGAAGGCGCATGTACAGCGGGTGGATGATGATGGCGATAAAAAATCAATTTTCGAATCCATTGGTTTTTAATTGAATGTGTATTCAATTGTCGAGTGGTGGAAACAAATCTGTTAACCACCAACAAGAGACTGAATCTCGACTGAACTAACTTTGAGTAACTGGAACAACACACCCATATAACTCTAAGCTAAAAGAGTTAAGTAATAATGATATCCTTGCAACAATCCTAAAGCCAACCTCCCAACCAAACTAGCCACCCAACTAACCAAATAGCAGCAGCATAGCAGTCGTCCTAGTCCAAGAAGAACAAGCAACTTAAGTAATTTAGGGACATTATAGATGATGATGATATTTTTTCTATTATAACAAATCCAACTGCTCCTGCGTCCTGCCTGCTTCAAACATTTTATAAAATGCAGACTCGTCAGCATTGTGTGCCCCACAACTCTATTCAATAGAGTCAAATTTCAATCTATTCCTTTCTCCCCATTGGACAAAGCTCCCCTCGATCCCACGCCCACTATTCAACCGGTTGGGGAGGGACCTCCGTCGTTGGCCACTACTTCTTTCTTCCAACGCTCACGGTACCCTCGATGCGATGCGACGCATCATTCCTCTCGCCAGATCTCCTGGAGACTGCACGACCCACCCAACTTTGTGGTGCGGATTATTTCTATTTCATTCAATGTGCACGCCCGTAAGTAAAAGTTATCTGAGACGAGTGAATAATAACATCAACCTTCCTTTTTTACCCCTTTTTTCCTCTCCCCAGCTATTTTAACACTCTCTCACAAAAAGAGAGAGACTTCTTGACCACGACCATGCTCGCCTACGTATTTTTCTACGGGCTTGGGAAAATGAGATGGTTTCCTAGCTTTTCTTTACCATGTTAGCTCCCCAAATTAGCCACACACACACACACACGAGGAAAAAATGGGATGGTAATTGGATGGAAATGGAAACGAGGAGACTGATTATGAGGTTGATTGTATTCCCCAGAGTGAATTGAACATGATTTGATAGATTTTTTTCCCATCCGGAACAAAGCAAGAGGTGTGAAAATGGGTCTAGTTTTTGGCACAAAATGCAAAGAATTAAAGCAACGCACATTTTATCGTGTCAAAATTTGTTTCATGTTTCTCTCTTTAGAATTTGGTCAGAAATTAGTAAAATCAATGAAACATTTCTGACACAAGAATTTGTTTGGAATCAGAAATGGGGGATTATTAAATTGGAATTGGGCATAAAAATGATTGGTTTCTTTTTATTGCGCGATCCTTTATTGCTGCTGCTGCTCCTTCTTGGCAGCAGAGTAATAAAAGAGCTGGGAGAGCATATTTTCCGGAGGGGGAGGAGGAGGGGCATGTGCACAAGCAGGGACAAGCAGAACTTTTCACTTTTGTGCCTTTCTCCCAGGCTTCGTATATCTTTAGCTCATCATCAGAACTCAATTAGGGGCGCCGTATAATTTATAATTATGGCCCTCCCTCCTCCCATCTCTCCCTCTCCTTCAAGAAACGAGGACGGGTTTGAAACTCGGTTCAATGGCGAAGCATGGAGCTAAAGTAATTTGTATATGAGCTTATTAGCGTTTAAAGCGAGTATTAGCTCTCACTTATTATTACTCGTGGCGTGTCCAATAAAACCCTATGTGGTGTGTTTGATTAGTAAATCCATCGCTCGCATGGGGCTCACATTTCATTATTCCACACCACCACCAACAACCAATTCAATACACAATACCCACAATTTCCTTCTTCTTAATACAAAATAAATATTAAAAAACAACAATGATTGGTTTCACTCGAAAATAAAATTAATTCATGTTCATTCCTCGGTATCATTTGTGTCTTTGAAACGGAATAATTCCAAATGGCATTTCGACAAATTAATCGAGATGTCAATTTATAGAAAACCACAAAATTCATGCTGCTGCAGACGCTATTTATTGGAATAGAAATTGGATGGTTTGTGGTATAATTTTGTATGCACACATAACGGTCTTTATACTTTTAGCAATTTCTGAAACCATTATTGAATCGTATTTATTTCTCATCTTTACCGTATGAATCTATTTTTAATGCCAGAAAAATAGTGGTCAATTTTTTTTAAAGAAAAACCAACTCACTAAATGCAAAATTACTTACAAGTTATAATGAAAAAAAATATCGCATGGTTTTTGGATTCAGTTTGCAATTCCTTTATTTTTCTTACTCATAAATTCAAATGGGTATCGAAACGATTTTAGATAATTGAGTTGTTTTGTTTTTAATAAAATTTCCTGTTTTGGCATTTGCAAAATAATATTAAATATGTTGTTTAATAACATCGAACATGGAATTGGTCGGGCAAATGGCAAATTAAATGGTTCCCTTGATTATTTTATAAGTATTATTCTGTCTGCAAATCCATATTGCTGTGTCCTCTCTATCCCGTTTTCACCCTCTCCTTCGTTGAAATTATTTATTTCACATTAGTATTCGTAATAGGATTCTCTCTTCAGTATCGATTCCACGAATTAATGAGCTCAACCATATTCACGATTATTTGCTATTTACATGCTCCTCCAACTTGGTCAGCAAAATTTATTATGCAATAGCAAAATTATACATATAAATTGTCAAATATCCTGGTAATGGGCACAAGAAATTTAACCCTATTAAGCGCACAAATATTCTACAGCGCATATAGAAATTTGCGAGCTGGTCTAAAATTAAGGAGAAAAATGTAAAAACTTGTAAAGTGAAATATGATTTCATGACAAATTAGTAATTAAAAAGGTATTCTTGGTGTTTGTTGAATTAGTGTGAAGGGCAGAACATGCGATGCTGATGAGCTTGGCGAGAAGATATGAAGGAAGATGGTAAGTACGTACATGAGAAGGGACTCGAGAGCTGAAGAAGACGAGGAGATGATGATAATGGAGGAAGGAAGAGGAAAAAGCGTTATCTCTGAACGAACGGCCCCGTAATGAAGTTGTCAAAAAGTTCAGTGATAGATTTATAATCAGGAGAAAAAGTTAACAAGTTAATTATGTTATTTCTTTTTTTGGGGTGTTGTTTAAGGTGGTGTTGGGGCAGAAGGAGGTGTTGGTGAAGAAAATAAGTCAATTTATCCCTGACAGAAAAACAATTTCGTTCAACCCAACGAAAAAGCACACCAGCCGACGTCAAAATTGTTTAACGCCGACAAAAGAAAAATGAACAATTGTTATTTTCTTCCCTTCAACTATAGCGTGTTCCTTCTGCCCTGGCTTTTGGACGATGGCATGATCATGAAGAAAAGGAAGGAGGATGAACCATGAACTTGCTGTTGGCTTGGATAACTAACATGAACGAGAATGAGACGAGAAAGAGACGAGAAAGAGAGATCGTTTTCCAGCAGAATATCAATAGTGGATAATAATTTCTTTAATATATACAAAAATGGGCTATCTAATAAGCCATCTAATAAAAATATCCATTATTTAAAGATGCATACATACGCTACACAATTGGATTCGAGTGTGTAAAACTGATTTGGAATTAAGAAATTAGTATTATTTTATGAAATTGGATACTAGTAATTTACCAAATTTATTTAATGCAAACCATTTTGTACAATTTTTCAGAATTATCATAAAAAATGATTACTTTGCGGGAATGGAGTGAAAAGTGTAGCTGGTATAAAATGGTTTAACTTTGAGTATAATAAATTCTGATAAGTATGGCTATTACTCCTTTCATTATGCTCTGTGATTACGTATCATGCCGTTTAAAAAATATGAGTGATCGCATCTTCCTTCGTACATTTTATGTAGAATGGATCTCTCGCATGGAATGGAATGCAGAGCAATCCATGATGATGGCACATCTCGTACATATAAAAAAAAGTTCATTGTTTTACATGTAAATCGTCTCCTCGGCGTGCATGTGTCGGTTGTTGTGTGGGTTAAAAGAGAGCTGAAATATTCTCACATTAAAATACATAACCAATTTTCCACTCTGCTCTTACTTTTATGGATGGGAAAATAATTTACGAAATCGTTATCATTTACAAATTACAGCTTGAAAAGTATATAAATTGAAATGGTTTATATTGATTTATGGACTTTGAGTCTAATTTGAAAACGCAATGTTTGTGCTATTTTTTGGTATAGCGAGAAAAACAAGTATTTAAGAAGGCGCAGGTATTTTTCAAATTGAATAGCATTCAAAAAATTCCGACGAGTAATAAATGTCTAAACAAATTACAAGCAATCCAAGTTCATTTGCCAAAATTAATAGCTTTTTTCCTCAAGAGCCATAAATTCAATTCTTTAAAGAAAACTTAATTAACTCCAGCTTAATTAGAAGTTGGACCAGAGAAAATTATAGAATTTGTAGTTTGACACCACCACCACCACCACCAGCACAATTATTTGAATCATGGCCTAGCCTTATATGTAAGTATAGTGGCATTTATTTGTTTGCGTGTGAGGAGATCCTCTAATCATTCCGACAACAATCAACACTTTTAGATATACAAAAAACGCACATAATAATAAGCATATCGCCACTACCACTTTTGCCAGCTAACAACTTGAGACTCCTAAAAGTTACCATGCAGAGGAGCCATTACAAAATTGCGTGAGTGAGCCTCTCGGAAAGACAAGTTGCGAATTAAAAATCATGATACATAACAAGCACTTTAGCAAGTCTGGCATTTATTTATCTTGTGGTGGTGAAAATGGATTGCACGTTGGTAGCGAAACTAAAGAACGGAGAGTAATTATTGTGCACCCTGCATAGCGTGAAACCGACATGAATAATTAAAATTCAATTTACTTAATCATCACTTTTTATATGTATACCTTGTTACTTTAATGCTCATGTTTTTCACGGCTTGGCACTTGTTAAACTCGCTTGTGAAACATATACATAAATACAAATGGAATTGCAGCCAAAATTCATAATCTGTTCGTTCAAACTATTCAAATTAAATACTTAAAATTGTTGTATGTCCAGAATTTAAAATTTATTTAATACCTGACAGTGTGATCGGAATAATAAAATATGTAATGAAATACGTACTGGAAAAAATTGATTAATAGCAGCTGATAAAAATCTATGAGATATTTATATTTCAAAGCTAAAAATTTTCTATTGTGAGAAAATTGAGACACCAAAGGTTGAATAGGATGATGATGGTTTCCTGTATATCTATTAAATTGATTACAAGTTTGCTCTATAACAATTTTTACGATACGCATGATGAAAATCCAACGAAAGAAAATGGATTATTATTATAATTTTGTATTGAAATGAGATATAAATGCCGGTGGAGGGTTGGGTTGGGATGCAATATGAAAGCAATAAATGGTCAGAAATAATAACAGCCTTTGGTCAGGTACAAAAATAATCAACTAATCCAACAACATATGGCCACTAGCTATATAACTCAATTTGAATACTAAATAAGTTAATTCGCATGCTGACACACACACACACAAACAACGCAGCAAAAAATTATAATGTAAATTACTTGTTTTATTTTTTATTGGCATTATTCACCAGTGGTTTTAGTGTTTTGTGTTGCATTGATTAAATAGTTACCTATATACATAGTTTGCGGCTAATGGATAAAAAAATTGGCATATTTTTAATTGAATTTTATAGAATTTACAACAAGAAAATCTCATTTAGCCCAAATTTCGTTCTTTTTTGTATTATCTATTACTTTCCTTCACGAACTGCCAGTCTCAGTTTTTATGCAAATGTACAAAGGAATTTGCAAAGCAATAATAATTTTATTGATTGATTCACGAATTTGATAAAGTATTTGTTTCATTAGGGAATTGCTGTGCAGCGACCAATCTATCACTTCTCCTGTTCAAAAGGTTTATCCATTCAATTCACCACCAGCCATTGCCCGCAGTTTATATGAGCAGGTAGTAATAATACGCAAGAAGCATACTTTGTTGAGTGGATATGTATGGACAGACTTGTTGTAATAGAATAGTTGCATGTGAAATCTATATCGCATGGCAAAAGCGTATGAAACAACAAGCCCAGTTTTAATAACTTAATTGGGGACCAGTCCAAAAAACGTAATAACAGCCGTCTTGTAATAATAACTTTGTAGAATCTATCCACCAGAGCAGCTCGCATATTACGAAGCACATTGATATTATTATGGACTTGATCTTGTTAGGTGGACTCAACTGACTGGTAAAAGTGGCAGAATCAACTCTCCATCATAATCCAGCCAAACCAATTCCCAGAGATGTAAGGGTCAGATAAATTACATAATTTACGCCACTTTCTCTGTATCGAGAAGAAATTGAGACATGGCCATGTTCGCTCAACTACTCGTGTATGTATGCTCATGCAGACTTCCATTAGACGAGAGAAGAACAATGAGGGACGGGGCAGACTCGGCTGAAGAACACGGTATCTTTTTAACTATCTCCATCGGCAATTGTTTAGACAACTTAATAATTGAATGGGTACTGACGGCTCGTTTTTTTCTACTTCCAATGATTGATGTCCCTTAATTACATAGGCACACACACACCCCAACCAGCTCGGATTTTCAAATGGTGGGTATAGGTTTGTACTTATGTGGGACCCCTTGCTGCCAATAGTGTATAAATAGGCTGTAAAAAATGTCCACCTCATACGGAATTTGTGGCTCGATTGATTCTTCTGCAGATCGTGTAAGAAATATGTATCAAACTTTTTACAGCTTTTAGACTTGAGAGATTGTTAAATTAGGGCGAAGGTCGTTAAAATGGAGGAAGAAGGAGGGTCAGTCGTGGTAAAGAATTAAGGGTCGTGTCATACCGACGAGAAGGAGTCATGCAACCAAGAAAATGAGTTCATTTGGGGAAAAGCACACAATGCTCGTTATTACACGGCGAAATTGTAAATTACACATCATATACACACAATCGTAATGTGGGGGAAGTACAGAGGATGACGAAGGACGGGATGCAGTCTGCTGCTCAAAGATATATATTCATAATTTTCATGCTTTTGTAGGAGGATATGCGGGGCATGGAAAACATGAAATATTTGCATATGGTGGATCTATTTAGTGCAACTTTTAGAGAGAGGAGCAGAGAATAAAAAAAATTGGAAATATGAATATCAGCAAATGTCTCCAAACTACGTGACAAAAGAGCAAAGCATTGCAACAATTCCGAATATGAAGCCTATTTTTATTGCCAAAAATCAACTCAACTGGTTCAACTCATTATTGATCCACATTTGATAATAACCGTCATCTGTGCTCCCTGCCAAATGTTCCACTTGAAGCTGAAATTGCTTTTATGTGGGAGTTTTTGGCGGATTCACCCTACAACTAGCATAAACCCTGCAATTTTACAGAATAAAAAAGCCAAAATGCACAAACAATCATTTAAAGTAATGCGATATGATAACGTGAGGGCCAATTTTCTAAAACAACTTGCTCTCGCAGTATCATTACTTTCATAAGAGAGCAGAATAAGGCCCGGTCTTGCTTGATCTTGATTAAATTACCTTCAGCGGTATTTATTAGGATGTGAGTTTGTGGAATACGTATAAATATTTGCAAAAGTTTTATATGTATGTCTGAAAAAGTAGATTGTATTGTTTAAGGGGAATTATTGATACATGGAAATAAAAGGTTCCGTCCGACATTAAAATATGTCATGTATTCAGATTTAAATTGGAGTAACTTGTATAACTGCTGGCCTCTATATAATTTCGAGTAATGATATCAAAATATTCAGTGTGGATGGTACTATATTTCCAAGTTTTCATGCTATAAGCATTTATGCGATAAAACGTTTTAAAATAAAATTATCGATAAAATGGTGGTCCGTTCTTTCTCTGCTTTGTTCAAGGTTTCGACTATACATTACTTAGAAATAATTGATGATGGTAAAAAAGAGTCAAACCAAATCAAAAGGATGACAATAAACATAAAATGAATAACTCCGAGTGAGTGACATTTTGATTTGAATGAAAATGATGATGCTCTTGCTCTTTGAGTGAAGAAAAGTGTATGTGGCTTTTGGGAGACTTTTTTGAAAGATTATTCAAAAGAAAAAGACTAACTCGGTGCATTTCTTATTGTATAATAATAATAATAATAAAATGACCTTTAAACAAAGTCAGCTCAAGAATAATACGCGAGAATTCAGTTTTTATGGTTGTGAAAATGGTTAGCTCACACTGTGACAAATCCGTGTGACAAATCGTGTTATATTTACTATTCCCGTCCCATGCACGCACCCTTTTCTTCTTTATAGAATTCTTTAGCATTGGTTTTGTAGAATGACGCTGATTTTTTTGGCTGAGTGGGGAATTTTTATTTGATATACTATGAATACGTGTAAAATTAAGCAAGAAATTTGCAAATGCTATGAAAATGTGCAGAATCTGTATACAATTGTCGTTTTAAGAGGACAGAGAGAGAGAGAGAGACGAGTAAAAAGTGCATACGTCGTCGGAGAGGGAGAGGCAATAAACAGTTTTTATTATAACCGAGGGACGTCGAGGGAGGGTTCAGATATGATCATCATCAGGGATTTGTTCAAATCTTGTTCTCTTTAATTCCCTATTCCCAAATCTAATCTAAAAATAAGGAATAATATTAACAGATTTCCCAGATTAACCAACACACTCTAATAGCGCATGTAGTAGTACGTATATACAAATATACACGAGGAAAGTACGTAAATGGCAGTTTCCCCACAGGGTCGCCTCCCGTTTCTCTCCTCTTTAGTTCCAGCGAGAGGTAAGTAAAAGTCGAGAGTCGAGAAAGACGGAGTGTAAGTAAAAGTTTTTCATGACGACGTAGTAAATAAGTACACTATTTCTCGATACTCTGTTTTTGATGACAAAAATTTGGAAAATTATTTTTTATTTTTACTACATTTGCGTCATTTGTACTACTTTTAGGAACTTGTTTAGATCTTGTGCATGTGTAGACATTGGGATCATTGGAGATGACATTTTCCCATTTAAAACTATAAACAAATTATAAATAAGTTGACATTTCAACTTTTCCTGGAGGAGCGCAAATTAACCTAATTTTTGTGAACTAAATTACAAACTTTTACCCACAGTCGACAGTTGTGACTACCCATGAGGATACACAAGATCTTTTTTCCAAGATCCTGATTAAATGGATGGTCTCATTGATTTATTGATCCATTTACTCATATCGGTTTTAATTACGCATACAGTATCCTTGAAACCAAGATCACAAATGTTTCCCAATATAAAATTACAATAACACAATCTGTAAATAAGAACAATTATTTGGTATCGACTGTGTAATAGCTTATTAGTTTAATGCTCAGGGATCAGAAGAACGTCATCATGTTCAATGGGGAACTTGGATACATAGGAAAACATATAAATGCATACGTGCCTTCCATAAGTGATCTCTGGTTTAAAACTTTGTGGTGTTGGCAGGGGGTTTATTGTGGTACTTAGGAACCCTCATCGTAAAGTCGGTGTTTGTTGTGTGAGGAGCCAGCGGGACTCTATTTAGTTCATGTAGCGTTAGTAAATCGATAAATCTTTTATTAGTTTCTCTTTCACTCAATTCGTCACACAATCTCTAATTTAAATTGGATCTCTCTAATCTCGTCCCTTTTCCTCCTCCTCCGCCTGCTGCTAATAGCACATAATGCGATGATGATGATCCTCTCCGTCCACTTTATGTCACTTCGATGATTGATTATTTTAAATGTCAAAGAGTGATAACAAGGCTGGGAAATGGACTTTTATATAAGCTTTAGAAAACTTGCTCAGTAGAACAAATTACATAAGTACAGTAATAATAAGAAGGCAGTCAAGATTTATCATTTGTTACAAGAAGTCAAATTATATTTTCTTAATATGTGCATACATGCAATTTATCCATCCATCCAACACGGAACAAAAAAGCAATCAATTTAAGATATATTAATTTGTTTCCTTTTTAAAAGCAAAAGAGAGGAAAGCAAAAAAAGTACAAACGGTTAATTAAAACGTAATTCAAAAGTCTACTTTATCCTCTTTTTTAGGAGCATTCATTTCCATTCTTTCCCTTAACAAGCCCCAGTCAAAACAAGGTTGGCAGATTGGATGTCTTCATATTGTTGTTTTGTGTCGTGGTGAAAAGAGTTGTGTTTGTGAGTGATGGGAGAGTTAAATAACTTTGGTGAATGACAGATTGGAGAATGTTTTTTTGGATAATTCGTGTTATTTTCTACTTCTTCACTAACAATAACTTTTGAGGGAGAAAATGTATGGAAATTGTACATATTGATGACTGGATTTAAGCCATGTTTTTGTGTGGAATTGTAAACACGGGAGGATATTATGTATAAGGAGAAGGAGGCAAATAGAGAATTGAGTTGTTCTATGTACGTGTATACGTATATATTCTGATTTGTTAGAGGAAACTCATCTCATTAATCATGAGTTTTAGAATTAATCGTATTTCTCGACGTGGACGTCGACGGACAGGTCTCTTATTAACACATCCACATTATTAAGGGGCGAAAGCCCTTTATAAGATCGTTATGTCCGTCTGTCTGTCGGTAACTCCGATAACGCGTGAACGAAAAGACATCGAGACTTGAAACTTTTAACGTAAATCAAGGGACAAGACGAGTTCAAAGATGGGCACTGTAGGTCACACCCTGCAAGGTCAACAACGGTCAACAAATGTTAAATTTGATACATATGTCAATTTGAACTGAAATTTAAACCCAAATTCAATAGTGACCTCAAATGTTACAAATGGTCACACAATAGTTAAATTTAACAGATTTTCGATGGACAAAAACAATACCAAAAGATCCATTTTGACGTATAACACCCTGTTTTCACCCGCTGGTTACATTCGTTGTAACGGTTTATTAACACTTCCACTTTTCTCTATCGCCCAACTCTGCATGCCGTCCATTACAAAATATAATCATTCCTCTCCACTTCTCTTATTACGACAAAAACCTGCAGAGGAGTCAGAAAATCTATTATGTTATTATTCTCTCAGGAACGAAAAGATAATTACTTCATGTCCATAAAAATGTGTTAAGTATTCAAATGTGTCAATTTTTTATTGTTATCCTAAACCCCTGCTGAGTAAGGATTGGACTAATACCTCTTTACTTTAATTGTTAATCCCTTAATCTTTTAATTCCTTACTTTATCTCCCTCTAGTTTAGTGGACAAGCTGTACAAGTTATGCCCTTTTCTTATCATGTAACACTTGTCTAATGAAGTTAATGTTGTTGTTGATGGGATCATTCATTTCTGGTTATTGTATTTTACACCATAGTTTATTCAGAGCTCGGATAATCCCAAATCTGGATTGAGATTACCAATCCCTCACCCAATGGATTAAAAATAATAATCCACAATCTCCAATCCGTAATCAAGTGAATTAATTATCCCACAATCAACAAACTGGATTAACCAACTTGGACAGCTCATATTTAATATAAGTACATACATACATTGTCCACTTTTTCTGGATTATTATTTCAGTTAATCCGATGAGAATTTTATTTTTTAAATGCCATATTAATCCAATCTCTAATTATGAGTGCTAAATATTATTCCTGATCTTCTGCAAAATAATTTATCATCCGTAAATCTCAATCTAAAATCAATGAATCACCGAGCTCTGAATCTGATTTTATTACCCCGACCGATTACAACGAAGTGCTGAATGATTTTTTTTTACTTACTTAGTTGTATGTAAATTATAGTCTAGCCTCCTTTATACTTGTACAACAAAATTATTCCCTATCTTGTTTTGTAGTGGTTGCAAATTAGTTGTTTGTGTAGAATTTTTTAATTTTGAATAAAGTAGAGCAATATACATTATAAATTCATAAGTGAACATAAAATTAAGCATCATTATTTATAATGCACTCATTATTTTTATGATGATGATGAGATGCTCAAATAATGAGCATAATGTGAGAATAATGTGCTTAAAGATGAAATAAATTGTGTTGTGATAAATATCTTTTTTTCTTGGATCATACATTGTTGTAAAGTATGTACGAGATACAATATTTCACCCATATTACATAATAACAATAAAATTTCGATAGATTTTTTTCTTTTCAAGATGGGAATCAGAATTCAAAGAGCGTATCAAATTGTCGAGGAAAAATTGTCGATTCAATTCAGTTCAAATCCTAAGCAATAAAACACAATAAGACAGACATAGATTTTGGCAGGCATCCAGCTCGTCAGATCGGCGAGATGGAAGGGCAGGAGCAGAAGTGACTCTTTTTTTGGTAGTGGTGTGAGACCACAACGGTCTTGTTAGTCCCTCCATATTTCCCAAGTGTGTCATAAAAAAAGGTGAAATCAAAACATTTGCTGGATCCACACGCTCCCAGACCCTTTATCTTGTTAGCTTCAAACTTACTCAAAAATACGTGATCTGTACTTTAGTGATCTCTAATTTAAGATGGATGCGATAATAGACTGCAGAAATAGGAGGGTGACACCACCACTACTTCCTACTCCTAACAGACATTTATGTCGGAGTGGGTGCAGCAGCAGGCAGCCGAGGGGAAATTTCTATTCGCGACTTGTTCAATTTCCTCCTTTCTTGGCCAAAGACTAGAAAGTCTGCTGCTGCGAAAGCGAGGAGTGAGAGAAAGTAAGTGGTGAGCTTTCACCATAATCCCGACACTCTTCACTCCCACCAAGTGCCAGGCTTTCTCCTTTTTGCCTCAAACTCCACGGCTTATTTGCATTCTATTTTGCCCCTCTCGAGAGAGAAATGTTGTGCTGGGTTTTACTTTTTAAGGTTTTTTTTAGGGAAAATGTCTCCTTATTGGATTAAATTAAATTATATGGGGTTGAGTCTTTATTCTTAGCGTGGGAGGAATTGTGAGATTATGCGTAATAATAAATCAGTGAGGAAAATGAAATGTCGTAGAATCCAATTACACATACAACTTTCTGACATCCTATTAGCACATGATTGAATTTGAATATTGAGTTTGACACAGGAAATGGGAAGAAGGTACACAGTCTTAGAAATGTAATAATTTAGGGGGTAAGGCTTCATAAAATCCATAAAAAGTTGTTGGTTTTTATCGATTTTTAGGCATATTTGTACATTCTCATGTCTCCCTTTTTCTCGGTTCAACGTGAGAATCCTTTAACTTGAGCAAGTCAACAGCCATAAAATTTCCCAGAAATTAGCATAACCTTTTCTCTACTGGACCAAATAATTAGTGTGGCAAATACTTTATCGGTTGACACACCCCCGCCGTAAAATAAACACAGTTGGATAATCATGTTCACACGTAGTAATATTTTATTTCATTTTGTGTTGTGTTGTGATGGTTGGTGGATAATTCTCATGTCTTTGACTCGGATAATGGCAAACGCCCGAAAAATGGATGAACCACAACAAATCCTTTATAAACACATTAAAGGAGATGAGGTCACACTCTTGTCGCATGTTTTCATGCTAATTTCTCTGTCAACACTGATTTCTACACACGCCGACACGTGACATGATATGGACCCGGACCCTTTCTAGCTACTCTTAATTGTTCTCTTTTTCCATTCAACGGGTGGCTGGATAGCATTTTATTTTCAATGACACATGATTTCTCGATACATGAAAGTCGAAAGCAAAGGAAAGCTATTTATTCTTTCATTCGATGGAGAGATGAGGTAAAGAATCCAAAATGAGAAAGAATTTATTTAGTACATCGGGCGTTTAACTTTGAAGAACTTTTTTTGTTACCGAGAGATTGAAACTGTCAAATGAGATAATTAATTACAAAGCAAATAATGTTGGAGGTGGTGTTTGAGCGAGAATAAAACAGCGGGTGGGGATGTCTTTAACAGAGCAATCAATATACACAAGTCATTCCTGCCTGATGAAATCCATTGTCTCATCTTTACACTTCCGATTTTGTAAATACGCAAGATTCTTCAAATGCAATCTTACAAAATGTGTAATAATATTTTCCATGTGCTAATATTGAGATAATAATGTTAATTTGTATTTAGCTAGGAAGACGGAGGGAGGGAGGAGAGGAGATTATTAGTCTCCCCATGCCTGTCATTTATTTAACACATTTATTTAACAATGAAAGTGTTGGAATGATTAATGAGATGAGAACAGTCAAGTTCTCTCTCTCTCTGATGTAATACACAAGTTGGTTCGTTCGTTGGTGTGAGTGTGTGTGCCGCCCGACCATGAATGCAGTGACTTGGGATAACGAAAAAGGGTTATTTTGTGCCACCACACGCTATGTATATGACATTCGGTTGGGGCATTTCATGCTGTATTTCAATACGTGCGTTGTTACTTTGTACATACGTAGATGAGAGCTGTGAAATTTTTTAACCAATAAATAATAAAGTAAAGAATAAAAACGTACCTCGATGGAGAGAAGTGTAATAGCTTAAAAGTTGAAATCTTAAGGCGACCATTTTCACAGGAAACTGGGATTTATTTTTTAATTTAAAAATATGTAAAAAAAATCACGATCCAAGGCAAATTATCAAATTAATGATATAATGTGGGAGTGTTTAATTTAGAGAATAATTTGTCAAAATACTCCTACAACTTAAAATAATTTCCATACATCACGTACACACAAACAAAGATGATGAGAACTCTGCTCTGCTGCTCACTAACAGCTAACTGACTATTTTTAACTAAATATTAAATTAGCATTATACTGCCATCATTACAATGGAGCTTGTTTGTTAATGGCCTAAAAATAAGTTTGTAACTGATAATTTCCAGTTTTTACTAGTTTTTTATATATTTTATTTCATCAAGTTTACAGGGTATTGTTATGCTAATTATTTAATACTTATTCAATTAGTCACGTGATAATGGAATGTTTTTGTTCATTTAAATAGTTTTGTTGTTTTTCTCAGTCATTTTTTATTAAAATTTTGTTAAAAAAGAAAATGTGGATGCTTTTTGTTCTACTTGTCTTTCATAACCTCTCATATTTTGGTCAAGATAAAAATGTCAATTGTGACTTCACATCTCGTGTGATGCCAATACCCCATGAGCAAAATCTCAACTCATTCACAAATATTCACAATGTTTGATCTTCTGTTTTATCGTCAGTGAGTTGTAAATGATCATGATTTTAATTTTAATGATTTCCATTCAATTTTCAAATTAATGCTGAAAGATAAATTGCTAATATTGTAAAAATTGTTTTAAAAAAATGATGAGAAAAAAGTAGTTTTTTAATCTATTTATGTGTACGCCAAAAAAAGGTGACAGTCCGATTTAAATTAAGTAGTTTTCTAATATTATACATTAAGCTCAGAATTGTTCATCCTCATCGCTCGACTCTTCATTAACGATAATTCTCCTTCTTGCCTTTGACGATGGTTTATTTAAACTAATTTTTTTCGAATTACCAAATTCATAATTATGAGCTCGAGCTTGTCTCCTCGTCCTCCTCCTTTTTGTTGACGATGGCCTTTCGTTTAAAACTTCTTGTCGTGCGACGTTCATGGCTTGTGTAAATACGCCAATATCCGCAAATTCAACGCTGTCGTTATTAACACAGAAGGAATCCTGTCGTTTCAAGGAAATATACTTATTAGAAAAGTATGGTACGTTATAATGAAATGGAGTTATTAATGGAAATTATCATTACGCTGGCATAATTCATATCCCCAATTAGTATGGAATCATTGCCATTGTTTGATTCCAATGGAGCTTCAACTCGTACTCCTGGATTTGGATGAATATCCTTCACAGATTTTAAATAACGGGCTTGTTGACTATTAGAGAAATTATTATATAGAACAAAACAATACAAATAATCTAAATCCAAAATTTAAAAAGTGAACTTACGAATCAGTAAGGACATCCTCATCATCACTGTCAACGAAGGAAGTATCATATCTATCCAATCCATCGTCGTCGTCGTCATCGTCATCGTCGTTCTCGCTAACTTCTGCTTCCAGCTGAAGAAATGAATTAATTTCAATTTTCCTTCGTTTCTTTCTTTGTTTTGTAGAAGCAATAGGTGAAATGTCACAAAATGTTGGGTTTAAATTTCTAGAACTGCTGCTGGGAATAGCTCTGAGGGGCGAACTGGATGCAAATGTATCGGAGTTTGTTGTCATATTTGAAAGTAAAGTTGGAGATGGAGATTTAATTAGATTTCTATTAGTTTGTTTCGTCGCCTTTGACCGATTTCCTGGAATTCGAAAGTCATCATCATCACTCCAATCTGCTTTCTCGTCTTGAAATTGTAGCTTTGATGGTCTGACTTTTAATGGGATTCGTGCTGCTATGGATGGCAGTGGGGATGGACGTAAAAGTGGGTTTTTAATTGTTTGTGATCTCTTTTTTGACTCTGGTTGTGGAAGTTTATTGGTATTTTTTGGTCTATTCGTGTGTGTTAAATCTATCCAATCATTTATTTTGGGAGGATTCGAAGTAGACGAACAGGGTTTGAGAGTTGATTCGCTAGTTGATTTTTTGAAAGTGAATTTTGGAGGATTATTCATTGTTAACTTATAGCTGTCATTAATTGGCAATTTCTCTTGAGATTTTCTATAAGCAGATTGTTCAATCTGTGTCAAATTGAGTAATTCCAATATTTCATCATCACTGTCAGTATTGGAGATGAGGTCAGATTTCGGTACTGGTTTTGACACTAATTTTGTAAAATGTCGATTTTTGGAAAATATGGATGGTGGAGAAGGAGGCGCAATAAAGTTGGTGTTGTAAAATGTTGACTTATTTTCTTGGCGTACTGTCGGTTCTAGTTGACATTTCTGTTGACTAGCGATATTTTCATAAATTGTAGGGGTGAGAGGTCTCTCTTCGAAATCCGGTTCAAAATCATCTTGGACATCATCATCAAATAATAACATGTCATCTTTAAACAATTCTGGATCTATCTGAGACTTAAATTGTTGTGATTGTGAATGTTTAGCAGGCAGTTCCTCTTTCCAGGTATCGTCATTATTCGTCCTCACAGGATTGCATTCGCCATTCGAAGATGGTGGTGGTGAGGTTGGGTGCTTATATTGAAGCGATAACCTTTTCCGCCAGTTTGGACTTTTAAATTCCTCATCATTACTTGTTGTACTGCTGCTTGCCTCTCCGTCAGAAATGGTTATTATTGGTGCGGCTGCTGGCGATGAGTGCTGGATTCCAGTAGAACGAGAGCGAAGAGGACTCTGCAAATTGTGGTTTTCAATAGTTATTGTTTGTTCAATGCTTTCAGGAGGAGGCGGCGTAGGAAGAGGAGTATTATTTTTTATTTTGAATACGAATTTTTTCTTTGGTTCAGTCGAAAATGTCTCCTCATTTTTAACCGGATCAACCTCCTTCGTGTAGTCTTCGCCAACATTCAGCAACCACTGATCGTCGTCATTAAAAAATTGATCCACTTCCTCCTTTTCAACAAGACCTCCATCCTGCAAATCATCAATTTGAGTAGGGAGTGGACTATAAGATGGCGAATCATTATTATTAATCATCTTCCTTCCAACTCCGTCGATATTGATATTCCCACATTCGCATTCATCCAAATAGAACATGATTGATCTAAAAGATTCCATTTTTTGAACAATAAAATCCATTTCATATTCTGGAATGAGTAATGAATCGGGGTCCATTTTGTTATATTCTGGCAGCCATTCAAATTCGGACTCGGGTGGTGTTGGGATATGCAGACATGGTTTAGAAGACATTTCAGATGGATCCAATACATCGAAAATGTCGCATAAAACGAACGAATCAATAGGTTCGTATTGTTGATGGTGATGGGGGATTAGTCCGTCTTCATCCTCTATTAACATCACGTCGTTGTTGGTTATCTCTGGGGAAGGTATGGCTATCGTGGTGGTAGTGATAATAGGAGGAGGGGAGTTGACGAGTTTTGGGGGCGATGGTTTAGATTTCTTAAAAAGGTCGTTGAAACACTGGGTTAATGTAAATGGTTTACTCTCTGGATAAACATTTAAGGAGGATTGTGGGGTTGGCTGTTTTTGTTTCTTTTTTGGTGGAAGCATGGATTTTTTTGTTTGCTTAGATTTTGGTTTTATATTTACTGCAGAGTCTGGATATTCATCAATTTCGACAAAATCTTCATCTTGCTTACAATGGTTACTGATTATTTGATTATCTTGTTCTGAAGTTAAAATAATGTCCATTTTAAAACACTGGGGGTCAACACCTGTTGTAGAAAGGTTGCAATTATGACAAATTCTGAAAGTACAAAAACTATAGTAGAAGGTGAATATTTTACCACGAGGCACCATTCTGGGACTATGTTTGTAGAGAAAAGGATACAACTTGTTCGGATCCGTAATATTTTTACTTATACTGGACTGCAAGCTCAGACTTGCATTGTAATTCTGCAAATAAGGGCAGAGGAATTGATTGAAAGTTTAGAAAACAAGAAAATGGAAACCTTACCTTCTCTTCTTTTCCTTCGGTTAGTAAAAATACAATTTTTCCTTGTCTTTGTCTCCCCGTTCGACCCTACACAAAAATTAAACATTTGTTAACTATAAATAATTAATAATAATACGAATTTCCCACTTAAGACTAACCATCCTTTGAACTAATCTGGTAGGGGATTTACTCGCGTCGAAGCAAATGATCAGGTCCACTTCTCCAATGTCCAACCCTTCTTCACCAACACACGTGGCAACTAAGATATTGTATCCTCCATCTCGAAACTGACTGACAACTTGTACTTGATCTTTTTGTTTTAGCCCTTTGCCACCTGTCCCAGTAGTCGCTTGGCCAATAAACACCATTGGCTTGACTAGAGGGCCCAATCCATTCAACATTAGACCAATTTCTTGCACGCTATCACGATACTATCAAATAAAGACGCATTCATTAACATATATTAGTTACTGTAATACTGTGAAATTATATGAAGTGTTATTTACTTACTTGGCTAAAGATCATGATACGAGTGGTTTCATTTCTGGATTCAAACTTTTTAAAGTGGGATAAAACAATGTCCTTCAATACTCCCATTTTCGGATGGCTTATTAAATAGTTTTCGGGACCGCTTTCGTCGTTAGTTTCATATGTGCTAGACTCGTTTTTTGAGATCTACACAAATGACTTGTTTTGTTAGAGAATGTGGCAAGCAGTAAGTAAAAACTACAAATTACTTACCGTTTTAAAAAAGTTTGAAGTATTTAAACTAGAATTTGGTGAAATATTTAATTTTTCTTTGATTTCGTTGAGGAGATCTTGCAATCTTGTATTTTTACTTAATTCGTACACCACCTGTCCATTCCCTTTCTCCTTATTCAACACTCCTGAAAAATTTCAATGATATGATTATTAGCATAATTAAGCAGCGAGCGTGCGCGATGATGAGGAGAACCTTGTAAAAAGATGTAGAATGATCGAAGTCCATGGGAAGTCAAAAGATCCACAGAATGGGACAAAGTAATTGAAGTAGCAAAATCAGATTCTATATATCCCTTTAGATAATTGGGTACAGTTTGTGCAATTTTTTCCCTGAATGCAGCTCTGGACTTAACGAGCTGCAAAATTATTAGAATTATTTTTAAGTTTAAGATTCGAAATTAAGTAATTAATTAATTGAGTGATGACGAACTTGAAATTGAGTAAAACAATATCCATCACTCCCATAAAGTGCTTTATTTTTTAGCAGCTTCCCTGTGTACACTTGCAGGTACTACAAAATAAAGCAAAAATAAATATAAGTAAACATTAATTAAATGAACATTTAAATACTAATTTCACTTACTTCTAAAACCGTTTGATAAATAGAGCTCAAATAATTATCAAGTGAAACGACAATTGGTTCAACATTTCGATTATGAACGTATGGTAAAACATCGGGTGAGTTTTCAGACCGTAATTCAACTCGAGATATCAACAAATTTTTAAAAACCTAAATACATTCATTATGATTAAAAAACGGGATACAAAAATCAAATGGATATTAAATTACACAGAAATAAATTCTCACCTGTTGTACGGCAATTAAATCACTGCCCGGAGTAGCACTTAAGGCTAAAACTCTGAACAAAGTATTAGTTTGTAAAAGTATTTGTATAGCTTGAGCATATGCATGTTGGCCTAAAGCCTTATGAGCTTCATCCACGACGATGCATCTCACTTTATCGGCTGGACAAAATCCGCGACCCAAGTCACTCGTCATAACTTGTGGGGTTAAGAAGAAAACAGTTTTTGTTTTCCACAATTCTTCTCTCTTCTTTGGTGATATTTGCCCAGTTAATTCAATTGTTTTTGATGGATGGATTCCAACAAGGTTGTGACAAGCTTCCATTTGTTGGGTGACCAATGGTTTAGTTGGAGCCATAAATATTATTAACCCCTGAGGATACCATCTTTGAAAATTGTACATTACAACGGCAGCAATGAATGTTTTCCCAAGGCCTAATGAAGGGAGAATTAAATTGATTTAGTAACGGAGAACGGAGCCTTTGCTAACATAGTCTTTTAAAAATATGCAAGTTTACCGGTGGGCAGGCTGACTAATGTGTTGTGAAATAGAGCAGTTTCCACCATTTCAAATTGATAATCACGAATTGGTTTGTTCGTTGGATAGATCCAGACTTCTCCTACAATAGATAATTCGTCGAAAATGGGAAAATTTACTTATTCTTAATGTTCCATACCTGCAGTTTCATCGAATCCTTCAAGTTGTGATGCCTCCTCTGATTTCTCCAAAGCTTTCGATATTTCACTCGTCTCCAGCTCATATTGCCTGAATTATTATCAACTAGTTTAGTTATAAGTTATAAATCACACATCAAAATTAGTTGACCTTACCCCAAAGCTTGTTGGCATATTTCATCCTCTTCATCTATGTAACTTTGTCCACGAAAACTTGCATTCAATTTCGATTTTCCACGACCGCGACCACCACGTCCCCCTCTAGACCCACGCCCTCTTCGTCCACCAGTAGAAGCAGTGGGGTTGTTCGCCATCGTTATTCGGCTCGATGATGATGCTGACCTGGGTCCTCGACCTCGTCCATCGCCACCCCGACCTCCTCCTCCCAGGCAGTCATTGTCCATTGTAATTTAATTAATTATTATATATCACATTTTCAGGGGTGTGTATTTTTACAAAAGAAAATGACTAGCGGTGGGAACTTGGACGTCGATTGTTGTGTGTGAGAGTAAAAATAAGTGAGTGAATCCCGGCATTAACTTACAATTTGGCAAAACAAAGTGGGGCATTGTGCGATTGGTGAGCAAGTTGGTAACCTCTTCGTGGAGGTAAGATGAGACTGGGGGTTGAGCGTGAACAGAAGTTGAGACGGAGGCAAGATGAGAATAATTTTCCTTATCGCAGTTTGTATGATTCACAAACTGTTCAAAGTAAATGGGGCAAGAAGACTGGAGATAAAATGTCTCTTCTCGTCATTTCTTTCAACTTTTGCCGTCTTCAGTTTGATTGAGTCATATAAATCGGAATAATTATTAGTCAACATGATGAGTAAATGAGAGTTATTGCTAACTACATTTTGATGATGAGCAAGAGGATGTCCTTGCATTTGTTTATGCCTACTTTTCTGTAATGAACTCCACACACTTTTATTTACGTAATGTAATAGCTCCTTCTTATGCTGGATAGTCCAACCAAGTTCACAATAATGAGTGTGGTGAATAGCTCACAGCCAAGTTTTTGTTAGGTGGATGATGATCATCCAAGCAAAAAACGTACTTTATTTCCAAACTATCTCAGCATAGTGTTTCGTATGCGGTTGTTGTTGCTGAGGTATCTCTGCGATATTTGTGATGATGGTGGTAATGCATGCAGTTTATGTTTAGAAGGACCAGTTATTCGACTGACAGAGGGGGGAGAAGAGAGGATGAGAGGTACCACTATCCACCATTTCATTGTATTTCAAGCTGGAAAGCCAAGACCGGATATTCTTTTACTCATTCTCTGAGGATGATTAACAATTCAACAGCGTCGGCCTGAATTTCAGTAAAAAAAAAACAACGAGCGTCTGTTTAGGGCGTGTGTGTGTGTTTTAAGATTTCTTTAATAGAGTTGCAGCTGTTGATTTAAATATTTCTGTAAAATTTTCGAAAATGTGTGGCATCTGTGAATGTGCGTGTTTGGGATGTTTTGGAGTTTGTGCGGGGGCCGTATTCCTGGTCACCTTCTATTTTGTAAGTTAAATAAAATTCGTTTCTTCTAAATTAATTTCATAAAAAAATTAACTAAATTTAATGTTTCATATGTATGCAGTTCTTTGGAATAATTTTCTTGACATTGGCGATGAAAGCGAGAGCAGCGGTCTCATTATACAGTGATTTGATCACTTATGACGTCTCCTTATTTCCAACGTTATGCATCGTCATTGGAATCTTATTTACATTCCTGACTTTCATGGGAGCAATTGGACAGCAAAAGGGACGCAAAACTAGAATTGCATATTCTTTAGCGCAAGTGGCTGTTTTGCTGCTGGGACTCTACATTTACATTGATGCTTATCCAAACGAAGCGAAACTAGAGAAACATTTATTCCAAGGACTCAATTCTACCATTCATGATTATGGGCTGGATGTTGTGGCTGGAGAGAAATCCATCACCGATTCTTGGGACCAAATGCAGCAAAATGTAGATACTTTCTCATTATTTTAATTATTAATTGTTGCTAAATATGTTTGTATCGTTGAGTAGTTGAAATGTTGCGGAGTGAAGAATTACATGGATTGGGAAGATATTCGACCCCACGGACCACAATCACCACCAACGCCACAAAGTTGTTGTCTAGAAGATCATCGAATGACCGGATGTTCATTGCACGTCAGATTCGATCACCCTGCAGAAGCTAATAAAATTATTCATGTTCAGGTATCTAGTAATCATGTTTAATTCGCCATTTCATGACTTAAGTAATCTGTATTTTTGCAGGGTTGTCTCATGGCGGTGAGGGAAGAATTACTTGGCACGATGCAAGCATTACACTGGTTTCTAATCCCAATTTTAATCATGGTTTGTATCGGAATTATCGTCTCAACTTGTTCGAGTGGGGTCAGGAAAAATACGGAAATGGAGGAAAAGAAGGTAAAAATAAAGCAACATTATCACGGCTATAAAGCATGAATGGTGTGTCTAATAATAAGCCAAACATCTCAGGTGGGTCCAATAATAATCAAAATGAAGGTGAGGAAAACTGAGCCTACTTCCTATGATGTCGAAGCTGCAGAGAAAGGTAATTTGGGCGATAACAATGATGAGGAGAAAGACGTCGAAATGCAAAAACTCAACCCAGATGGACGCAATAAAAGCGATGGGGAGGATTGATTGTTTTATATGGAAGACGAGACAAAGAGGATAGAAATTTACTGCCAATTTTGATATTTATTTCCTTTACAAAATTATTACTTGTTACGTTGTATTTATTTTTGAAAATGTCGAAATCAATAAATTATTCATTTCTTCTTTTTTTCTTACTTTTTTTCTTCTCACCCTTCACCGCACCACCCCCACTGCCACTTTGGTTGGCTAGTCTATTCTTCTGCAGTGGTGTCTTATTAAACCAAGTATTCCAAGCCTTTTCTTGCTCAATAAAAACTGGATCATAATTGCTCAATTCTTCCAGAAATTTATCCATGTGAATGAATTTTTTCCCAACTGAGCTAATTTTTGCCCCTTTCGTTGCCATCATTGTGAATGGATCATCTTCATTTTGATATTTTTTATCCGTTTCATCTTTGGCTATCAGTTTCTTGTGGTTTTCAATAGCAGAGTTTACAACTTTTTTAATAACACCGACCGTCCAACCGTCCGATAGTTTGGTGAGAAGAGAAAAATGGACGTCTTGATGAAGAAAGGTCGAGTGTGGGAGGAGAAGATTTCTCCATGTTTGAATCCGAGTGGCATATTCAGGGCGAGGAATATAAATGATCTTTTGATAATCCTTTTTCAGTAACTGAAATAATGGGATAGCATTTTCTTACGATTTTAATTTTTCATGCATATTTTAAAAAAATGTTCACTTTAAAAGGAGCCACCCAAGGTTCAGAACTTAATCCGACTAGTATCGTTTGATCACCAGGTTGAAATGTTTTAAGCATTTTTCCAAGCTGCTTCTTTAATCTCCTTGGTTCGGTTTTGTCCGTTTTGGGAACTTTTTTCATGTACGTCTTTTCACAATTATCTATTTTTAAGACGACTGGAGCCAAAGCATGGCCTACTTTATCAATCAAATGTATCAACATTTTCAGTCCCGGTTTTCCTGGGTATTTTCCTGTTAGAGTACCATTATTATTTTAAATTTCTACTACTTACATGTGCATATATTTATAGTCCACTGTTAGTTAAATTTACCAACGATGTTATCGGCTGTAAGGTCAAATAAAGTGGCATGAAGTTCTGTACAAATTGCGTTGACCAAAGTTTTTTTCCCACAACCCTCCGGACCGCAAATCAGGACAGATTTGGTATGAGGACTCAATTGGTGAACGGTTTGTGACCCCAAGGGTAAAATAATGCAATCTTTTATAGCTCGCTTTACATCGCCAAATGTTGGCAATGGATTAGCATCTCCTGGCATTGGTCGTTCTTCATTTTGTGTGTTGGGATCATGTGGATTTTGACTGAAAAATGATCGAAGCTCGCCATTTATTAGACTACAAGAGCCAATTAAAGAATCCAGACGCGTCGTTGGATAACTTTGAAGGATGTTGTGGTCATAAAGTTCTTTCACAAGGGATCTAAAGGTTCATAATTAAATTTGTAATTTTAGCCAATAAATTATTTCAAAATTGGCAACCCAAATGTAATTACTTTAAATCTCTATCAGGCGTCATGTCTTTGCCCTTTTTTCGTTTCCCTTTTCGTTTCGCTTTGCCCTTCCTACCTTTCCCTGTTAAGTTCATGTTAAAATTACTTAATTACCATATAGTAATTAAATATTAAAACATAAATCGGGATAAAAAATAACCTCTTTTTTTACTCTTAGTTTTTCCCTTTTTCCCCTTTTTCCGTTCCAAAGCTTGTTTCAAAAGTGCGAGTTCTGCTCTGAGTGCAGTGTCCACCTGTTCTCTCACCTCGTCACCAATTAGGCCACGCTTTTCATGAATTATGAAATGTTCTTCATGCTTTTGATCCGGATTTTCAGATTCATTACGACCACGCCATACGCGGTTATACTCAGTGCTGATATTATGATTATGCATAATTAATAAATAGCTAAATAAGAGGATTATTGATGATGCTCCTTACTTGACAGCGACGAGTTCATCTAAATAAGCAGGTTGATCTAATTTCGGAATGGACAAGTCCTGTCCTTTTTTCTTAACCACTTGTTTTTTGTCCTTCTTCTTGTTATCTTTATCTTTTTTACGGTCTTGCTTGCTCTTCTTTGTCTGATCCTTGCCGGTCGCTTCCTTTCCCTTCTCACGAACCTCGTCAGAAAGTTGATCTGGACAAATGAAGAATCGGGATCCACCAAATTCGGCTTTAGGAATTTGTGATGGTAATTTTCCCGTCGTTTCTTTAATATCCAACATCCAAGTTCGTAACTGGAATTTAAACTCTTCTGCCATATCTGGAGCTTCGATCAATCTTAACCTGTTGAGAATAGTAATTTGTGCTTCCTCAAATAATTTTTGATTTCTGCGACGTGTAACTCGACGTCGTTCTTTTGCACGTTCCAACTCTTCCTCGTTTCGTAAGCATTTTAGTTGAGCACGACCTCGGAGTGAAGATTCGTTTGGCGTGGTCCAACGGATTCCTAAAAGTTCCAATTCTTCTTCTCGTTGTCTTCTCACACGAACACGGGCTAAGAACCCACGGATGATTTTCTACAAAATGTTTGCGATAAAATATACGGTGGAAAACTTTTTAATCATTAATCGTACCAAATTTTTTATCATTTTTTTTACAATTTCATAAAGTATACCTGAATGATAACGACGGCTTTCTCGACATCCATGTATTGTTTCTTAGCATTAAGCTTCCTTGTTTTCGCCCTTTCTTCTTCATCATGTAAATATTTAGCCACACGGTATCTCATCCTCCCTTGTCGCGCACGTTCCATTGCTTGAATCATAATGATAGAAGCTTGGTCAATATAAGGAGCTTCTTCCGACCCCCCACCGATAAGAATGTCATCGTCATTGATAACACGGGACGTTTTAGTCCATTTTTCTCCCTCGACAAGCTTGAATTGGATTCTTTTTTCCAGTGCTAATCGGTCAGCTACATCTTTGATATTTTTTTCTTTGATGTTCTCATACCATCGATCTCTTAAAACGAGCTGTTCGGGAGGGTCGTAGTAATAATATGTTGGTATTGGAACATCAAATTCGGATGGGGGAATTTTTTCAGTATATGACAATTCATCAAAATAATAAAATTCTGAACTTTCAGTAGAAACGAGAGCGGCACGGATTTCTAAAAGTCTTGTGATTACTAAATCCAAGCTTTTCCGTACAAGAATTCGTTTTTGCGGATGAACCATTTGATCATAAGTTTCATTCATTTTCTTGTAAACAATGAGATATTTGTAGAATATTTCCGATAAAATGGTAAACATTTGTTTGAGATCGGATCCTGCAATCGTCCCACGAGTTTTCTCCTCTTTTAATAAAGATCGGAGATTTACATGAGCTTCGGCCCACAAGTTGTTGAAATATGTGTGAGACGTGTAATTTAAGTTCTTTGTGGCAAGATTCTGTCGAAGCGGACGAATCAGTCCTCGGCGCATCTGGATTTATTTTATGGAATTATTTCCAACTCGTGCAAATTTCATAATAGTATGTAAACTATGTACCTCTTGGACTCTTATCCATCTCTCGCTATGATTTTTCTTGTCTTCGGCTGGAATTTTTGTTCTCAATTTCCTGTAATCATCAGGCAGAACTGGGGGTCTCCTTTTGAAAGAACGATGCTTGCTCGAGATCGTTTCTGCTTGTGGATGAGGACTAAATGGAATAATGTCCTCGTCCGACATGGAAGGAATATCCGCATTTTGTGGTACAGAAGGTGGTGCTAGTTCAATTTGGTTTGATTTTTCTGGAGAACTTTCTTTCGAGGCTAGGTTTTTTGCACTTGTGATTTTTTTCATCTGCAGCACGAGAGTAGAATTGTACTTGCTAATAACATGACAAATAAATTATTGTTTGGCTTACCTCGGGACAAAAAATTGACAAAATTTATGACAAAAAGGCTATTTTAACAAGCAAATCCAGTTATTCAGTGGTGGCCAGATTTGAGACGAGCATTGTTTTATCGATATTTAGTTCTCATGGTGATTGGATCATGATTCTATTGGGTTGAGTTTCTAATTTTCTAATTAAAATCCATCCGTCAGCAGTGTTTTTAAGTCCATTTTCAAGTCATTGTGGAAAAATTCGAGAAACATTCTGGAATCTGAAGTGAAACAGGTCAGTAACGAGTCATAATAATAAGTGTCAAATTATAACATAAACCTTAGCTTAGGATTAATTTTGTATGGTGTCGAGTTGGGTGCACCTCGCATATTTGCAATGCTGGATCGTTGGTAAAGTAGTTAAATATGAAGAAAAAGATTTGCATTACATACATTTCTAAGAATTTATGCAACTCGAGCATAATTCGAGGATGCACATTATGAAAATATCGTCAGTTCTGCTCAGACAGGGATCACACGAGAGGAGCATGAAAGTCTGTCCACTTTTATTTCTAGTCTTTTATGTTTGATAAATCAATACATTTATTCCTTGTTCCGATCGCCAGTGCATTTCTGCAGATCTTTCACTGATACATACACGCGATGTAGTGCTACTGACTACTGACTACCCGGGTTTTCCCGAAAATTCGGTTTTTTTTTGTCCACATTTATATTTGCACATGTGATAAGTCTAGTCTATTGAATTATAATAACTTTCATATGTTTGTGCACGACAAGTGATGTGTTGTGCTACGTGGGGCTTGCATAGATCGATTAACGAGGTATTTTGGTAATTTGATATCTAATGGCATCCAATGTCCTTCCAATTCGTTACTGTTCCAGATAAATCTAGTAAAATAATCTTTAAATAGGTCAATCCGCCTGCATTATAGATATGTTTTTTTAATTAGATACCACTATGAAGCCCACGCAATGTAGGACCATCAGGGGAGGCCAATTTTTACCATAAAGAAGTTGGAAAACCAATCAACTCTGGGAACATGGCACCAACGAGTCAGAGCCAACTGCCTTCTTCGCCATATTTAAAAGCGAATATAATTTCGAAATTATTTTTCTGGTGGCTGAACGCTTTTTTTGGAAAGGGGAATAAAAAGGCTTTGGACTTGGGAGATTTGTATCAAGCTTTGCCAAATGATCGTTCGAAATTTCTTGGAGATCGGATAGAACAACTTTGGAAGGAAGAAGTCAAACGATGTGAGGAAGGGAAAAAACCAAGAAAACCAAGTTTACGTCGTGTGATTATCAAACAGTTTGGTGCTTATTACATGATGGTAGGAATGCTTGCATTCCTCGAAGAATGTTTTATCAGGTGAGCAATTAGTTAAATCAGTGACGATAAGGACATAAATTGATTGTTGTCTTTTCGTACTGCTGCAGAATCGCCCAGCCAATATGTTTAGGGTTACTCCTTCACTCTTTTTCGCCTGAATATTCAGCTAGTAAAACGGAAAAGTGGTTGTCGGCTGCAGGTGTTGTACTGGGGTCAGCAATGTACACTTTCACCCATCATCCTTACTTTTTTGGAGTTCAGTATGTAGGAATGAAGGTGTGGTTTTAGTGGAAAAAAGTATTTTTTATCAGGTAGAAATGTTTATCTTAAATGTATTCTTGATTGCAGATCAGAATTGCGTGTTGCTCTTTAATTTATCGGAAGGTATCTAAATTATTATGAAAAATAGCTCTAAATTCATGTTATTTTACTGTAGAAGAACTAATTTGCGCAGGCCCTCCGCTTAAGTCAAGCAGCCCTTGGGAAAAGTACGATTGGTGAAATGACGAATTTGATATCGAACGACGTTTCACGATTTGATCAGTCTACAATATTTCTTCACTATTTGTGGATTGGACCTATTCAAACTGCCATTGTAACGGGGATCCTTTGGCACTTTTATGGCGTGGCTTGTCTGGCTGGATTATCCATTCTGGTCTTGTTCGTTCCATTTCAAGGTGCCATTAAATATTTTTATGCAATTATGTAAGGCTTATTACATGTGTAAAGGACAAATTTTGTGTATATCTACTTAGGTTACATGGGAAAACGGTTTTCAACTCTGAGGGAATCTACTGCAATTAAAACGGATCGAAGGATTCGAGTCATGAATGAAATTGTGGGTGGGATGAGGGCAATCAAAATGTGAGCATTTTATAAAATTTCTTGTAAAGTTCGTTGAATCTATAATTTTTATTTTTATGTAGGTATGCCTGGGAAAAGCCTTTCTCAATTTTAGTTGGAGAATCAAGAAAGTAAGTTTACATAAACTAAATAATTAATAAATGCATGAATTTACCCAGAATAATTAAATTTTTCAATTCAGGGATGAAATTAAAGTGATAAAGAAAACAAATACATTACGGGCAGTGAATATGAGTGTGTTTTATACATCTTCGAAAATTATAATATTTTTGACTCTAATCACCTACGTTCTAACGGAAAATTCATTAACTGCCGTGAAGGTATGATTTTCTATTCGATATATATTTATGTAAAACTTTAATCAATATTAAGACTATACTTTCGCTGGTGATTTGCAGGTGTTTGTAACATTTGCACTTTATAATAATGTACGATTAATAATGACGCTTTTCTTCCCGAATGGAGTATCTCAACTTGGTGAGGGTTTAGTGTCAATTAGACGAATTGAAGTGAGTTCCATAAAATGTGCGATGAGATTTTTTCAACTATTTGATAAAATGATAATGATTTTAGAATTTTCTATTGATGGAGGAAAGAATAACGTCATCCAAATCAACATTATCGTCTCATAGTTCAATCGGAGCTACAGGAACAATAAAGTTTACGAATTTTTGTGCCAATTGGACACCAGAGCAAGCAACGCTAAACAATATTAATCTCAATGTGGGAAACAAAGAACTTTTCGCAATCGTGGGTCATGTGGGGTCAGGAAAGGTAAAGATACAAAATTCATTTAAAATCGTTTCTAATACATATCTGCTAAATTCGTCCATTTTATGTAGACCTCCTTGCTCCAATCAATACTTGGTGAGTTGCCAGCAACTTCAGGAAAAATTCGAGCTTCGGGAACATTGGGTTAGGTCAAATAAAAAAAATTGCTGATATCAAATTCGGTTCAAAATTAAAAAATATATTAATTAGGTTATACATCACAAGAACCGTGGGTATTTTCTGGAAGTGTTCGAGAAAACATTTTATTTGGACGGGTGTACGATGACGAAAGATATAACCAAGTTGTCGAAGCCTGTGCCTTAAGCAGAGACCTGGATTTGCTCCCTAATCGAGATAACAGTTTAGTTGGTGAAAAAGGGTCTTCATTAAGCGGTGGGCAAAAAGCCCGAATTACACTTGCCCGAGCCGTTTATGCCAATGCTGATATCTATTTACTCGATGATCCACTAAGTGCTGGTAAATTTTTTAATTATGGAAATTTTTTGTCCACCTGATTAAGTGTATGCTTTCAAATTTATAGTTGATGCAGAAGTCGGACGTCATATCTTTGACCAGTGTATTTGTGGGATTTTGAAAGAGAAAACCCGGATTTTAGTTACTCATCAGCTACACCTACTTCAATCAGTAAATCAAATTGTACTTCTAGAAGATGGATTTATCAGGGCACAAGGAAATTATGAGAAAATATCTTCCTTCAACACCACGGAATCTGTTTTATTAAAAAATCCTATTCGAAATCGTACAACATCGGAAGCATCGTCATCCTCGATTCCATATGTCGCAAGATCGGGCAGTTTTGGCATTGGAATGAATGAAATGGGCGTTGGAAGCACTTATTCCATTAATGTCGAAGAATTTGATGATTATCTGGATACTGGATGTGGAGATGATTTGAAAACTAGATCTGACGGGGTCAGCCCAAGTGATACGCTTTTGAAAAGTAGTATTCCCAAATTAAATGAAGAAATTAGTGCAACGGGTCGTGTAAATTTGGGATTATATGTGAAATATTTTAAATCTGGGTCCAACATTTGCACTCTGACCCTTTTAATTTTTGGGAATATTGCAACACAAGTTCTTTACGCTGGTGCCGATTGGTGGCTTAGCTTTTGGTTAGGAATTTATTTCATTACTTAAAAAGTTAATGATTTTCTTAAACATTGGTATTTCCCATAGGACAAAATCTCAAGAAGGGAAGTCGAAAACTAATGAATCACAACCGATCGTATCGCCATTACCAAAATCCATATATCATGATCGAGATGTCCAAATTGAAATTTATTCTGGATTAATTTGTGGCTTGTTTTTTGCTTCATTGCTACGAACAATGGTATTCTTTAATATTTGTATGACGGCGTCGGTGAATTTACACGAGTCCATGTTTCTTGGAGTGTTAAGAGCCCCAATGAAATTCTTTGAAACAAATCCAATCGGTATGTATTGAAAGATGTTGTGCATTCGATCATAACTTGACAATTTTTAAAAATTTTATTCTAGGGAGGATCTTGAGTAGAATTTCTAAAGATATTGGATGTATCGATGATATATTACCACCAACTATGGTACTGATAGTTAAACATGAATGGATTCTTAAATTTGTAGATCTTTAAATTATTTATTATTCCATTTTTTAATGTCCAACATTTTAGTTTGACACGATGGAGGTAAAAAGTTTTTAAAAAAGGCATAATCTAAATAACTAATAATTTGATCTGAATTAATGTGAATGAATTTACAGATATTTCTCAACGTCGTAGGAATATTGGTCCTTGTGACCATTGTAAACTACTATTTGCTAGTACCAGCATTTGTAATAGTTGTCGTATTTTATTTCCTCCGCAAATTTTATCTGCGAACTGCAAGAAGTGTCAAACGAATTGAAGGAATTAGTAAGAAAAATGAATCTTTCAATTAAATCTAGCCAAACATATCCCAAAAATTTAATTCCACCCTTTTTACCCAGCTCGAAGTCCAGTATTTTCACATTTGAGCACATCTTTAAGCGGTCTGTCCACAATTCGTGCGTTTAAAGTGGAGTCCAATTTCATTAAGCAGTTTGATGATTATCAAGACATGCATACGTCTTCCTGGTACATTTTCCTCGCCGTTTCCAGGTGGTTTGGAATATGGTTGGATTGGATCTCCGTCTCATGGATTGCTTTCGTCACATTTAGCTTCATGTTCTTCAATGATAGTTAGTAAACTGTCGAGTTTGAATATAATTCAATGTTTTTAAATTAAAATATGGTTATTTTTTGGATAGGTGGTGCAAATATAGGTCTCGCTGTATCAAGTGCAATGACATTGACTGGGTGAGATTATTTTGAACATACAACTCTCATCGGTCATCTGTATCATCTCTGGTAGGAATTTTATTTTGCTCTCCATTTTACAGAATGTGTCAGTGGGGTGTTCGACAAAGCGCAGAAGTCGAAAACCAAATGGTATCCGTGGAACGGGTGATGGAGTACACTCAATTAGAACCAGAGGCGTCGTTAGAAACTCCAAAGGGCAAAACTCCTCCTCCAAATGATTGGCCATCCAGTGGAGAAATTATTTTTGAACATGTTCAACTTAAATATGGAAATGAAGAACCCGTTCTTAAGGACATTACTTGCGTTATTAAACCGTCCGAGAAGGTTTGTCTGATTAAACGCTTAATTAACCTAAAATATTTATGTATGTACATGTCATGTTTTTTTAAATTATATACAGATTGGAATAGTCGGTAGAACGGGTGCAGGTTTGTAGTCAAAATTTAACTGTTATCGCATGATGTGACATGCAGTTATTTTAAATTATATACGATTTAGGGAAGAGTTCTTTAATCTCGGCTCTTTTTCGCATCGCTGAACCGACGGGATCAATTCTAATCGATGGATTGGACATACTAAATCTTGGACTACAAGTTTTACGATCGCACATATCAATTATTCCACAAGATCCAGTCTTATTTACGGGAACGCTTCGTGTTAATTTAGATCCATTTAATTCATTTCGTGATTCAGAATTATGGGATGTACTCGAACAAGTACACTTGGCACATGATGTCAAACAATTAGCTTCCGGGTTGGACATGGAGGTGGTTAATTTTATTTATTCGCATTATTAGCAATTCCTATTCCTACATCGATAGTGTTGATATGTGGTACGTGTGTTCATTTAGATATCTGAAGGGGGTGCAAATTTCAGCCTCGGTCAGCGTCAACTTGTATGCTTGGCCAGAGCAATACTTAAAAATAATAAGATTTTAGTTTTAGACGAGGTGAGGCGAATTATAAAATATCGGCTGTGCATTAGATGTTTTTTTAAGAGTTGCTGATCTCTTTTTGAGGGATTTCGCAGAGTCATTCATTGGAACCCAATTAATCAAGTCAAACATTTTATTCGTGTGCTTATTTTATAGGCGACTTCGAACATAGACAATGATACAGACACACTAATCCAGGGAACGATAAGGACAAAATTTGCAAACTGTACCGTGTTGTCTGTAGCGCATAGATTACATACTGTGATGGATTGTGATAAAATTCTAGTCTTGGATGCTGGAAGTATTTTGGTACTACTCATTAATATATGATCAATTTTATTCTGAAATTTAATAACAATTTGAATGGTGATAGGAATTTGATGAACCGTACACGCTTCTTCAAAACAACAAAAGTTCTTTGTATGGCTTGGCTGAGCAGAGTGGAGCATTGGCTGATTTGATCAATATTTCGAAAGAGGTCGGAATGAGACAAAATTTTAAAAAAATGGTCATCGTTTGAATATTATTATTGTTGTTCTAGGCTGCACTTCAGCGAAAACTTGCCAAAGTGGAGTCAATAAATTAGTCACCACTGTCACAAAATAAATGTTTTATTTTATTTTCTCAAATAATTAGAAATTTTGTTAACAAATTGAATGAAAATAAAAATAGTTATTTTGGTAGAGCAGGATTTAATTGGAGTGATGATTATGCTTTCGAATGCCATGATGTTGATGTCTGTGGCGTTCAATGGATCGAGAACCAGATTCAAAGGACTCCGATGATGAGGAGGAATGAGACGAGGATGATCGGGATCGTTTTACAATGTTGTGATGATGATTTAGTTGCAATTTGCCTTGAGTTATCTGATTAGTTAAAGTAATATTTTAGAAATAAGTCAATCTAAAAGTTATTTTTTTACTCACCGTGATGAGAGATAGCATCAAGATAAATAGCAGGAAAGTCTTTAGTGATTCCATTATAGTTTGTTTAGAAAATGTGTATGAATAATTTTTTGGTTGCACGCAAATAAATATTTTAGTTCTTGTTCAAAATAACCTTCAAAATTAACAATCAAATAATTAATTACAGTCGATTAAAAAACAAACAATGACTCGACCTTCAATGTCGTGAATATAACAGTCACCTGCAATACCATTTCTATTTAAAAATTGACAATAATTACCCCAAATTTTAATTCCTTTTATAATGCCGCCTCCTCCCCCTGTGTCTGCTCCCCCTTTCGCTAGATCTCGATCCGGATTCTTCAGAAGATGACTCTGATGAACTACGACGACGATTAGACGATCTCGACTGCCAACCCCACATCCAATCGTTATTATTCCGACTTGAACCTCCTTTCATGAAACGGAAGGCGTCATCCATCATCGATTTTAATGGGTCCATCCATTTAATATCGAATAATTTCTCGTCGCGGTGACGGCGAGAGGAAGACTGTTTGTGGAGTGTATGCATTTTAGAGAGTTTTATATCAAAATGTTAACACCAATTTATTACCTCAACAATTGTGATGACTGATATGACCAAAAGAAGGAGGAAGATTTTGGTCATTGAGATATCTGAGGAAAATATGGCTAAAAATTTGTTTGAGTAGGTTATTAAGTGAATTAGGAAACTCAACTGTGTGAAATTGGCGTTGCTTAATGGATGTTGGGGAAATATTAATTGTTCAATTGCAGTAAATTTTACAGTAAAAGTTTTATTAGATAAAAATCGTAAAAATAACAATACAAAAAATAATTCCATAATCTAACGTCGTTTATTATACTCCTCGCGGCCTCTATTATCACGAGTATCACGATCTCGTGACCTTGACCGCTCAATGTCATCCCTTCTTCTAGCCGTATGCTTCTTCCATTCTTCGATTTTATCTCTGTCATCTCTTTTCCTATCGTTATTTCTCTTATCTTGATCGGACTCTGACGACCTAGACGACGACGACGAGTCTGAAGAATCCTCCCTCTTCCTCCGCTTTTTCTTCTCCTTTTTCTTATCTTTCTTCTTGTTCTTCTTTTGAGCAGCCTCTTTCTTCGCCAATTGTCTCGCTCTCTTCATCTCTTTCAATTTCGCTTTCAGCTCTTGTGCTCGCAATTTGGTCAGCGGCGTTATGGCATCTTCATCAGATTCGGAAGAGGATGTACTCGATACGTCCAACACTACTTCCTATATACACGGAGAGATTATCACATTTGTCTGAAATGATGGTAAAAGTTAAGATAAATTAGTGTACCTTGTTTGGTTGTGTTTTTAAGAAATTTCTGCACTGGAAGGTCAGATGGCCTGAATACCCACATTTCCCACACGCACTTGGCTTATCTGATTTCTTCTTTAAAAACGGATTCGTTGCTCCTGATGCTGCAGCCGCGGAGGCAGATAAATTCGCCGATTGTTTTGCTAATAGTTCTTCCAAATCCATTTTTATTGTATTTAGGAAAATCAAAAAAATATTAATACGTCGTTGAAGTGCTTCAATCTGCTCCCGCTGTCAAGAGCGAACGAGAACGAGACGAATACAATGAAAACCAATGTAAAATGTAAATTTCTTAAATGTTATACAAAATGTCTATTTATTTTCACCTCCAAAGAATTACAACATTTTTTTTACTAATAATTCATTAAAATAAGAAAGCTAATTGTTTATTTTTAAATATTTACAAAATAAATAAGCTAGTGCTTGTTTTTTGTAGCAGGAAACGTTCGAATTAAAGGCGAGATCCTACAAGTTGATCAAAAAAGCAGAAAAAAAATCATTTAAGAAAGCAGAAATTTCAAACAAAAATCAAACAAGCAGTTTCAAACAAAAAGCACTCACAAAAAAATTTCATAACAAGAAAGTATCGTTTTCTATTCGATTCCATTTCCAGAATCTTGAGACGACGGTGTTGAGGGTCGTGGTGGTATTTTCGATGTCGTTGCTTCAGATTGTCGTTTTTGACGTGTTTTGTTAAATAATTCCTCATGGCGGAGGCGTTTCGGGTCAACTAAAGAACCCAGGAACAAGCACAAATTTTAATAAATAAAATTAGGATTTTAGTTGTGCAATTTGTTTGCAGAAAAGTAAAGAAAAAAAGAGGGAAACTAATTAGCAGTGAAAACTAAGTTGGTGAGAGGGGAGAATAATAGAAATTAGTAGAGGCTATTTTTTTCTGCACACAGAAAGATGAAAGAAAAATGGATTAATAAAAAAGACCCCTCATTCTTCGAGAAACGGCATGCTTTTCATGAAGTAGGTTGAACCGTGTAATAAATTGATGAACTTCTTCACATCCTTTCGTTATCATTCCCAAATAAGTGATCAGACTCACATCGCAGCATTGCTACATCCAAAAAAAGTTTAAATTTCTTTTCCAAACAAGTAAATTAATCCTTTATCATACCTGATAAAAGTCATTTTTGAAGCGTTCCGGTTGAAGGGCAGGTAATCTGTGGCAGAGCGAATAAGCGTGACGTAGAGCTTCGTGGGAAATGGGGGCATCACCACGTTGAGCAGCCTTTACATATTCCAGTATCAATTTTACTCGGGAATGTAACATTTTTATAGCAGAATGTTGGGACAATAAGTGTTCAGCCACTAGATAATTAATCAAATATTTTGTTAATTTCCGTAGATTTAGAGTTGATGAGTAGATTGATTATTATTTTATACCCAAAGATGTTTCAGAGTTATCTGCAGCTGACATTCTAGCTACATGATCCACACCGATTCGTTCCGCCTCCTCCGTAGCGAGAACGTAAGGAAGTTGAACGAATAGCATCGTTGTTTCACTATTCACAATGTCAATTATCGATTCATACACTCCAATCGGAAGCTGGAAAAATTATAACAAATATTATTTAAGACTTTTACTTTGATTAATCATTATTTTTAGATAAAGTACGTACATCAGCGTTTTTGACTAATGGATTTAATTTGAGTAGGACAGGGGACTCATAAATTTCAGTGATTTGTTTATGGACGTGAATATCTGAGGGGGTGGGGATGTCGCCAGTCGTATACCACCCAAGAAAATCCATTTCACTAAATACTTGCTTGACTAGAAGAATATTATTTTAGATTAGATGAGCCAATTGATATTAATATTTTTTAGAATCGAGTTCTCACACTGCTCTTCCTTTGTCCTGTAGTAATCTCGATCGATGACGATGAGATCATCAACAATTTGAAAAACCAATTCAAATGAATTCATTATTTCCAAATGTCGTCCTTTATGCTGACCAATTATCGCTCCAATCACTGAAAAATTAGCAAACAGTAAAATATTTACCAAATTTGATCGGCCAGGCGCTGAAATATTGAAATCCACCCAATCTACTCACCTTGTTCCTGTTTCCCATCATTCTGAGCTCTAGTTCGAGTCCAGTGTTCGGAAATGTTCATAATTACGAGAGGATGAAGTGAAACGGTAATGCTGCCAACGGTGGAGGATGGAGCCATCACATTTTCTTCACCACCACAAATAACAATGGAGGGTGGTGCTGAAGAGGTCGAAGGGGGATTTCCATTTTGTTGAGAAGTGGGGGCTGGTTCGTCGACTTCCATTTTCCCAAAAAACGGACAAGCAAAGTGATTCTTGGGGGAATTACTTTTAGAATTATTTTGTCAATCTTTTTTGTCAAGATGAAAAATGTTGGCTGGTTATGATTTCACCGCCGCTAAACAAAAGTGAGCTCTTTAGTCTCCTCACTTTTTGGAAATTGCTCATTGTTCATGAATTCTAACACATGCATCGCATAATTTGAATAATTATTTTATTCCCTAAAAATCTTATAAACTTAAACGTGGAAACTATCCGTGGAATGAATTTTATGCAAATCATCTGCAGGTTCATGTGCATCCGTGTGATTCTTATCCAACAAACCAAGATCCACATTCGTCCCGTGAATCTTTGCAACCGACATTGACATCCTCGCAATAGCTGAAATTTTCCTACTGCTTGGTTTCCCCCCAGCGGTCGTCCCCGCTTTGCTCCGCCATGGAACGGTCTTTTTGGGAATTTTCTTTGATTGACTGCTCGCCAAACTTTGTTGTCTTTTTTCTTCTAATGATTTCATTTTCAATTTATTCGCCTCAATCGCTTCTCGACCTTCTTTTTCCATCCCTTCGTAATAATAGTCCAAATTATCCTCTCCCATCGAAGATGATGGCGAGGAGGACAATGCAATCAAATCTTTCAACTCTTTGGGAACTTCTTCGTCTGGATGACGTCGAAGGATCCAGGGAAGTTTGGCACGGATTTTCGGAATCTTCTTGGCCCACATGTAAATCATCAAAACTTGGCGTCGCTTGCGGATCTCGTTCTACAAGGTTTTGTGGGGAATTAGCAGAAATTGAGTGTATAAGTTGGGAAACATACGTTTGTCCACAATTTTCTGAGCATATTTCTTGTTCGATTATGCGAAATCATGATCCAGATGCAGTGTAGACTTCGAAATAAAATGAATGCAATGAAGGGTGCAAGAATCCCAGTCAGCAACATTGAGGTCATGTACAAAGCGAGAGGGATTAAAAAGGTGCCACTCATATAAATTGGTTCCTTTTCCTGAATCCCTTCCGTGATGTGGGTCCATTTCGTGTATTCTTGTCCATTGTCCCAGTAAAACTCATTCATAAAATCCATCCAGGTACTCACAAAAATATCCGAAGTTTTGTTCACATTGCCTTTGACGGAACGGGTCCGTTTTTGAGGCCTTCTTTGACGGAGGCAATGTTTCGGCGTGGAAAATAATTGACGAGTGGGTTCATTCGTTAGAAATACGGATATCAAATCATCCTCTTCCGCTACCTTCTTGTAGATTTCTCTAATCATAATTTTATGGGGGAGGTAAGTAGAGGTGGTTTGTGTGAGGAAATAAGTGTGGACTTACTCGTGGTAGAGACTTTCAGAAAAGCTTAGAATTGGGTGAATGAGGTTGATGAGGAGGAGAAGGCGAAGGAGTGGTTTTAATGGAGGCATTTTGATTGTTTATTAAATTGTGGGTTTGATTTGTAATTTTTTTGTAATTCTGGCTGTTGGTCGTAAAACAATCAAGATTATTTGACACTTTATCAATCTATAAGGTTACGACAAATGCCCGAGTTACAAATGAATTTTCATTTTTAAATTGTCGTGGGTTACAGTTTATTTTTTTAATATTTTGGCTGGAGAATTGGTTTTTCGTCCATGGGAGAAAAACCAATTTTAAAATAATTTTAAAAATGAATATTTTATTTATAACTCGACCATTTGTCGCAACCGTTAAGGGTAACTAGGCACTAAATGTCAAGCAATCGTGTAAAACAATATCCCTGGTCGTCGTTTTTAAGAATTTTTGAGCAGTTGCTAAGAAATGGTGCATTATTTAGAGGAATAATTTACTGGAATTAGATCGCTTTCAACGTCAGTTTCTCGCCGGTAATTTTTTAGCCTGAGTCAGGGCTTAAGGAACCGTCATAATTTCCGTCCGTCCATCCGTCCCAAAACACGATAGAGCCAAAACGACTGAACCGATTGACTTGAAATTTTTACCATATGCATATTGGACAAAGTTAGGAAACGAGTTTGAAGATTGGCGAAATCGGTCAAGTGGTTGACCACTGGGGGTTATCGGAGTGGTCAGAGACTAAGTCCCTGGCTCGGGCTATATGGGGTCTGCACTGTAAATTATGTAAATTCAAGGAAATTATTCCTCTAAATTTTGCACCATTTCTTAGCAACTGCTCAAAAATTCTTAAAAATGACGACCAGGGATATTGTTTTACGACCAACAGCCAGAATTATTTTTCGTGAAATTAAATTCGAGGGGTAATTAATTTATTTTTCCAAACACACGCTCGTTGCCAAATGAATGAGTGAGCAAATGCAAAATCGCGTAATAATAAATAATTTATTTAACGATTTAAAATTGTTAACAAGCGATTTTTCCTAAATTCTCAGTTAAACCGAGAAAAACTTAATCATAGTTTATATAACATATAATTTTGCAAGTAGTTTAACCAAAAACAGAGTCATTTTATATTAGCATTTTTTTCTTCACCAAAAACAGTGTGAGATTATTTTCGACTAATATTTTGGATTAATTGAATAGGTTTTTGCTGATTAAAATGTGGTTGTGGTTGTAATTGTTGACTGTTTGGTAGTGGAGATGGTTGATGTTGTTGAGACAATAATGCAACATTGTTAATAAATTTATGTTCATGATTTCCATCAGTTGATCCCCCACTGGATAAATTCGTAGCCATTGTAACAACGCTGTTGGTATCCGTTACACTTCCCGACGCATTATCAAATAAATTTCGTTCCATGGTTGGATTTCGATTTATCCAAGCGGGATCTTCAGCCAAAACGACACGCTTCTTTTCCAAGGCTTTCATACTTTTGGTTATGAATTTGTTATTCAAATTCATTTTCAATTCTTGTATTCGCTCTACGATGCAGAGGGATGTTAACCTGTGGGGAAAATTGTTTGAGTATGAGTTTGTGATTTTTGGGTGGAAATTTAGATATTAGCGCACCTCGCATCCGGTTCAGAATCCCAAGATTCATTTAAAGAATCACGTAAAGCACGTGTGAGTCCCATGTCACTCCATGAATGGAAACCAGGACGAATACGATTCTGCACGACGAGGCGGACAACGTCATCAAGGTTTAATATGTCCTTGTTACCTGTTAATAAGGAAATATGCTACAGTTAACATCGGATTATACGTGGACAATTATAATCTTTAATCGTACCAGCTTCCTCATCGTAAGGTAGCGCGTGTAACATGTTGTTAATTTCTATTGAATCCACTGTTTCGGAAATTCTGTAATTAATAACACTAATTTTTAGAAAATCCAAATATTTAACCGTTTCTTATTGAAAATAATTCATGTGAATTATTAATTTATGCAAAAGGCTAACCACATCTCAGATAAATAGTTCAATAGTCTATTTTTACACACCTGAGATCTCGGCATGAATTCGCCACTTCCCACAAAATCAAACTCATAGAATAGACATCCGCTTGTTTGAGTGCATTCTCACAGTCTTTCAAATTTACGGCCCCCTCCAGTAATTCTGGAGCTAAATATCTCAACGTTCCTGCCTCAGCGAGGGAACAGAATTCCGCTTGTCGTTCACGACCACCCCAATAATATTTACTTCCACGGGTCAGCAGGGATAAACCAAAATCCGCAATGCACACACGCTTGGTTCTCATGTCCAACAGGATATTCCGTGAAGTGAGGTCTCTATAATTTATTACAGAAAATATATATAAGATTAATGATTAGGACAAAATATACTTAGCTTAGCTGGTAGCGCACCTGTGAGCTACGGCAGTCGAAGCTTCAGAAACTCCATTGTGAAGATAAGCGACCCCTTTGGATATTCCCAAAAGAATATCGACTAATTCATGGCAAGTAAAAGTTTGAGTCTTTAAAAATTCTCTTAGATTACAATCCACTAAATCGAAAGCTAAAACTAAACTAGTCGGACTTTCAGTCCAGCCGTAATATTTCAAAATATTCTCATTCTCTTGGCCCAAACATTCATACACAAATTTCTCATTGTCAAAAAATTCACGGTGGTCAGGATTATAAATTTTCAATGCTATGCTGTTCATGTTCAAAAATTGATGCTGATTATTCGTCATCTTCTTTGTCGAATAGATTCGTCCCCATCGGCCGTTTGCTAGAGGGAAAAAATTATTTTTAGAATAGTCCTTACAAAAAAAAGCTATATTAAAAATTACCAATTTCTCTGTCCAACACTGATTCCAGATCGATTTTGAGATCGAACGAGTCTGGAGAACTCTTGTTGAATCTTTTTAAATTCATAAAATCATTATTAATCAATCGCTCCTCTTCTTGTGGATCCAATTCCCCATCTCCTCCTGGACCACCAGCCGCACTCCCATTTCTATTCTTGAACAGGCGTTTTCCAAGGAGGACTCTTGCCACGACCAATCCAAGTCCAACCGTACAAATCACCACGAGAAAGATGATGATTGCCATGTACATTGAATTTTTACTGTTTAATGATTCCGGTGGGATCAATGTTTCATAGTAATCTTCCCCTTCGTCATCATCGTCATCAATGGCTTCGAGATACACGTCAGCGTTACAGTAATTCCCCTGACAGCAGCAAAAATGCATATGGTTCGGAGGAAGGACGGGAAGGCCTTCTTTCTTCTTGTAATATGCAGTACAGTTGGGGCGTTGACAGTAACCAGAGTTCTTGGGAACGGATTGTGAAGAAGATTGTGGCGACGATTGTGATGTCGTGGGTGAGGAATCAATCGGATTCGATGGTGGCGAGGCTTCCCAACATCCTATACAAATTTATTCAATTTTAAAATATTCTTTCCTTTACTGCAAATTTATTTTACCTTGTTTAAGGAATTGTGGAATAATGTCTGAAATATTGGCCGTGTTGTTGTTGGTACTATTCGCTCCACCAGCCCCACTCGTTGTCCATAAAGCGTAACAAAATTGTGATTCTCGACCACAAACCATCATTTTCTTGGCAATATCCACATCGGTATCACTTGCATTTTCTGCATTACCACCTTCAGACTGCAAAAATGAATTCAAACTTCCATTTTCCACTCCAACACCACCACCTCCGTCAAACTATAAGATTGGATTTTTTGGAAAATAAACAAAAATAAGCAATCGATGCAAAATAAAAACATTAAAAATTTTACAAGATAAAATGGACTTACGTCATTTAAATTACTATCATAAAATTCACAAAACACTTTTTTTACAAGACCAGATTTGGTCGCCGCACCCTCGCAAGAAGATCCGAACAACAACCCGATCGCAAATAAGGCAATCACCTCCTTTTTATTATTTTTCAGTCGTGAGATTCCCATTGTTTTAAATAATTCGTTATAAATTGGAAATTATCAGAATTCTATCTTTCTTTAATATTCTCTAATTTTTCATCCTGTGCTCGTCATTAGTGGAACAATTAATTTTACATTTTACACCCACTCGATTCGGGGTGTGTACTTTTGGAGGTGAAAGGGGAGGATCAGCCACCATTTGTGAGGGGGGGGTAATAAATATTTAACTTTAATTTATCCTCCTTTAAATGGCTTTTGGTGGCTGCGGAGTAGAAGGTGAATAAAATAAGAAAGAAAGACGAGGAGAATGTAGTCTGTGACTTTCTGTGTGTGTGTCTGTCTCGTCTGGCTGTCTAGTCGTGCTCGCCGAACCCCCGTCCCCATCGTCTCAATTCCTAGTGAGGCTTTTATCTCCATTTGTTACATCGTAATTTAGCGATTTTTAAATTTAAGAGTCACATTTTGAGTCATTTGGCGTTTTTGGAATTGGTGATTTTTTAAAAAAATTCATGAATCAACTTATTAAGAAATCCGCAATTGTCATTGTCTCATCTTTTTGGTGAGTTGGTTGGGTTCGGCGAGCTCCGCAGAGACCATGGCACACAACAGGGCAACGTAATAATAAGAGGGGTACTAATACTGTGTACAAGAAAGTAGGTACCCGGCTCGGGAGAGGACGGCTGCGCCAGCTTCGGGGGAGGGATGAGAATCTCGTTCCGAAAAAAAATTCATGAGCGTTCTGTATGACAGCAAAATTGTTTATTTTTCATGAATTTCCCTCAGTTAACAAATGCTTTAAAGTCTTGTGTAAAAATATAAAATCATTCGCTAATCCTTTCGAATTGGTGATTTCTTTAACCGTGAGGTAGCCTTTTTCTTCCATGAATTTCTTGAGGGCATTTTTCCCTCTGGGGACATGACTAAATTCGACGGATAGCGTCTACGCAAAATTTGTATTTTAATATTGGTTTTTTATATAAATAAATAAAATCCGTACTTTAATGAAAATCTTATCGAATGGGATGTTTTCCAAAAGTTCCATTTCAGTCCCTTCCACATCCAGGCTGAAATAATCCACGGTGGAAATTGATAAAGCGTTTAATAGGGAAAATAATGGGAAACATTGAACGATTTTGTAGCCTTTTTTATTAACAAGGTTTGAATTATTGGCTGTTATTCGACCAGTGTTGAATTGTTGGTGGAACAAGACCTATGGAAAATAAATTGGTTAATAAAATTTTAATTTGGAATTTTTAAGACTATCCAAAACCTTGTGGGGAAATGATTTGGTGGCTAAACAAGTATTTGAAGTCCATGATTTACGATTTTTGTCTAAAACCAATTCGTAGTTGGATGGATCCGCTTCTGCAAAGTGTTTTTTTCATGAATTTTTTTAAGTAATTTAATTTTTAAAATAAATTACCAATTAACAATCCTTGCCATCCGAGATTTTTTTCTAAATATAACGTATTTGATCTGGTCTGTCCATCTAATGCACCGCTTTCAACAAAAAATCCGTCCCTCTAAATATTATAATTTTTTAAATAAATAGTTAAAAGAAATTAGTTTTTGAAAACTTTGTGTAAACCATGTTATTGAAAATCTTCCTAATAAATTGTCCTTGTCCCATTGACGGATCCTCATTCGGAGATGGTTTCAAATTGTATGGTTTTTTTGACGGTTCAATTAAATATCCATGATCCCAAATGAACTTCTTTATCCGGGGATCATCTTGATTCAACTTTATTGGATCGCCAGACATTACATCGATCATTGGAATTAGTATGTGATCTGCAATTTTTATCAGCAATTATATTAAAATTTCAATTTTATATCAGTGTGGATTACAATTACCTGAATCAACTGATTTATTTAATGAAAAGTTTGCCGTATATTTTGGTACAGATTTGAAAATTAAGATTACTAATGTTATAGCTATTAAGGTTAGGAAGAGGTATTTCTGATGGTGGTGGTGGTGAGAGGGTGTGGTCATCTTTGTAGATATTCTGATAATAAAAATATATTTTTATCAAGCTGAATAGATTATATAAATTAAACTTGTTTTTAAAAAATGTGTTTTTAATGGATGTATTTAGGTAGTTTTAGAGAGCTGTAAAATTTGACAATTGACTTTTGTCAGCGTATTCATAAACATTTAATATGATAAAAGACGTATATCCTTTCAACGATTCCAGTCTCATTATTACAGTTGAAACGAGAGTGAATGTGCGTATAGAGAATCGAGTGAAACTTGAGTCTGTCATTTGAGATGAGATTTTATATGCGCATTTCCGTTGTTGATAAATTCTTTGTGACTTTTTATAGTTTTGTTTATTCAAATCGTTGTTATAAAATTCGTTATTTTTTCTGTAGCCTATTTTTAATATTAGCTATCTCTCGTGTAATATTGGCACAATAAAATTATTATTATTTACAACAAACTTTTCTTCTTGCACGTATAAATTAGAGCATAAGTTTCAACTTGAGGCTGATGTCCGGGGTGAGGACGGCATGACCCAAGGTTCCCAAACTTGCATTTACCACACCTGAAATGTTCCCTCCGATGTAAATATCTGGAATGGGGACGATCGTGTACATGATAATCACAGAGAGCAGCATGACGAATAAAATGGCAAAAACCGGGATCACGGTCACGGCGATGATTCCAAGAATGCGAAATCGGATACGTGTCCCTCTCACGACGATGGAATGTTGCGATGAAGATGGGGAGGACGTTGTGGGGGGTGTGGTCGTTGAGTGACGGAGACCTTTTTCTGGTTTTTACAGAAAAATGAGAGTGGAATTTTATTTTTCTTTAAACTTTGCATGATTAAAAGATTTGACTGATAATTGCGTATAAATTGAGATCATGATTTTTTGTGGTTTTATTAACAAGTACATGAAAAATGTACAAAATAACTTCATCTCAAGAAATCATGAGTTAATTTATCGTTGTCGTGAGTTGAAAAACTTATAAAAATTTTAAAAAAAACGAGTACTCACCAACATCGAGATCATTATCGTCTTCCATCACAAAAGGCATCAGCATACGCTCAGCCGATTTATCCATAAAATTTCTTTATAAAATTTTAACTCCGATGATTTTTTGTGTTAAACAATTTTCATATGAAAACTAATTTATACTTCATTTCTCTCACTTTTGTATTTTTTGTTAACTAAAATTTTCTCATTTTTCTCAATATGAAAATTTATATATATAATACAAAAAAAAATCTCAAATTCATTCAATGAAATTTGCAATACGGAAATTTGTTTATAAATTTTTGTGGTAACTTCCTAATTGGAAATTCCCCAAGAAAATCAAACCACAAGTCAACCACTACTGTATTACACGAGCGACGACGACGACGACGTCGAGGACGACGATAACGCGAGGATTGAAGGAGATGCTTGTTTGAACTGAATTGATAGAATAATATGTGAAGACCTTATTTGATGTTTCTAGTGAACCAAAACTGGATTTCATCAACCTCTAAGAAGAACAACTCTTGTAGTCGTATTGTTAAAGAAAAAAGTGGATATTATTTGATGAAGAATGTTGCGTGCATATGTACATGTGTCTTGGCAGATAAAATCATAATCTAATCAGGTGTGGATTCTTCTGTGTGGATTCTGGTTTTTGTACAATTCACTTTGTCAAATATATGTATTATAAGAAATTTGCCAGTTTTCATAATTTTCATCATTATTAATTTCATGGAAATGTTTTACTTCAAATAATTATTTCCAGTTTGAGAAGGTGTGTGTGAAAATTTCAAGTTTACATGTACTCGAACTGGAAATACCAGCATAAATTATACACGTGTACAAATGTTAATACATGTTCCCATACAAATTAGTTGCTTTACAATAAATTATTATTTGGTTTGGTTGTAGCTGAACTTGAACTTTTGTCTCAAATATTACTTTTCTCACACGATATGTAACTCGCTTATACATGAGTAATAAGTATGTGTCTCAAATGTGATGCAATTGTTCAACAGATGAAATAAATATCGATTGATTAGTTCGTTATAGAATAGTTTTAATGGATTTGTTTTTTTTGATGAGTCAGAATTACGTCAGGGGATATGTAAATATTTTGAATGCATTGTTTATGCAAGGAAAAAAGTAATTAAAAGATTTTTGAGATTACATGGTGGGAATGGGAAATGTGTGTGTATGACGTATGTATGTGGAAGGAAGAACAATTCATTTCTTTTTCGTCATGAAAGTGTATAGACAAAATTTTCTACAAAGAAAATGGAAACAGTGACGCATTTTTGTAAACTTTAAACAATGATTTGATGCATAAACCCCTGATTTTGTTGCTGTTGCAATTTTTGAGGTAAATTCTAAGGAGGATTTCTAAATGAATCTAAAGAATCGACAGGCTAGAAGAATGGCGAGCGACTTTTAGCCAATTCTTTCTACTTGGTGTATAAATTTTCAAGGTAGACCAGTTTTCTTTGTCATTTTTGAGACCGTATGAAATTGTTTTATCATTGAACCTTGTTATACGTTGGTTAAAGGGTGTTATGCAATTACTTTATTATAGAGAGATTTGCTATGGGTGGATTTGTTTGAGTGGAATTTGTGACATTAATAATTTTATGAAATGATGGAATTGGTAATTTTTTAAAGAAAATTTGAAAATGCATAGGGAAATAAAATTTTGTAATCCTTTAATCTTGTAATTTTTAAGTGGTTACAAATCATTTTCATGTAATAAGACTTTTTTTTGTGAAGGAAATTATTTGTTGCGCAATTGCTGCTGGATAAATAATTACTTCTCATAAACCAAATAAAGCATGAACTCTGAACATGAGCAGCAACAAATCATGTGAAGTTGAAGGAGGTCACCACTCATTGTCAAACAAAAACACAATAAAGAAATGGTTGGAAATTACGAAGAAGAGATTTGTGTACGTCAAGGTTTTTTACAGTATAATCAGTGGCGTTGGATTACTTTGGAGGGGAGCTTGCGAGGTTGATAATAACAGATCTTGGTGCCCTTTGGATATGTGGTAGGGACCCATGAGTGTACTAAAACCCTGAAGTAGTTTGACTCCATGGCCACATTTGCGCCCGCCACACCCCCTCAAAAATGTCCAAAAAACGCTTTCACCCCAGTTTTCACTCACTCAAATCCACGCCAAAAATCCAATTTTACTCGGATTTTGAAATTTCTTTCACCATTATACTCCCAGATAGTTGCTTTCTTCAATCCAATATCAAACTCAATTTTTTCGAAATTTTTAGTATTTTTAAAATTTAAAATTCTGAATGAGCATTGTTGTAGTCATCAACAAAACAAATTATGTGTGCGAAATAATCATCAATAAAATTGAGTTTGATATTGGATTGAAGAAAGCAACTATCTGGGAGTATAATGGTGAAAGAAATTTCAAAATTCGAGTAAAATTGGATTTTTGGCGTGGATTTGAGTGAGTGAAAACTGGGGTGAAAGCGTTTTTTGGACATTTTTGAGTGGGTGTGGCGGGCGCAAATGTGGCCATGGAGTCAAACTACTTCAGGGTTTTAGTACACTCATGGGTCCCTACCACATATCCAAAGGGCACCAAGATCTGTTATTGATACTTTTGAGAAAAGTGAGACTACAGAGTTCGTCTTATGATGCCTCGTTGGCCTGTTGGCAAGTTTAAAGTTGCGTCTGGTTTGTCGGTGTCTTCAGTTTTAATCTTTGGAGAGAAGAAAGTTTTGATATTTTTACAAAATAATCCAACAAAATATTTTAATTTTGAACAATTTGACGAGTTAACAGAAGGTAAGCGATTTAAGGTTTCATTTAAAATCCAATAACTGTAACTGATTTGCTCTTTAATTAAAAAAAAACAGTGAAACACGATGGATTTTCAAAATCGTGCCGGAGGAAAGACGGGCTCCGGAGGTGTTGCCTCCTGGTCAGAAACGAATCGTGATCGTCGTGAACGTCTTCGTCAATTGGCGTTGGAAACAATTGATTTAGCGAAGGATCCATATTTTATGAAAAACCATTTGGGGACCTATGAATGTAAACTTTGTCTCACTCTTCACAATAACGAAGGATCTTACCTGGCACACACACAAGGAAAAAAACATCAGGCTAATTTAGCTCGAAGGGCGGCGAAAGAGGCGAAAGATGCTCCGTCGCAGGTGAGTTAATTGTTTTGTGCTATGGATGATTTACTTTACTAATGGAAATTCCATTATGGAATAGAAAAGTGCAACAAATAACGCTTTATTTCCGTGTAACAAACATTATAATTTTTCCAGCCCTCATTGGATAAACCGCGTGTTGAGCCGAAACGGTTTGTAAAAATCGGGCGACCAGGATACCGAGTGACGAAACAACGGGATCCGGAAACCTCACAGCAATCGTTACTATTTCAAATTGATTATCCCGAAATTGCTGATAATATTTATCCACGACATCGTTTCATGTCTGCGTATGAACAAAGGATTGAACCACCAGACAGGAAATGGCAATACGTTCTCTTTGCTGCTGAACCATATGAAACGATTGGGTTCAAAGTTCCAAGCAGGGAGGTGGACAAGGTGAGTTGTTCAATAATTTGAGTAAGTGTGACTTTTACATAAATATTCTATTTTTCCAGATGGAGACTAAATTTTGGACACATTGGAATTCGGATACGAAGCAATTTTTCCTCCAATGTACATTTAAATTAGAAAATAAACAAAGGATAATTCCACCACCACCGCCGCCATTAATGGCACAAAATATCCCACCACCTCCTCCTCCCAGTGCGGGTGGGAATAAAATGCCGGCTCCTCCACCACCGAGGAATTGATCAGACTTTTTTCTTTAATCGGCAGTGCGAGTTTAAAAAAATAAACAAATTGTTATTAATAATAATTTTGTATTTAAACAATTCTATGAATTGATTAATATCCGTAAATAAAATAAATTAAAACAAAATATTGTTCCAAATTCAACTCGAATTAAAATGGAAATATTAAAATTTCTTTACATTTTCCTCCAAATAACAATTTCAACATCGAGTCCACCCAATTGTCCTCCTCCTGCACCGTTTTTCATGAAAACGTCTCCGAATTCGAAATATCTGTACACTTCAGTTCCCACTCCCATGCGCTTCCTAGATGCGTTTGATACCTGCATGGCTGTTGGATTGGAACCTGCCGTTATCAAAAATAGCGTGGATTTGTTGCACTTGCAGAATAATTTTCTTGGTGTGTTTTTTTAATAAAATAAAAAATCATGAGAATTATGTTGTAAAATAAATTGCAGATGGACACCGGCGATGGGCACTTGGCATCGTTTTTGATCCTCCACAAAGGACTTTTGTACAATTCATTAGTGGAGGATTGCTAACGTTTCAGAATTTTGACACCAGAAGTGTATGGGTTTTTTGGATTAATTAGTGGAATTATTTTTAAATCTTAAATTTTAACACAGGTAAACGATGAATTTGGATGTGTGGCATTAGAAATGGATGGACATGGATTTTTGATCATGGAAGCTACGTCCTGCACAAGTTTAGCATTTCCTTTGTGCCAATTTAATTCCACCAGCGATTGCTTCAAACTTAGCACGGAAGGTGGGTTTTTATTTATTTGTTTTATTTGTTTTATTAATTTTGTGTGTAAAAATAGAGCTCACGCCACCCCCGGAAGAACTGGTCCCGATCGGAACAATTGGTTGGATTGTAAATAAGCAGATTTTCGCAAGTCAAGTCCAAGGAAATTATAAAGATGCTCTGAATTCATGTTCGAAACATCATACGAAATTATTGGATTTGAATATGAATCGTTATGATGGGGATCGACTGTTCAAAATGATCAAATCTTTTCAAGCCGAGCAGTGTGGGTTTATAAATTTTATTTAAAGTAGAATTATTAATAATTCCCTAAATTAACAGACTACTACGACCCACCAATACTAACCTCTGGTCAATTTATGAATGGCGAAATAACGTGGACATCGAGTGGGAAAGAATTTAACTCATCAATCGAATGGATGTGGGATGCAGATGAGCCGATGGATAATTTTGGACTTGGAATGGAATTCTGTTTAACCATTAATTTAATCAATCGGTTTCAAAATCAAGGATCAAATGTGTTCATGTTTGGCTTGGATAATTGTAAATTACCGTTTTATTTCGCGTGCTATGCGGACTTGGTACCGGGGAAGAAACGGGTCGAGAGTGTTCATAAAACAGAGAAAATCATGGAGAAAATAGGTTTGGAATTAGGGTTTGTTTTTTGGTTGTTTTTATTGATTTTTTATTTTTATTACGCAGTGGCTAAAAAGGAGATTGTAGAAAAACCGTGTTATTACGACGACGTGCCGAAATTGGATTTAAAAATTCCTGGACTTGAACCGAGTATGATTTTAAAATTGCAAGAATTGGTTGTTAAATATTCGCTACAGGATGGAAGATATGCTCCGAAAATGGGTGGGTTTCTCTATTATTTTGGATAAGCATGGGAATTTAATTACAAATTTTTTTGTAGCCCCTCCAAGTTGGCGATACAATTTAATCGACATTTTATCCAAACTAACAAAGAAAATCTGTCCAACGTATCAAGTTTCTCACGAGTTTTTAAACATAATGTGGAACATGATTCACATTTATTGGCATCAAATCAAACCCGATGAAATTAATATAAAAATCGATGAGGATTTCTGGATTAGAAAAATTTCCGAGTTACAAAATTGCTCCCTTGAAATCGTCAATGGAGGGTTTTACATGGAGGGGAGGGGCGATTTTGTGAGTTTTTTCTAAGTAAATAGTGAGTGGATTTGGTTAATTTTATATAAAATAATTTAGGCAATGAGCGTTGAGGGAATGGAGATCCTTGTCCGAGAAGAAATTGTTGATCTTGACATGGATTTGGACATGGTTATGGATTCATTTTGGTTCATGTTCCAAACCAGCGTCGGAGCTTGCTATCCTTTTCAGATTCATAATCAGACCAATTGGATCGTGGAATATTTCACTAAATTCAAAGTGGACGTTTTGTTTCCGCTGATGTTTCGGTGGTATTTGGACTCGGTTTTATTTTTTGGGTGGTGGTGATTAACGCATGATTTTCCTAGGTCGCTGCCAAACGACGTGACTGACGAGTACGGGTTGTTTATCGGTGATGTGGATGTTAAAAGAGCGGTTTACAACTTGAGAGTCTGCTCCACGGCGACGTTTGCATTGAATTCGATTAGTGACAGGCAACTAGCGAGGCCGATGGGGTTTGGGGGTGGGATGGAAAATGAGTTTGCCCATCTGGAGATGGGTGCGTAGAGAGTGCATTTATGTAATTGTTATGTAAATGTTATATAATAATAAACACGTGACAGAGTTGTGTTAGGTGAATGAGCTGATCAAGGTCGATTAAATTGGTTTTGTGTGCGTGTATATAAAAAGGGTTTTATTTCACTTCGGGCAACACACACGGATAATTTATACACACGAAAATAGACATGGCATTTACGGGGAGGCGAGTTTTGATCACCGGTGGTGGAAGGGGTAATTAATTAATTTGTAAAATTTATGTACAACTAATAAAAAACTCCCTCTGCAGGTCTCGGCTACGAAATCGCCAAACAATTCGACATCGTTGGAGCTACAATTATAATCCTCGATAAAGAAGTTGAATTGTTAAATTCAATAAAATCCCAGCATCCGAAATGGACAATGATCCAGTGCGATTTGCTAGATTGGGAGGGGACGAAATCAGCGTTGGAACATCTCGAACCGTGTGATCACGTGGTTAGCTGGAAATTTCAATAAATAAATAATAAATAAGAATAAACGTAAATTAATTTACGTTTATTCTTTTTTTAAAAATCCCAATTTATTAAGGTGAACAACGCTGGTGTCAACTTCCGGCAAGATTTCCTGGACATCACCCCCGAGAAAATTGACTTGTAAGATCATTAACTCTAATTTTTTTAATAAAAATTTAATTACAAAAATCTAATTGCAGCATCTTCGGGGTAAACTACAAATCCATCGTGAACATCAGTCAAATCATGTCGAAAAAGATGATTGCGAGTAAAATCCCTGGAACGATTGTGCACATTTCGTCCTACGCTTCATACGTTCAACTGCCAAGCATCAGCGTTTACTCCGCATCAAAAGCAGCCGTTGTCAATTTAACTAAACACATGAGTGCGGAATTGGGTCCGCATAAAATCAGAGTCAATTGTGTGTGTCCGACTTATATGATTACGGATTTTACCAAGGATTACATTGAAAAAAATCCCGAGAGGTTTGAGAAAATTTTAGATAAGCAAAACTTTAAGGAATTTGTGGATCCGGTGGATGTTGGGAAGCTGGTCGTGTTTCTTTCGGGGGATGGGGCCAAGATGATCAATGGGAGCAAGGTGAAGATCGATGGGGGGTGTTGATTAGTCATTTGTGGAGTGTTAAGTAACAAATGTTAAGTAACTTTGATTCATGTTTATTTCCGGGGTTTGTTTACGATCGTGGATTCTTGTGAATTGTAAATATTTATGTAGTTTTAATTTGGGTCACAAATTACGTGTCAATCAGTGTGGCTAAATTATTTTAAAAGAAATAAAGATGAAATTATTACAATTTATTTCGTTTTATTTCTTAATTATCAGTGTAAATGGGAATAAAAAGGGAAAGTCCACCGCTGCTGAGGGTGGTGGTTCGAGTGGTGGGAGTGGTGGCGACGGAGGAAAGATAGCGAAAATAGAGGAAGCTTTATACACGAAATACCGTGACCAAGTATGCAACGCCGTCCCTGCATTTAAAGGCCAAGCTGGTGGGAAAAACGTCACTTTCTACGACGTCATCACTGAGGATGAAGTGTATGAATTGGCATTTCTTAACTTGGCGTATGGGCTGACGACGGATGCCATTTCACATTTGCCCGTAGACATGGGTTATAAAAAAAGGGTGATGGACTTGATTTCGATAGTGACCAAGATCAGTTGCGATAATTCGGTGGTGAGTGTGGGATTTAGTGGAATCGTTGAAGGAATTACACGTTTTTATGTGTCTTTATAGGTCCCTGAAATCTACCTCAACGCGGCCAAGAACTTATTTCTTTACTACATTTTCAAGCATGACAAGGTCCCTCCGCCCCCTGGATTTAAAAGGAATGAGACTTTTGTGACTGAAACGTGGAGTGAAATCGTCACTCTGCTCGAAACCTGTGCCGAACACGTCACCACGATTCCGATCGAACAGGAGTGCGACGTGGTAGGGTTTTACTAATTTGTTTTAATAAAATAAAAATTAATAAGTAATCTAGGCCACGTTCATCTCGATGCCGGACGGGATGACGCCGATCGCGATGGCCGAGGAGCGTCTGGACATTGAGAAACTCAACGAAGGCCATGAATTTGTCGACGAAGTGATTGATGCCATTTGGTGGATGTTCTCCACGACGTACGCCCGATGCTACACGATGTATTATCCAAGAGAGGACTGGGTCGTACAGTTCTTTAACATTTTCGTGGAGGAGTTTATTGATCCGTTCCTGGGGAGATGGTGGGTTTGTTTTTTATAAGGATTTTGTGGTTAAAATTACTAAGAAATTGTTTCCAAAGGAGAGACCCCCGTCCGATGGCAGAGTTTTTCCCCATAATTTTCGGCCCATTTGATTTCCGGAGGGCACGGGCTAATTTGCGTGCTTGTAACGGGGCGTCGTATCAATGGGAAGGGATTCCAGAGAGGCAGTTGGTTCGACCGTTGCTGGTTTCAGTGGATGGCGTCACGGTGCTTAATTTTAAGACGGGCATTTCTGAGACGTAGTTTGAGCTTTTTTTGTGTGAATAAATAAATAAATTGTTTAAAAAAAGAGTAATTTTTATTGTCCCAAAACCTTAACGGAATCGACAAATCTCGCAAAAGGGTCTAAATTTATTATGTTTTGGTTGGAAATCGTGGCGCACAAAGCCATTTTGTTGTGCATGGATTTTATTCCGTAGCCGCCGAGGAGGTATTTGTACACAGAGTGGAGCTTCCCGGGGGTGGTCCTATGGGATTTTTAGAATATTATTAAAAAATTAGGTCATAATTGATAACAAAAAAAACCACCATTGTTTTCCGACATGGACGAGAAACATTTCTTGGAAAGTGTTGATGAAATTGGGCCAAAACCCGTCGATGAATCCTAATGACGCGTGACACGTGGCGGCGGCGTGGTTCCCAACTAGCCAAACCATTTCTATAATTGGGTCGTAATTTGGGTTCAGTTGGTACATTGGGTCAATCATGTGGTCCACTTCGGTGGGGGATTGGACCAGGGTGTAGGCCGAGAGGGGGGTCTGGAAGAGAGACTTATGAGATTAGAAAAATATTTTAATGATGTTAAGCAACCTGATCATCCACCGCTTCCAAAATGCACCCGTCCAACTGCATATTCAACTCTCTCCAGTCGAAGTCTGAAATTATGGCATTTTTCTGCTGTGTTTTATCCCAAAAGTAAATGAAATATTCGCGAATGTAGTCTAAATAAGTGGGGGAAACGATGGGACACGTTTTCATCGCGACGAGGAAAATGTTCTCCAGCAGGTCCAAATTGAGTCGGGTGAGCGTGGCCAGATGTAGTTTTCTCCAGGGAAGCGGGGGTTTAAGCGGGTTTCCATCAGGGTTTTTATCTCCTTGTCCGTGAGGAGGGAGGGGACCGTGGGGGGGCAGCTGGTGGGTGGAGTGGTGATTGGGGCGGTGGGGAGGAAGGTGGAGGTGGAGTCTTCTTCCTCTTCGATTCCGCGTCCTTGGAGGGCTGCGGTGGTTGGAGTTATGTTATTTTTAGTTAAAAATTATGTAAAAAAAGTAAAACCTCACCGTGAGCGACGTCCAAAACCCTTGTTGATTTCCCATTAAAATAATCCATGCAGAAATGAATGTTGATTTTCTTCGTTTTGGAATCGCATCCGAGTTTGATTTTATAAAAAGATCCGGATTTTATGTTTTTCCCATCGATTAATTTGGAGATGAAGCAGATTGGGAGGCGGAGGGATTTTCCTCCCTGCGGAGAGAGGCAGATGGGTGAAGGGGAGCCCAGGGGGTGGAGGGTCCATTCCTCTGGGCCGTAGATTATTAAGGAGGTGGAGGGCGTGGGGGGGAGCGGTCCTATGGAAATTAATGGGGTGGTGAGATTGTGATTTTTTAGTAGTAGAATTTCGTTACCATTCGATTGATCCATGGCCCAAACGGGTCCGTTAAAGTTCCTCTCAGGGAAAAAGGCGAGCGTTGGTGGGGTCCGGGAAGGGGAGACGCGTTGGATCGAACCCAGGTGGCCGTACTTTTAGAGAAAAATTTAGTTAAGGAATTGTCTGTTTAAAGTATTTTAGTTACATTTTTCAGGTCGACGCAGGTGTCGTCTCCGGAAACGACGCCCACTTCCTGCTTGGTCCTTCCTTGGAAGTCCTTGTTGTCGTAGAGGAGCCAGCTGAATGATAATTTTTAAAGTTTTAATCGACCAATTAAAGGACTGATTAATAAAAAATCAACTCACATCCCTTGAACGCACAACTTGGTGAAATTCCCCATTTTCTTTTTTATTTTCAACTTGCTCAAATCATACCAAAAATCCGTTTCATACGTTATCGGGATGGATTTTGATTTGCTCATTAATTTTGCTGTTGGTTTCTCGTTTTCAGAGGATTGAGTGGTGGGAGGAGGGGTGCCGGGTGGCTGGAGCTGGGCGGTTGTTACGGTGGTTATTATGAGAAGGAGGAGGGAGAGGGTTTTTAGTAGGTGAGGCATTTTTAAATTTTAATGTGGGAGTGAGCGGTGGTTAAAACTGTTAAAAGGTGCTGATTCGGAGTGAGTTAAATTGTTGTTTAAATATTCATTGTTTTGATGTTTATGTTTTGGTTGGTGGGTTTTTTGTGTGTGCCAAATTTCCGTGCCGTTTTTTATGCTGATTTTATGCCAATTTTAGCACACTCCATTTTATGCCAAATTATCCCCACAAATTTCCACCCAATATAATTTATTGCTAAAACTCTTCTCCCTCCTAAATTCGCACCTTTCTTTTAACAACAACGCTAATAAAAAAATCACAAAACGCATCACAAAAAACAGGAATGTAGCACGCATCGCACATTAATCTTCGAACGAGTAATTCGTCACGCCTTTTGGTTTTTTCGTGACGACGACGATATTGTTTTGTTCAAATTCCGCATTATCCATTTTATTACTTAATAAAATAGGTTCAGAAGGGGTGAGGAATGGATTTAGAGACATTCCAGCTACGTCCATTAACAGAGAGTCGTCGCGGCCGTCCCTCCCATCAGGCGCGTACTTAAAGTAGTCTTTAATTGTAAATTATAAAAACCAAAATTAATTTAGGGGAATTTTAAAAATCAGAAGAAGTATCTAGTTGAATTAATTTTTCAGGTTCAGCGGATGCCGGTTGGGGTATGTAATTACCAAATGGGGCGTTCGCAAAGGGGTCGTCGGTGGGGTCAGTAGTAGAATTCGTCGTGGTGGTGGTGGTTGTAGAGGTGAAGGTGTCCGTTTCAAAGGGCTGCACAGAAAAATTTAATGTTACATCACACGTTTAATAAGAAAGCTTAGAAAAAAACGCCTACATTCCACGAGGCCACGACGGGCGGCAGGGAATCATCCGTCGTCGGAAATGGGGATGACGTTTGGGAGGTGGTGGCCCTATTTTTACAAGAAAAATAACCATTAAAAAGACACCACAGGAAGTTAGCAAAAAAACTCACCCCTCATTCTCGTTAATCTTCCTCTCGGGTTTCGGCGATTTCGGAGGCGGAATAATAGCGACGACCTTCGCAGGAATATCCACTGCCGCCACCGCCACCGAAGAGTTATTAGCTTTTGGCCGTTGTCTCGGCGTCACACTCGTTTCCAGCACGACAGCTGCCATTTTTTTATTCCCCCCCGCACCACCCCCACCCGCATCAGGTGGACTAATTTCAGTGGCTAAGTTTTTAAAGTGATCCGAGATTTCTTGGAAATTCCACGGTCTACTCGCCGGTTTACCAAGAGGATTGGGCGTTTCGAGCATGGCGTGAACGAGTTCTGATAACTGGTTGATATCTGGTCGATTAGTTTGATCGGGTAGGAGCATGTAATTTATTAGCAGTTGCAGCTCCAGGGGATACGACGGCTGCAGGGGAAAGTCCAATTTTTTTGCATTTTGAATCGCGAGGATCGAGTCGCCAAAGGGGGTCGTGAAGTAGCACATCTACGGAAATTTTGTTAGTAATTGGGGATAATTTATTAAAGTATTCGAAATTTTGTTAGTAATTTTTTTAAAGTATTCGCACCTTGTAAACCAAGACCCCCAAGGCCCAAATATCACTTTTGGTGGTGATGGGTCCTCTTCCCGAGTAGAGATCCACCATTTCGGGCGCCCGATACGCGAGGGTTGTGTATTTTTCTAAATCTTCTTGGATATTGAGAATGGAATGTACTTCTGGATCCCATATTTTATTCGTTGCGGAACCAAAATCACAAATTATAAACGTGGATCCGCTTTCGAGAATGTTTTCTATTTTTAAATCGCGATGGATTATTTGGTTTGGGGTGAAGTTGTGCATCGTCTCCACGCCGAGGATTATTTGGGAGAGGGTCCGGAGGATTTGGGGGGGTCTGCAGAGTGGAGTTTTATTAGTGGTTATTTTATGGAAAGTATTTAAAACTTACGAGAGTGTCGTTTTCGAAGCGACGGCCTTGTTGAGAACATTTAACAAGCTGGATTTGCAAAATGGGGTGAGTGAAATTATCTCTGTGATGTCCGAGGTGAGTTTGTTTATTTGGTAGTCGAGGAGGGGGAGCAGGTGCGGGTTCTGCTTTGTCGTGAGGGTGGCCTGTGAATACGCTTTTATTTAATTGTTTAATTAATTAAATAGTGTGAGGAATTTACCAAAAACTGAATTTCCTTCTCCGCCACTCCGAAATCCGTTTCATTATTGACGACGATCCTTTTAAAGGCAAACTCTTTCTTCGAGGAGGTATTTTTCGCTAAGAAAACGACGCCGAATCCGCCTTCGGCTATCACTTCGTCGATTGTGACCGTGTGGTTTTGGAGTTTACACGTTTTTCCTATCAAAGAATTCGGTTGGGTGGAGGTGATGGCGGAGGAGTTTTTCGAGTTTGTCAAGGGTTCGGGGGGTTGGGTGGACTTTTGCGGGTTGGAGGAATTTGGGGAGGAGGTGGGAGTGTGGTCCTCGACTAGTTTCGTGGTTTTGTTCAGGAGTTTTTTCATCGTGGTGGGGGGGAGACAAGAGGGGGAGTGGAGTTTGGAGGAAGTTGTGTGAATGGGTGGATTTTTTTGTGTGGATTTAAGGTTTTTTGGTTTGAATTTTACTGGGTTTTGGATGTGGTATGTTGCCCCGGTGGTGGAGTTTTAAAATGGAAATAATTTGTATGGCAAAAAAATTAAATGCTTTATTTAGACTTATAAACTATTATTTAAAAAAATCAGTCGTAAAATAAATTAAATATTTTCCTCATTAACGACGTCGCTTTCTTGAATCATGACTACTTCTTCTGATTGAATCGGTTGATCGATGAGTTTCTCGTCGCTGCTGCTCTCAAGGAAATCCATCTTCATCTTTTCCAGTTCCTCACTCTCTTCCTCCACTACTTCCACTTTCTTCTCACACCCCCCACCGGCCAAATGCCTCTCCCAAGCCTTCTTCCCCCCTTTCCTCGCTGCACCCCCACCAAAAACCACCCCACACTTTTCACACTCCCACTGTTTCCCTAAACATTTCTCTAAATGCTTGTTAAACTTATCCTCACTCTTCCACCGTTGATCGCACCCTGCACAACCCCATTTTTTGACTCCTTCCTCCTTGTGCCACACGCGATGGATTTTGAAATTCTCCTCCACGTAATATTTCTTCCCACACTGACCACAAACGAAATCTTTTTCCTCATCTTCCACATCGTCCTCGTGGGTCCGGAGGTGTTTCGAGAGGTTCTCCGCGGAGGAGACAGATTTCCGACAGTAGCCGCATTTGAAGTGGGAGTTTGTGTGGCGTTTTAGGGTGGACTTGGTGCGGAAGTTTTTTTGGCAGATTTTACAGGGGTGGTTGGGTGGGGGACGAGCGGGTGGTGGTGTGGGTTTTTTTGGAGTTTTCTTTGTGAGTTTCTTTAGGGGGGTTATTTTTAGGGGTTTTGTTTGGGGTGGAGGTTTGGGTTTGGAGGGGCAGTTGTGGGATTCTAGGAGGGATTGGAGGGTGAAGGTGTCGGGGCAGGTGGGGCAGTTGTACGGTTCTGGGTCGATGTTGTGGTGCTGTGAAATATGGGAAGTTGTTAGATTTAGTGGATGCATTGGGTGATTACTTACGTTCATGAGATGCTTCTGGAGGGAGGGGATGACGGAGAAGGTTTTATCGCAGAGATCGCACTTGAAGGGGAGGGCGACCTTGTGGATTTCGTTAATGTGACGCGTGACCATGTTCCGGCGGTTGAACAGGCGCGCTGTAAAATACAATTAATTAATCCAAGCCAATTTATTAATTTAGTAAACTAAACTCACGACAATGAGGACACGGAAAAGTGGGAGCGAGCAAATCCGCCGGGGTCACCGTCACGATGGACGGTTTGATATCGATTAATTGTTCTTGTATCAATTCTTGTTCCATTTGTTGTTCTTCATGAGAGATGATTTCACTGATGTCATGCTGCATTTCATGATGATGTAGTTCTACGACGACCTGTTCGATTTCTTCCACTACCACGACGTTGGTGTAGTCGAGGTCAGAGGTGGTGGTGAGGAGGTGCTCATCTGAGTCAGTGTTATCAGTGGGGTCCGTCGTCGCGGTGGTCGTGGAGGACTGGATCGTGGTCAACAGTTTGTGACGAAGCTTGGGGTTCATCCCGGAGAGTTGGGTGGACTGCAACAACAAAGACGAAAAGAAGTTTTAGTGTGTGTTGGTGAGTGGATAACAAAAACTACACCATTTAATTTTGTTGATAATAAAATTTGTGAAAATTATTGGAGAACTTACCACGTCCATTTTTTGGGTGGGTTGGAAGTGGGGGATGAGTTTTTGGGGGTGGGTTTAGAGTTTTGAGTGGTTTTGAAGTGTTATCAGAGGGGGGTGAGGATGGAGAGTGTGGACAACAAGACGAGTGTGCGGTCCCTCCGGAGGTTGGTGTGTAGTGTGGGGATTGATTTTTTTTGTGGAGGTTGGGATGAGTGAGTGGTGGGTAGGTGGCGTGGGGGTGAGGGGAGTGTGTGTGTGGGGGGGGAGGGTGAGATTTTGAGACGACGACGGTGGGTGTTTATATTTGTGGACAATGACAATAATTGTAGTCAAAATTGCTTGACAATTTACCTTGGATTGTAGTTTTTGGCAGGGTTTGAAATGTTAATAAATATTTATTATGCAATGAAATTGGCATGGCAAAAAAAAAATTGAACTTATTTATTTTATATCATATTTTATTAATATTTGATGAATTTCATCTATTTCTTCCTCATAAATTACCTAAAAAATAATAAAAAGCGACCTCCCACGTAAAAAAAATCCCCCCGCTTATCACCACTAAATTTATAATCCACGTGTAATAAGTCGTCTTATCCAAATCACATAACCACACAGCATCAGCAATTCAGCATCTCTCTTCGAGTGAGAACCTCTCTCCTAAATCCACGTGTCATTTGCCCATTTCTCTCTCCTACAACACGTAGACTAGCCTCCACCACCACCTTCTCAACCGTTCTCGCTGCTTCTGCTCCACTACTCAACAGAACACACCGCTATATTACTTCTCTTCCATCCACCAACCAACCCGTCAGTCAAGTTCAACAAACCCACACGGACAGTCCACTCTTCTTCCAGCCGGATTAATTTTCCAACACTAAAATCCACAACCACCCACAAAATTAAAGTCAAAAAATGAAGCCAAAGATCCTTTTGGCAATTGCGTTGCTGATCCACGCCGCCGCCTCGTCGGAAGACAAGGCCAAACCCGACGTGGGGACGGTGATCGGGATCGATCTGGGGACCACTTATTCTTGGTGAGTTGTTGAGTTATTTAATTTTAGGAAATTTAGTTAACCCATCCACCCACACTGAAAAAAACTAATAATCCTCTCCCTGCAGCGTCGGCGTCTTCAAGAACGGCCGGGTGGAGATAATCGCCAATGACCAAGGAAACCGGATCACCCCCTCCTACGTGGCCTTCACCGCGGAGGGAGAGCGCCTCATCGGTGACGCAGCCAAAAACCAACTGACCACAAACCCAGAAAACACCGTGTTCGACGCTAAACGATTAATAGGTCGCGACTGGTCGGACCACACGGTTCAATCCGACATAAAACTATTCCCCTTTAAGGTTATTGAAAAGAACTCCAAGCCCCACATCAAGGTGGCCACGTCCCAAGGGGACAAGACTTTTGCGCCAGAGGAAATCTCAGCCATGGTTTTGGTCAAGATGAAGGAGACGGCGGAGGCGTATCTCGGGAAGAAGGTGACTCACGCGGTGGTGACCGTGCCGGCGTATTTCAATGATGCGCAGAGGCAGGCCACGAAAGATGCGGGTGGGTTTTTTGACTCTATTTTTCGGTGGTTTTTGGTCGATTTCTTTGTATAAAATTAATTGACCACAGGAGTCATCGCGGGCCTGAACGTGATGAGGATAATCAACGAGCCCACGGCGGCCGCTATTGCTTACGGATTGGATAAGAAAGAGGGGGAGAAGAACGTTCTCGTCTTTGACTTGGGCGGTGGGACCTTTGATGTTTCTCTGTTGACCATTGACAATGGGGTTTTTGAGGTGGTTGCTACGAATGGTGACACGCATTTGGGAGGTGAGGACTTTGACCAGAGGGTCATGGACTATTTCATCAAGCTGTACAAGAAGAAAAAGGGCAAGGATGTGAGGACAGATAATCGGTTAGTTACCTTAATTTTTGTGTAATTTGCATGGTTAACTAACTAATTAACTAAATTAAAATCCTTAAAACAGCGCCGTCCAAAAGCTCCGCCGGGAAGTGGAAAAAGCGAAGCGCGCCCTCTCCTCCGCCCACCAGACCCGCATTGAAATCGAGTCCTTTTTCGACGGTGAGGACTTTTCCGAGACCTTAACCCGAGCGAAATTTGAGGAGCTGAACATGGACTTGTTCCGCTCCACGATGAAACCCGTGCAGAAAGTGCTGGAGGATGCGGACATGAAGAAAAAGGACGTGGATGAAATCGTGCTCGTGGGTGGGTCCACCAGGATTCCAAAGATCCAACAATTGGTCAAGGAGTTCTTTGACGGGAAGGAGCCGAGCAGGGGGATCAACCCGGATGAGGCGGTGGCCTATGGGGCGGCCGTGCAGGCGGGTTAGTTTATTATTTTGTTGCATTATCTTGGGTTGATTTAGTAAATTAACTAATTAAATAATTTAAACAGGAGTCCTCTCAGGGGAGCAAGACACCGGGGACTTGGTCCTCTTGGACGTGAACCCACTGACGATGGGTATTGAAACCGTAGGCGGAGTGATGACGAAACTGATCCCACGAAACACTGTTATCCCTACAAAGAAATCCCAGATTTTCTCCACGGCCGCTGACAACCAGCCCACGGTGACGATCAAGGTTTACGAAGGGGAGCGACCCATGACGAAGGATAACCATTTGCTCGGGAAGTTTGACTTGACGGGGATCCCACCCGCGCCCCGTGGGATGCCGCAGATTGAGGTCACTTTCGAGATTGATGCCAACGGGATTTTACAAGTCAGCGCGGAGGACAAGGGGACGGGCAACAAGGAGAAAATCACGATTACCAATGATCAGAACAGGCTGAGCCCGGAGGACATCGAGAGGATGATCAAGGTGGGTTTCTTAATTATAAAGTTTTTAGGTCACGTGACTAATTGGTTAATATTTCTTAACAGGACGCCGAAAAGTTCGCTGACGACGACAAGAAAGTCAAGGAAAAAGTTGAATCCCGCAACGAACTAGAGTCTTACGTTTACTCATTAAAAACCCAGCTAGCGGATAAGGAAAAGCTCGGTGGGAAACTCTCGGACGAGGACAAGACTAAAATCGAGGAGGCCGTAGAGGAGAAGATAAAATGGTTAGAATCGAATCAGGACGCGGAGGCGGAAGAGTATAAAAAAGAGAAAAAAGAATTTGAGGAATTAGTTCAACCTATTATTGCTAAATTGTATCAACAGAGTGGGCAGAAACCCAGTAGTTCTAGTGATAGCGAGGATAGCGAGAAGGATGAGTTGTAGGTTTTTTTAAGGGGTAGTTTATTTAATGGAATTTATTACGGTGAAATTGTTGGTTTAAAATTCTTGTGATTTTTTTGTATTAATTGAAAGTTATTTAAATAAAAATGTGTGTCTGTTTTTGGTATAAAATTCGGTTTATTTGCATTTTTTGAGCAGTTTAAAGCGTGTTTAAGAGAGAGATCTATATAAAATAAATTAATTTAAATAAATAAATGGCATTAATCTTTGGTTTTTTCTTATCATTCTTTCGAGGTAATTCCACTAATTTTCAGTCCTTCTTCTTGGATTTCTTGTGTAAAACGACGACCTCCACGCTCTCCATGCTCTCACTTGAAGAAACATACTCTTCTAACCACACGACTTTCTTCCCACTGCAAAACTTCCCCCCCAGGAACCCCCCACCACACCCGACCCCCTTGATCGGCCTGTCAAAGGGGAACCCCATGGGTTTCTTATCCGGATAAAACCCATTCGCAATTCCGCAATAGAGCCAGCCTTTCCCGCAGGGGGCGTCTTTCGGCGGTGGGATAAAGTCGTCACCATTGGTTACCATGACGAAGAGGTCGAATTCTTTTCCTTTCTTGGAGCCTTTGGGGAGGAGGAGGTGGTGGGGCCAGCCGCAGCCGCAGTTGGGGGTCGAGGAGGGGTTGGGGGAGTTTAATTGGGTCAGGGTTTGCTGGGGGGGGATCGTCAGGGAGGAGGAGAGGGAGGAACGGGTGATGGTGCTGAAGCCGGGGGGGACTACAAATTGGGTAAGGGAGTTAGAGTGGTTGTCATGGAAATTATTAAATTAGTGCTTACGCTTAACGTTAAAGACGTCCAAGTGAACGAAGAAATTCCTCTGTTCATGAACGGTGAGTTTCCTCCCCGAGTGGGGCTCGTATTTCGGCGCGAGAAACACGCGGAAGGTCGCGGTGTTGGATTTGGACTTGGCGCAGGGGGCGCGGTGCTAGTAGAAAATTTGTTATTTATTTCCATGGCAACCGATACGAAGAATAGCGACACTCACCACATCGAAAAAATACTCAAACTCCTCGTGATTCAAGTGCTTGGCACAAACTTCGACCGCTTCGTGATGGTCATCCGTCCGATTGAAAGCGAGGCCCATGTTCAACTCGTAAGACTTCTTGTCCCAAAACGTTTTCAGCTCATTAACGTTTCCCGATTTGGACACGACGCGGACGGATTTTAGAGTCACGCCAGGCCAGCGGAGGTCTTGGTCCGTGTAAGGTTCGAGAGTGGATTTGTATTTCTCGAAGAGTTCGTTCACGTTGGTATGGAAACGGTAGAATATTGGGTCGCGCATGGCAGTGGCGGGGTCGGCCATCACTCCGGGGGGGAGCTATGGATACGGAAGAGGTTATTTTTGGAGGATTTGAATATTTATGAAGAAACATACCATCTTTTCAAACTCGGGATCCTCGATGTAACCAATGATCCGATGCCCGTCGTTATGGAAACCGTCGCGACCGTAGTACATTGGATTTACGGATATGTCCACCGCTTCGATCGTGTTTCCGAGCATGTCGATCCCGGTTTTGGGGGGGATCGAGCGCTTTCCCTTGGGCTGTGGATTTTTGAGAGAGTTATGCGGTTGTCATGGAAACGGTGATTTTTAAAAATAAACTGACCGTGACGAAATAACCGGATTTGACCGCCTCGACGAGCCTCATTTTCCTCCCCAGCCAGTCCTGGATCCGGATTTCGACACGGTCCGAGGGGTTTTCTCTGTGTAAAATGTCTCTGAAAAAGGCCAAGCGTTCCCTTGGGGTCCAGTCCTGGCCGGCGGTGGCGTCAGTCAAGTGAGGGTGGTAGCCGGGGGTCACGGGGGCCGTGTAATCCAATGGTTGGGCGATTTCCAGGTCGTTGCATTGCCGTTCGATGTTGTATCTATGGAGATTTTTGTTATTTTATGTTTCTATGGAAATTTAAAAAAATCACCTCTGGACAAAGGACCGATGGGCATAATAAAACAGCTCCCCCCTGCGGTCCATTTTTCCTCCCCCACGGGTCATGAGGGGCCAGGACAGGTGCCAGTACCAGTGGTGCGAATTCACCATGACGTCCTCACGGAAGTACCAGAGTTTATTTTCCTCGCCGTTGTCTTTTCCTACGTTGCCATCGAGTTTTATGCACTCGTCGTCATGGTGATGCCCTCGGGATTTGTCGACCAATCCAGGGACGAAGGAGTCCGGCATGGCGTCGAGTGCAGTGGGGAGCGGGAGGCCTGTGGAATTATTTGTAGTGATTTTTTTAGGAGTTAGTGGTTGCCATGGTGATAAAATAAAATAATTACCCAGCATGTCCCCCCTTGAAGAGCAAGCATGCATGAGCCCCGTGTACCACAATTTCGTGTTCATCATGGGTTTGATTTTCATGGCCATGTTGAGCATGAGTTCGGAAGAGGGCATCTGCATAAACATGTCCTTCACCATCATCGCAGCCGTCATGTAGCCGGGGTTCATCCCTGCGAGGGGATTTTTATTATTTCCATGGTTACTTAAAATAAAATATAGAGTTACCATAGAAAAAGGCTGACTGGGGGCACATCTCCCCCACTTTCTGCAATAAATCCATGGGCATTTCGAAATCTTCTTCGGAGGAGTCCTTGGCCTCGAGGAAATTGGAAATTATCTCGGGGGACATTGGGTGGGGGGCTGTAATTATTTTTTCGTTAGTTGTTGCCATGGAAATTTATTTAAAAAATGAGTAATTACGAATGAGAGGAAAGACAGCATTGGCATCGACGATCTGCGCGGCCCCCTCGTCGAAAAATGGGACGTGGTTTCCTCCGCAACTCGAACTGGTTTTCATGACAACCAAGGAATTCTTTTTAACATTCGCTAGTTTACGATAAATGTGTAACCTTACCCAAACAGGTTTCCACCGCTGCTGCCACTCGAGGTTGCCATGACGGCGATTATTCTGTGTATTTAAATCTGTTAAACGTTTTTTACGACTAAAAAAATGGGAGCAGGGACTCACAGGTACCAAAGGGAGATGAAAATCAGTGCCAATTTGAGTCCCGAACCCTCAAAGGAGACTGAGTTCTCAAAGGGGTGCAGCTGTGGAGTTAGGTTTAGGGTCAGTTTCCATGGTGATATAATTTAAATAAATAAAACCATACATGCCCCTCCCCCACTTGTCCGAGGGAGCTATCCCAAGTGAGACTAGTGCCGGGTTCGGTCCACCCCACGGCGACGGCGGCAGGAGGGGCGTCACCCACCACGTGCTGATCAGATTGGTTGTTGTAATAAGTGAGTAAATGGTCGTAGTGGGAGTCGATGTCGGTCACGATGGAGGCCAGGGTTTTGGTGTCCATGGCAACGTTGTCCGTGAGGGTGGAGTATTTTAAAGGTTGGTGCTGTTGGCATTTTAGCAGCGGTAGTGAGACTATTAGGAGGATGGTTTTTATTAGGGGGGTCATTTTTTTGTGTGGTTAATTCATAGGTGGGGAGTTATTTTAATGGAGGGTGGTGGGTGGGGAAAATAATGGGGGCAGGATGACACACACGTTTGACACTGACACGGTAATTGGGATCGCGCACTGCTGCCACACTGAGACTGCAGCACTGTCACTGGTGGTGAGACGACGAGGAAGAAGAAGACTGCGAGGAAATGAGCTAAGGAGAGAGATTTGAGACAAGGATCTGCTCAACTGACAGTGAGACTCGCTTCTGTCAGAGTTTTACCAAGTGCGTGTACAATTGAGACTACTTCAGAGTGAGTGAGATGAGACGTGAGACTCCTCAACCTACACCTTCCTCTCATCCCAACTTACCACCTAAGCAGCTCTATAACCAGAAAAGACCACTTCACTTCATCAAAACGAGTATTTCTCTCGTAACTCACTCGCCCAATTGAATAAAAAGTAGAGCTCTCCTCTAAATCAATTGCACTTTTTAATAACAAAAATTTGGGTTAAATATTTGTTAGTTTATGGAAAAAGTGCATTTGACTCATTGTCCATTCGCTGTAACGTGTAGTGCTTGAACTGATGAGATGAGATTATCTCAAGTTCAAATGATTACTCTATTTCTCGCTTTCCACGCTGCGTAGACACACACGCCTCACACACACACTCCGCTCTTTATAAGAATTCATCATAAAAACATATTAACGCTGTAAAAACACTCCGCGCATAAAAAACTCTAAAAACATGTAAAAAATAGGAAGTTCATACTCACTCTCACTCCAATTACCACGCAGCAATTCCCATCACACTGAAGTAGTCACTAACAAAACCCAACCCATACACTCGTTAGTCATCGCAGCCAACGTACAAGGCGAGATTAATGTGATGTCCTTTTTTTTCTGGGTTAGTAGTTACCGTGAATGATATGCATTTTAAATTAACCGAGTTTGCTCTATGTGTGGATTGAGTAATTGTGATAATGAATGAAATCTTTACGAGAGACGAGAATCAGGGTCAAAATTGATACACAAATTGTAATTCAATCTGGTCAGTGTGGTGACGCGAGTTTTCACTTTCATCAATATTCACCACTTGTAAGATCGCTCTCGATTTTAACGCCCAAAGGTGATCTGCACCAGTTTTAATGATTTCTAGTTTTTTTTGGTTCTTCGTGTTTAATAGAATTTCTAATTTTTTTATTCTGCTAATTTGCATATAATTATTTGTAAAGGAGGGAGCTCCGTCGGCGCTTGTTCATTTCTGGGCTGGGTTTCAGGGGGGGTTCTGCCGTGGGGTCGGTCTCACGCCATTCGCCGGGGACGGATAGGAGGGAGGCGGAGGGGCGCCGGGTGGTGTTAGCAGCAGGGGTTTTTTCCAGGGGGCGGCGGAACAGGTAGTAGATCTGAGGAGGAAGAAGGGTTTAGTTAGGTTTTAATGAGAATGGGGAGTAAGATTTTATACCATGCAGGCTCCAAAGGCTGCTCCGAATATGAAGATCTTCAGGGTTTGGAGCTGTGATTTTATTCCAAATTTATATAAAATGTGATCGAATTAAGACAAAATTAATATTTTTATCCACAAAAACTCACGGCAAACTCCCACCACCCCATCATCGTTGCACCGGATTCTTCACCCATATTTCACTAAATTCTGTGTTGCTCTGAAACCAGCAGTGTCACCAACGGAGCCACCGAAAAGGAAATGATAAAAAATTAAAAATAAATGTGGACCATCTGCTTGGAGAGATGATATTCAGCGGTGCTGGTGATGAGTGGCGGCGGCGAGTGTGGAGCTGGCGTGGGTGGCCGTCAAATGATTCATATTTTATATGCCCAGAATGTGAGGAGGCTATTTTCAGAGAGTTTTTTTTCTGCTCTAGATTTTTGTGGGATGGTGATGAGGGGATTATGCGGTGGTAATGTCGTGCGTCCGTTTGGGTAGAATTTGGGCAGGGTGAGTAGAATTTTGATACTCTGACTCGGGCTAAAGAAAGGTCAATCACGTGACTAGAGTTTTTTTATTCGCTATTTTGGAAGACCAGTTTACATACTTTAATGGAAGACTTGGTTATTTTTCACTAATTTAACTAACTAAATACACATGGAAGACTTGTCGGAAGACTTGATTTCACTTTTACACCCCTAAAATCCCCCCCTAAAAAGGAAGTCCAATGGCATACGCCTCCACCAAGGCCTCCCCCGAGTCATAGATCCCAATGACCCCAAAGGTCACCCCCAAAAAGATAATAAAGCAATCCGCCACGACATTTCTAAGCGGCAGTCCATCACCTTTTAATTTCAAATGGAAATAGCACGGCCAGATAAAACTCAGCATCGTCCCCGTGAAATTCCCGATGAAACCCATGAGAATGGAGAAATGGGGGATCGTCACGGCCATGAGAATCGTGACCAGGACGAGGCCAACGCGGTAGATGCAGCCGATCGTGGTGAGGGTGTGCTCTTTATCGTAGATTTTTATTTTCTTTGTCGATTCCTCAGGGGTGTCGGGAGGGAAGGCGATTTTCTCTATGAGGTCAGCGGCGGCGTAGTAGGGGAGCGGGTAGGAGAGGACTGCTTTGAGGACCAGGATGAAATTGACGAGGGATTTCCAGATCGTGGGGAGGTTGTTGGTTATTACCTGTGGGGTGGTTAATTAGTGGGTCTATAGTTAATTTAAGGTAAATTTATCGCACCTGCAACGTGGACTTCCTCCAGGTAAGAAAAGCGACATAGCCAAACCCGGATTTAAAAGCCGCCGCAGCGACATGGCTCCAATCCAGCATTTTTCCAAACTGTTCCGGTTGCGCCATGTTCCCTTCTAACGTTGGAAGGAAGATATGGCTCGTGTAGGAAAACACGATGATCCCGAGGGAGATGGGGAACGTCTCGAAATCAAGAGCGAAGGTGACCTCGGAGAACCCCCACTGCCCGATGCAGGCGAGGCAATAAGCAATCACGATGACGTTGATGAGGACGTGGGCGATGGTGCAATAAAATGAGAGGGTCGAGACGGAGGAGAGGTTGCGCAGGAAGGCGCAGGGGAGAAGGATCATCCCGCACAACATCATCCAGGATCTGTTGATAGTGGTTTATTGGGGGATATTGTGGGGGGTGGGGATAAAGTGTGTCCTTACCTGGAGTCAATTGGGGAGTCTGGAAAGGTCCCCACCATCAAGTCCCCGCAGAGCACGATGTACAGGATGCAGGTCATGAGTAACTCGATCAACTGCGCGGTGGAGACGATCATCGGGCCGAAGCGCTCCCCAAACCCGACCTGCGGACTCACCATTAAGACTAATTTCCCATATAGTAACTATAAAATACCTTCGCAATGGCCATGTACGAATCCCTGACCCTCGTCCTGATCCCATTGGAGTCATCCTCGTACAAACAATCCACGAGGATTTTTCCAGTGTAACAGCAGATATAGGCGATCCCGATCATGGCGATGATCGCCCAGTAGCCTCCGTGCAGCACGGCGTAGGGGAGAGAGACCAAGAACATGCCCTGAGGATTTTACTGTTAGTTATTAGTTTATTAGTGAGTAAATAATTTACCTGAATGGCATTGGTGACATTCCAGCCCGCCTGCCAATCGGTGATTTTATCCCCGGATTTCAGCCCAAACTCGTCAATTTCATCCTCTTCACCGTCCTTTGAAAAGGTTCCAAAGTCGGTGAGTTCGGTGTTGGATTTTTTTCTGCTGCCAGGGTTTTGGGATAAACGGGTTGATTCTGATTGTTTAGATTGGAGGGTGGTGAGGCAGTCGGTTAGGGTGGTTTTGGCCAGGGTGAGGCAGGAGGTGAAGAGGGTGGAGAGGGGGGGGCGGGGGAGGGAGGTCATTTTGAAGTGTAAAGTGGGGGGGGGGTGCAGTTGGTCAGTTAGTCAGTGGGGTGGTGCGTGCGTGTGGTTTAGATTGGCAGGCGGGTTGGTGGGATCCAGAGTAGCGATCGGAGCAGAGTGAAAGCAACGAGTGAAAGTTTCTTGGTGATGAAAAGGAGTGGCAACGAGAGAGAAAAATCAATAATATATACACGCTTTATTCCCATGTACAAAACTCCACATACAAAAACACACAAACTAAATCACGTCGCCAGGAGCTTCCCCTTGAGCCAGTCTTCACTCAATTCCTCCAACTCCCTGATCTCGAACACCTTCCCCCCACAGTCAACGACCCGTTGGAGACACAACTTGCTCCCGGCGTACATCCTGCGAATTTTACTTTATTAATAATAGCCATAAATTAAGTAAATAAAGTCCCCCATTACATCTGCAACTCTGGATTGGCATCCCTTGGGCTGATGAAGATGAACACGAGAGGAAATGACGTTCGGGACTCTGAATCGATGCGTAATTCGTATGATAAGAGGACGAAGCGGGGTTGGTGGTCGGGGAGGGAGTCCAGGAGAGAGGCCATCGTGGTGTCCTGTGGAGTTACTATTATTTTATGGATTTATGAAATGGTTAAGGAAAAGTCACCTCCAACTCCTCGTCGAGGATTATTTCACGGGTTTCCTTGTTCACTTTCACTGTGGGTTTATATTATAATTAGCAAATTTTACATTAAAAATTAGTGAAAAGAAACTAACTGATCACGGCGTCGAGCTTGTTTCCGGATTTCCGGAAGCGAAAGTCCTTGAGCAGGGTTTGTAACTCGGTGGATATCTCGCAGACGGTGAAGGGGTGCGACGTCGTCATTTTTGCGGATTTATTTTTGTGGATATTTTGTGGAATGTTTTGACAGCCAGTTTCTCAAGAGTGAGAGTCTCAACACCACCACCGGATAGGATTAGTCATTGCTCTCAGCTGGTCGTAATACGCACGCTCCGTAAAAAAATCACGTCATTTGCACACACACTATTTTTCTGCTTATTCTCTAAATAAATAAATAAAACCACCCCCTCCACATGGCTCTGCTACTCACTCAAAAAGAAAAGAATGCACTGCGCTACTGCCCCTCGCATGGGTAGAAGCAGCTGCTGTGTGTCGAAACAAGTGCCTCAAACGCCGGAGTACTCGCTAGAGGAGAGACCTTTTCCTGGAGCCACTGGAGTAGTAGGTCCAGCTACAGGAAAGTCGCTGAATAAGAGGAGGGTGAGTTGGGGTTTTTTTTAACTATTGTGCAAGTTACCAAGAAGTAAATGCACCTTTTATAGATCGTTTAACTAATCAAAATTACAAATTCTAGACCCTTCCCACCTTCCTCACATCAATTTTCACTCGACGACGACTTACCCCATCCACATCGAATAAAACCCATCCAACTCCGCCACCGCTGGTCAAATCACAACATCCGGTTCTTACTTTACTGAAGAAATCGCCTCCTTGTCCGGATTTGAAGGAGTTGTCGGTCGCACCGAGATTGTTATCTCCTCAGTCGTCGCCATCCCCTCAGTCATCGCCACCACGAATAACCCGGCTGGACCTGATAAACATGCGTCGCCAGTTCTTCAACGATTCCTCTACTCAACCCACTTTCAAGTCAAACATTCCCGTGCCAACTACAACGATGCCATTGAAGATGGGACCGTCTCCAGTCGTTAAAACTATACCATCTTCCTCCATTGGAGTTATGGTCGGCCAGAGCCGAATCCCCATCAGAACTAGTCAACCACCACCAATCGTCCAAAAACCACAGCCATCAAAACCATTTTACACGAATTTTCTGTACAAACCTAGCCCTCCGCCAGCAGTGGTTAAATTAGAGCTGAAAAAAGAGCTACTTCCACTTTATACTAATCACAAATTGAGTATCAGCACGACCTCGTCACATGAAAAGATTGATCCCCCGGAGAAGTATCCCACATCGTCGACGGAGGAGATTTATCTGATCGATGATGAAATCAGTGATCAACCGCTGTTGACGTTTTGCGGTGGTCAGAAAAATGGAGACAGTTTTCAGGGTGCGTTTATTTTATTAATTGATTGTACGCATTTATTTATTTTATGACGTAATTGCAGACCACACCCATCAGCACCACCACCAAAACACGGCCCAGTACTCATCTCTTAGCTCCATTGCTTCGTTAATTAGCGAGACCGAGTCCGCTCAGGATGATCACGTTGATAATGAGTATGAGCTTTTTTACTCTCTCATCATTGCATAAATTTACATTTATTCCCATTTTGCAGGCACCTCCGTCACCCTCCAGAAGAAGAACTCGACCCCCCCTGCATCCCCAGCCCCTGCTGCACCTGCACCTGCTGCAAATCTAGTCACACTAACCTCACCACCGAACTCACCACGATGAGAACCTCCCTGGAAATCCTAAAGAAACTTTTAATAGAGCAAGAAAAACGCGAGCGAGCCAAAGATCTAATAATTCAAGGTTTATTAAATAACAATTCGAATGTGAATAAATTGTGGAAACAATAAAAAACTCATACCAAAAAGCGCCACCTCTGTGGAATGCCCCGTAATTTATACACCAACATCGGTTCATTCACTCTCTCAGAGTCCCCGATCCCATCCGATTATTTATCTGTACACACTCTCTGCGATGATGAGAAAAATGTGAGTTCTTTTCAAGAAAATTACTCGAGACTTCATCGTGAATTAATTTATTAAATTAATCCTCGTAACTCCAAATAAAAATGGAAACCACGACCCTTTTTGATTTCGAGATGCTCCTCTTGATCCTCTTTATCTGTGTCATCACGGCGATCGGGGTTTATTTCCTATCAATTTTTGGCGTTAAAGAAAAGTCCTATGAAGAAGCTATAGCAGAGCAGAAGAAACGTTCGGAAGAGTTGTTGGGAAAGCCGCCACAGAAGAAGATTAAGTTAAATAAGGATAAGGTTGTTAAATCAGCGAAGAAAGTGGGGAAGAATCAACAGAGGAAGGTTGTTAAAGATTTGGAGGTGGTGGAAGGGTTGGTGGAGGATGTTCTTGGTGAGGAGGTGACAGAGGAGAAGTTGGTCAGTAAGAAACACATTGAAATCGTGGAGGAGCCGGAGGTGTTGGAGGTCAGCCTGCTTTATTTCATTTTTTTTGGTACAATATTTAATACGATTTAATTCCACAGCTCCCCCAGGAGAACCTCCGCCGGCCCTCCCTCTGCACCGCAACGCCGAAGAAATCAATCCTCTCAAAATCCGATCCTTCCCCTTCGCCGCCGCCTCCTGCACCCACGACGGAAAATACAGAAGACGAACCCCTGAACCACTTTGAAACGATTCACCCAAAAGACGACGTAGAACTCAAATTGGAAAAATTGCCAAGGAAAATTCCCAAAAAATCTACTCCACCATCACAAAACACCACCTCCCCTCCTCCCACCACCCTCCTGCAACAAATAACGACGACCCCGCTGACCCCCACAGAACTCCAATCCCTAATCGAAGCCTTGTTAAACAAACAAACTCCAAACTGGACCCCGACATCCCCCACGTCGAAAGACTCTCTAAAAAAGCAACTCCAAATAAAAGACGGTCAAATCTCGGAATTAGAATCAAACTTATCCAGTTTGACCCAAAAACTGGGTCAAATCCGTTTGGAATCGAGTGGGGAGAAATCAAAACTGCTCCAAATGAAGAAACAACTCGAGGAAATATTGAATTCGAAACAGTTGGAAATTCAAAATCTGCAGCAAAGATTTCGCCAATTGTCGGAAGTCTCGATTTCCAAGGAGAATGATTTACAGAAAAGTTTGCTGATTTATAAACAGCGCTGCGTGGAGGTTGGGGATGAGAGCGAGAGGATCAAGGGGGAGGTCGGGAGGAGGGATGTGGAGTGGAGGGGGAAGGTCGAGAGTTTAGAGAGGGAGGTGGGTGCCTTGAAGGCGCAGTATGGCAAGCAGGGTGAGTATTACTTTATTTTTGTGGGATTATTGACTAATTTCCCGTGTCTCTCCAGGAAACCAGCTCGCCTCGGCCTTCCAATCGAACGAGGACCTCACCGGCCAACTCCGCGGGATGACATTAAAACTGACGAATCTAGAGGGACAAATCCACTCGATGGATTTAATAATTCAGGAAAAAGATATGGAAATTCGAGAAATTTCTAAAAAAATGGACACGGAAAACGATAAGGAGCACGCTCGATTGATTTTAAATTTAGCCACGATGGAGAAAAACTTAGAAGATTTACAGAGAAAATACGACGATGGGATTAAAAATGAAATGAATTTAAAGAAAATTATCGATAATTTAAATCAAGATTTAATTAAGGAGAAGATTTTAGAGGGGGAAATTAGGGAGGAGGGAGGGAGGAGGGTGGGGGGCTTGGAGGTGGAGTTGGAGGGGGTTAATAGGAAGAATGAGGTGGGTTGGTAGTTATATTTTTGTGGTGGAATTATTAAAATTGGGTGTTTTTCGTAGGAACTCCGTGAGAAGAACGTGAAACTATTGGAATCCTTAAAGATGAGTGAGAAGCAGTTGGAGGAGAAGTTGGGGGTTGTCGTGGAGGAGAGGAAGCAATTGGTGAGGATGGTCAGTGATTTGGTGGGGTTGGACGTGGAGGTGAGACTACAATTACTGTTTTTTGATTTTTTTTGCTAATTATTTAATAAACTTTGCAGTCCCCCACCTTCCCAACGGACTTTGTTGAAAAATACCCCACCCAGCCACCACCCGAACAGACTCCAGATCCAAAACTGACTGAAATTACACAAAAATTAAGCGAAGCAGAGGAAAAATCTAAAAAATTAGGGGATGAAGTTGAGCATTATCAGAGGGTTTTGGCGAGCACGGTGAGTTATTTATTTACTTTTGGTGAGTTATAAACTAATAATAAAATGTGTAGGAGCACCTCCTGGCCTCGCTCCAGTCGTCCATCGAGACGGAGGAGACCAAGTGGTTGGCGAAGTTGGCGGAAAAGGATGCAAAATTAGAACAAGTCTTAGCCAAAGTTAATAATCTCAATAATGGACTCAATGGGGGGGTTAGTTATTTACTCGTTTTAATTATTTATTTATTTGCTAATAAATAAATCCACACAGGGAGAACCCCATCCCTCCACGGAATCCTTGGACAATGACACCCCCGCGACACCGTCATCTCCACCGAGTGTAGAAATAGATTCCTCCTCTTCCCCCTCACCATCGACGAAATCTCAACAACAACAAAACGACAATTCCCTGATTGAAAAGAAGAAAAAGAAAAAAGTCCTTGGGTTTTTTTCTAAATAGTTTTTTTTTTAAATTTATTTATTATTTTAGGTGCTCTGTTTTTAATAATTAAATTGTGCAGCATTCCAATTCCTAAATAAATAAAGAATATTTCATGTAAAAAGAAATCAGTTTGAGAATAAATCGATGGAGTGGAGAGAGAGAGAAGGAAAAACTTCAAATTTCCCGCCAGTAGACATCACACCTTCTCCAACTTACTCTACTACACCTTCATATCCACTCTGACTTTTCTCTTCACGTCGTCGTCTCTGAGCTCACACTGAACTCCGTCGTCGTCTAAATTTCTCTGGTCCACACCCCCAACATAAAAGAGTGACACGCACCTGACCATGGTGTAAGAGAGAGAGTGGGAGAGAGAAATTGGGGGGTGGGTCGTGTGTGTGTCAAGGTTTTCTCTCCTGCAGTGGATAACCAGTTTTAATCGTAATAATTAATTCAGTGGGAAGTAAAAAAAAATTTTGTGTGTGAAAATGAGCAGCCGACAAAGGACGAATTCTACGGAGCAGAGGGGGTCCAGTGGTGAGTTCTTTTTAATAGTTTATTAATTATGGATGGAAATTAATAGTTAATAAATGTAGAAACCACCCCCGCGGGCTCCACCTCTGGCGGCGGCGGCGGCGGAGGAGGAACACCCTCCGGTTTGGGAGGTAAGATAACGACGGTAATTGCAACCCCGGGAGCAGGACCAGATCGTCCACAAGAGATCCGCTACACGGACACGAAACCCATTGGGAATGGGAGTTTCGGGGTGGTTTACCAAGCTAAACTGTGCGACTCGGGGGAGCTCGTCGCTATTAAGAAGGTTCTCCAGGACAAGAGGTTTAAGGTAAATAAAGAGAGAGAGTTGGGGGACATGGAGCGGACGTAGTGGAATTTATTTAATTATTTATAAAACAGAACCGAGAACTGCAGATAATGCGACGCTTGGAGCACTGCAACATTGTAAAATTAAAGTACTTTTTCTACTCGAGTGGAGAGAAGGTAGGACCATTCTACCTAATTATTTACAATAAAACTAACAAAAATCCACTGTAGAAAGACGAAGTATATCTGAACCTCGTATTGGAGTACATCCCGGAAACCGTCTACAAAGTAGCCCGTCACTATTCCAAGAACAAGCAGACGATCCCGGTCTCTTACATAAAGCTGTACATGTACCAGTTGTTCCGCTCCCTGGCGTACATCCACTCCCTTGGAATCTGTCACCGGGACATCAAGCCCCAAAACCTCCTCCTCGACCCATCCACTGGAATTCTCAAACTCTGCGACTTTGGCTCCGCCAAACACCTCGTCCGGGGCGAACCCAATGTCAGCTACATTTGCTCACGATACTATCGTGCACCTGAACTCATCTTTGGAGCCATCGACTACACCACCAAAATTGGTGGGTCTCACTTATCGGGTGGTTTTTTAGTATAATTAATTGGTGATTATTTCCCTGTAGACGTCTGGTCAGCGGGCTGCGTCCTTGCCGAGTTGCTCTTGGGTCAGCCGATATTTCCGGGTGATTCGGGTGTGGATCAATTGGTGGAGATTATCAAGGTTTTGGGGACACCCACGAGGGAGCAGATTCGAGAAATGAATCCCAACTACACGGAATTCAGATTCCCTCAAATCACGGCGCATCCTTGGACGAAGGTATTTCACCATTTTTTTTATTTACTTAGGTGGAACTATTTGTAATGTGAGAACTTTCAGCACCGCCTCCAACAAATAATTCCAACAAAAAAAGTACAAAATAAACTCCGAGTAAGTGTCCAATAAAAATCACCACTTTAACTAATTTCTTAATTAGTGTGTGTGCTTTATTGGACTACTAAACTTTGGGGTTGCTTTTTGAGAGGCGATTTCTAATGATTTTTATTAAAAACTCTGCAGGTATTCCGCCCCCGCACTCCCCCGGAAGCGATAGAGTTGGTGTCTCGCCTTCTGGAGTACACTCCATCCTCGCGGATCACTCCCTTGGAGGCTTGTGCACACAACTTCTTTGACGAACTCAGAGACCCCTCGACACGGCTCCCCAGCGGGAGGGAACTTCCTCCCTTGTTTAACTACACTGATCAGGGTATAGTTACTCTAATTTTAATTAATAATTACCAATAAATAATTTGTGTATAATCTTCTAGAGCTCACGATCCAACCGCATTTGAACCAAGTCCTGATCCCTTCCCACTACTCCGCCTCCAACATCGCCTCCAACAACACGACCTCCAACACCACCACCAACCAATCCGGACAACAACCCTCACAACAACAACCAACTACATCTCCATCACCTGTATCAACGAGCGTAGTAGCACAACAGCAACAACAAATTAATCAAGAATCAACATCTGATCATAGTCAAGAGAATAACACTTCTCAATAAGTTTATCTCTCTCTCTTTTTTTTGTCCGTCTCTGCGTCGTCGAGTCTTTTTTATCATTATTACATTAGCACACACACACTTCTAAATTTTACGTGTGGAGAGAGAGAGAGTTTTTAATTTGCGCAATATTTCCGTGTGTGTAAAAATGTCTGTCTGGTGAGTGTGTGGTAGGTGTTTAGAGAGAGAGAGTGAGTTTGGCTGTACAAAAAAAAATGTGTCGCTTTGTTTGACTTTTAAGTAAAAAAAACAGGATTTAAAAGAGAAAAAATGATGAAAATAAAATTTTGTGTAGCTTATTTTCTTGAGAGGTGAGTCGCATTTCGCCCCAGGGGTAAGGGTGGCAAGTTGAGATTAACTACACCCTTTTTTGATATTACTCCAAAAGGAAATTCTGTGTCTGGAGTGAGGAATTTCCATAAAAATCATGGATTTGTACTAGTTTTTGGGGAGATTATTAATTTAAAAAAAAAATGGCCTCTGCGAAACCGGGCGTGCACATTGTGCAGCTCAAACCCGTGAGTGTCCCCAAGTACATGATCGATGGGGAAAAGTTCATCAAGTGGGAGGAGGTATGGTTATTTTAGAAGTGTTTTTTTGTAGGTTTTTATATTAATTTTTCTAAATAGGAAACCTCCACCCGAGAGGCCGTGACGCTGAAGGTGGACGAGAATGGATTTTTCCTCTACTGGGTCTCTCCCGTGAAGGTGAGTTAATTTATTTGATTGGTGGTTGGAGATTAAAAAGTAAGTTTAAATAGGAGACGGACCTGGTGGACATTGCCACGATCCGCGACACCCGGACGGGCCGATCAACCCGGCTTCCTCGAGATTTAAAATTTCGCCAACAGATCAATTATGGATCTTTAGATAGCTTAGAAGACAAGACTTTAACCGTCGTCACTGGACCCGACTTTGTCAACCTCACCTTTTTTACCTTCTCCTGCGAAAATAAGACTCTTGCGAAGGTAGTTTTATCACAATTATTATTTGGGATTAAACTAATCGATTTGAAACTATCCAGCAATGGTCCACGGACCTCCTGAAACTATCCACGAACCTGCTCCAGCTAAACTCCCCCGTGATGTCCTTTCTCAAGAAAATCCACACCAAGTTAATCCTACTCTCGGATAAAGAAGGGAAAATCCAGTTGAAATCTATCGTCAAAACGTTTACTTCGAATAAGGAGGATAAAAAAAGGGTGGAGAAGGCAGTGGTGGATGCGTTGGTCACGGGAGGGGGTCTCGATAAGGTGAATTAATATTCTCTAAAAATAATTAACAAAAAACTAATCCAAATCCCCCCTTAGGAAACAATCCCGGTGGAGCATTTCCCCTTCCACCCCGTCTTTTTCAACCTCTACATCAACCTCACCTCCCGTTCTGAAGTAGAAATAATATTTTCCAAACTGGGCTCCAACCCGACACATCTAACCGCGGAGGAATTTATGGAATTTATAAACCGTGAACAGCGTGATCCACGATTAAACGAGATTTTGTACCCCTACGCCACGCCGGATAAAGCGAAGGAATTAATTGATAATTACGAACCTCTGGAGGATCATAAGATGAAAGGGTGGCTCAGTTTTGGGGGGTTTTTGCGGTACATACTCTCCGAGGATAATGCGGTGGTTTCCTATGAGAAATATGATCTTTCCGATGACATGGATCAGCCATTGTGTCACTACTTTATCAACTCTAGTCATAACACTTATCTCACCGGTGAGTGGTAGTTATTAGTGGGTTTTATGGTAATTAACGTACTATTTACTATCCCTTAGGCCACCAGCTCACGGGAAAATCCTCCATCGAGATGTACCGCCAAGCCCTCCTGGCTGGGTGTCGTTGTGTGGAATTAGATTTCTGGAACGGTGGGAGGACAGAAGAACCCGTCATCGTGCATGGCTACACTTTGGTCCCGGACATCCCTGCCAAAGACGTGATTGAGGCCATCGCAGAGTCTGCTTTTAAAACTAGCGATTATCCTGTTATTTTGTCCTTTGAGAACCATTGCAATCCTAAGCAGCAGGCGAAGATTGCCAATTACTGTAGGGAGTTCTTTGGGGATATGTTGTTGGAGGGGGTTCTGGAGGGGTTTGAAGTGAGGATCTTAATTAATTTTAGTGTAATTATTCTACTAAACAATTACTTATTTTCCTAGTTAACGACCGGAACGCCCCTCCCCCCGCCCTCCCTCCTAAAACACAAGATAATAATAAAGAACAAAAAGAAGCACCATCACCACCACCATCAGAAGAAACCTGCATCCGCCGCCGCTCCCACCGTGGTGGAAACTCCCGCAGCAGCAGTGGAAGACTATTCAGACAGCGAATCGGAATCGTCATCATCGGAGGACTCGTTATTAGAACTGAATAAGGAAACGCCCAGTTCGGACTCTGGCACGGCGGGGAAGGAGTCCGAGGCTGGGGCGGAAATCTCCGCGCTGGTGAATTATGTCCAGCCCGTGCATTTTTACTCTTTTGAAGCGAGTTTGGGTGGGTTTACTCTCTTTAATCCGTTGATTACTAAAAATTAATAATAAATTAATCCATAGCCCGCAACAAATCCTACGAGATGTCCTCCTTCGACGAGCGTCAAGCGATGACCCTGCTAAAAGAACGCCCCACAGAATTCGTCAACTACAACAAGCACCAGCTCTCTCGGGTCTATCCCCGCGGGACCCGGGTGGACTCGGCCAATTTCATGCCCCAATTGTTCTGGAACGCGGGGTGTCAGCTCGTTGCTCTCAATTATCAGACTTTGGATTTAGCCATGCAGTTGAACATGGGGATTTTCGAACTTAATCGCAAGTGTGGGTTTTTACTCAAGCCGGAGTTCATGCGGAGGAAGGATCGCCAGTTGGATCCTTTTGCTGAAAGTACCGTGGATGGGATCATCGCGGGGTGTGTGGGGATTAGGGTGAGATTTTTTTAGTGGGATGGTGGGGATTTTGTGCTGATTTTGTGTGTGTTTCAAAGGTAATATCTGCTCAATTCTTGACTACCAAGACGAGGACGGGGAGCTATGTGGAGGCTGGTGGGTATTTATATTTATAAAATTTACCACTAATCCCCACTAAATTCCCCACTATTCTCTAAATGCAGAAATGTACGGCCTGCCCACGGACACGATCCGCAAAAAATTCCGCACCCGGCTCTCCACCCCCTCCCCCCCACCCTTGACCACGACCTCGTCCATCACCTTCGACGACGACGAGTTCCTCTTTAAAAAAATCGTCCTCCCAGAGCTCGCCCTGATCCGGATCGTCGCTTACGAAGACGGAGGGAAGCCCATCGGTCACCGCGTCATCCCCGTGCTCGGACTCCGCCCAGGATATCGTCACATCGTCCTGAGGAACGAGTCCGGGCAACCGCTTAGTCTCCCCAGCGCCGTGTTTGTGCATATTTCTGTTAAGGACTATGTGCCGGATGGGCTTTGTGACTTTGCGGAGGCCTTGGCGAATCCGATCAAGTATCAGAATGAGCTGGATAAGAGGAGTCGACAGTTGGAGGTGCTGATCGGGGGGGAGACGGGAGGTGGGTCTTAATTACTATTTGGTGAGGGCATGGTGTTTGGGGTGACTAATAATTCTGTTAATTTATAGATGACGACTCCCCTCTCCACACTAATACAAACACCACCAACAACCAATCACATTCCATGGATGATCCACAACCCCAACTCCCCCCCATCCCCTCCTCCCCCCTCTACACCAACCAAGCCACCACCTCTTCTAGCGCCTCGCTCCCCCCACCCCCACCTCATCTCCAATCCCGAACAATGTCAATAAAGAAAAAAGACACGGCGGATTCGGTGTGTGTATCCAACCCACCGCCGCCCCTGCTCCTCGCCACTTATGGGGTGGGAGGGGGGTCCACGACATTCCAGGTGGAGACGCTGGAGGGGGTTCTCAATGGGAAGAGTGTCAAAGAGAAGATGGATGGGTTAAAGAAGAAGTTGGAGGGGTTGAGGAAGAGGGGATCCAGTGGTGGATCGACGAGTGGGTCAGCGGGTGGGTCGAGGATTCTGGTGAAGAAACTGTCTAAAATAGAGCTGAATGAGAACCAGGAGAGGGACTTTGTGGAGAAGCAGGTGGAGGAGGTGCGGATTTACTTTAACGTGATTATTTTACAGGTGAAATAACTAAAATATAATTAACTTTAGATCCACAAATCCCTTCAAAAACACCTAACAACCACCCAACAGAAGCAGCAACGCCTCCTCGCGACCCTCCGTGACCGTCAGAAAAACGAGATAATGAAGTGGATCTACAGCTGGCGGAAGGACGAGTACCGTCGCCTCTCAAAACAAACCAGGGACAAGAACGAACTCGACCGTATGAAACGTGAGGTGAACAACGTTCTCGTCGCGAAAGGCGTCGCTGAGAGGGAACGCGTGGAGATTGAATTTAATGAAATTGAAGGGAAATTAGCGAAAGATTGGGAGGCGCTGTTTAAAAATGTGGAGGTCTGGAGGGGGAGGGTGGCTGGGGAGTTAATGATGGGTGGGGGAGTGCTGCGGGTGGGAGTTGCGGGAGTGGTGCAGTTTTGCTAAGTTATATTGAGAAATGATGAGCTGGTCTTATGTATTTTGAGGTTTTTTTAAATGTATTAATTTTGGTGGAGAATAAAAATTGCGTGTTTAGAAGAGTGAGTAAATTGGGGTTTGAATTTAATGAATTCATGGGCACGCGTGGTGGATGGAGACATTTCCGTTGTGGGGATATTTCTTTACCGTGTGGACGAGACTAATATCCCGTTTGTTAATAAGACGTAGAGACGTAGAGCCTCTCGCTTAATAAAATAAAATCTCACCTTTCTAAACTCCACGCACTCGCTCATTCGCTTCCACAAATATAGCGAGTGAGTGAGTGTGAGTTTAACAAAAAGCAGCGAAAAATGGACAATGTCAACTTTTCTTTGTATACACAAGAGAGAGAGAGAGATCATTAAAAAAGGTAGAAAAATTCCTGTCTCTCTCACTTGACAGTAATAATCTCTTGAAGCCAATTAAGCGTTTGACCCAAAACTCTGTCTTAAACTGAGAGCTTAAAAGCGGTGGCTTCTTAAAATTATCTACTTTTTAAAGTATAATCACCAATAATCACCTGAAATAACTACGAAACGAGAGCTTAAAGAATTTACAAAAAAAGGATGACTTTACGAAAAGAGCGAAGCATAAAAAAATGACAATAATTGGGTTTTATGCATGGCTGAATTTTGGGTATTTTTCAGATTTATTCTCCTTGTGCAATGGAGACCACCCTGACTCTGTCTCAATCCATTGTTTCTCTCGTCGTCGTGGTTACGCAAATTCTTCGAGGGGGGGTTTTATTAAATTTTTGGTAGCACCAATACTAAGGGTGTGGTACAGCTATTTCTGTGGTATAATACAAGTAGTGAGTGTGTATCTCCACCAAAAATAGCCTGAGGCCAAATTGAGTGAGCATACAAAATCCAGTCTTACACACACGGTATAAAAAGAAGCAGCGTTATTACAGAGTGGTAGCCAAAGTCTTATTATGTGAATAAGAGTTTTTAAAAAATGTTCACCCCTTTTCTTCTTCTTCTTGCTCGCTCGCTTCACTCTCTGTCCAACTCCTTATAATATTCTCTGAGCTTTTTAAATTAATTATCCAACCACCGGAAATCCTCCACTCTTAGAAATAGTGTGTGAAGGAGTGCTTCTCTCGCATTGAATGAATGTGCATGCTTTTTTAACGCGATGATATTTCTTACTCTTCACATCTTTATTTTATTCCACACGTTTTTAACTCGATTTTCTTTCTCAAAATATTTCACATTTTTTTCTTAACCCACACAATAAATATATCTGTACAAAAAACAGGAACAAAGTCTTTTGATAAGAGATCAATTCAAATAAAAATCTAACTAAATTAACTTAAATTTAATATTTAAAAAAAGTCAAACTTCCGTGGCTAAATTTAAGTCGTAAACTAGATCGAATTTATTTAAAATCACAGCAGGCGTAGGTGGTGCTAAAGGGGAATTTTGCTGCTTTGTAGAATTATTTGGGGGAGGGTTATAAGGGTCGAGTAATAGGGGGGAGTGGGGCGGGAGGAGGTTGGTGGTGTAGGATGTTGCTGTGGTGGTGGGTGTGGGGGAGGAGGGGGAGGGGTAACTGCAGAGCGGGCTGTAATTTAATAGGATTAATTAGTTATTTTGTTAATACTGAGCATATAAAATAGTAAAACTTACCCCTTTGAAAACTGCTGCTGATTGAACCTCGAAAGATCCAAATTGCTCAATTTCTTGTTATTATTTAGACTATTAACTATCCCGTACTTTTCCCCCGACCCACCATTTCCACCTCCACCACTATTCCCAAAATCCCTGGCAGCATTCCTCTCATTCTGCACCCTCGCAACCTGATCATTCCTCCTCCTCTCCTCCTCCTTCTTCTTTTTGAGCAGAATAACCACGGCCACGGCGATCAAAATCATCAACGGCGTGCTCACACTCACAACGATGACAAAGACCACGTGTTGGGTGGATAACTCTTGTTTTAATTCCTCCGTTTCTATGAGCAGACCGCACGTGGCGTCGCATTTTTCGGAGCAGTCCGAGCCGGTGAAGCCCGGTCGGCATTTGCAGGTGAACTCGTGTGGAGTGGTGGTGGAGGTGCAGGTGGCTCCGTTGGCGCAGGGGGCCGTGGCGCAGATGTTGAAGTTGAGAGGAGTGGGGTCCAGGATGGAACAGAGCGGGCCGTGGGTCTGGGGTGGACACAAACATGCGGGTGGAGAGGTGGATGTGCACGTCCCGTTGTTCAGGCAGGGGCACTGCGCCAGCGTGGACTGTGGGGTTGAGCGACAATTCGGGCCGGTGAAGGGCTCCGGGCAGTCGCAGATTAGGCCGAGAGTGGTGGTCTGGTGAGTTAATTAATTAGCGATTAGTATAACCGTAGGAAATTAATAAAAAATAATAACCCACCTTGCAAACCCCCCCATTCTCGCACCAGCAAGTGTTATTCCTCAAATCCTTCACCACCTCGCAATCCGCCCCCCCAAACCCCCCCAAACACTCGCAAGTATAGCTCCCTTGCCCCGTGTTGAAGCAGGTCCCTCCGTTTAAACACGGCCTGTGATTGGTGCAGTAGTTGAGGTCTTGGTTGCAGAACAGGCCGCCCCAGCCCTCGTCGCATTCGCAAGAGTAGGGTTTCGTGCAACGGCCGTGCTTGCAGCCCGGGTATCGGGTGCAGGAGGAACAGGTAGACCCTTCCCAGCCAGAGTGGCAGTCGCAGGTAGATGGGGTGCTGCAGGAGCCGTGGAGGCAGCCCGGAGTGCAGATTGCTATGGAGAATAATAAGGGTTTGAGTTTTTAGTTGGGTAGTTTGGAGGGGTAGTAGCAGTAGTAGGGTAGTAGTCGGATGGTGAGTAAGAGAGGGGTGGTGGTTATTGTGTGTAAAAAATAGAAAACCCAGCCATCTGCATGCAACAGATCCTGATGGAGAGACGGAGAGTAAAGGGCACGTGCCAGATGTGGACCCTCTCTCTCTCTCCCCGTCGATGGAGAGAGAGGAACATCTGCCACACTGGAAATTTGGTCATATATTTTTGCAGTTGTTGCTGTTGAATAAAAGAGCAGATGGGGAGTGGAAATGGTGGACCGATGGAGAGAGAGTGAATGAGTCAATGTGACGACGATTGGTGTGGATTAGAAAATTTTCGGATCCAAATTTTATGAAAATATTTTAAGAAATACTCTGCTTAAAACGCCTCCCTGAAATTAATATCCACGACCAAGCACCAACCATCAAAAAATTCCTCTGCCCACTTTTAATAAAATGTGAAAAAAAACCGTCGTCACGACCGTGAAGATCTCAAGCTACTTTTTATCTCTCTCTCTCTCTTAGAATTCCACCCTCCACACAAACTCCTTCTATAACCACCACCACTCTCTTTACTAACTCACTCTTACGCTGAAAATAATCTCACTCTTCTACTCACTAAAAAATCTCACAACGTAAAAATAAGAAATACTCACCCACTTCGCAGTACTCCCCCCTCCACCCTTCGAGACACCTCCTCTCCCCATCCTGATCGCACGTATAGTGACCAAACTTATCATCCCTCGGTCTGCAAGTCTTGTCGCAGGCTTCTCCGTAGTAATCGGGTAGGCAGCGGACGCGGTAGTCGTATTTCAAGGTGTTGTTCAGGGTGGAATTCCATTCTCGGGATTTCCAGGACTCGGAGATGTCCAAGTATTGCTGGATGGCCATGCGGGTCAGGAGGCGGTCTATTGAGAGACGATAGAGATGGATTAATTGAAGAATAGAATGGAGTGGAGATTAATAGAAGCAGGAAATAAATGTCCTGTTTCCTCGAGAGATAAGATTACGGAGTTGGACTTACGAGTTGAGTTGCTGCTGCTGCTAGTGGATGGTGGGTTGGGTTGGAAGGCCTCGATTATTAGCGAGAAGGTGCCCTTTTGGTTTAATAATAATAATACAAAGATTAGTTTTAGGGTTTTAAGGTAGCGAAGAGAGAGAGAAGAGATCGTGGGAATGGACCCTTTTTCTCTCTCTCCAAACTCAAAGATGAAGGAGCTCGCGTTTTTTGTGTGTTTTCAGAGAGAGAGAGAGAAGAAGGGTCTAAAGGCTTCCGTTTTTTCTACTCTCTCTCTCTCAGAATTTTTAAAAACCCGTCCCATAAATATTAACTCGGACTAATCAAAAATCACTCCGTGGAGTCTCAAGAAATTAAGAATATTAAAAAATCGTGACTCCTCCAACTAACCGGCCATCGAAAGTTGAAGGGGAAATGGAACAGATTTGATGATTTTCCAGCACTTCCACCACCACTATTAAACTGGAGCACCTCCGTAAGGGTCTCCCCAAAGAAGCACCCACCACTGGGGTCAATCGTCACTTGGTAGTTTTTCACACAAATTCTAAACTTTGGAGTGCACTTTGTCCTACAGTCGGACTCGTTCAGGGAACAACACAATCCGTCTATGTCACGGTTCAGAGGGGTGGTGAAGGAGCGGAGGCGCAGCTCGAAGACGCCGCCCAGGGGGGTTACCTATTGGACAGGGAAAATTGTTTATTAGGAATTGCGGTGGTTAAGGGGTAAAATTTAAGTAATTTTATTAAGAAATAAAGCTCACCTCTCTGAAAACTCCAGCAGCGGCGAAGAGTAGAATGGTCAAAACTTTCCAACTTTTCATCGTGTCGATTTTGTATTAAAAATTACTAAACAAACTTTACAACTTCACATGATGAATGAAGAAATCACTGAACTCTCTGCAGAGCGTCACTATCCACTGCGTACATCCACTGTATCACTGTATAAGCCACGATCCTGTGAGAGTGAGAGAGACGACGTGTTCCCCTTGGATCACCCTGATGAGAACTAACTCTCTTCTCCTCTCTTCAGCGGATGTTATAATAATCGGCTTCTCCTTCTGGTGCTCCTTCTCTCTAGCGATCCTGCTGCGGTCCTTTCGCCGCGAGCGGTTTGGGTAGTTGTTGCTGCTGTTGTGTGGAAGCTCTCTAGCACCGGTCCCTCTTCTGTCTCGAGAGAGAAAATATGGTCGAACACCGGGCTCTCCTGTTGATTGTTGCTGCAGTTGTTGCTTGAAGAAATGTTAGTAGGAGAGAATATGGTGGGAGCTTGGATAGAGAAGAAGGATGGGGATCGGTAGGTTATTATACCCGCGGGGTTGGTGCAGCAGAGTTACCTGTAATATAAAGAGAAGAGTGTGTTAATCTAGAGCAGTGGTAATTCAGATAGGGTGTTATCTTGTGGAGTTTGATAAGCGGTGGCCTAGTTTTTGGATGGAGTAGAGTCGAGTGTGCATGGGTATTTGGTTATCATTTTTGAGTATCCGGTGAGAGAGACGGAGACCAAGGCATATGGCACGCTTCATATTTTTGCAGGCACGGGTCGGATAGTGATGCAGCTGCGGATGGAGCAAGGAGGATACGAGGGGATCAACGCAAGGACTCTCTCTCTCTGAAAAGGCGACCCTGTTGCTTCCTTTTTTCAGCACCTGGTGTTTTTCTCTCTCTCTGTAGAAAATCAGAGTGTGGGAAAGACGACTCTGCAGATGTGTAGGAATCAACAAGTTCTGAGGACACGCTTCTTCTTCTGCTGACCACCAACTTCCGGTTTTGGAGATGGGAAAAGATGTGGAGTGGTGACCATGTGGAACCAGCAAGACTTTTGGAAAGAGAGGAGATGGAAGCGTGCCTTCTTCTTTGGAGATATTTTGTGACCCATTTGAGAGAGATTCAACCACCCACAGCATTTGATAGAATTGCACCCATTGAAAATTGTCACATTTACGATCGTGTCACCTTTTCTCTCCGTGTCCATCAGGTGGGTCAGTCGATCATAAACCGCCCGGGGTGTTTATTACTGCACAGGGATTTTATATAGGTGATATAAATCAATTACCTTTGTCAGGTGGGACGTGGGGGAGCGAGTGGAGCGAGGGGTCCATTTTTGATCTCCAACGACTTTGGTGGTGGTAATTAGCGAAAATTGGTAATTAAGATATTATATAGGATACAGACTGCCTGTCGCCTTTGATTTGAGAGTGTGTGTGGTGTGGAGAAGCAGGCGGCGGCGGCCCGCCCTTTGAGTTCTGGAGGTGAGAAATAATGGGAATTGAGAAATGTGGTGATTGAGATGGGAATTAACTACCCGGTGGGGTTTTATCCGTGAAGGGGTGATGGTCACGAGTAAAATCGGCGGAGAGTAGTGGTAGAAGCACATTTTGATTAGTATAGTGGGTGGATAGCTAATTATTGCGGTAATTTGATTGTCTCTCTCTCTCTGATAATTGAGTGGTTTGAGACGATTGTGTGGAGTGACACAGAGCCTGCACACCGCACACCCAGCGCCGGCTGCTGGTCGTCATGACAATTTATTTAACTCTCTCCACTATAGATGGCTCTCTCGTTTAATAAACAATTTTTATTTTCGTAATTTCTCAGACATATAATTTATTGCACAATAATATTAACTATAATTAACCCAACTTCCCCCCGCCCTGCCGTTTATAACTCTGCTCCACCTGTTTAAACAGCTCATCAAACTCCTCCCTAAGATATTTATTAATCCTGTTTATCGCCTCCTGATCCGGAACAATGTCTTTGTTCGCATACAGCGTTATCGTAGCCGTGGACTGGTGGGTGTACACTGCGGTGGCGATCGCTAAAAAAATTTTTAAAAAAATTTAAATTTCCCTCCACAAATTTAACCTAATCACCGCGAAATTTAAATTTATTGCTATGGGGATTTTTTAATTAATTTTTGAATTTATTGCCATGGAAATGAATAAATAAACTCACCCGTCTGCCCCCACTGGAAGCCAAAGACCTTGCCCATTTTTAGCACTTCCACGTCCCCCCACTTGACCCCTGCCTCCACGGCGGGGACGCTCGTGAAGCCCATCGAAGTCCCAAAATTCAAGTTAAAAAACCGCTTTAATAACCAAGAGGGGAACCACCCAAGAATCGGCATGTGCAGGTGGAGTAACTCGTCATACCCTAAATTTAGATAGTTTACGAAATTCTCCTCCGTTTTTACTAGTCGCTCGAGGGGGTCCCCTATTGAAATCGGGATTTTGAACAGGCCCACCCCCCAGTGGTTCACTAATTTCGTGAGGGGATGGTTCGGTTTGGGGAGGGAGTGCATGATTCCGACGGTGGGGGGGAGGGTGTGAGGGGGGTGGGTTTCCGTATAGTAACGTCGGAGGGCCCCACACATCAAGGACATTCCGATGGAGGCAAAGTGGGTGGAGGTCTTGCGGCGGATTTGCTTGTATCGGGGGAGGTCCAGGGTTGTTATGGAGATTACCCCGGTGGTGGAGGTTTTCTTCTGGGTGTAGTGGTTCGGGGGGGACGTGAGGGCGTCGCGGTAGAGGGAGGTCAGCATCCGGGGGGCGCGGAGGAGGAGGGGGAGCTGTTGAGTAAGAAATTGGGTTAATTAGTTTCCATGGGAATTTTGGTGAGTTTTACTTGGGAATTAATTGTTTCCATGGGGAAGTTGTTTTTTCCATGGAGATAAATTAATAGTTTCCATGGATTTTTTAGTAATGAAGGTTTCCATGGAAAATAATTATTGTTTCTATGGAAAAAAATAATTTCTATGGCGAAAATGGATCTCGTTTCTCCATGGAAATAATTGTGGATTTTTTTAAGAATAATAGTTTCCATGGGGAAATAAAATAAAATCGTTGCCATGGAAAAATAAATAATCACCATGGAAAAACAACTCGTTTCCATGGAAAAAAATAAAATAAAAATAAAAAAAACATACCAACCGCCCCCTGCCCCCCACTTTTTCCTTGACAAAATACCCACTCCTGACCCCAAAGAGCTCATCCACGAGAAAATTCTGACTGTACCCATCCGCATAAGTATGATGAATCCTAATTACAAGCACGCTCTGCCCCCCCTTGAACCCCCCCACGACCCCCACATCCCAAAGGGGGTCCCCCTCTGGGAATTTCTCCACCATCTTCCCCGCTAAATAATTAAATAAAATCGAGTCGTGGTCCTCCTCTTCGAGTAACCATGGAAATAAATTATCCACACTTTTCACATGCTTGGCAACGTTAAAATCCGTGCACTTTTTCCAATAAAAATAACCATGGAAATTAATGATGATTTGTTGTAATTTTATAAAATTGGGTTTTTTGAGTAACTGTGTAAATTTAGCTAAAACTTGTTCTCGGGTGAGGTTGCCATCGAGATAAATTAGCGTAATGTTGGCGGCGTGGGGGTGGTCGAGGTTGTCGATGGCGAATATGGAGTCGTAGGGGGTGAGTTGGGAGAGGAGGGTGGGGTAAAGCAAGGGGCGGAGGAGGGTCACCAGGGTGTGGTACAGTTTTAGGGGGATGGATATAAATAGGGTTAGGGTCAGGAGGAAGAGGGTCAGGAGGGGGGTGGTGAGGAAGGGGGGGAGAAGGGGGGGTTTGGTTTCTGGCATTTTTTTGTGGGGAGAGGGTTTTAGGTTGCTATGGAAACTATGGAGTTGGGATTTTAGAAAGTAGTTTTTATTTTTAGATTTTTGTCACGTGGTTTTTCGTTTCTATGGAGGTTTTTAGGTTGCTATGGGATTATTATTTTCAAGTTGCTATGGTATTAAGTTGCTATGGTATTAAAATTATAAATAATATATTTTTAGTTTCCATGGAAAAAAAATTAAATATAATAATTAAATAATTATATAACACTACACACAAGGACCACTCACACACACTCAATCACTGGTTGCCATGGTGATAAAATTAAAATTGCACATGTCCTTGTGTGAAGAAGATCTCTTGTAATCGCCTTAACAACGCTTTGTAACAAAGATGTGCACACCTCGAGTGGTGAGGTAATTAATCGTTTCCATGTGAACGGTCGCCATGGAAATTATTATTACGAGACGAGGAAGTGTCCAGAAGGACGAGGAGAGACGACTTCCTTTTGGTCATATTTCGCTAAACTATAAAGTGGTTGCAAAATTGTGTGCCAAAAAATATTGGGCAATGCGTTGTTAAGGGGTTGCTATGGTGACGCTACCTGCGTCTTCTTGGGGGTTGGGTGCACAGTGAGTGAGTGGTTGTGATCTTTGCAGTCATGGTGATGCTTTAAGAGTTGTTATGGAAATTAGGTTTTTTGTTTGTTATTATTATTCCAAGAATAGGTGGGTTTTAGGTGTTTCCATGGAAAAATTATGCTTTTTTAGGGAGCAGACTTTGGACTTATGTAACCGGAATAAATGTCATTGTGTCCGTCCGTCGGTGGATACTCGGATATGATCATGATCGAGGATATGATACTTATCATGTAACCATGGAAATAATTCCAAAAACAATACTAATTTTTTACACACAAATTTCCATGGAAACAATAGCAATTTCTTTATTATTACAATAACGATTAACCTCTAAAACACCAATAAATAACTCACTCTGATTTACTTAATTTAACCTCCTTTTGACTCCTCCCCCCAGCACTCCTCCTCTTGCCATAGGCCCCCCAGAAAAACTTGGCAAACAGTGCGAAATAACTCGCATACATGACCAGCGCCAGGGTCAAGTGCTCCTCCTTAACCACGCAATCCCGGTCGGTAAACTTCAGCACCCACACGGCGTAGCAGTTGACGACGACGCCGAGGACCATTTGCGAGAGCTGTAAGAGCGTGATCAGCATGGAGATCGGACGGGGGATGCGGAGCAGGCGGAGCGACTATAGGGATTTATTAGGTTAATTGGTTGTCATGGAAATATATTTTTAATTATTTAGTTGCCATGGAAATGTTTTATAAAAATATTTCGTTGCCATGGAAATATTTTTAAAAAATATAAATAAATAGTTGTCATGGAAATTAATTACTTTGAGTCCATAATAAGAGTACATGAGGGCGTGGACGGGGTAGTTCATGACCATGAACCATCTGGAGGTGGCGTCGTAGGTGGGGTACGTGTACCACGTGTAGGTCAGCACCGTGATGTGGTGGTACCTGCGGAGTCACGTGGTGTTATAAGGTCACGTGGTTACAGGCGGGAACGTTTAAAAATTTCGAAACTCACCAATGAAGAAAGATAAGTGGCTGCTTCCTTAAAACAATAAACACGGTGTCCCCCAATTCAACGGCTTTGGACAAGGTGAAGAGCAGCCCCCAAAAAGCCGCACCCACGTTGTGGTGGTTTCTATGGTTTTACTCTAATTAATTAACTAGTCACCACACCTAATAATAATTGACTCACCTGGAACAGCAGCTCCCCCACCACCCCCCGCCCCCCTCCCCCCACAGGATAAACCCCATCTCGGGCCAGGTCCTTAAGGTCCCCCCGAGGGAAAAAAGGGCCAAAGCAAAGTTCCAAACGGTTAAAAACTTCCTTAATTCAAAGGGACGCCGATTCTTCATCAGAATTTGGATCGTGAAGATAAGCACGACGTAGATAACGGAGATGAGGATGGAGTAAGTCCAGTGGGTGGTGAACCAGGTGCGCCAAGTGGGGAGGGAATAAGTGGATTCCACTGGGGTCAGGGGGAGGAGGAGGGGGTATGAGAGGGGGGTTGAGTGGGGGTTGAGGGGGGTGTAGGTGTCAATGTCCATTTTGTGGGGAGGCGATTTCCAAAGGGGGGATGAAGATGTAGGTCAGTAGTAAAATAGTGAATGAAGTGAAGAAGTGAGAGGATGAAGAGGAGAGTCAGCCGGTGGACTAGAATTTTTTAGCAGTGAAGAGAAGTGAGTAGAGAGTTAGTTGGTTGGGAGAAAAAGTGGGTGAGCGAGTATATGACTAGTTTTGGTGGTAGTCATAGTATTTTTGGTAGTTTTTTGGGGGGTATTTTTTGGGGATACCATGGAAATTATGCCATTATTTTAAAATTACGTTGCCATGGCAATTATCGAAATGGATTTCCATGGAAACATATGCGTATGCAAAATCATGAAAATAAAAGCTTTAATAAAAAAACCCCATGGTAACCATGGCAACCTATGCACGTCTTAGGATTAGAGAGACGCCCTGAGGCATGCCCACCACACACACAAGATTGTGGACGTCTTTTCTTAACTTTCTGAAGTAACCATAGTGACGCATGTTTTATGCGGATGTTCAAAATTAAAATCCACCTGTGATTAATCGCCATGGAGATAATTAAATATTAATTTTATATACACAAATTTTGTAAAATAAAAAATGTTCCCATGGATACTCATCTTTTTTCTAATTAACCTCAAAGGTATGGAATTTATTATTTTTAAGAAAATCCGCAATTTCACCTAAAATATATCTCCATTTCCACAGTAACCACCCCCCAACAACAACTCCTCCTCCCCCTCACCCTCTCCTCCCCCCGGACCTTCCACCTGGCGACCCCCACGACCACTCCCCCAGGGACGAAAATAACCCAAATCAAGCTCTCCCCGGAATCCTCCCACTTATCCCCGAACGTAACCTACGGATTGGAGCCCAGTTTCCATGGCGACGTTTCCACCCTGTTCAAAGTGGGCGTGGACGACGGGGGGATTTATTGGGTGGGTCATAATGGGACGTATCCAAAAGTGGGGTTTTTACAACTGACCGCCCATCTCCATGGCTCCAATGTCGTGAGTAAAATGGAGGTCAGGGTCGAGTTTGGGGATACCAAAAGATTATCTCCGGCGGTGGGTGTGGTTACTAAAAAAGGGGCGGAGCTCGTGACCACGCCCCTCGCTGTTGTTACTACGCCCACAACGACTATACCAACAACGACGGAGGCCCCTCCCCCTACTTCCAAGCCCCTCCTCCTCTACATTTCCATTGGCTGCGTGATAGTCATAGTATTTTCGCTCCTCCTCTTTTTAACCTTTCGCTACCGGAACAAGAAAAGTGCTATAGTTTTGACCAAATCGTCCAATCACCATGGCGACACGACTACGACGCAGATAAGGGCCTTATCCAACCGGTATGAAGATTGTCCGAAATCTCCTGCGGGGGACCAGTGGGAGGTCCAACGGCATCGGGTCAAAATTCAGTCCATCCTGGGGGTGGGTCTTATTTTTTATTTATCCATGGGGACTTAAATTTTTATTAACTCCCCCCTGTTCCTAATTTTAAAAACAGGAAGGCTGCTTCGGCCAAGTCTGGAAGGCAAGCCTGACCACCCCGGAGGACACAATTCAAATAATAGCGGTGAAAACGTTAAAAACCACGGCCTCCCCGGGGGACAAGGACGATTTATTATCCGAATTAGCCGTATTAAAATCATTAGAGCCCTCCCATCCTAACGTTTTACGGCTCGTGGGCTGCTGCACCAGCGGAGATGGTTAATTAACCTCTTAATGACCAATATACACAAAACTAACCTTAATTTTATTTACAGCCCCCCCACTACTCCTCCTGGAGTACATCCCCCTCGGAAAACTCCAATCCTATCTCCGCTCCTCCCGTTCCGCAAACTCCACCCCTTACAACAACATCCACCCGCCCTCCACCACATTAACCTCTTCAACATTAACCTCTTACTCCCTCCAAATCTCCAAGGGGATGGACTATCTCTCGACTAAAGGAATTATCCATCGGGATTTAGCGGCGCGCAACATTCTATTACACGAAGACGGGATAACGTGTAAAATCGCGGATTTCGGGTTTGCGCGCGACGTCGCGGGGGTCGAGGGGGAGGTCTATGAGAGGAAAAGTGGGGATGGCCGGTTGCCCATTAGGTGGATGGCCCCGGAGAGTCTGTTTGACTCGGTTTTTACGAGCAAATCGGACGTTTGGAGCTTTGGGGTGCTGATGTGGGAGATTGTCACGTTGGGGTCTACGCCGTATCCTGGGATGGCTCCGGCGGTGAGGGGTTTTTTTATAGGCTTTTTAGCCCGAGTCAGGGCTTATGGAACCGTCATGTCCGTCCGTCTGTCTGTCCGGCACGATAGAGCCAAAACGGCTGAACCGATTGACTTGAAATTTTTACCATATGCATATTGGACAAAGTTAGGAAACGAGTTCGAAGATGGGCGAAATCGGTCCAGTTGTTGACCGGTGGGGGTCATCGGAGTGGGTGGGGTCTTATGCACCAAAATTTCAAAATTGTTGTAGAGAGCTGAAATTTGGTACAGAGGTTGCTAATGGCTCCTAATAGAAAAAAATAACTTCAGGTTGGAAAAATTTTCATCATGAGTGACCCTATGGGGTGACCCATACCGATTTTTAGAAATTGTTTTAAAAACATGAAATCCGGCACAATGATACTTAATGACTGCTAATTAAAGAATATGAAGTTAAAAGTGAACAAAGTGCAACCAGACCAAAGTGAACAGAGTGCAATCAGTATGGGGTGACCCATACTGATTTTTAAAAATCGTTATATCGAGCTGAAATTTGATTAGGAGGCTGAATAGCACATACATACAGCTTAGAACTTCAGGATGTTAAAGAAGCCACTGGTCATGGTGGTCAAGGCACATGATTTGTAACTAATTCAAGAATTTGGTACCAAATAATAGAAACTATCTAACAAACTTTTAACCATCCACAACACGGAAGATGATGATATTATGTCGGTCAGTTCGGAAAAGAATTTAGAAGCGGGCTCTGACTTATTGATTGACTATGTCCCTGACTCGGGCTATATGGAGTCTGCACTGTAGGTTTTTTAGACTATAAATACAAAATTTTACTATTTTAGGCTAAATTTATAGTATTTTAGACTAAAATACTAAATATGCTAATTAATAGGCGGTGATCTCCTCCCTCCGCTCTGGCCACCGCCTGGAAAAACCGCCCCACTGCAAGCGAGAGTTATACAACATAATGTTTTACTGTTGGAACGATGACCCTTCGGCGCGGCCGAGTTTTTCTAACCTGACCGCGTTTCTGTCCGAGCTGATCGAGGAGGACATGGAGTACATCCAGATGGACTTGTTTCCAGAACATTCTTATGTTAATGTCACTTCGGGGGAGGCGGGGGAGGAGAGGGTGTGAGTTTTTTTATGGTTTTTATGGGGAGAGAGGTTAATAAAGTGAGAAAAATTGAAAAAATAATAACGAGAGGGAGGGGTTAATTAACCTGTTTTTGACTGTGTATTTTTTTATATTATGAGAAAAATTTATTAAACAAAATTTTGTATTACAATCACTTTACCATCTCGAGAGGTTAATATTAACCATCATTTTCATACCAAAATTTTGAAATATTACCCACTAGAAAAGGTTAATAAATCAAATCATAGTGCCCCGGCCTATAAAGCAAAACAATAGGATATTCCCCCTCCCCCTCTGGAAACAGGTGCTCCACGAGCTCCTCACTATCCTCCCCCCTGTCCATGTAGATGATTTTGATCCCCACTCCTAACACCGCAGCCAGTGCGGAGATTTGTAAATGGTCCGCCTCCTTCCCCATGGGTTCCACTTCGAGTTTGGTGAATTCCTCCATCGTGGGGGCCGTGGTGAGGAAATTGGAGTAAAAGGAAGAGTTCCGAGTGAGTTCGGCAGCGGTGAGGATGCGGAGGAAGACCGTGAGGTAGTCGCACGTCGCGGGGGAGGTGAAGTAGAGAGAGGGGAGGTCCAGTGGTGGGGTTGAGGTGGTGAGGGTGGAGAGGGACTAGGGAGAGAGAAGATGTTAGAAAATTTGAGTAATGGGGGTGTTCACGTTGGGTGGTGAGGTGGGGTTTTTGTGGGGAAATTTAGGCGTGAACACCCCTAATATAGTTTTAAAATGTGGGGAGAGAAAAATGGTGGGATTGTGAGTAATGGGGGTGTTCACGTCGGTTTGTAGGGTAGTTTTTCGATGGGTTTTTGCACTAAAATCTCGGCGTGAACACCCCTAATATTTTCGATAAATAAGTTTAACAATGGGGGTGTTCACGACGCTTCCCAACGAATATTTCCACTGTGACCCACCTCTAACTCAATGACGTGAACACCCCCAATATAAAACCAACCAAACCTACCTCCCCAAAGTGGTCATAGAAATCCTCCACGGTGAACTGGGTATACCCCGCTTCCACCAAGACCCCCTTCCACGACTTCCACTTGTCCTCCAATTTCTTGTGGAACTCCTCCCCCTCGCAGCCCACCTCAAACAGCCTAAAAAGCACGGCCCTGTAGAAGCAGTTCCCGTCCGGCCGGGTCCTCCTGATTTTCGTGAAGGTCTTGCAGATCGTGTGCACTTTGGAGGTGTAAATCGGGTCGGAGGTGTAGAGCGGGAGGAGGGTCGGACCCAGGGGGAGTGGGTGGGGGGTGATGAGGGGCGTGGTGGTTGTTATCTAAGGAATTTATTAAGTGATTTATTGTTGGCATGGAAATAAGTTTATAATGAGAAATGAGTAAATTTACTTCGAGTTCAATTTCCTGGGTCTGTTTGATTGTGAGGTCGTCCTGTTCGGAGGGGGTCAGCGAGGTGGTTACCATAGAAGAGGGGGTGGTAGGATCGTCGTGTGTGGGGGGGGATGGCGGTGGGGTCGTAGTGGGGGGATCCATTTTTAATTACTATTCAAAGTGGAGAAAGTTAATGTGAAAAAACTATGGAAAAATTGAATTTTGCGGTGGAAATCTACCCGAAAGTAGGACCAAAGTGGTGATTTTTCAAAGGGGCTGAGAGGAAGAGTGAGATGATCCGATTTGTTGATTTGACCCAAAAAAGTGGTCCTCATCCCTTCAGCCGTGTGTTTGAACTACTGTGAACCTTCCTCTGTCTCTAAACTTTTCCCTCCAACACACCACCACCACCATTCATCCTTCTTCTCTCTCTTCCATCACCACAACCATCCACAAATCCACCCTTCTACATTTCATTCACTGACTTTTCTCTCTCAATTTCCAAATAAAAAAACAACCATGCCCCGCTTGAAACAGCCGATAATCCCGAAGCAGATTTACCCCTCTGACCCTCCACCCCCTTCCACCACCCCACTAACCACCGACCTGCTCCCCCACACCTTCACCACCCCGACGAAAACGACGGTGGAGTTCTTCGAAGCAGGCGAGGCTCTGTTGTTATTGGGATCCGCCAAAGGGTCCTCCGCAGGGAAACAGCAAGAAGAAAGGGAGGTCAACTCCAGGACCCCAGTTGGTATGACTACAGTAATTACCATCAGTGGCCGCGGAACAATGTCCCCAGGGGTATTCGGTGTCCCTGTTATACAAACCCCTGCCTATCCTACAATGTCCCCACACCATCCGCGGCCACTGATTACCACCACCACCACCACCAGAATTAATAACCTTAATTCTCCCCGTAGGCCAAGGAATCCTGCGCCGCACCCCAAAGAAACCCGACGCCAAGCGGAAACTCGACCTCGACTCCCATCCCTCCTCCACCACTAATTCCAGCAAAAAAACCCGGATCGACTCCTCCCTCTCCGCACTGACAAAACGCTTCGTGACTCTAATCCCCGAGGGCGGCGGAAGCCTCGACCTAAACTCTGCCGCAAAGTCCCTGCAGGTCCAGAAAAGGAGAATCTACGACATCACCAACGTCCTCGAGGGGATTGGTGTACTCACGAAAAAGAGCAAAAATAACATTCAGTGGAGGTATTTACACTAATTTATTCACCATTTTTCACTAAATTAACGACTGGTTTCCATAGCGACAAATTATCTACTCCCACTACGCACCCCTCCACCCGAGCCTCCGAACTCCGCCGGCTCCAGGAGTCCATCTCTGTCCTCGAACAGCACGAGGACAAACTCGATAATTGGTTGTTGACCCTGGAGAACAATTTAAAGTCCTTTTCGGATGATAAGCGATGGGGGTACTTGACCCATGCGGATATCCGGTCGATCCCGCAGTATAAGGAGATGACGTTGTTGCTTATCAAGGCACCGCCGAGCACGAGCTTGACCGTGCCCCCGAAGGAGGAGGTATGGACACGATTTAGTGGGTTGTGGGAAAGGGGGTGATTTATTTTGTGTGTGATTTCCAGGGCCTGCAGATGCACCTGAAATCCGAGGGTGGGGAGATTGGGGTGTATCTCTGTCCGGAGGGGAGGGAGATGGAGTTGGAGGCGGTGGGGAGTAGTAATAGTGAGATCGCGACGACGAGTTCCGCCACGTCCGATCAGTTTGGTAATTGTCACGTAGTTTATTATTTATTAGAAAAAAACGCTAAATAAATGTATTTCATAGACCTCTCCCTCTCCAAATTCCTGGAACTCGAAGAGCTCGACGAGAACCTAGAGAACCATCCCCAACCAAACTCCACTTCCTCCTCCGCAGCCGGGACGTCCTTGTACCCCTTCGCCTACGCCAACGACGAGGGGTTGTCCAATCTGTTTATTTATTGAGTTTTTTCTATTTTTATTGTAATTTTTGTGAGTAAGGAGTGCATGAAATATATATTTAATTGTTTGGATATGGTAAAATTCTTCGTTATTCTCACCTAAGAAAAAGCAGAGCACACACATGTTCACAAAAAACCCGCACAAACCTGCTATCGCTGAAATCCTTGGGAAATACAGCACTTCCTTATATAATACGAGTAGTGTACAGCTCATCTGCTGGCTCTCTGGGAATCTCCAAAAAAAAACTCACCACAGAGGAGAGAGTCGTAATACACGGTAGTAGTAAGTTAGGCAGTCTCCGTGGTGACGCAATTCCTCGCTCCACACACACAAATTGTGTAATTATTTTGGTGCTATTATATTACAACCATGACCCACCACGGTCAACAACTGCACCTCCCCATCGTAAAAATCCTCGAGGAACCCGCCGCCAAAGCCCTCCGATTCCGTTACGAGTGCGAAGGGCGGTCCGCGGGGTCGCTGCCTGGTGCGACGAGCACCCATGAGAAGAAGACCTTCCCAAGGATTCAGGTGAGGTTACTAATATTTTTCTTGGTTTTTAGTTTCCACAACAATTATCCACCTTCTCTCTCTTCTCTCTTCAGGTGCTCCCCCCCACCACTCAAAATTCTCCCCACCTTCACCCACCCCTCACCAAAGGCGTGGTGGTGGTCTCCTGCGTGACAGTGGAGCCCCCCCACCGCCCCCACCCCCACAACCTCGTGGGAAAGGAGGGCTGCAAAAAAGGCGTGTGCACGATGGAGCTCTCAACTTCAGAGAGTGGAGAAATGATCACGGAGTTCTCTAATTTGGGGATCCAGTGCGTGAAGAAAAAGGACATCGAGGAGAGTCTCAGGGTCAGGGAGGAGATCAGGGTGGATCCCTTCAGGAGTTAGTTAATTACTCTTTTTTTTAGGTGGAATTTCCTCAATTTACAACTAATTTACAATTAATAATCCCCCACAGCCGGCTTCACCCACAAAACGCAACCGGGCTCCATCGACCTCAACGCCCTCCGGCTCTGTTTCCAAGTGTTCCTCGAAGGGCCGGAGCGGGGCCAGTTTAAAATTCCCCTCAAACCCGTCGTTTCCGAGGCGATCTACGATAAAAGTATGCTATTTTATTAATTACCGTGAATAATACTAAACTATAATTTCTGCAGAGGCGATAAACGACCTCACGATAATGAAGCTGTCCGAGTGCACCTCGCCCGTCCTGGGAAACAAGGAGATCATCATGCTGTGTGATAAGGTGTCCAAAGGTGGGTCCTAAATTAACCTCTTCGCTACCAATAACTAAATAAATCGTATCCTTAGACGACATCGAAATCCGATTTTACGAGACGACCCCCACCGCCCCCCACACCACTTTGTGGGAAGCCTTTGCGGACTTCCAACCCTCGGATGTTCACAAGCAGTACGCCATCACTTTTAGAACACCGGCGTATCGGGATTTGGAGGTTAATCACTTAAAAATCACTTACAACTCTCATATTAACCTCTCCTTGACCAAATTTTTCTAAAATTCTAGATAACCACCCCCACGACCTCCACCTATATCCAACTGCGCTGCCCCTCCAAGGACACCACCTCCCTCCCGCGAATGTTTGAGTTCACCCCGATCGCTTCAGGTATACACTTCTGGCCCCACAATAATTTGGGTAAACGTCGAAAGGTTAATTTAGAAGAGGCGATAGACTCGGAAGACTATGGTTTGTTGGGGGACGTTCTGCAAGAGCCAATCAGCGGCCAGGATGAGACAGAGGGCGTGTACGATTTAGATTTGGAATTAGTTAGGCAGTTGGCGATTGGCGGTGGGTTGGGTGGAGGGGAGGGGCTAGACCTACAGCAAGAACAGCAATTGGCTGTTGAATATTTGGATAAAACTGATCAGCCAATGGACACGTCTGATGATCTGGAAGCTCCTCCTAATCCACCGCCACGCCCTCCAAAATCACCTACGGCCCCTCCATTAACCTCTCCACCGCCGAATTTGCCTCCTAAGAAATCCACGACTCCCGTTAAAAATAAAAATTTTTTCAAGTCCCTATTTTCAAAATCCCCTAAAAAAGTGGGTGTAACTACTAACCCCCCAGAAATCACGGAATCCCAGCAGATCCTGGAGGATTTAGACTCCATCCTAGCCATAGAATCCGTAGAGCAGTATGCTTTATACACGGATCACAACGTTCCCAAGGCAACGTTGTCTGAATGCGATGATTTTAGTTTGAGGGGGCGTAACAATAATTAACCTTTTTTTATTTAAATTATTATTTGCTAATTTTTTTTGTGTGGGTGTGGTTTTGTTTAAAAATCCAGACCTCTCGGACGGTTTGCAGCAACAGACTAAAAGAAAACGTTGGGTTAATAATTCACAAAGGATTGAAAATCATTTATTGGGTGCTGGAGCGGTTAATAAGTGTGAGTTTTATTTTATTTTCACGCTTTTTTTTGTTTTTTTTTCGCTTTTTTGGGTGAAAGTGGGTGTGGTTTTTGCTTGAAATGAGATAAATAAATCCATATGTTTTTTCAGTCCAAACTCCTCCCCCTCCAGCTCCTCCCCCTTTGTTGTCCCCCCTTTTAATCCCTGCTTTACCAAATATACCTCCAAATTTTGCCTACCCTCAGCAACAGTATTACCATCAGTCGTCGTCGTCACCACAGCAACAGCAGCAGCAACAGCCGATTAAACAAGAATATTACGATTATTATGATGATAAACCCATGTTAGATTTTAGCAATATTTCGTTGCCTAATTTATCTGATGTTAATTTGTCGTTGTTAGAGTCGCATTTGAGCGAGAATTTCAGCGAGAGGTTGGATTTGGGGTAATAAATTTTTTGTGCTTTTTTATGGGAGTGGGAAGTGTGGGTGGAATTATTTGGGTGGAATTGGCATAAAAATTGGCGTGCTGAAAATTGGCATGAAAATTGGCATGAAATTGACACACGATTAGCATATGCGAAATTAGCGTGCTAAAATTGGCACAAATTTTGGCACAGAAATTGGCACACGCCAAAATCAGCACAACTCATTCTCGAAAACAAATTTATTCCCTTTAATCTCAATAAAATCACCCCTGTTTAGTTTTATACCGATGATTCTGGAACCAAATTTTGACCTGCGTGGGGCTTAATTTAACCTCCATGGCGAGTGCCTCTCTCTCCGCCGCGCTCAAATACCGCTGCGTCCTAAACCTGGATTCCAACGAGTGAATTTGACTTTTGGTGAATAAAATCCTCCGTTTCCTTGGCGACTTTTTCTTTGAACATGTCGAATTCGTGGAGGAATTTGAATCCTGTCGTGGAAGGTGATGTGACGATAGGGATGAAGAAGAAGAGGGGGTGTGGTTCGCCGTACGGGGTAAATAATCATCTTTTAGGATTATATGCTGGGGGTAGAGGTGGTGATGGGGGGTGGTGGGGGTAGAAGTGGGGTCGTGGTGTGGGGGGGTTAACCTATGGATTTTATAATTTGGTTGTCATGGTGATTTAAAAAAATTAATAAAAAAATTACCTATTAAAATCCAATGGCAACTCGTCTTGTAGAATTTCCCCGTCTTAAAATTAAAATAAAACGCACCTAAGAATTTTATTTTATTTAAAATTAAAATAATAAAACATACCCCATCCGTTGCCATGCCGATTATTATCAAAATTATGCTGTTGCCATGACAACTTATTATCAGGTAAATCGAGTATATCTCGAACATTGAATCCTGTTGTCGTATGATTTCGATTGTAATTGTTCGGACGCAGCTCGATTATTCTACGTTATCAGAAATAAAAGATAAGCGCTTATCCTTGAACTTGTCCCATGGCAACATTAATTTTTTATTATTTTTTATTTAAAAAAAAAATACCTCAACTGCTGAACGTCCTCCTGGACCACCCCCACCGGATCCGCACCCCCACCCCCACCATTATTATTATCGTAAATGCTCCCCCCGCCACTCCCACTCTCCCCCCCGCTGGAGTTGCCATGGATACTGGACTCTTCTAAAACCTCTCTTTTTAACTCTGCATAAGTGATGGGTGGAGGGATTTCCTGACCTCGAGAGTAATAATAATAGTCGTCATAGTAATAATCCTCGGATATTTGCGGATAAAATAAATTGGCGGATTGGCTTTGGTACTGCTGGAAAATGGACATTTTTAAATCGCAGTAAATTTGGTGGGCACTCAAACTAACTGCGATTTCTCTGTGACGGTGACGAGTGGAGAGTGGCGAGTCCGGGGGGGTGACCACCGTTGTCATGGAAAAAGAGTTGAGTAATTATTTAATTGGTTTTTGATTAGATTAGATATGTTGGGCAATTTAGTGATTAAATTAAAAAGATTGTTGCCATGGTTACGGATTTCATACGTTTTTTTGTCTTTGTCTCCATGGTGTCTCATCACCCCGTGGATTTAAATTTCCACCGTGGGAATTACACATCACCAGTTTTTTTAATCACCATGTGAACCGAGTTTTTTAAAATAAAATAAAAAATGCCCCCCACGACGACACGCCCCCTGATATTTCTACTTTTATGGTACGCATTCTCCGCCCTGACCCTGTTTTTAAACAAGTACATCCTCTCGGAAAAGGGGGGCGACCCCACGTTGCTAGGTGATTTTTTTATTAATTGGTAATTATTTAATTGCTATTATTTAATCGGTAATTATTAATAAAGGGACGACCCAAATGCTGATGACCCTCACGTGCGGCTACGTCCAGATGCACTATCCCCTCGGGATGACCACCAGCTCGTCGACGACTGGTCTCCATGGAAACGTGAGACCCTCGAAATTCAGGAGGCACATGCTCCTCGTGGGGACCATGCGGTGGGTTAATCGTTGTTTTTAATTAGTAATTTTTAATCGGTATAATCACCAATTAAACCAATTAAAACCAACCCACAGCTTCCTCACGGTCCTCCTCGGCCTAATCTCCCTCCGATGGATCCCCCCCTCATTCACGGAAACAATCAAATCCTCCGCCCCCCTCTTCACCGTCATGATCTCCTATTTACTATTAGGTGAAAAGACCTCCCTCTTGGTCGGCCTTAGCCTCGTCCCCGTCATGTCCGGCCTCGCTTTGTGCTCATTCTACGAAATAGAGTTTAACCTCACGGGCTTCCTCGCCGCCATGGGCGCAAACTTCACCGAGTGCTTGCAGAACGTGTATAGTAAATTACTCATAAGCGGCGGTTCAGCGGGTCAATCGGGGCGCTGCACCCCCGCCCAACTCCAATTTTACACCTCCCTCGCTTCTATGATAATACAAATCCCCACGGCGTGGATTCTAGTCGAAAATTTGGACTTTCACCTGTTTCCATGGTTTGTGCTGAACGGGGTGTTTTTCCATTTTCAATCCATAACTGCGTACGTGCTGATGGATTATATCTCCCCGGTGACTCATAGGTGATTATTTTTAATTGGGATTATTTTTTGGTGATTAATTGTGGTGATTATTTTGCAGCGTTGCCAACACGACGAAGCGCGCCCTTCTAATATTGCTATCTTTATATTTATACAATAAACAATTGACGCTGACAAGTTCCGTGGGGTTGGTCGTGCTGTTTATGGGCGTGGTCCTTTATAATGAGGCCAAAAAGGTGCACCTCGTGGGGGGTGGGGGGGAGCAGGAGGTGCCATTGGTGGGGATGGAATATGGTGATAAAAATTGTGCATAGTAGTGAGTTGTCATGGGGATTGGATTTTTGTGGAAATTGTATATTGTCATGGAAACAGTATTATAGGAATAAAATGTTTTATTTTTTATGAGGGAATATTGTAATGGGGTTGCCATGGAGATTTTATTTTGTGAATTTGTGATCGAAAATAAAAAGTTTAATAATGAACAAAGCTTTAAAAAATCTAAATACATTTTTAGCACGCCAAATCTGTGTGCCAAAATGTTTGCCAATTTTAGCATTTTCTTTTAGCGTGCCAATATTAGTGCCAATTTAACCGCTTTCTGTGTGGGTTTCTGATTTTTTTCGCATTATTGTTTACAAACAATAATTCGTCTAATAAGACGTCCCCGGTTCCCTGTTCCGCAAAAAAACACGTTGCTATGGAAATTTGAATATTGCATCGGAATTTTAACTTGAACATGTTAACTTGACATTTAACTTGAACATTTGCTTGTCGACTGGCATGAGTTTCCGAGATATCACGCTCACTTCAAGCCCTACTCAGTTAAAAGTTATTTCCCTCGCGAGGAAATTGTATAAATTGTCATGGAAACAGTATTATAGGAATAAATGTTTTATTTTTTTGAGTGAATGGGGTTGCCGTGGAGATTCGTTTTTTTTCTGCGATCGAAAAGACAAAAGTTTTAATGACAAATTCTCTGAATAAACTAATTCTTAAAAAAAACTTAGGCGAGGCTTGCTGAAAAGAAGAAAACAAGGTTTTATCATCTAAAATAATATGCCAAATCAATGTTCATCTCAAAATGAATTTTTATGTTTTCAGGGTTGTAATTCTGAAGACAAATTGGGTTTAATTTTTGAAATCGGGTTAAAATTCGAAAAGTTACAGCGTTTTTCTAAGGCGAGACCCAAACGTAACCATGCACCCAAAAAAAATACGTGCATGGTTACGGCGAAGCCATAGTATGCAGTTAAGTGCCCACCTCAAAACAGTCAGATAAGATTGTGAGAGAACCATACGTCGTAGAGACATGCGGTTTCGACAAATGGGTAGTAAATTCTGTGTAGTATTGTTTATAGATCTCTGGGCTTAATCGGTTCATAACTTCATGGTGTAATTCTCGTTTTAGTGACTTTTTTTTCTGTATCTCAAAATATTCCGCTGAAAGTGAAAAATCGGCAAAGGGGAATCGAAAGGGCTTAAAAAATTATTAAGATCATTCTTTATGGTCATGAAAATCGGATGTAAAATGACGAAGTTATGGAGGTTTGAAATTTTTAAAATTCAGTTGTTACATGCATAGCAACTTAGGGAAAGAAATTATTTACATGTAAATGATGTGTAAATGATTATATAAGCCCGAGCCAGGGCTTCTATAATCTAATAAAAAAGATACATTTTTATAATTGCCAAAATTTAATTTAGTTAAAATATAAGGTTGGATGGAAAAATTGGTGAAGGAGGCGAAATTATTAGTATTAAATAAAGTTAATTAGGGTAAATAATCAAATTTAGAGAAAAACAAGTGAAATTATGGAAATATTGGAAAAATTATGGAAATTCCTTAAGAAATATGGAGAAAATCTTACCCCCTCCTATTACTTACCTTAGATTAATCGTGAAAACACTTTTACAAATTATTTTAGTAATAATCTTGAAACTTGAAAAAATAACTTCCTCACGAAAGGAAATTCAATCGTCGACTGGAGCAGCCCGTGAGCTGAACGTGATCCGGGAAGATGGCGGCGGTCAGCAGACAGGACAGCAAGCAGGCAATCAGTGTCGCTTGCCTGACGTCTTTCCCGGATCACGCTCAGCCTTCTGCTCAGTCGACGAACAGGAACAGGAACTTTTCAATCCCGGAATTTGCCAACGCCAATGTAAGGACTTCGATGCGTTTCATTTCAACCAGACGCTATAAAATACGGTCAAAAATGAAATTAATTTCGCGATGAGAATTATTTCAAACTTAATTTATACAAATGGTTCGATATAAATCTAGTGAATTTTATGGAATTTAACGCTAGAAATTAAATATTTATAGCCGCCTTCTGGTAGGGCTGAGAGTGCCACCAGAAAAGCTGCATCCAAACCTAATATTTTTCATTAATTAAAATCCCATTCTCAGAACATCCGTGTTGCAATCGGTCGTGTCACTCCGCTATAGAAGAATTCACCACGTATGTATATAGTGAAATTGATAAAAAGAATGGGAAGGTTGGAGCTATATTTATTGATTTAAAAGACGCTTTCTCCAGCATTTCTCATGACAAACTAACTAGGAAGCTGGCTCAACAATTTAAATTAAGCAAGCAATTAGTAAATTTAATTTTTAACAACTTAGACTCGAGAACTTTTAAATTTAATAATGATGACGAATACTACTGTACGAATAAGGGTGTAGGACAGGGTAGTATTTTGGGCTCAATCTGCTTCTCGGCTTTTTTCTTAGGTGAGGCAAAAGTAACAATGGGTGCCCGCAAAAAAGTGTCACCATGGTTACGGCGAAGCCTAAGTATGCTTTCGTATACACCCTTTGAAACTGTCAGCGAGGCTTGAGCCTAAACGGTTAATCCTACGCAAATGGTGTAAAGAGCAATCGTGCAGAGGAGAATTAGGAGATTTGGTTTTTCAATATGTCCGATAGAAAAGTTTTATTCTTCGCTCTCAAATTTGAATTTGAAACTTTAAAATCAAAATTTGAGATACTTGTGCTACAGGACTATATGCATAAAACCTGATTTTATCATGCAGAAATCGGTTGTGCGTCATTTAAAACAAATCCGACTGAGATCGGTCCAAAACTGAAAAAGTTTTGATGGAAGCATCTGAAACCATTCATGTTGCTAACCAAAAATTACAATATTCCTAGTTGGTTGCTACTAGCTATCAATATAACAATTTTCCAAATACAAGTAGTTGTGTTAGGCAATTTTAATTTGCCAAATTAATTGGTCAATTGTAAAGGTGCGTTTATGCTTCACGTCACCGTCCCGTCCTCCTCCAAATCCGATTTTTTGATTGGCTGATTGAAATTATCACTACGACAATTAAAAATTTTAACCAATCAAAAAATCGGATTTGGAGGAGGACGGGACGGTGACGTGAAGCATAAACACCACTTAATTTCCATTTTTGGCCAATCGCACAAAAACTTTCCTCCTGATCAGTGTTGGGCACGATTATTAATCCATATTAATTACAAATTCTTTTGCAAACTCAAATTTCAATAATTTTATATTTAAGTACTGTGTCAAATTTACAAATTTTAAATTTGAACATCCTATATGCATATATTTTGGATTTAAATGTTTATAAGTTCATTTTGTAATTTATTAATCTAATCCAGATTAAATAATCTTCCTCCCTAATCCAGATTGTTCTCGTGAAATAAATAATCCTCGTAAAACCTAATATCTGAAAAATTATTATCTGCTAAATTAATTAAAAAATTTGGATTATTTGAGCCTTAATTTTGCGACCCCTTGTACATATTTTCAACTAATTTTGTAATGAAAAAGATTCAAGACATTCGGTCTTCATTTAAAAAAGTTTAACAATTTTGAGGTGTAATTAATTGTCTGAAAATGTGCATCACCTAAAATTCATGAAATAAAATAATTTTAAAAAAGCTTGCTTAGGCGAGGCGCTGCTAAAAGTGAAAAACAAGGCCTCTGGCATATCTTTTAAATATCTCGTACCTTTATCATTGTGACAGGAGTTGGTGGCTTTGCATCACCGCGAGGCCAAACATTTTACGCCAAGCCTCTAGCAATTAAGAATATATTCTCAAGAATTCGCAAGAACCTAATCTGGGTTCACGTCAAAATTATCATTTATCACTTTTTAATTCGTACTGAAAACTAGTTGTGTTAATATGTAAATAAAATTAGGAAATACCCTCGCGTTGTTATTCGTGCGTCGGCATCTTAATTTTTTGCATAACACCTATTTAAAATTGTGCACATCCATCAAATTTTTTTAGCTACCTGAATTACTGGTTAACTATCGAATTTAATTATGAGCTAAATAAACATTATTGATCATATTGGTCCTCTGCATAATAATTTTACAAAATCCACGCAATTTATTACCCTTTCGAAGCAATAAGTTTGTTTAAGCGTTCACACATATAGATACAATTTTAATTAGCAATAATTGAATTTCTTAGAAGAAAATGTAAGTAATAAACGTCGTGGTATGGTAAACGGTAAAAATGTTTGGCCTCGCGGTGAGACAAAGCCACCAACTCCTGTTATCCAATGATAAAGGTACGAGATATTTAAAAGATATGCCAGAGGCCTTGTTTTTCACTTTTAGCAGCGCCTCGCCTAAGCAAGCTTTTTTAAAATTATTTTATTAAATGATGTAAAATTAGCCATTGTTATTAACTTTTTATGCTATGCAGATGACGTCATAATTTATGTAGGATCGGATAACATTGTACAAGAACTACAAAACTGCTTTAACAAATTTAGTGAGTGGTGTATTGAAAATTATCTGAATATTAATTATGACAAAACTAAGTGTATGTACTTCCTCAATGAAAGAGTACCGATAAAGGGCGATCACATTATAGAGCGAGTTATGTCGTTTAAATATCTAGGAATAACTCTTGACCCTAGTTTAAATTTTAAATTACATTATGAAACTGTATTTTCAAAAGTCTGTCAACGGATAAAAATCCTGCATGGTCTTAAACGCTCAATTAGTGAGCAGGCAATGCGTGTAATAATTAACACTCAGGTACATTCGGTTATTGATTACTGTATTGACATATGGACGGTACAGACATCTAAGTGACAGGGATGATCCCTGTCACTTAGCAAGATTCAGGATGTCATTTACAACTTCCTCTTAAGTTATTATTATCCTAAGCTTGCGAAATTACGATCAACAAAGAAAATCACTTTAAAGAGTCTGCGAAAAAATATCGATCTTCAAAAAATCAGTAATGATAACAAAATGCTTACGGTTGAACAGAGATCGAAATACGTACTATTAAAGAACGCGTATAAGATGTACAAAAGTAACAAATTAATTTTCTCCGAGAGAACGTTGAACAACAAGCGCCCGAATATGTGCGCCCCGACCCATAGAACAGAAGTATTTAAGCGTTCAACATTGTTTAGAAGATACTGTTTATGGAATACTTTACCTAAAGACTGGGAATTATGCAACATGTCCTACGGATTGTTTCAATCAAATGCACGTGAGTTTGTAACTGGTCAAATAAATCACAATGGACCAGATGTTAGCAATTTATAATTATAATATGATGACAACAAACTTATATATAGTTATATTGTAGATTAGTACAAATTTTTATTATTGTGTCTTGATCTGAAAAGCAGTGTATAACTGATGATTCGCGACACTTGAATAAACTACAGTAAACAGTAAACTGCACCCCTCGTGAAAGTTCGATATCGGTTGCCCTCCTGTAATTTTTGCCATGGATACTCCCGCATCAAGTCCACTGCCGGCTGCTCCTCCTTCTCCTCAATCCGTCATGGAGCGTAACGACGACGCACATCAGGAGGACGAGGACAACGCGTTGCTTCACGATGAGGAGGACCACGGGCTGTTCCATCAGGACCACGACATGGGGGTGATGGAAGGATGAAATGTTTTTTGAAAAATTAAAAGTTCGGGAATTGCATGCAATTTTTCCATGAACTTGGTTGATAAAATCGGTCAAGTGGTTGACCAGTGGGGGTCATATGAGTCGTTGGGACAGAATACTATAATTTGTAATATTTGGTTGACAACCAAATTACCAAATTGGCTGTAAAATCCGCTCCTTCCTTTCCATAAACCACAATAATTAATGCTCACACCATTGAGTTAGAAGTACGAGTTAGAAGTCAAAAAGATGGAACATGATCGTGAAATTCGTCTTGGAGGCGTAGGATTTGTCCCGGCTGTAAAATCCGCTCCTTCCATAAACCACCATAATCAGTGCTGACACCAGTCAGTTGATGATTGTGGATCATGAAAATTTGTCTCATTGTCCAAAGCATCCATTGCGATTCAGGCACATGATTTCCCTGGCAAAACACCCATTGGAAATTAAGATGTGCATCATTTCTATAGCAATTTGTCATTCCCATGGAAACGGAATTAATTTTTAAAAAAACACAAATATAGAAGAAAACCATCTATTTTTAAACAAAAAACCCAAACAAACCGGGTGCCATGGATATTTTTAACTCTCAGAGTGATCCTTACATGGATCGAGAATCTCATAAACTATAGGGAATCCCAAGATCCTCACCATTTCTGACGTCACAAACCACCACCACTCTCCTCGCACAAAATCCACCCTCTGAAGGCGAAGCACACACCAGTCGAAAATTGTGCTTCATCAGAGACACACACACTCTTGAAATAATTATCTCCATTTAATTGTTGTCATAGTTACGGAAAAAAACCTGCTGTTTTTGGTTGCTATAGAAAAATAACAAAAAATTTCCAAATAAAGGTAAGTAATTTCACCCATAGTTTCCGAGCAAAATTTCAAAAAATACGATAGAATTAACTCTTGGAATTCCCATGGCAACTTTACACTTCTGGGTTTTTCCCAGCTTGTTGGGAAGAACGACATTCTATCTACACACACTTGTTCAAGTGCTTTTGTGGGTTTTTTTCCGTTGTCATAGCAACGATATTATTCAAATGTCATGATTATTGTTGTGGAAATTTTATTACGTTGCCGTGGAAATTGTTTAATATAATATTTTATAAATTATTAATCAAGTAACAAAAAAATAAATATTCCCTTAGAAAACCCATGGAAACGACGGACTTAAAAAACCCCACCCCCGCAGAAACCTCCGATTCCGGTTACATCTCCCAACCTCTGGACTCCACAGATTTGGAAGAACCACACCCCCACCAACTAACAAACTCCACCCACTCTGCCTCCCACTTAAAAACCGCCTCCACGACGTCCTCCGGATACTACTCTCGTTTAGATTCAACAGACCACTCCACCCACTCCACACTATCCTCCCAGACCCACCCCTGGCAGTTCTATGTCACACCCACCCCCAACTCGGACCACACCCCTCTTCACGAGGCGATAGTTACCAAGGACACGCAGTTATTGTCAAAAATCCTCCCCCTGCTGCCACACCCCTCGGTCCTTAATGTGCAAACTGATACGACGCGGCAGGCCCCGCTGCATTTTGCTGTCTTAACTAATCAAGTGGAGGTTGTGAGGTTGCTGGTGGTGAGTGGGGCCAGTGTGGAGGTTCGAGATGCCAATGGGGACAGTCCGGTGCATTTGGCGTGCAGGTGGGGGTTCGGGGGGTGTCTGGAGGCTTTGGTGAGGGCGGTGGAGGGAAGTGGGGGGAATGGGGTGGTGGGGGGGAGTTTTTGTCTCGGGAGGGTTCTGGAGGGGAGGAATTATGAGGGTGAGTTTTTTTGGGGTGTTGTTATGGAGATTAATTATTTTTTTTTCGTGGAAACGTGTTTTATTGTCATGGAAATTATTTTTTTGTCATGGAAACGTGTTTATTAGCATTTTTTCCATGACAACTATTTTTTCCATGGAAACGCATTTTTAATACCCATGGAAACTAAAAAAAACATAAACCATGGAAACTAAATAATTTATTTAAATCCACAGGCCTCTCCCCACTCCATCTCGCCACGTTGAGTTACACCCCCTCTAGCCCCACCCACTCCCCCACCTCCACCCCACCCTCCCCACTCACCCCCCTACACACCCTCCTCTTCCTGGGCACACCCACCTCCACGACGGACGGCAAATCCGGCCGGACCTCGCTCCATTTCGCTGTGGAAAAACGTGACCTGGCCGCCTTAAAACTATTATTGGAATATTCCACCAGGGAAACCATGGAAATTGAGAATTACGCCGGAATGTCGGCCTACACGCTCGCCAGCTGCAATTTATTAAACGATTTTTGCCATGTTTTAAAACAGTTTGGAGCCGAAGTGGTGGATTACTTTAGCGACGAGAGCGATGAGGAATAAAAAGTATTTATTTTATATATAAGAGTCTGTTTCCATGGTTACTTTATTATAATGAAAATGCATGAGGTTACTTGCATAAGAAATGCGCATAGTTGCCACCATAGAAACTTAATATTACGTTGCCACGCAACAAGACAACTTTCTAAAAATCATATATTATTATATCGCTAAAAGGTTGCTATAGTAGCGCTGACCAGTAGTCACACAACAGCCAAACTTTCAAGTCATGACTACCAATTTATTGTTCCTTTCTCTCCTCTTGACGAGTATTTTTCAGTGGTGTAGTCCAGGTAACGGGTTTCTTATTTATTTTAGTTTTTTTAAAATAAAAGTATAAATCTCCATAGAAACGTGCACTTCTCCGAGTGCGTCGTCGTCGTCATGGAGCATGCCATTCGTTAAATTAGGTCAAAAGAGATATTATGTGGGGCACTTTTTTAAGGTATTTAAAAAAAAATTGGATTATTTGTTAGCATGGGGATTTTTTAAATTAATTTTTTTTGCAGGCCAACTGGTACAAATCGCAGCAGTATTGTCGCTACCATGGAATGCAATTAGCGAGCATCGAGTCAAAGGAGGAAAATGATGTGCTTGAGAAATACGTGAATGAAATTGGTGGGTTTTTTTAAGGGGGAGTTTTGGCGTGCTGATTTTTGTGCCAATTTTTGTGCCAAAATTGGCAATTTTTTTAGCACGCCAACTGCCACGTGCTAATTTTTGTGCTAATTTCTGTGCTAAATTTTGGCATGCCAATTTCTGTGCCAATTTTTTAGCACGCCAAATTTTTTGCCAAAACTTATGCCAATTTCCTTGCCAAAATCTCTCTGCTAAAATGCCAAAATTATTTAAACGCAGGCCTCGGCTCAGACCACTTCTGGACCTCCGGGACAGACCAAGGCGAAGAAGGGAACTTCATCTGGTTTTCCACTGGGAAACCAATCACGTTCACAAATTGGAATGCAGGTTAGCCCATAAATTCCCACGACAACCATAAAAAAACCTTAAAAAAAACCTTAGGTGAGCCGAACAACTTCAAGTACGAGAACGGCGAGGAAGAGCACTGTTTGGAACTCTGGAACAGGGACGCGAAAGGCCTCAAATGGAACGACACGCCCTGCTCTTTCGAAACTTTCTTCGTTTGTGAAGCGTGATTTTTTTTACAAATTTTTGTTCCTCACCTAAGAATTTATTTTTTTATGTGTGTCCTTCGCGCAGCCCGAGCCATACAACTAGCCAAATAAATCGCCATATTTTTTTTCGTTAAGAAATTTATTAAAAAACTTTAAAAAAATTACAAAAATAAATGGCACATGTGTTTTTAAAAAAAAGTCTCGATCGTTTCCATGACTACTGAATTCTTTCCCTTGATTGGTTTGATTCTTTTTTCCCATTGTTTCGAGCAATTCGGGAATTTGTCCGCTTCTTTAAATGGTGTTCTTCACTGAAGACGTCGCCTGGGGAGATTTTTTATTATTTTATTTTCCATGGAAACTGATTTAAAATAAAATAAATTTTTACCCGTTCTTAAAGCAGAGATTAAATCGTCAAATTCGCCATTTTCATTTTTTCCCAGGTTTATATTTTCCGTGGATTTTTTTCGTGGCTACAAAAAAATAGAATTTAAATTAATTTCCATGGAAACTATAAAATTTTAAAATTCATCACCTGCGGCTTCTCCTTGATTTTCAACGTCGCGTAATCATTCTCGATCTCTTTTTTAACCTTTTTGAGCTTAATTTCATTCAATGTTTCCACGAAACTCGTCAAAAACTCGTCAAAAATGATGAAAAAATCCTCAAAATCCGTTTCTCCAAAGAATCGAGCCACCTTTTTGAGCTGAAAAAAATTTAAAAATTTAAAAAAATCCCCATGGAAACAAATAAAAAACCAAACTAACCTCCCCCCAAACAACTTGAAACTCCCTTTCCACCCCCCTCACGACCCCCTCGACCTCCTCACAAATCTCCCCCCCATCAGAATAAACCCCCTTGACCCACCCCACCCCCTCCACCAACCATTTAACATCAAATTCCAAATCTTTCAAATTAATCTTCGCAGCAAACTTCAAATTCTCTCCAAAATCCAGCTCTAAATCGGCGATTTTAGGAAATTTATCATAAATTTCCATGACTAAAAAGTTTAGCAAGCTGACCCCGCCGAGTCCTTTCGTGTCTTTTAATTTATTTAAAGAAGTGAGTCTGAAACCATAGCAATTGCCACGTGACCCTCGATTTAAATAGTTTCCAACGGCCAGGACTAATTTTAAAAACTCTTTTAATTTCGGGGAATTTGTAAAGTTTTCCAAGGTTTTTTTAATCTGGATTAATTTTTGATTTAATTCTTCTGTTGTTGGATTTAATTTTTTGAGGAAAATAATCGCCATTAGTTTTTGTTCGTAGTTTGGGATTTTTAAGAGTCCAAAAAGGAATAGGTCTGCTCGGTTTATTGAATTTTCCATGGAAACCGAGGTTAAAAGTTGGATTTCCTCTTTTGTTGGGAGGAATTTGACGAGTTGTTCGAGCATATCGACGGAAATGTTGGTTTCCATGGTAGCAATTCCATGGGTGATCAATTCGTTGGATTGTTTGAGGCGGGAGAGGAGGATCGTGAGGTTCTGGGATTTGCGGGGGTCCAAGATCGTGCTGGAGTGGAGGTGGGTGTGGGTGGAGTGGTGGGTGGGGTTATGGTGGGAGGAGTTTTGGTGGTGGGTGTGGCTTGCGAATAGGGTTTGGATCAGGGGGAGGTCCAAAGTTTGATAGATTGTGGATTCGTCTATTTCTTCCCAAATTGTGTTTTGGATTTGGGGGAGGAGCGTCCAATTAAGGGATTTTAGGGGGTGTGGCGGGGTGGGGGTGGTTTTTTTCGAGAGGGTTTCGTGGAGGGTTGGTGGTGGGGGAGGGGGAGGGGGTGGTGGAGGAGGAGGTGGGGGTGGGGGCGGTCCTGGAGGTGGGATTGTAGGCGGGGTTATTTGATTTGTAGGCGGGGTTATGGTAGGGGCGATTATCCCATTGGTTAGTGGGGGAGGAGCTAAGGTAGTAACTCCGCCCCTCGGCTCTTCTGATTGGTTGATGGGTGGGATTTTTTTATTTCTGGGCGGTGGTTTGAGTTTAAGCTCCTCCCATTTCCGTTTCCACTCCTCCCCTTGAACTAGGTTTTTCTTAAATTCAATTTGTAGCTCCTCCCACTCGTGTTCTTTGTCTTTTAGCAATTTTTTCATTAAATCAATTTCCATTCGGTATTTTTCACACTTTTCCGTGGTTTCCAATTTTTGAAATATCGTTTCCATGGAAATGTTTATTTTTGATAACGAGTAATTCTCCAAATCCTCGTGCAGAGTGATTTCCATGAGCAAAATGGAGATTAGCTGGAGGCAGCGGTGGGGGTGGGGGGCTGCAATAATTAAAAGAAGTATTATTTCCATGGAAACTTAAAAAAATATATCCATAGAAACCATAAAATTCTCCATGGAAACCCGCTCACCTCTCACAAGCCCATGTAAAATCCTCTCTAAATACTTCCACTCGAAGGAATGACAGCACTTTTCCTTTAAATATTTCCACATTTCATCCAGATTCCCATGGTTACAAACCGTGGAATTATTTGACAATTCCAAATCCGAGGCCCACACGGCTTCGAAAAAATCCAAGTGTTTATCCAGAATTTCGTTGTCTAATTTCCGTAATTTTTTCAAAATTGGTTCGATTCCGAGCTGCAAAAGTTCGAAGCGGAGGTGGAGCCGGAATTCCAAGCTTTCTTCGCCTGGGCCGTAATTCAAAAGGGCGTTCAGGAAGGACATGATTGCGGTTTTTAGGTGGAGCGAGGTTCGGTAGTTGCCCGTGGAGCGGTCCAGGTCGTTCAGGATGGTCTACGGGATTTATTAGTTATTTCCATGGTGATTTATAATAATTATGGGGGCGTTCATATGTTATGCGGTGGAAATGTGGGATTTTATTTGGTGGTTACGTGAGGGTGGAGAAAAAGTGACTTTTTTTCGACGTGATATATGAGGGGCCCCTTAAAAATTAAGAATTTAGGAATTATTATGGGGGCGTCCATGCACGACGCCATCAAAAACACACCCTCCCTCGCTCAACACCTCCTTAAAAACCCCCCATAACATATGAACGCCCCCTCGCCCCCCCAAAAAAATCCTCGATCCTCACCAAAAACCTAGCCCTCTCCTCCCCCCACTGCTCCAACCAATCCACGGCGTCGAGCACCATTTTCCAACCCCCCGGCACCAAACACAGCGCTCCCAAAATCTCAAACACGTCCACTTTCGTTTTGACACAGTCGAAAGCGACCATTTCGATGATTTTATTGATGAATTTCTGGTCCGTGAGGAAGTACTGGCGACCCTTCGAGTTGTTCATCAAGGATTTTATGCACTTGAGGATGTGGGAGGAGGAGGGGGGGGTCAGCCGAGAAAGTAGTAATTCCAGGCCGGAAAGGGAGAGGAACTTGGTCACAAACTTGTTGGGCTGGGTGCGGAGGGAGAGGTGGAGCGAGGTGTAGAGGTGGTGGGTGTGGGTCTCCTCCGGGGCCTGCAATTTTGTTTTAATTAAGTTGCCATGGAAATTATATTAACAGTTTCCATGGAAATAAAATCACAGTTTCCATGGAATTTAAAAAATAAGTTACCATGACATTCCCCAGTCGGTCAATGTAATATTCCGGACTCAGCGTGACCTTCCCCTCCAGAGGAAGTTCTTTACTCGAGAAAATCTGCCATTTTTTCTGGAGGTCCAAACTGAGGATCGTGGATTTACAGGGCCCCGTGAGGTCCAAATCTTCCTGCAGAGAGAGAAACACGCCGGTTACACAAGTCCAAAAAAAAATCTCCATGGAAAAACATTACCACAAATTCCAAGAAAGCCACTTCAAACTCCTCTAAATTATCCGGCATGACTTCTTGAATTATTGGGCTCGTTGCTATGACGACGGATTCTGATTTATTCTCATTGTTGTTGCCAAAGCAACAGGAAAATAATTCCATTGACGACATGTTGTTTAAAACTTGTGTGGATCTTGTTACCAAGGAATTTAATGAGGTTGTCATGGAAATGTTTTGATGAGGTTTTTTAGTGGAAAATCGGTTTCCAAGGGAACGGGTCGCCCGGCGCAGGCGGGTCGTTATCTGTGGATTTTTTTAAATAGAAAATTTTGGTTGTCATGGAAATTTTTAAAAAATTTAAAAAAAACTCACATTTGACAATTTCCCCATGGTTTCTTAATAAATTAAAATTAAGCTATGTAAAAAAAAAATTTGGCACAATTATAAAATTACAAAAAATGGCACACACACATACACAAACGACTAAATGAAAAGTTCTATGGCAACTAAAATCCAAATTACCAATGGCAACAACAAGAAAATGAAAGAGAAATCATGTAACCTACTTTTTAGACGGCTTCTTCTTCGTTGTTATAGGATTGTTATATAGAAACGAGTTGTTATGGTGATTGTTTCGTTGTTATGACGACGCATTAATTTATTTTTTTTACCAACTCGTTGTTATGTTGGTGTTAAAAAGGGGTGAATATTATTTTCAGCTGTCAGCGTTGTTGTTGGGGTTGCGGGATATGTAGGAAATCGATATTGTTTCCATGGGGATCCGGGAAATATAGGATGCATGGAAACGCATGGGATTTTATTTTCCATGGAAATGGGTCAATTATAGAATAAAAAAATTAGGTTGCCATAGAAATTAAAATTTTAAAAATACTGGCGTTGACCTAGTTACGCATATTTCCTTTATATTTGCAAGTGTGTAGGTGTGTGTGTAAATGTGGGTGAACCGGTTTTTTTTCATATAAATAAAATAATCACCATGGAAATAAAAATCATCTTTTTTTATTAACAATTTTTTTCTCTGGCAACGACGTCTCGCGACCAATTCCTTTAAAAATTCCGTTAGATATCCAGACCACCAAGGAAAATAGTTTTAGGCGGATTCTGTAAATATAATTGGATTTTAGTTGTTATGGAAATGGAAATAAATAAATTTGGTTGTCATGGCAACAAAAAATTACCCCTCCTGATGACCACCCCCACTTGGACTAGCCTCCCCCCATTTCCGGACCTCCCCCTCATTCCCTGCGATGATAAAGACGGGGAAACTGACGGCAAAGATGCACCCACTCACCACCCAGTCGCCATAGTAACCGGTCAGGATGCTCAGGGGAAGCCCGAAACCGATGAAGTAGGGCCAGTTGGATTCTAGGGAATTTAGAATTTTTTTTAGTTTCCATGGCAACAATTTTGGAAAAAAAACATGACAACGAATTAATTAAAAGAAAACAACGATATAAATCACCATGACAACTCAACTCATACCCAAATAATTGAGCCTCTGATGAAGGGGCATCCCCATCTGGACCCATTTATACTCGAAAGAATACAGCGAATACAGCAACGAAGTGTGGGTGTGGAAAATCAGCGCGGAAATCCAGCCCCCCAGGAGATGCGGCAGCGTGTAGTTCAGAAGGAGGGCCTGCCCGGAAATTAAAATTAGTTTCCATGGCAACCAAAAAAAACCCCACAAACCTGCACTAAAAACAAGGCCTGGATAATCAGCGAAAAGAGGTTATCCGCGATGAGGGTTGACAAGGACTGGGTCGTTTTCGGACGGCCAAGGGAGTAGCGGTACGCAAGGGAGCCGATGTCCTGTGGGTATTAATTTTTAGCATGGTTGCCATGGAAACAAACGCTATAGCAACGAACCTGAAACCACAGGGCGTTAACGATCCTGGAGAGAAGAAACAGCGGCAACACCCACAACCCGTCGAACGTCAAATGGAGTAAAAATTGGAGCCAGGACCAGAACGTGGAGGTCGTCGAGTTGGTCGTGCTCAGGAGAGAGAGGAGGGTCTGGAATTTATTTTTAATTATTCGGTTGTCATGGTAACAATTTTTAATTAAAACACACCTCCAAAACAGGCAAGAGCACACTTTTGAAGAGGACGATTGAAAGACCAAACACGATTCCGTTGAGGGTGCAGCATTGCATCACGCGGTTCAGCAGGCGGGGTTCCCTGTTATTTAATTGTTGCCATGGTTACTTAGTTTTCCATGGAAATTACTAATTTTTTTATATAAATTACTCTTTGCCATGGTGATGCCTCGGGCTGGGTTTATTCTGCTGTTTTTGTTGCTGCCGTTGTTTCCCTGACAACTCTTGAAATTCTTGGCGTTCCTGTTGCTGTGGAGTTTAAATAATTTTAGGTAATTACAGTTTCCAAGGTGATTAATTAAATAATTCAAATCCTCACCGCCCTCCTCTGGACGTTGTCAAGGGAATAGAGCCAATAAATTCCTTTTAAACTGTCGCCAAGGCCTTTTCCTGCGCATATAAATATTTCCTAGGAAACAATGGAATTTTAGTTTTTCTGCTGCTTGTTAATACCAATTTTTTTTTTTAAATGTTACCTTTAAGCTCATAATTTTTTTTACTCTTAATTTTAAAAATGGGTTATTGCGAATTTTGCGACTGCGAAATGCGTGATGAGTTTGGGTTTATTTTTGTGACTACTGAATGTGGTTCGCGGGGTGTGTGTGAGAGTGATCGAGGGGGCAAGGTGAGATTTTGTTTGTGGACTTTGATCTGCTTATTCTTAGTGGGGGGGGGGTTATTTTGGAAAATCAACAGGAAAGGAGGCTGGAAAGTGGGGTTGGGTGGGTAATAAATGTTTTTTGCTTCGGATTAGGGATTAGATTAGGATTAGAATTTGTCGCTTTTTGGTAAAAATTTTAGAGTTTCATGGATTACTGTTCAGCCAATATTAATAGTCTGAAAAAAATCTGAGAGGTTTCCTGGCAGATATTTCATAATATTTTGAAAAAGCCAAATAACCTCTCAGAAAAGTTTCCAAGGAATTGATACTATTAATATCGGCAGTAGTATTTTAGGGAACAGAGACTGCCGGATTAAAGATATTGGGATTAGGGATTAATTTTTCAAATTTTGGAATTAAGGATTGGGATTAGGGATTGATTTTAATCTGGGATTGGGATTAACAGGATTAGAATTTGTCGTTTTTTTGTGGGATTTTAGAGTTTCATGGATTAATATTTGAGGGAAGAAAAGTCTAGATTAAGGAGTAAAATTAAATAATCCGGATTACTTTTGTGAATAATTTCCTCAGCATTTCCTCTGTTAACGGAAGCTTATAGGCAGCTATCGGCTATCCCGAGTTAAAAAGTAGTTTAAAAATAGTAGTAACTCGTACTACTATTTTTATGGGATTAAGGATTAATGTTATTTCGGGATTAGATTAATCCAGGATTAATTACATAATTCAATTTGCTGGGATTAAGGATTAAGGATTAATTCACAATGCTTTTGGATTCGGGATTAAGGATTAATTAAGCTTATTGCCGATAAGTTATTTATGATATATGATTTAAATAACTATGCAAATAACTCCCCCCCAACACACCCATAATTAAAAAAACCACACGCACACTCACATTTTATTTTATTTTTAATACACCCATAGCAACGGAATTAATACTGAATAACATAATATGGCACAATAATAATAAAAAAAGGAGATTCTATGGTAACCGAGAAAATCGTGATTAAAATTTTAAATCCCGTCTTTTTTATAAAATATTCCAAAAAAAAACGGAATTTAAAATTTTCCAAGCTTTTTTTTTAATTTTCCTATTTTTTTCCTTTAAAAAAAGAGAAAAATAAAAACGTGGCATTTTTTTAATGATAAAATTTCCATGGGAATGTGATGATTTAATTTTGTTCGAAATATTTGTAAGTAGGATTTTCGTATCCGTTAATTTGCATGTTTGCAACGTGCTTTTCTTCCGGGGATTTCAATAAAGTGTGGCTCGAGAGCTGCTGGTTCACCTCCAGGAAGCCCTATGGAAACAGGATTATTTTTATTTTTTTTAGTTTCCATGGCAACCAAAAAAAAGAATAAATCAAGAAACGCACGTGATTCCTTGGGTGATCGATGACCCTCCTCTTGACGAGAATCAGAACCCCCACGAGGAACGCCCCCAGCACGGTGATCCCCGCAAAAGTGAGTGTGAAATACAAGGGACGCGTTGATATGGGGAGGTTGCTATGCAACGTGTACACCTCCCGGCGGACAGATATTATCTACAATTTACTTTTAATTAGTTTCCATGGCAACCAAAATTATTCCTAAACATTACCTGATCCTTGAAATCTTTATCCTCCGTTTCCATGGTTTCCATCATCGTGGTTGTTGTTGTCATGGTGGGTGTGGAACTACTCCCCGTAGTAACGAAGGTGGTTGTTGAGGATGGTGGTGATGGTGACGGTGTGGTTGTCATGGAAACGGTCACGTGTTGCTGGGTGAGTTTTTCGAGGAGGTCCTTTTCCGTCTCGTGCGTGGCCGTGAGGAGGGACTCGCCGATGGGGTCGTCACGGCCTTGGAGGGACAGCACGTAGTCCTCGATCAGGGGGCGGAGTTTCGTGGAGAGCGGGGGGTATCTGTGGATATAATGGGATTGTTTTTTAGTTCGTCTGGCCCGAGTTGTGTGGTTTTTTTAAAATCAATGACTTCGTCGAGCCCGAGTGAGTCTAGCGATTTTTAAATTTCAGACGGACAGACGCGCTGGTCACATCATGAAACACATGAGTTCCACCGCAAAATACTTCCCCTGGCCCGAGTCAAAGCAAAACCTAAAAAACCCACACACTGGCCACATAATCCCCCCCTACAACTCACCTCTCGAGCATGACCAAGCCCTGCCTGGCGGTGAGGCTGATTTGAGTCAACCTCTGCAGCGTGTAATCCTTCTCAATCTCCGCCTGTTTCGGATTGCTCTTTAACAAGTGCTTGTAATGGGTCAGAGTGTGGTGGCGATCCTTGTGCAGAATCCGCATCAGCTTCTCCAAGCACTTCCGAACCTTGTTCGGGTTCTGCTCGGAGGAGGTCAGAGATGTCGTGAAGCACTCCATGGACTCTTTCTTTCGCTCGTTTAGGTGGGATAATACCTAATTTTAGAATTATTTCCATGGTTACATTAAAAAAAATGTTATCTGCATGGTTACATTTTTTATAAAAATATTTCCATGGTTACAAAAAAAATCCCCAATTAAACCCACCCTCTGCTGATGAACAGCGAGCAGCTGCCTCTTCTCTGCATTTCCCTCATCCTCCAGATTTTTAATGGTTTTCTGAAACCTCAAAGTGACGCTTTTTTTGAACGTTTCCGCCTCCTCCCCGTTCCCGCCATTTTTCATCAGCTGATACTTTTTCTCGAGGTCCTCCCAGTCGCGCATCACTTTGGACATGCGCAGTCGGTGGAGGTTCTCTAATCGGATCTCCGCCTGCTTAAAGTTGAGGTGCTCGTTCGCCTCGCTGTTTTGGGTGAAGTAGGGGTCCACGGAGGGAGGGGGGGTGGTTGTCGTGGTTGTCGTGGTGGTTGCTATGGAGATTTTTTTAAATTATTAGTTGGCATGGAAATTATTTTAATTGCCATGGAAATGGTTTTTTAAAATAAGTTTCCATGGCGATTTTTATAAATTAATATTTTAAATCGCCATGGAAATTAAAAAAACTCCCCATGGAAACATTAAAAAATCCCCATGGAAACCCTCACCTTCATCAAAATAATAATCATCATCCTCCTCCTCATCCTCATCTTCCTCATCCTCCTCCTCATTATCCTGATAGTCCTCGTAATTATCCAATTTCGTATCCAATTTTTTATTCGTGGTTTCCATGGCAACGTGTTCCGGGGGGCAGCAGACAAACTCCACGCCTGTAAATAATCCAACCCCGCACGGCAACAGCACGGCGAAGGATTTGAGTTTAAAGTTTCTATGGGAACAGGAATTGAAGGCGGTGGAGTTCCATCGGGAAGAGTCCCAGCAGGAGGTCGAGTTGTGGATGTGGTCGAATATGCAGGGGGAGGGGACCAACAGGGCGTCCGATTGGAAGGGAGATTCTATGGATTATTTTTTTAATTATTAGTTGGCATGTTTATTTATTTTTTCCATGGAAACTTGGATTTTGCGAATAATTTCCATGGAAACTAGGCATTTTTATAAATTTTTCCATGGAAACTAATAAAAAAATATACCACTGACCCAAACACCTATAAAAAACCACCTATTTTTGCTAGTAATTTCCATGGAAACTAGGCATTTCTTATCAATAAATTTCCATGGAAACCACCCATATAAATAATTTCCATGGAAACTCTAAATATTTTATACCACTCACCCAAACACCTATAAACCACGGTGTCCACATTCCCCACGGGTCCTCCGCACTTCTTTTTCGAACCCACTTTTTTGCAGACACTTCCCAATTTCTTGGCGTTATTTTCGACAATGTTGGTGATGTCCTTGGTGGGGTAGAGTTTCTGACACTGTTTGAGGATCTCGAGCTTGTCCGTGATGCAGCCAGGGGTGGAGTCCGGGGTGGGCAGGAAGGTCGTGGAATCTGGGGTGTACTGGAGGAGGTAGGTGGAGGTGGGGTCCTGGGGGGAGGTGGGAGTGGGGAGGGGGCAGGTGGTGGCGATCTGTGGGGGAGAGAGGTTTTTTTTAGTGTTTTTTAGGATTTATAGTATTTTATAGCTTATTTTAGTCTATTTTTAGCTTTTTTAGACTATTTTTTCTATACTATTTTTAGGCGTTTTTAGCCTATTTAATAGTCCTTTCTACCCATTTTATAGTCTATTCTACCCAATTTTAGCCTATTCATACCCAATTTCTCTCTATAAAATCCTATAAAAAAAACTCACCATGGGCTCCGAGATTTTTCCACCCTTCACGTTGTTATTGTTGTCACAGGAACAAGTTCCCTACGAAAATAAAAATTTAGTATCCTAACAACCAAAAAAATAATAAAAAAAACCGTTACCATGACAACCACGAGGACGACCGCAGTTAGCAGCTTCATAATTATTTCAAAATTTTTCTTCGAGAAAAAGCGAGAAGAGCGATTTCACATCGCGACGATCTCGTTGGTTTTATGCGCAATTGTTGGTTTTGGTGTTTTAGGTGTGTCTCACGTCGTCTCTCTGAAGAATGAAGAAAGGAAGAAGGGCGCATGTTGTGTGTGCGGAGGTGTAGTGGAGATCGATCGTGTGGGTGACGTCATCAGAGTGAGTGTGAGTGAGTGAGGATTGTTGCCATGGTTACTGTTTGATGTAGGGGTGGTTTTTTTGAGGATTTTGGGGGTGTTTTTTTTAATTTCCATGGAAATTGTTTTAATTTTTTTAAATTTTTTCCGTGGTAACGAATATGCAAAGAGATACTAGCTATATGGATATAAAATTATCTTTTTATTTGGATTTTTAAAAAAATTTCTATGGGAACTGTTATTTTAAAAAATTCATTTCCATTGAAATTATTAATTTATTATTCACATGGAAATTAATTAACATTCGCATGGAAACCTTAACCCTCAACCGCATTTTTCTCCATGGCAATACAAAACCGTAGTTTAAGTAGAGAAACTCTTAATTCTTCGAGTTTTATCGTGGTAACGAATATGCAAAAAAACTAGTACTCATGGATTAAAAACACCGTTGGATTTTTTGAAGTTTCTACGGAAACTAATATTTTTTAAATTCATTTCCATGGAAATCATGATTTTTATTATTTCCATGGAAATTAATCAGGGAAATTAAAAGTAATATTAAGTTTCTATGAAATTAATTAACCATTTCCATAGAGACGCTCATTTTCCCCACGCCAATAAAAAACCCCTATCGTTATGGATACAAAAAACCTTTTTATTTATTAATTAATTTCCATAACAACTTTACACACAATAAAAAATTGGAATGTCTTTAATAATTATTCATTTGGCGGACGATTTTTTAAACATACCATTCTTTGACTGCCCCCATTTTCCTCTGCCCACCCCCACCCCCTACCCCACCCCCCACTTGAACCCCACCCCCAGCACCCCCACCCCCACCCAACTGCTGTTGCCTAAGAAACTGCTCCTGTTGCATCATCTGCTGTTGATTAAACTTAACCTCCGCAACTTTATAAATCGGGTCATCCCTCCTCTTACACATGAAGAAAATGATCAAAATCGACACGATAATGATCATCAGCACGGCAATAATTATAATTATGACTAAAGTACTATCGCCCGCCGTGTCCGCTAAATATATAGTCGTTTGATCCGTCGTCGTCGTTATGGTTGTCATGGTAGTTAATTGATTATTATTATCAAAATCAAAATCTCTCCCTTTAGGAAATGGAATAGGTGTTAGGGAGGGGGGTGCGGGGGGATAAACAAAGTAGAAGTAGGTGTTGGTATTGTTGTAGTCGTTGTAGTACTCGTGGTAGTTATAGTACTCGGGATAGTAACTAACTCTGTGCTGGTTGCTATGGGGATTATTTTTTTAATAGTCGTCGTTGTTATAGTATCGCCGCTCCCCTGGAAACAATCCTCGTCGTCATCGTTACAGATTTTATTATTATTTTGTGTCGTTGTGGTTGTCGTGGCAACGGAGGTTGTTGTTTTGGGTTTGGGGGATGGGATGTAAACGGGGGTGATTAAATCATCGGAAGATGTGGACATTCCGGAGGATTGGAGGATCTCGCAGTCCTCGTCGTCGCTATGGTAACTCGAACATTTTATCGTGTCCCCGGAGGTGATTAGGAGGTCGTCGTTGAGGGAGGACGAGTGGGGGGAGGAGGAGGAGTGCGAGGCCGTGGTCTGCAAATTTGTTAATTGGTAATTAGGGGGTAATTTGAGATTTAATTATAATTATAATTAGATTAATTACCAACCTTCTGCATGTAGGCCAACTCCTCCTCGTCGTTATTGACGACTTTATTGCTATGGAAATTAACTGAGCTAATGGACGCCACGGGATGAACACTGTTGCCATGGATACGAATTCGCGGATCTCGATCGATAGCCATGTCCAGCAAGCGGTGCGTGTTGTACACCAAGCCGGATATTATTCCCTGGAAATTTTAATTTTTAGTTTCCATGGCAACAATTTTTAAAAAAACTATTAAAATACCTTAAACTGCCTCTTGTCCCCACCCCCACTGGGAACATTCCCGACTAGGACCACACCCCCATTCAAATTCCCCACCCCCCTTTTCCGCACCTCCTCCCCGTCAACAACCAAACTCAAACCATGGAAACTCGTTAAAATCTTGACAACGTGGAGATTACGATCCGCAATTTTTTTATCCATGCTCAGGACGTGGTCCGATTTCCCATCGAAATTGAATTTTAATTTAATTTTCCCGTTGCTTAGCAACAGTTCTAAATAATCCGTGGTTGTTGGGGACTCGATTTTTAGGATGAGGGAGTCCGTTTTTGTGGTTGCCAGGAGGAGGGCGAGCGAGTGGGTGGGGGGAGAGGTGGGTGGGGCGGGGCTGCGGTAAATTAGGTGGCCACTCGTGAATTGGTAGGTGGTGGATTCTATGGGGATTTAATTTTTGGTGTTATTTCCATGGTAACGGAATAATTTTTTTTTAAATTAGTTACCAAGGGAACAGTCCACCCCCGTGTACCCGGTCAAATCGCAATCGCAAATGATTTTTCCTGGGGAGCAAATCCCCCCGTTTTGACACGTGTCCGTGGTGCAAAAGTCGGTTGCTATGGGGATTTTTTATTAGTTTTTTTATTTTTATAAACCACGTTGCTATGGAAATTAAATTAAATAACAACTCACATTTGACGTCCAGCTGGTTGCACCCCCCTTGGGCCCCACCCCCGTTGACCAGCGCGTCCGTCAAGGGGTTCAAATATTCCCCCCCAAATTCCAACCCCCCCACGCAACCATGGAAACCTTTCGTTGTCTTGGTTTTTATCGAGGTTTGCATCGAGGGTGGGACGCCGCCTGTTGTCATGGAGATTTTTTTATTATTTCCATGGAAACTAAATTTAAATAAACATTTCCCTATCAACTCACCCAAATAAAGCACCCCATTGAGCTCGAGAAAGTCCCCCCCGCCACTCGTCCCATTCCCACCCGCCCCACCCACAAACTCCACCCACACCCCGTCCACACCCATTCTCACCCCACCTGCCCCACCCCCACCACTTGCACCCACAAAATCCATGGAAACCTCTACGAAATGCCACCTCCCATCATTTAACCCCACATTTTTACTCTTCAACACCCTCCCCCCACCCCCATTTTCCCAAGAAAATACCACACCCCCATCCCCCCCAATCTCCATAGCAACGAAATCAACATTAATCCCCCCGTTGTAAAAAACCACCCCCGTCTCCACGGATTTAAAACTAAAAAACACGTCTCCATGGGAATAAATCCTCATTTGAGGCAATCCAACGAAATCCAATAAATGCGACGCGTCGCTAGGCAACGATTTTTTCCAGTTTTTCATGAAATTTATCCCATTAATTTTTAATTGTAGGATTTTCCCAGAAAATGGCGTTGTCATGGAGCCGAGGGTTAATTTAGTTAAAAGCATGGACCAATTTCTTGTTAGGATTTCCATGGAAACCGGTGGGATGTCGTTTAATTTTAAGTTTAGCAGGTTGCCATGGCGATTAAATACTAGGAAATGTTCTTGGTTGTTGTTAAGGTCCCGGCCGGTTACCATGGTTTTTTCACGGTCTGCGATTTTTATTCGGAGTTTGAGGCGGGTGTGTTCGAGGGAAATTTCGATGAAATCCGTGGGGCCGGTGTGGGTTAGGAGGATCCCGTTGGCTCGGGGGGTTGTGAAACGGAGGGTCACGTGGTGGGATTCCTGGGGGGTGGGGGGTGACGGTAATGGGAGGGTCAGGGGGGTGGAGCCGTCCAGGGTCAGGGGGGTGGATTCTGCGGAGATTTATAAGGAAATTTTGTTATTTCCATGGTGATTATATTTTTAAAAAATAATAAATTTTACCCCTCTGACAAACGACGCCATGGAAACTGCCCCCGCATTCGCAAATGAACCGCCCCCATCCGTCCCGACAACGGCCAGAGTTTTGACAGGGGTTGGAGGCGCAGTAGCCAGCGGAGCCCACGTGGCAACCTTTAAATATTTCCATGGTTACTTTTAATTAATTTCCATGGTAACGTATTAAAATAAATTTCCATGCCAACAAAAACGTAATAAATTATAATTAAATTTTCATGGCAACCTTTAAATAAAATAAATTCCATGGCAATTTAAAATAAATTTCCATAACAACCACAAAAACTCACCCCCCCTCACGCTCCCCAAATCCTGGACCAACGCCACACCCCCCAAATCCACCATTTGCTCCCCAACGACCAAGCCCCGCATGCACCCCACAAACCCATTCTTCAGATTAATCGACCAAACTTGTTCTTGATTGATATCCATGGTAACGCCCCCCACGAAAAAATCCCCCAATTCCAGCTCCGTCCATTTCGTGTTGAAATCCGTGGCGACGTCGTCCACGGAAACGGAGCCGGACCGTAAACCGTTGCGTTGGAAACGGATTTGGTGCCACTCCCCGTCGTCGATGGGGTCCGTGGTGGCGGGGATCCGGAGGTGGTGCGCGGGAGGGAGTGTGCCCGTGGTGGGGGTCAAAGTGGGCGTGGTCGAGATGTGGGCGTAAATGTGGCCAGAGATCATTTCCAGGGAGAAGAAGGTCTGTTGGATACAAGTCGGAAATTATTTGGTTGCCATGGTGATTAAATTGAGTTGCCATGGTGATTTAATTACCCTTCCGGATTTGGAGTAAATTAATAATCCGTTGGGTTCCGTGGTCCTAATTTTCAGGGAAACGGAAAACGTTTTCGAACTGTTCCACGTTTTGGGGATGATCAGGAAGGACTCCGGAGTTGTGAAGGTCACCGTTGCTCCGCTCATGTGTTTCTATGGAGATTTTTTTTTAATTTTATTATTTCCGTGGAAACATTTATTTTATCATTTTCCATGGAAACTCTCAACTTTTCCATGTGTTTCTATAGAAATATATTATCATTTTCCATGGAAACTCTCAACTTTTCCATGTGTTTCTATAGAAATATATTATCATTTTCCATGGAAACTCTCAACTTTTCCATGTGTTTCTATAGAAATATATTATCATTTTCCATGGAAACTAATAAAAAAAACACTCACCACGACATTCTCCGCGCTGCCCACCCCACCCACCGCCCCACCCACGGAACTCGTCACCACCCCCCCTCCACCACTGAACAACTCCACCCCCACGGGATTATTATTGTCATGGCAACCAAACCGATTAGCCCCACTAATCGACACCAATTTATTCCCATTTTTGGCCAATTCCAGCAAATTCAGCCTCAAGGTATCCGCACGATACTCGACTTTCCGCATGCATCCGATGAAATTGGTGACGCCTTTGATGCCGGGCAAGGGGCGGATCATGTCGTAGCCGCCGATCGTCAGGCGGTTGGAGGAGAGGAGCGTGAAGGACCCAGCCAGGGTCCAGCGGTCGAAATGGGTTCCATCGACGGAGGCCGTTATCTGTGGGGTTGGTTGTCATGGTGATTTAATTCGAATTTTTTAAAAAAAGTTACAAACTCACGTGACAGAGGGACGTCGTCATGGACATCTTTTTTTAAGACACACGGATTAATAAATTAGTAACCACGCGGACACACACGAAAAAAAATTAGGTAACCATGGCAACAATAAATAAATACCTCCTGAATCTTCCTGTGGATCCTCACGAGATGCCAGACCCCATCATCGAACCTCAATTGATCCGGGTGAATTTTGGCATCCAGCGGACCGCTCCCCAAATTTATCGAGATCGTGATCCGGCCGTCGCGCAGGGTGACCGCGAGGTAGTCAACGCCGTCGCCTTGGTGATTTTTTAAAAAATAGTAACCATGGCAACAATTTCTTTATAAAAACGCATACCCGAGTAAAACAACAACCCGTGGAACTTCTGCCTTTGTGTTTTGAACCCAAAGGAAATTTCATCCAGCGTGGAAACGATGGGTTCTCCGCCGGATTCCCGGAAATCGTATCCAACGTGTTCCGAACCGTGGAAGGTGAAGGAGATTGGGGGTTTTTCTACAGTTTCCATAGTGATTTTTTTTGTTGCCATGGTGATATTATTAAAAAATTGTTGCCATGGAAACCTACCCGTCTCGCAGTGGTTGCCTTGGAAATCGATATGTTTGCAGTCGCAGAGTGGTCCGTTGTCGGTGGAAATGCAGAATCCGCCGTGTAAACAAGGGTCGTGCCGCTCACAGGCGTCAACCCCCGAGGAAAGGGAGGAGTGGGGGGCGTTGTGGGGGGAGGAGGAGCTGGTTGTGGAGATGAGGCCCTGTGGGGGTTAAATTATTATTTTAATTATGGTTTCCAAGGAAAATTATACGAAAAATTATGGTCTCCATGGGAAATATAAAATATTGGTTTCCATGGATAACATAAGAAATCCATGGTTTCTATGGAAATCTGTTAAAATATAGTTTCCAGGGAAATGCAAATTAATAAAATCACAATTCCCAAAGAAAAAAGGTTCCCATGGAAACGAAAAAAAAATTCCCATGCCAACCCACCTTCCACTCCACCTCCGTCTGGCTCCTGACCCCACCCCCGCTGTCAAACACGACGTTTCTCACGCTGCCCCGATATCTCGGTTCGAAAACGACGCTCGGAAGGCTCAAATCCCCCAATTTCTCATTGTACTCCGTGGGCAGCCCCCCTACAAACACGCCCCCCGCCTTGGCATTGTTCCAGCCACCCCCGCTCTCCTTCCCAAGAAGCTTTTCCTTGGTTACGAATCCATCCACGGTCAGACCCACACCGTTTCGAACAGAGATCTCCACGCGGTGCCACAAGCCGTCGTTCAGGTGGCGGCCGACCTACACGGTTTCCATGGTGATTAATTTTTAAATTGCGTTTCCATGGTGATTAATTTTAATGTTTCCATGCCAAAAAACCTCCTTACCTGCAAAATCTCCGTGCCCCCATCCCCCAAGTTGAACCTCAACCTCAACCCCCCCTCGACCAACTTCAACTCGAAAAAGTCCACATCCCCCGAGTCGTCCGTGTAAAGCAGTAAACCATCCGGTTGATTAGTAGAGAAATCCAAAAGCAGTGAATTATTTTGCTGCGTATGTTGCCATGGCGAATATTTTATGTAAGATCGGGAGGAGCCTTCGAGGGTGAGGGGGGAAATCTCCGTTGCTATGGTTACCAAAATTATAAAGGTTTTTATTGACATGGTTGCTATAGTGGGGGTGGTTTTTTGGTTGCCATGGTTTTTTTTTATTGTGGGAATTTTAGTGTTTTACAAGAGTTTTAGGTTGGGTTTTGGTGTGGTTTTATGTTATTGGTGCGCATGGCGATTTGGATCCACGATTTTGCGATGGAATCCGGGTAAACTTCGGGATATGCGTAGAGGGCATGCGTTTTGGACGAGTGTTTTTTTGTGAGAATTTTTCCATGGAAACGGAATTTTTAAATTTCCATGGAAATAAACTACATTTTTAATATTAATCCTTTATTTTTTCCATAGAAACATAAAAAAGTACAAAAAAATCCTAAAGCAACAACAATTTCAACCTCTCCACATCCCTTTTGTTGCCATGGTAATCCTCGGCTAATTTTTTATTTTGTCGCTGCAGAATCTCCAGGCTGTTTTTGAGCTCGTATTTTATAGCGCGTTCCTCCGCCAATTGCGATTCCAACAGGGCCACCCGGGTTTCCAAGGCGACCTCCTTTTGTACTTTTATTTGTGGGGGTGAGGAAGAGTAGCTGGGGGGCTGTGGATTTATTTTATTATTAAAACAATTCCGTTGCCATGGTGATTAAACTACCTGCTGATGCAGCTGCTCCTGGTGATCAATGTCGATCAACTTAAGTAAATCCTGCTCGAAGAAGGACGATTTTTTCTCAATTTTTGTGTCCTTTTTCTTAGGCGTGAGGTACGCACTTTTTAAAGCTGCCACGCGCTGGTTTAGGTTTGACTCCTAAAAATTACTAAATTGTTATCATCACCTAAGGAAAAAAATAATAATAAAAACGCACCCTGTTTCCATAGCAATTATCCAAATAACTATGTCGATACGAGAGGTTTTTCTGGAGTAAAAAAATATTTTCCGAGCTCTTCGAGTTGTTATATAATCTCCTAGGCAACGGTGGGGGTGGTGTGTTGCCATGGTTACTGAAAACTGAAAAGCTGCTTGAGCCGGTGCCGTAACCAGAGGAAGAGTAGTTGTCATGGTAATTATTTAAAAGAGGAGAGAAATGCTGGGTCCTCCCCTCTCCATAGCAGTTTAAATGGTTGTGTTGGTGTGGTTGGTGTTGGGTGGTTGCGGGGGGAAGGTGGCGGACCACTTCGGGAGCTATGGTAACGGGATTTTGGTAATTTATTTTAATTTTTATATTAATTTTTAATTAATTTCGGTTACCAATGACGACGATTTCCACGGAGGGGTTGGATTTTAGCAAGTCAATCATCTGTTCGGAATTGAGGTCCGAGGTTCGCGTGGAGTTTATCTAAGGGTTGGAATAGTGGACAATTATAGTTTCCATGGAAATTGTGGTAATAAAATAATTTAATAAATTAGAAGTATCGGGAGACATGATTGTTTTAAGGATGACGAACTTGGCAACAAATTTTTACCCCAACTTCCAATATGCTGAACAAAGTGATACAACTTTTCTGATTTCATGTACTTAAGGGCCCGGTGCTTAGAAATCACGTCAACTTTGACGATAAAATTCAGCAATGCACAAAAGAGGACACATTTTTCAAGTTATGTTTAATTTGTTAATCATGTCTTTAGATTTTACTTAATTTTTTTGACAATGTGCCCTCTTGTGGAGATATCTGGTCATAAAGAGAGCACAAATTGGCTTAGAATTGCAAAATTGATGGCATTGCTTTTCGAGTATCCATGGAACAAAAGAAAGCAATTTTTTCAAAAACTTGAGGGCAAAGTGATCAAATCAAAGTTTTTGAACGTGAGTTGTGAATGAAATACAATTATTGTTGCTAACATAAATTTTCTAAAAAGTAAATCTTCCCCCGGGCCCTTAATGGCAAATTATTTGGCTTCATATGCTAAATTGGTAGAATTTTTTTAATTTAACAAAATTAATTACCTTGACAACCCGGGAGAAGCAGGATAAGCCCGCGATGGCGGCCGGGCTTTGCTTTTCCACGTCTGTAATTAAGGAATTTAATAATTTAATTGTCTAAAATTATTTTAGAGATTTCTAAATAATTTCGTACCGGTCACAAGTCCATCGTTCTGGATATGAAAACTTGAAAAATTGAAATTTTAATTGATTATTCAATTAATTAGTACAATTTAATTATTAATTAATTGCTTAGCATACCCCAAGTTCGCCTTTTTCCTAATAAAATATTGCAACGTTTCCATGGCGATTTTATTTATAGATTTTAATTTAGTAACTAATCGAAAAGATTGCTCCGTTGTCATAGAAATTGGTCTTGTGGATTGGATTTGGGGATTATTTTGGGTCACGTGGTAGAGGGTTAGCCTGGAATTTTTTTAATTAAAAAAAATTATTTAGTTGTCATGGAAATTATGAAAAATTTGTTCCCATGGAAAGATTTTTTAAAAGCCTCACCCAAATTTATTAATTTCCCAGGAAACGATGTTCCCAACTTTTATATAAAAATCCAGTCCATTTTCGTTACAAACGATGAAATAATATTTCGATAAAGCTGCATAGCAACCATTTTCTAGTTTCCATGACAACCCTCCCGGAATCCCATTGTTGCCATGGGAGGAGGATGTGGGGCTTAATTGGGGCGGGGTTTTCTTCTTTATCAGATTTAACATTGCTATGGGAATTTAATAAAAATGAAAATTAGTATCCATGGAAATAAAAATCAGTTGCTATGAAAATAAAAATAAAAAAACTCACAAAACCTCCCCCTCAACTCGGCCACGCCCCCCGAAGTAAAGTTTAAATACAAGTCTTTAAGATACTCGTTTCTCGTCCGGATCGCCATCGTCGTGAATTTCTCGCTTTTGTACGTCGCGTTCTCCGCGTTGATGATTTTCGAGAGGAGGAAGTTTAAAAAGAAGGAATCACGGGAGAATGTGGGCGTGGTCAAAGGGGGGCCGAATTCCGGGACCTCACAGGAACGGGAGATGGCCAGGCTGGAAGAGTTTTAATTTTAGTTGGCATGGAAATTTAGAATATAATTCACATGGAAACAAAGTTTAGTTGCCACGGGAATAAAAAATTTAAAGAGTTGTCAAGGAAATAAAAATTTTGTTGCCATGGAAATCAAAAAAAAATCTCCATAGAAACCCCACCCACCTGTAAACCGGCTGCCCACCCCCACCCCCCTCAAAATCCACCAACCGCACCACGACAAAGACATGTTGGAACTGGCTCCTGACCGATTTCGGAGTGAAGGCCCTGCTGCCCGGCTCTTGAAACACGATGGTCACCATGTCATTCCCAATGTGCCTTTTCCTCATCAGTTGCTGTCGATTATTGGGCGTGAAAGGCAGCAAAGTCGACACGTGGAACATGAGCGATAAATTTGGGTCGAATTTGTCGTTGTAGATCGAGTGCGTTCCGGTGGTGTCGTCTGGAATTTTTATTAAATTTAGTTGCCATGGAAACGAAAAATAAAAAATCTCCATGGAAACTCCAAATTAAAAAAATACCTTTAACATCCAACCCCCCATTATACCCCGTGAACCCTTTTAATTTAATCCTATCTCCAAGGAAACTGAGGAAATCATCAAAATTAGCCGATCCAAACTCGTTATTGTACATTTCCTCTTCCGTCGTTTGTCCTTGACGACAGTATAAAACCCCGATTTTGTGCTTGGTTGTTAGGGATTGTTCGTCTAGTTTTAGGAGAATTGGGGGCGCCGTGGGGAGGCCCAGGCGGAGGCTGCAAAATTAAAAATTAAAAATTTTGGTTGCCATGGAAATAAATTTCTAAATTTAAAATCAACTCACGGTTGCTGGGACACCGTCAAAAAAGGAAATAAACATTCCACGACGTCTTTTGAACTATTGTGATTTTGATTAATTTTCTTTGTCGTCGTCATGACAACGTCGTCGGATATGGAGCCGCGGATTGGGAGGAGCTGTATTTTAAAATAAACCGTTGCAAACGAAATGTAGCAAAGGGGTGAAAACACACGGAATTGTCTTTGTGGCACGCCCACAACGTCTTTCTGCACTTTCCCGTCATTGTCTCACATTACCCCACGTCTCATTTTACCCCATTTTGACACCCCCACCCGCGTACTTCAAACGTACACGACAATACCTTTCAATAGACACCCCACATGACAAAAGTCATTTTTCGACATTCGACACCTCCCACACGGTCATGGAGTCGTCGCACGTCGAAATGATGGCGATTTCTGAAATCCTCATCCAAAAATACGTCTAAAACGGTGGAAACGAAAAATTCGACACCTTTGACCGTTGGCGTCATCGCCGTGGCGCCGTGACCTTATGACCTACGACGCCCATCTTCGAACTCATCCATATTTCAAAAATTAGAAACACGTTGACGAATGCCGAAATACGAAACCATTCTAAAGTTATCGTGGATACAGACGGACGGACGGACGGACGGACGGACAGACGGACGGACGGACGGACAAGACATTTCCATAAAGGGGTTTTCACCCCTTAATAATGTTGTTACCAAGGAAATAAAAAAAGTAACCATGGAAACCCACATCGCTGGTCCTGAAAACGACCCTGTGAAACCACGCGTCCTCCTCTTCGGATTTTTCCTTGACAACGGAAATCGCCACTGGACCCAATAATTCATCCACGCAAAACCAGTTGTCATGGTTACGGCCGTAAAAATATTTTCTATAGTAACCAGCCCCACTGTTTACGTTGTTGTCAAGGAAATTAAGTTTGTCAAAATTCTCTGGAAATTCCTCGTCCAAAATTTCGATCCGACGCAGGGTGGGGAATTTTCCGAGCGTGGGGTTCGGAATCTCGTTCCGGAAGTGGGGGCATCTAATTTTTAATTGGAATTAGTTAATTGGAATTAGTTAAAAATAGAATTCAAACTCACGTCAAAACCAGTTCGTTCTGGACGAAATCGCCAAAATCTTCTGTTGTTCCATTTTTGCTGGCTTTGCTCGCACCCGTCGTCGTGTTTTTCCGGTTGCTTAGCAACTTTGAAATTGATAGTTTATTAATTTCCAAGGTAACCGAAGTCACATCGTGATAATGAAAAACGGATCGAAATAATTGAGAATTTATAAGTTCACTCATTTTTTTGAAGCATTTCAGAGGGTTTCCTTTTTCTTGGAATGTTTGTTTTTTAAAAATTAAAATCGTTTCCCTGGAGATTTAAAAATAAAAATAAAAATAAAAACAAAATAAAAAAATTGAGAGTTGTTGTTGATGCTTTTTTGGAGTTCGCTCCAGGGTTTTTGGGGCGATGTGGGTGTGTGTGTTGGGGGTGTTGGGGTTTTGTGGAGAGGGAGTTGGTGCCTGGCGCCTCTGTGCTCTGCGCCTTGGAAAAATTTGAAAAACTTTGGACTCAAATATCTCGAAATGGCGCAGGTGAAATTACATAGTTGCTAATATAAAAATAAACTAGATTTTCGGAGCTATATTTTGGTACAGAAATTGGAGATGAACTCGTTACCCCCCCCCTTTCCTTTATCCAGGCCGACACGATCATAACACACGGTGTGACGGTGAAAACCATTGTAAGTGGTGTGAAATTTATCCTCAAATGATCACCCTGTGCATCTAACTAAATATATTGAGTTATTTAATTTTCAATTTATAATCAACTCTAATAAAGCGTTAGTGTTAGGCTTGGGAGTTGGTGCCTGGCGCCTCTGCGAACTCGTCGTTAGCTTGGTTGCTTGACTTTCGGTGTCTTGAATAAGCCCGTCTTACACCGGGCGGTGAGTGTCACACTCTGAATGCCTAGCCGCAACGGAAGTAAATTAAAATTACCATAGCACATTTAGAAAGGATCATTATGGTGGTGGTAAATTATTGCATATTCAAAGGACCTTTTACACAATCCCATTTACTGTACCATCCTAGTAAACACATCAGCCCAGTTAGTTCAGCAGGGTAGTAAACGCTCCAGCCCAGCGTTGAATTTCCTGTCGTATTGCAAGTCTTACTGCAAGTTGTCTGGCAAAACGATTATAGGAATACGTAGTAAATCTAAGTATCGATCCCCATGCTGTTAGTTTTTGAATAGCTCGTGAAACCAAATAATGTCCAAAGATTGTGCTGCTATCTCATGTTAGGCGGTGGCTTGAAGCACCAAGATCCGTTGGCTGGACAAAATTCCAACAGATCGCCAAAGACTGTTTATTCCGTCGAGATCATTATTCTTAACATCGCATAGGCGAAAGTTCTGAGTGACTAGATCGATATTTCAACAATTATAATTCATTCAACATTCTCAAGTAAGTCACGAATTTCTTCAAGTGAACGACTATTTAGTACAGAGTATGGTGGAATTCGTCCTCTTTGAACAGGGAGTTTAAGTACTCTAATAGTTCACTATTAATAGTGCACTCATTCCAGTAAGTGCTGCCTTCAGCAAAGTGTTAGGCTTACTTGGAGATTCTTGAAGAAGCTCTCCAAGAAGATGCTTAGAAGCTCGAAACCAATGCTGCCGAAGAATCGATAAGGTAAATCTGACTTTGTTAAAAAAAGGTCTTTGTGCCCAATGTTGGAGAATGATATGGTTCAATGAGATTTCCTACATGTTGCAGAAACATTTCTCCTTGATCGGGAATATTGTCTTCTTCCTCGTCAAAGTTATTTTGTACAACATCGCCATCAATGAACCCTGGATGAGGGTTATCACAAAAATAAATTCTTGTTAGGGCTTTATCAATTTTTAATGTTAGCTCTGGTCGTCTAATTCTGCTGCTAAACGGAATCTGGAGCAAAGATCTCTGAATGCTTCGGCATTGCCTGCATAACCATTTATCAAATTTGTCTCACCTTCAAACGGAAGGTAACAACAACCTGCCGAAGTAACAAGCCTCATTTTCTTTGATGATATCAAAATTCGGTCGTTTAACTACTACGGAACGTTCGTACATCATTTGTTACTCTTCAAGGAAATGAGTAATCTTCATTGCCCTGATGCTCGTTGCCTGACAGGTTTCTACCTTAAGTGGTGTTTATGCTTCACGCCATCGTCACGTCCTCCTTCAAATCCGATTTTTTTAATTGGCTGAACGAAATTATCACTACGACAATTAAAAATTTTAACCAATCAAAAAATCGAATTTGGAGAAGGACGTGACGATGATGTGAAGCATAAACGCACCTTTAGCCTATTTAGCTCGCCAAAAGCATCCTCATCACAAGCGAGTACCAGCGTCAGAAATTACTTCTCTTTTAGTCCAAGAGTACGAAATCCGTCTAGCCTTTTTAACTCTATTAAGCGCAACATCCGACATGGCTATGGCTAAATGCCGCTTTGATACTGAATATTCTGCTTGCCATGTTCACAGTCCAGGCCTGGGATATCTGGAAATAGAGCCCAGCAAAGCACACTTGTAATTTTGTGTCCCGACTCGCGAAGCAAAAGTTTCGAGTATGCAGCAGAGCAGCAATGGCAACATGCAACATTCTCCTCTTGAACAGAGTTTGTCGATTTCCTATTAATTAATATTTACTATCAGCTTTGTCCATAACATATAAGTTGGAATTTGAGGCTATTATGTCCTAACTAACAAACTCCACTGCATGGCGAGCTTCAACTGAGTTTCAAAACAAATTTTTAAAATTTCATTCTTCAGCGAGGGTGCCTCTGAAAACTTTAAAACAGGACCATATTTATTGAAACATTAATAACGCGTATGTTTTGACTTAATAATTCAATATTTACAAACTTTCCTCAAAGTGGGCCCAACTGTTTTCGATGGATTTATTTTATATAACATTGAGGGCATTGAGGGAACTCACGTCACAGTTTGTATACGTCGGTTACAAACTGGGTAAGGTTTGTAAGCCTACAAACTTTTACTATTTTAATTTGATAATTTCTAAGGAAATTGACTTACTACCTTTTACGAAACTTCCGCAGTTGAAAAGCATGTTTTTGGTTCACTTGAATTATTTACGAACTTTTGTTCGTAAATAAGACGAAACAAAAGTTCGTAAATAATTCGTAAGTGTTTGATATTACGGCAGCCGCCCAACATGGGGGAGAGCAGGGCACAAATTTACGGTCGAGTACACGGGGGATTGGATGAGGTGTTGCACTCTGTTCAAAAAAAACCATGTGGCAATCCCTGAAAGAAGTCTCTGATCAACCTGCCAGTTGTGCCGGGGTGCGTATATCCCAAGGTGAGTTCGAAAACCACACCCCCATGGGCGGTGTCGTCGGAGGAAAATGATATTTTTATTGATATTGAATCTATAGATGAAATGAAGTGTTCCCGCGCTATCGTAGGCGTAGCGGTGGTGAAGTGAGACCAGGCAATAGAATTACTAGCACGATAGTCCTTCCCTTCCCTCAACCAATTATCTCAATAGGGCCTCTCAAGAAGCCTATCCCGAATGGGATCAAAGTAAAATTATGCCATCGACTCGAAATTCAGAAGTTTAGGGTCTAATGACTTCAAAAATTGGTTCCTATTATTTCACCGCCATGATTTGACCTGACTTGTTAAAATTAGGCGATCGACTTTAAATTCAAAATCTAAGGGTTCAGTGACCTTAAATATTTATGTTAAAGAACGTCCTCTAACGTCTCGGACTGACGCAATAAAATGCTCAGAACTTTATACACAGCATGGTTAATGCAATTTTTTTGAAATTGCATTAACCAAAGGGGTTGGATTGCCATACAGTTAAAATTTTAATGATTCAATTCCGCTATCTGCTACAGACTGTATTTTCTTCTTCAGATTTCACATTAAATTCCCCTCAGAGACTGCACCTACTTCTAAGCTCATTTTCGTCCGTCTGTTTTTAAATTTTCTAAAGGTGTCTAGCGTTTCCGAAAGCTTAGAATATTTGGATATAGTCAGCGCCCAGAATTTCTCAATTGGTCGCAGTTGAGGAACATTTGGTGAACATTTCATTTTTTGGCACAAATTCAATTTTTCATATGTAGGTACTCCGTGACCTTTTTAGCGTAATGGGACGTTGCGAGGTCAGGCGAAAACAAAACTTTGTATTTTTTTGATATTTGTTAACAAACGATTCCAAGCCCCCTTGAATGCATGGTTTAAGATAAACCTCCTGGTTTACAGTGCCCTCCAAAATGACATCGGCAACATGGCCGGCGCTGGAGATGCATTGCAAAATTAGATATTTTTGGGGAATTTGTCCTTCTTCCGGATTTTGTCTTCGTATTTTACTTCGGAGGGGTCCGAGGAATGGTAAAAGTGTGTTCCCGGAAGATTTGGAGGGTCCACGGTGACGTAGGTCTCATCGTCCATGATGACCACTTTTCCCCGAATCTTCTTCAACAATTTCTTGCAGCATTCTTGAATCCTTTCCTTTTGGGTTGATTTGTAATTTGGTGCTGGTTTTTTTGTCCTTGCTGTAGTCCCTAGTTTATGGACTTTGATTTTGCTCAGATAGCTTTTAGAAATCTTGACCTTACTTGCCGCTGCAGCCGTTGTCGAGGATGGATGATTTTGGAAGATTTTTTTGTCCGATTTTTGACTCGTATCGTCGCTAGCTTTGCAGGTCGACCAGTAGGGACCTTGGATTTGACGTCATTGGATTACTTGCACTTTTTTATGTATTTGTAGACGGTGGATTTACAAATACCTTCTTGTTTAAAAAAGTGCCTCGTAGTCTTGGCTTGGAATCACTGTTTGCTTTATTTTGTGAAACTCAATTACTCTTTTTCCCAACTCTTGCCTTTCAACCCAAGTTTTTCGAGTTTTAGCCATGACTGGATAATTGGTGACATACAGGGTGGTTCAAATGTCAAGCTACAATGGAAAATCTTTCAATGGGAAAAATTCGTAAATTTCCATTAGTTACCCAAATTTTATGTCTGAAATTCAATATTTTAAGAATTTTGCCATCAGTTTTGATGATAATTAATGAAAATCTCAATTCCAAATCTTGCAACTATTGGAGATTTAGGGGTTTTTCCCCTTGAAAAAATTTCCATTGTAGCGTGACATTTAAACCACCCTGTATATCAATGGAAAGCTTAAACTTTGGTCGATTCAAAAATATTTTTCTCGAAAAATAATTTCGCTGTGTTCCCGCCTAGCGCGCCCTTTTACGGGGCAGTCCGCGACGTTAGGGGACGTTCTTTATATGTATGCACTTTGTCGTCGATTAGAATAATTATTATTTTATGAATATTGACTAGATTATGATGATAATAATTTATGAATTTGACATCATGATTCTATGCATTTGTCATGATAATCTATCTATGTATGTACATGCAAGGTGAATTGTGCA